GGCAGCCGAGGAAGTCAGACGAGTCGGTAGGTCATGGAGCTTACGCTATGCACCAGTGGCGGGTCCACCAAACAAACACATACCCAGAGGCGCCTGGGTCATCAATCAATATCAAAATCACTCTCGCGGGTTCAAGCCGTTCGGGCTGCAGCCAGGACAGGGTGCTCCTATGGATATCGGCGCGGTCCAAGGCGGACAAATGCGCAGATTCAAGGGCAGCTGTTACAACTGCGGCCAAGAGGGACACATGTCCCGAGACTGTAGAAACGGGGATGGCTCCCCAATTTGTAAATAAGTTTCTAAATTTGTTATCAGAAGTATGTACTTGTATGAAGAAATGTAACTGTAATATTTATGATACTACCGCTGCACCAGCGTCTCCCTTGGAGCGTGGCCCCGGCGAGACAAACACTAGGGTGCTTGATTCTGGTAAAACAAAAATAGAAAAACATGTGTCATTCGAGATTCCTTTTTCTTCTTCTTCTTCTTCTTTGGAGCCACCCTTTCCCGAAATCCCAAGGCGTGTGTTGATGCGCACGTATTTATTCCAAAAAGAGATCCGTTTAGACGTTGGCGTGGAAAACCTTGCCAGGGGCAAAGTACACTCAACAAGCGCACTGCTTGATTCAGGCGCTAACGGGATCTTCATAGATCAAGTCTGGGCGGAGCAAATTGGACTCCCCCTTGTAAAATTAGAAACGTCTATTCCCGTCTATAACGTTGACGGTACGCTTAACGCAGGTGGCTGTATTACACACAAATGTTCTTTTGTGGTCGAATACCAAGGACACAGAGAACGAGTCACTGCCGAGGCTACCCAACTAGGGAAGATTAATTTAATCTTAGGCTGGACCTGGCTATTTAAACACAATCCTGAGATCAACTGGCAGACAGGGGTTGTCACATTGTCACGTTGTCCCCAGGAATGTGTAAACTTGGGTAAACCAAATCATGTCCGTCACAATGAGCGTCTCGAAAAGTTAAACGCTAGTCACGTTTACGAGCTCAGATCTTTAGAAAAGATCGACGATGACGATGACGAGGTAAAACCTGAGGAAGAGATTAAGAGGCTGGTACCTCCCGAGTACCACGACTTCTGGAAAGTCTTTTCAAAACACAAATCAGAGCGCTTCCCAGAGGCTAAGCCTTGGGACCATGCTATAGATTTGAAAGACACCTTCAAACCAAGGAAGGGACACATGATACCGCTCTCTGCTCCCGAAAGAGACGAGGTATCTAGTTTCATAGACGAACAACTTAGGAAGGGTTACATCAGACCTTCCAAAAGTCCTATGACGTCCCCGGTGTTCTTCATTCCTAAAAAGGATGGTAAGAAGCGAATGATTATGGACTATCATTACGTAAACGAGCACACAGTTAAAAATGCGTATCCGCTACCTTTAATTAGTCAGCTAGTAGACAAATTGGCTGGCGCCAAGATTCTGACTAAAATGGATCTCAGATGGGGGTACAATAACGTACGAATCAAAGAGGAAGATGCTTGGAAGGCCGCGTTCACGTGCCACCGAGGATCTTTCGAACCCCTTGTCATGTTCTTTGGGTTGACCAATTCACCGGCGACCTTCCAGAGCATGATGAACGAGATCTTTGCAGATATGGAAAACTGTGTTGTCATTTACATTGACGATTTATTAATATTTACAAAGTCGGACGATGAGGCTGAGCATGACAGGATCGTGCAAGAAGTCCTTCGACGCTTACAGGAACGGGACCTATTCGTTAAACCCGAAAAATGTAATTTTAAAGTGAAGGAAGTAGACTTCCTCGGTATGATCATAGGCCAGAACGGAATCAGGATGAACCCTGAGAAAGTTCAAGCTATTTTGGAATGGCCAGAACCTACTCGCGTCAAGGGAGTTAGGGCCTTCCTAGGCTTAGGGAATTTCTACCGAAGGTTTATCGAAAACTTCGCAAAAATCACGAGACCGTTGAACGATCTCACCAAAAAGGACCTTGTTTGGCAGTGGGGCGCCAAAGAACAGGAAGCTTTTGATAAGCTTAAACAGGCATTTACAACAGCACCCATATTGGCATTCCCTGAATTAGACAAAGAGTTCCGGCTAGAAACCGACTCTTCTGACTTCGCCACTGGGGCTGTTCTATCAATCAAATGTCCTGATGATCTTTGGAGGCCTTGTGCCTATTTATCGCATAGTTTGTCGCCTACAGAGCGCAACTATCAAATATACGACAAGGAGATGCTGGCCATCATTAGAGCTTTAGAGCACTGGCGGCACTACTTAGAAGGTGCTAGGCACCAATTCGAAATTTGGACCGATCATAAGAACCTAGAGTACTTCATGACGGCCCGAGACTTGAACCGGAGACAAGCCCGCTACGCGGTATACTTGTCAAGGTTCAATTATAAATTAATTCATAAGCCGGGAAGCTCAATGGGGAAAGCGGATGCTTTATCTAGAAGAGAGGATCATGCCAACGGCATTGAAGATGACAACAAAGGTGTCACCCTGATAGATCAATCAAGGGTCGCCAATGTTAGAATCGGGCAAGATTCCGACCTCCTAGAAGTCTTTAGAAAAGACATCTCCCCAGAGGAAAAGGCGCGCCTTGACGGCAATGAAAACTATTTATGGAAAGACAGGCTCTTTCATTTTAAAAACAAAATCTATGTGCCTGAGTCCGCAAGGATCAAGGCAATAGATAGACATCATGATACTCCAGTGGCTGGGCACCCTGGATGGCAACGAACGATGGAGTTGATCTCCAGAAACTACATGTGGCCGGGCATGGTCAAAGACATACAGGAATACGTAAAATCCTGTCTGAGATGTGCCATGGCCAAGAATTCCCATCTACTGCCGGCCGGTAAACTCATGCCGAACCCGATACCAGCTGGCCCCTGGCAGGATATATCGGTGGACTTCACGACGGATCTGCCCGAGTCAAACGGGTACGATTCAGTAATGGTGGTAGTAGATCGCTTCTCCAAAGAAGTGGTATTCATACCCACCAACAAAACCATCACCGCCGCCGGTACAGCAGACTTATTTAAAGATTTCGTATGGTCAATCCATGGGTTACCAGAAACGGTAATCTCCGATAGAGGACCGCAATTCGCTAGCGAATTTACGAAAGAATTATGCCGGATGCTGGGCATCAAACCTAAATTATCCACGGCGTTCCATCCGCAAACCGATGGACAAACGGAGAGACTTAACCAGGAGTTAAAGCAGTATCTCCGTATATTTATTAATGACAGACAGACGGATTGGGCCAAGTGGCTAAAGATAGCCCAGTTCTCATATAATATTAAACAGTCGTCGGCTACAGGAAAGGCACCATTCGAGGTTACCAGATCGTACCTCCCCAGAATGGGTGTAGAACCTGGCAAAAGCAAAAACGAGGCTGCTGGGAACATGGCAAAAGACATGAAGTCTGTCTTGGAAGAAACGCGCAAAGCGCTATTTAGAACTGCAGAGCAGATGAAAGACAGGGCAGAGCGTAGACGCTCTAAGGCCCCTGACTACAAGGTTGGCGACCTGGTCTGGTTAGATACCGACCACTTAAAATTAAAAGACCGGCAGTCTAGAAAACTGACCGAAAAGTGGATTGGCCCTTACCGGATTAAGGAAGTCAAACCTAATGCGGTGGAGCTGGAACTCCCAAAACGAATGAGGGTGGTACCCACGGTTAACATTAGCCGTGTGAAACCTTACAAGGGACCGCTGCCGGGACAGCGTGTAGACCGGCCCGGTCCGGTAGTAGTCACCCAGGAAGGTGAAGAAGAGTTCGAAGTCGAACGAGTGATAGACGCACGCTTGAAGCGTGGAAAATTAGAGTTCCTGGTCCTATGGAAGGGCTATGGAGACGAGGACAGAACGTGGGAACCAGAATCCCATCTGGAAAACTCCCGCGACGCTGTTCGCGAATTTTATTCTAGGAATCCCTCAGCTCCCAGGAAGCTTAGAGGCATGGATTCAAGCCTTTTTAATTCCCTCTTTCAACCTATGCCCGAAAATTTTACCACTACCTCCGAAATTTGGTCTCGCCTGGAAGTCGAACCTTAGAAGGGGGGTAGTGTTACGATAACACAATTTCCGGACATCTCCTTTCCTTTTATTCTCCGCTTTAACTTTATATACTTTAAGTGCCACGCGGCATTTCCCTTTCTCGCGCCGCATTGCCTTTCTTTTACTTTTAGACTTAACTCTCTCACGCAGTGGAGCTGGCCATACGGGCTAGGCCCTATGACATCATCAGCCACTGCCTTCATCAGCTGTATAGTACACATGTACAAACAAACCTGTAGTAGTATATATACCCCAATAAATCCAGGAGACTCCTCAGCGAGTCCTCCTGTTGTATACCAACTAACTCACTGCAGCCCAAGGGGTACCCACTCCCCATCTTCCACTACCTTTATAGTGTGTTCCTGTGTGCGCCAGAGTAACTAACTCTTGGTTGTTACAGCGACACGAAAATTTGCCGAAATGCCGAAAGTACCGAATGGAAAAGCAAAGGTGAGCGTGACTGGATCGCCTAATAGAGGTGGTGCTGATCAGCCACAAGTTCGAAAAAGGCAATATTAATTACTATTCCACGTGGCACTGTGCCTGTGTGGCGCAAAGGCGAGTCTTTTGAATATTCGCTTAGTTATTGACACCTGTCCATGCTACCAATCAACTTTGGTGCATGACACTGAGCAGTCCGAAAGTCCTCAATTGATTAGATTGTCAGAACGGCCGCAGATTACTATGGAAGCAATGTCACAGCCTTCCAGGAAAATCCCTTCCTCTCGGTCAAGCTATCGGTCTTGAGGCTCTGCTCTATACAGGTCAGATATCATCCGCGAGTCTACTGACATGGTAGATCTGACAAAGGAACCGCTCAGCACACACGAGTTATCCCGCATGAAATTGATTGCTTCGTCGCCTAGGGAGTCAGTTATGTCATCTCCATGGTCCATCCAACGACAATCTGTCACATCCACGGTCGTCCCCACTTCAGCAGGCGAGGGACATGAAGCATCTGCAGAAGCTTTCTTGAGCATTGGTATGCCAAGCTCTTCGAAACACTTGAAGTTGCGAACTTTTGGTGACAATCCTTCAAGTCTTTAGGCTTTGTGACACCTCCTGGCACGCCTCGTCAATCGATATTTGGGCAGCCAAGGAAATCACACATAGAGCACAATGAAAGATCCAAGCCAGTGGTACCTGTTGAAGTCGTGCCCGATCTTAAGCGCATTGGTTTAGGACGTATTCGCGGACCAAGGCCGCCCCCAAAAGCCTTCTCTCTTGTCGCGACCATGTCAAAGCTACCAGAGGTCAAACCTTTGAAGATACGTGGGAAGAAAAGCATAGATTCACAATCATCGCATTCCGGTCCAGGAGATCAATAATCTGCGTGAATGGGATTGAGGCTTGCATGAGTATCGCCTACTATCGTTGTATGCTGTTTGTCCATCATATATTACCGTTATGATAGTTAAGCAGCATACATGTTACATTCCCTACATCTTTCCACCCACCACTGTTCATTAACTTATACAATTTCACTTACACAGATCATTCATAAAGTACTTATTGTACCACATAATTATAGCTTGGCACAAAAAAATTGGGTATCTGTAGTAATCGCGCTGCCACTGGCCAGCATATTTATAGTTATTTATCACATCCGGCGGTTTGTGGAACACCGCAATCGCAGTCCTTTGCTCTTACCAACTATCATTACTTTTTATCCGCAACATGGCATCCAGCGAATTACTCAAGCAAATTCAGGCTGGCAAAAAGCTGAAGAAGGCAGAAACAAGTGATCGCAGTGCTCCTATAGTAGATTCGAAGCCTAGTGGGAGTGGTGGAGGCGGTGGTGGAGGGATGGGTATGGCTAGAGGAGGTGCACCGTCAGTTCCCAGTGCAATGGCTGGTGCAGGTCCACCACAACTAGGGAGTCTCTTTGCTGGAGGCATACCAAAATTGAAGCCCGCAGGGCAGAGCAACTCAGGTATGCAGCAACGCTTGATGTGTATATTGCCTGGTTATCTAACTTATCTGCAGCAAAACCTGTAGCGCTAGGAAAGCCCCCATCTATACCCAGGCGGGACGCAGCGCCTCCCGCCCCCAGTGCACCTCCACCGCCCAGCAGATCTACTCCATCACGACCTTCTGCACCGCCGCCTCCTGCGCCAGCGCCGCCGGGCAGGCCAGCACCGGGTTTACCTTTACGCTCGGTTCCAGCACCACCTTCAGGAGCACCTCCTCCACCGCGAAGACCTCCTCCTCCCGCTCGTACAGCCTCTCCAGCTCCGCCTGCTGCCCCACCTGCCCCTCCACCTCGTACTGCCTCTCCAGCTGCTCCTCCTCGCCCTCCGGCCTCCTCACCTCCTGCACGTGCCATTCCTGCTGTAGCTTCCCGAAGCATATCTCCTCCTCATCGCCCAGCATCTGTTTCTCGCGCGGTTCCTCCTCCTCCCCCTGCTCGCAATAGCGTTCAGGCTCCCGCACCCCCCGCGAGGAAGGCTCCTCCTCCTCCAGCCATTCCAGGACGGGCCCCTCCACCCCCGCCTCCTGCTAGGCCCAGTTCTATCGCCGGTACCCCTGCACGAGCAGTGCCTCCCCCACCTGCTCGTAAACCTCCCGTAGGTCACGGGCCCCCCGTTCCTCCAGCTCGGGTCCGGGCATTATCTGAAGCTGAGCCTCCGGCTCCTCCTCCACCTCCGGGACCGTCGCCTGCGCGATTGAGCTTGGCGCCCCCATCTATGTTTCCCCCGCGCTCTCCTAGTGCCCCTCCTAGGCCAAGAGCTGTGTCACCATCAGAAGAATCTGCGACGTCTGTTGGTAGGGTTGTAACTAATGGTCACGTCAACGGAACGAGAAGGGCGCCGCCGACTCGAAAAAGTGAGCTGGTTTGTTTTCCACTGCGAAATGCATATTTAATACTTCATTTCTAGTACCGTCTCCACCTCCAACTTCAGGGTCCAATACATTTCCTATAAGCGACTTTCCCCCACCCCGCGCTTTTAAGTCGGGTGTACGGCAGTATGGAGGGGGGCGTGAACAGGGCAGTGACTTTAATTTGTCGAGTTTGTAGAGCAAACATAGTGCTCTCGACGTACAGTTACATTTCGGTTCGTTTGGGTTTTCGCTTTATTGTCGGGTTCAGTGTCTGACGGTGAAACACAGTACACTTTGTATATTGTTTCACTGTTTGATTTATAAGAATGACGGTTGCTGAGGCTTACACGCTGAAGTTCAGTTATCGTCTAAGATATTTCTTCCTTCCCTTGCATTATTTGGACCACGTCCCCCACCCGAACCATCGTAATGTCCCTGACTGTTCCTGTCAGTATATTCTCCAAGCCATGTGCGATATGTTACTGTTGGTCTGATGGTTCCTCGACAAAGAGCCGCGGAGGTTTAAAGTGTATGTGTTCCACACCGAGGTGTCCTTCCAGGAGATATACACGAACTTCATTAAACTGCACGGTTGTATGAACGTACGATGCATACACTTTCTGTTTAGTACATTTCTCTTCTATGTTCTGTAGATGGTTACTATGAGGCCAATTTTTTCAAAAATGGCGAGTGCTCTGGAGCCCAGATTATGATGGATCAATTTCCAAGAGGTTACAGTATCGGCTTTTTGGCTGTTACTAAAGCAGCAGGCTCGCACAAGTCCGATACAGGCGTTTGTGGCGAAACTGACACGTCGACGGTTTTTAGCGTCACGCTCTTAAAAGGCTCCAGTTTCATTGCTTTGCTTACAGTCTCTTTCCCCTTCATTTACTGGCACGCATTCGACAAAAATGCGTTTCTCGTCCGTCGTTAAGGCTGCCTCAGCCGTTGCATTCGCAACCCTAGTCGCTGCTGAGGGCGACTCAGATGTTCTTAGCCTCACCGCCAGCACCTTTGAGTCAACAGTCAACCCAGAGTCCTTGATTCTTGTCGAGTTCTTTGCCCCTTGGTATGTGTGGATGTTTGTATATTGCAGTTCCAATAGCTCATTCCTGTAATGCAGGTGTGGACACTGCAAAGCTCTTGCTCCTCATTACGAAGAGGCTGCTACCACTCTCAAGGAGAAAAACATCAAACTTGCCAAGGTGGACTGTGTGGAACAAGCTGATTTATGTCAGTCGCATGGTGTTCAGGGCTACCCGTAAGTCCTCGTTGTCTTGCGGACTGTTGCTGTTTTCATTCTGGGCAATATAGCACTCTCAAGGTTTTCCACGATGGCGAACCTTCCGATTACACTGGCCCAAGGAAAGCAGACGGCATCATCAGCTACATGATCAAGTATGTTGCATGCACTCGTTCTATTTTCCGCGTCTCTCATTCACTTAATATAGACAATCTCTACCTGCCGTATCTGAGGTCACTGTCGCAAATCTCGAAGAATTCCAAAAGGCTGACAAGATTGTCGTGCTTGCTTACCTGCCCACCCCTACCAGCTCGCCTGCACCTGAATTCAGCGCAGCAGCCAACAAACACCGAGACTCATACCTCTTCGGTCTGACCTCGGACCCTGAGGCTATCGCTGCCGCTGGCGTTACTCCTCCCGCCATTGTCGTTTACCGTGCCTTCGACGATCCCTCTGTTGAATACCCTTACCCCGTTCCTTCAGCTACGGTGAAGGACATTGAGGAATGGGTTCAAGATCTTTCCATCCCTATCATTGACGAGGTTAACGGAGAGAACTTCTCTATTTATGCTCAAAGCGGAAAGCCTTTGGCTTATCTCTTCTTGGACCCCACTGAGGAGAAACGCGACGATTACATTGAATCCATCAGGCCAATTGCCACCAAATTCAAAGGCAAGGTTAATTTCGTCTGGATAGACGCTATCAAATTCGGTGACCATGCCAAGTCCTTGAACCTGGCTGAGGCCAAATGGCCCAGCTTCGTTGTTCAAGACCTGGAACACCAGTTGAAATATCCCTACGACCAGTCCTTGACCGTCGAACCCGAAGCTGTGTCCGAATTGGTGGAGCAGTTCCTGGCCGGAAAGTTGGAGCCCCAATTGAAGAGCCAAGCCATCCCTGAAACCCAGGACGAGAGTGTTTACACCGTTGTTGGAAAGAACTTCGATGAAGTTGTATACGATGATTCGAAGGATGTTTTCCTTGAACTTTACGCGACTTGGTATGTATTACTCACATTACCCGATAGTGATAACTAAACAAGTGATATGTAGGTGTGGCCACTGCAAACGCTTGAAACCCACTTGGGATTCCCTTGGCGATCACTTTGCTGGAGTCAAAGATCGCCTTGTCATGTAAGATTCATGCATGGTGATTTTCTCCGGGTGACTTATTTTTATTTCTTTAGTGCCAAGATCGATGCACCAGAGAACGACTTGCCTCCTTCAGTCCCCTTCAGAGTCTCTAGCTTCCCTACCCTGAAGTTCAAGCCTGCTGGATCTCGTGAATTCCTTGACTACAATGGTGACCGCTCGTTGGAGAGCCTCATTGCATACGTTGAAGAGAGTGCCAAGAACAGCCTCGAACCCAAGGTTGTTGTGGAGGGCGAGAACGATACCCAAGTTGTATTCGAGGCGCACGATGAGTTGTGATGAGATAACATTATTGGATATTGGCAACGCTAAAATGATTGCTATTGGAATGTCTACGTTACTTAGCCGCGCTGTTTCTTGTAGTAAATCAATTAATGCTATGTATACGTACGATCGACTCTTGGACTCTTGGGCACTGAATCCTCCATGAGAATGGGGAATTTTGACATATTGCATGGTCCTCGATATCAACAACCTCCTCGATAAGTCGACATCATCTGTATGTATAACGCGATGCGATGAATTCTAAAACTCTCGTGTCACTTCAAAAAAGAATTGATAACTACTAATAAGACAATCCATCCTAAATGAGAAAATCCCTGACAATAATCTGCATGATATCAAAGTTTAACTTCTTTCAAACCATCCTTCCAAAAGGTGAAATAGGCTGCGTTTACGTGTTAGTACTATTTTCTATAGATGATTAAAACGATATGAGAACTTACGAGTGACACCATCCTCCTAAGAATGAGAATTTGATTAGTATGACATCGATGTTGATAATTTGACAGGTGACTTACCCTGTAGTTGAGTAGAGCAACCATACCATCGGGGTTCATGTTCTCGCCGGTGTACTAAAGATGGCATCAGATGGGAAGAAAATTGCATACTTTGCATCAACTCACAAACTCAAAATCTTTGAAGTTTCCAACAACTTTCTTGGCATAGGCACCTGCTCCTTTCTCGAAGGCCTCAACCCGGTCTGCGGGAAGTTTGCCTTTCACAGCTTTCATATATCCCTGAATGTTCAGCACGAGTAAGAACATTTCTCAGCAGAATAATGTGATGAGGCCTGCGCAAACCTTAAGGTAGGTAAGGTAGCTTTTTTTGTCAAATGAGGTCGGCTGGAGCCTGAAGGAGTGGGCGACGTTGTTAACTTTCTCTTCACCCGCTTCGAGGGCCTCTTCCTGTTCTTCAGCAGAAGGGTTGGCGCCTACGCCGGATGTGAGCAGTGCTCGATATATATGACCCATTAAACAGATACAGACCGATATCCACATCTCCTTCCTTGACTGTAATCATAGCACAATTGACTTCATAAACAATGTCATCAATGAGTTTGCTGGTATCGAGAGAGGTGATGAGGGCTAGGACATAAGATGTGATAAAAGAGACGAACTTACAGAGGAAAGGCATCGGAGAACATCTCGTCCCCTGTGAGCAAGTCTTCATACAACAACATTTTTAAAGTATGCAACAAGAAAAGATGGGAAGGAAATAAGAATCAGCTGTACACGGCAGAGGTCAAGGATCTGAAGGAAAGAGGAAACCTGGGCTCACTCGGCATTACAACCATCAATCAATCTTATCGCCGAACAAAAAAATGGACGCCAGTCACGTGTACGTGCAGAAAATTATTGTCCGGCTTCCGATCCTCATTCCGATCGTGGTCACGGTCATTCAAGGCTCAGACGTTATGGATATCAGCCAGTCGTCGTTAAAAAGCATGCTCGCCCAGCTTTAGCAAAACATAGCGCCGAATCTCGCTACTGGCGCCAGTTCAAACATCCAGTTTTTATCAAGGAATATGCTCCAGTGACCTCGATACACTTTTCATCGGCAAAACCACATCGGTACGCTGTTACAGCAGCAACTCGTGTGCAGATTTATGCCCCTAGGACGCAAAAAGTAACCAAAACGATATCACGTTTCAAAGACGTGGCACGGAGTGGAAGCATACGGAACGACGGGAAACTTGTGGTTGCAGGCGATGACACTGGTTTGATACAAGTATGTCTAAAAAGATTTTCGAAATCGGATTTCTCACCCATGCTACTGAATAGGTATTCGACATAAATTCACGTGCTATTCTCCGTACGCTCGACTCCCATAAACAACCCGTACATGTCACCAAATTCTCTACACTCAATCCAACACAAGTACTGTCTTGTTCTGACGACACAACAGTCAAGCTGTGGGACGTCCCATCTCAATCGGAGGTTGTCACCTTTACATCCCATACAGATTATGTTCGCTCAGGGCAGGTTTCTTCGTCCAACCCGCATCTCGTCTTGACAGGTTCTTACGATGCAACAATGAGACTTTTTGATTCACGGAGCGGACAGTGCGAAATGGACATGGGTAGCAGTGGAAGTAACGCAGTCCCCGTTGAACAAGTACTCATGTTTCCTTCGGGGACTGTTGCAATATCTGCTGCGGGCCCTATCCTACGTGTGTGGGATCTTGTGGCAGGTGGTCGATGTCTACGTGCCTTTTCAAATCACCAAAAAACGATAACTTCCCTGGCCTTTGACGGATCAGCAGGTCGTCTTCTGTCTGGCGGCCTCGACCAGATGGTGAAGGTCTATGATGTGAGCACTTACAAGGTTGTACATACTATGCGGTACCCTGCTGCAATTCTCTGTCTCGCTATATCGGTACGTGATGATATAATTCTCAGTAACTTCAAAGCATTAACTCTGTAGCAGCCAGATGAAAGTCATATTGCCGCTGGGATGTCGGACGGCACATTGTCCATTCGCCGACGACAGCTCAAAGCCTCACAAGGAGCAGCTTTTGATATTCACTCTTCTATGAAATCAGGGACTTTCGATACGTTTTTAGGTGGCACTTTACCTTTAATCGGCCAGGGTCGGGTGAAGAGTAAGGTCAAGTCAAAACCAACCGGCGATGCTGAAGAGCTGCGAGTTGAAAGCAGACGAAAACAACGGCTAAAGGAATTTGATCGTCTGTTGAAAAGTTTCAAATATTCTGCTGCCTTGGATTCTGTTTTACGCAAGGTTGGAGACTCATTTTAGGCCTGATTTTTGTTCTTACGACCTTCTATAGAACGTCCCGCCAACAACAGTGTTTTCGCTGATACAGGAACTAATCCACCGAGATGGTCTCCGAAGTGCACTGTCTGGGCGAGACGATGTTCTCCTAGAACCCGTGTTGCGTCTACTCGTTAAACATATATCTGACCCTCGTTTTGGAGAGATGGTTTGTGATGTTGCGAGCTGTGTCATCGGTATGTCCAGGTCCTTTTTCATTGACGAACATGATTTGAATTTGACCGTGGCAGAATTATATACACCGGTATTGGGGCAGTCGCCTCTCATCGACTCGCTATTCCTCCGGCTACGGAAGAAGTTGCATGCAGAACTACGCTTTCAAAAAGAAGTTGTGAAAGTTAAAGGCGCGCTAGAAATGGTCTTCTCGTCTGTGGCCCTAGCGGCTTCATAGTTCGACATATTATCATAATATCAGCATATATTACGCGAAAATTCAGCAGCCCTCCAGGAAAACGATAAGATTCGCCAAAATCTCTCTTTGTGAAGGTGCTCGCTGTGACGTTTCATCAGAAGTCGATGAGTTCTGCTCATCATTATCCATATTCTGGTGATGCATCCGCATTGTTTCAATGATGTCTTTCACCGATAGATTTTTTCGGTTGAGCATTTGCGCAGCATGCCCGCGAATCTGATAATATAATGAGTCATGGAATATCGGGAGACGAAAAACTCCTTACCCCATCATCTTCCATGGCTGTCCATGCTAGAATGTAATCCACGTTTTGAAGCGTAAACAGTCCCCCGTCTACCCGACGAATATACCACATATCTTCCTCCTCGGGTCCTATTTCCTCACCCTCAGCATTAAGTTCCTGTCAGAAATGTAAGGCAAATACAACATCAGAGATATAAAGTATCTCACATTCTTCTCCAGTTCAATTTCTGCATTGACCGCCTTCAGGCGAGTATTTGCATTTTCACGAATTTCAAGCAGTTTGTCAATCTTTTCGTAGTTATTTTCCACAAATTTGGCTAATAGACGTATGCGACTAGGCGAGTCTGATGGTAGGTTTGTGAATAACGAGGAAATGATTCCAAGAATATGCGACGTGTCTTCTGATGCTGGAGGGGCGCCATTCGTTTTGTGTTTTTTCGTAGACTATGGAGTTTAAGTGAGTGTGTTAACATCTGATCATGAATAAAAGACTGTTTAGAAAAACCTTGCCCATAAACGCAGAGAATAGCGTTTTGAGACCCAGTGCTTCGACAAAATTTTCACATATATCAGTTCCGGAAGTCCCTGACATAGCATAATCTAAGGTCTTCACTGTTCTTGATTTGGACTGACGATTTTCTCTGTGAAATTGTCAGTACCGATACTGAAGAGGTAGGAAAGAAACAGGATACACACTTCATCATCAATACCATCAGATCGACACCTTCGCTTGCGAGGAATAAGGACTTGATCTCTCTCTCTGACAGTGCTGAGCATAAAGCATCGAAAACATTTTCCATAAATTCGGTTTCGTCAGCGTCAGCGGGATCCCGCCTACGAAATTGCTTTGTTTGAAATATTAGAACATACAATAATCAAATTTTATCATGCCTCTCACCGAAAGAACTTTGAGAATGGACTCAACCCCATCATTCTTCCCCAGCTCCATTCGATTAGATACATTATCCTGCAATAATATCGAAAGTAGCTCAGCAGCATAACCTCGATTTTCGTCATGATTTTTTGACTGAATGCGGTTCAATAACCACTGCATGATCTTCGTTTTTGCTACGAGTAGTGTGGAAAGTTCTGGGTTCAGCCCTAAAACATTCTCGAAAACACCTGAGGAAATGAAAGTCAAGCTCGTGTGCGAGGCTGTAGTAAATACAACATACCCAGTATGTGAAAAACGCCCTGACGGTCGGCTTCCTCTGTCTCTTTTAAACGAGAAAGATTATCGACCAATAATTCCAATACCGAGTTTTCCAGCTGTATGCTGATCGATGAGAGCGTGGCCACAGCGCGGTAAACGAACAGAAAGACGTACTAAGGCATCGACAAGCACTTTGAGAGCAGCCTGCGTTTGTCCTTCCTCCTCCTCGTCTTGTTCTCCTTCATTGCCAACATCTTCATCGGTTAGCTCGTGTATTACTTCTACTACATCGATCACAATGTCTGCGTTCTCATGGCTAAGTAAACCTATTAGCAGCGAGACAGCGCCCGAGCGAACGAGTTCTGGGTATGCGACGATAGGGACCTGAGCTAAAGGTAGTAAGGCCTTGATAGCACTATCAAGGTCGGCTTCCGAATCGATGAATCTGAGTAGACTCGTCAGTCAAGTAATAGCTTGCAGTTCAAGGTAAGGATCACTTCGAAGGGTCATCAGGATACTTGGAGCGCTGGTCTTGGTTCTTGTTTGCAGCTCGTTCGAAGCGAAGTAAGAATCGTCGGATAGCTGTAATAGATAGTTCATCTGGCTAGTGCAATCGACGCGTGAGTATGATGATAGTTGCGTGTATTGTGACAGCAACTTACGTCGTGTTGCGCGCCTTCGTCCCCCGCGTTGTCAAAGATATTTAGTATGTCTTTTTGCTCCAATGTCAAACCTCCTCCAAAGAAGCGACCTTCATCATCTTCCTCTATGAAATAATCGGCATCTCCTCCAGGTGCAAAATCGGTGTCAACTTCGTCTTCATCTTCGGTTTGTACAGTTGCTCGACGTGATTTGCCTTTGAATGCAGCAGCGCCAACACCACTTTCTTCAGGGCGCTGATCCCGTTGTGGTGGAACATCAAGTTTCATTTTCTTAAGCATTTCAGGAGTGGGGTTGTCGGGCATTTTCCGTTTATTCGACCCCACTGGTAGCTTCGGTACCTGCCAACAACATTTAAGTATTAGCACTCTTATGTGAGACTGTCAAATCTCACTTTGAAAAGTTTGTCGATATCCATGAATTCTGAAATTCGCTTGTTCAAAATCTAACAAAACCACCGCCAGTGATCATGAAAGTTCAAGCTGAACAAGAAATTCTGAGCAATTCTGGTGGCACAAGTTGCGAGAGCGAAGTCTACCTCCGAGTCGTCATGTCATGTGACCTCTACTGACATATCTAAACCATGCCTGCCAAGTATGACCAAAAATTCCTCATAAACAAAAGCTCAACAATGTAGTATACCATTGACCGGTGTCGCACGCTTTACAGAGCTAAGGCTACAAAATACTGCGTAACTCGATACATGGCCGTCACACATGCAAGGTGGAACGTTTCATTCGCCGCGAAACCGCTACAAGCACACCAGTAGCTGTGCAGACTTAAAAATCAAGGAGAATGCCCACCCATATCAATTATTAGTATTCAGACTCATCAGGGTGGTATCCACCAAACTTAGACAAGCCATATATCTTCAGGTAAGCTACATTCATAATGACACCAAGAAGTTACACATACTGGTATTGTTCTACATCCCTCAGTTCTGGATCACCCCAAATTATAAACCGACACCAGCGATTATACTTCAATACGGCTTGTGTCTGTTCTTCTTTAAATCTTTCTCGAGTTGACGGGCCTTGCGATGGCCTATTTCTACAGGCCTTATAGCAGTATCGTCGGCCTTTTTCAGTTTGACTGGACGATTACCTACATATTTACCTGAAAAATCGTAATTAGGACTACGATTGGTTTATGTCGAGAAAAAATATAGTTTACCATCCATTTCTTTCCAGGCTTTCAAAAAATCTTCAGGATCGGAAAATGCAACAAAGCCAAACTTAGCCTGTATTTCGACCGGTCAGTTATATAATTCCGAATGCTTAGCAAGGATTGTGACTTACTTTCTGGCTCAATCTATCACGGATAACTCGTGCCTTCTGGAACGAAGTATATTTGTTGAATGCGTTCGCCAAGACATCATCAGAGACATCGTTACTGAGGTCGCCAACAAAGAGACGAAACCAGGCTATGGTATGATATCAGTAATAAGCCCAGAGAGAGGTAACAGAAACATACAAGGGTTCCATTCTAACAATGTCTGATCTTCCCAAACTTTGCCACCGCCTTTGCGAAGCACTGTAGTCCTCTTGCCGCCCTTCGCAAGCTTTCCTCCTGCACCACCACGTTTATCAATCATCGCGCCCGGTACATAGACACTCTGTTGCGCCAGAATCCCAACATCGTATTCGTATGCATTGGCAGGTACTGGAGCATTGTGGGATGAAGAACCCGGAACAGAATACATTGGGCCTTGGTAAGGCTGGTGATAAGGATTCACGTCATACGCCTGTTGCTGTTGGGAATACTGATGATTCTGCGAAGAATACTGATCCATGGTGCACAAAATAAGAAAGGCGGAACAAGTACAAGTATTTGCCTTGAAGCTGAAGCCTGAGAGAACAGCGCGATATTTGGTTGTAGTGGCTCGGGTACAAGCCAGGTACAGCTTCAATGCAGGGCTTCGTAGGTTAATAATTACGTAATTTACAACAAAATCAACAGAGACAAATATCAGCCACAGCACTGTTACGACTTTGGTGTTCTAGTAGCTGTACTCACCGTCCTCGCCGTCCTCAAGCTCCTCAAGGTGAGTACATTTCCGTAATTTATTTTGTAGAAACATCCTCTGGCTCTTTTTTGTGCATCGTACATTGCTCAGAATCTCGGAAATATGGACAGAGATGGGTGGATGGATGTTCATATCACTGGAGGGATACCCAACATTACTGTATGAATGACTTGCTAACCATCGCACTAGATGCCATTCGTCAAAAAGGTCAAGTCCGATGCCTACTTTTCTCGTTTCCAAGTAAAATATCGCCGCCGCAGAGAGGGAAAAACCGATTGTGAGTTCAAATTCTCATTCCTATTATACGTTCTCAATGTCCGTCAGACTACGCCCGTAAACGCCTTGTAACTCAGGCCAAGAACAAATAGTGCGTCTTTACCATTGTGCTCTTACACGCTCAGTATTCAAGCTTCATTTTGCGCAGTAACGCACCAAAATACCGCTTGGTGGTTAGGTTTACCAACAGAGACATCATTGTTCAAATCGTCTATGCACGTCTGCAAGGTGACTTCGTATTGACTTCTGCACGGTCAAAAGAGTTGCCAAGATACGGTATCAACCACGGTCTGACTAACTGGACGGCCGGTTCGTGGAATCATTAGCAATTTTTAGTTGTTTCCCGCTTATATCTCAGGATAGCATACGCTACCGGTCTCCTTTGTGCTCGTCGTGCACTGACTAAACTTGGCTTGGCTGACAAGTACGAAGGTGTTGCCGAGCCTGATGGTACTCTCACCATGACCGAGTCTCTTGACGAAGAGGATGCTCCCCGACCTTTCAAGTGCTACCTTGATGTTGGTCTTAAACGCACGTCAACTGGTTCTCGTGTTTTCGGTGCAATGAAAGGAGCTAGTGATGGTGGTATCTTCATTCCTCACTCCGATAAACGATTCCCTGGCTTCGACCCAGAATCCAAGGAGTTAGATGCTGAGGTACTCAAAAAATATATCTTTGGTGGACATGTTGCCGAATACATGGAATCCCTTGAGGAGGAAGATGATGAACGGTATAATATACTTCATTTTCTGGACTTCACGCATTTTTCTTATACGACTTATAGATTCAAGAAGCAGTTTGCTACTTACCTGGCTGACGGCGTTGGATCGGATGATATGGAAGAGATCTACACTAACGCTTACGCTGCTATCCGTGAGGATCCCACTTTCAAACCTACGGAGAAGGCGAAGGACTGGAAAGCAGAGAGCTTGAAATTCAAGACACCCAGACGCACTCTTGAGGAGCGTAAGGCTGCCATTCAAGTTAAAATTGACGCCTTCAAGGCTGGTGGAGGAGCTGCTGCTGAGGACGATGATGAAGATGACGAGTAGATTTCTCGCCTGTATTCGTAGGACATATGCCCCCATCACTCCTTGTCCTCATGTATCCAGAACCACCACTCAGAGTTATGCATATGAAACCACGTTGCGTTATGTCATATATGTATGGTTCGAGAAGTATAGCTAATAGCACAAATGGTACTTCGTACGCAATCTATGGAACAAATGATTCAAGTCTCCAGTGATGTTTTTGCAATAATAGAGTGCAACCAAGTAACTAATGGGATAGAAAGGTCGGGGGTATATGTCTCTACAAGGGAAGGTCTTTGATCAGCAACCCTTCGCAGTCGAAAAGCTGTTGAGTGTATGGCATAGTCTTTTCCGTAGACGACGCAGAAATTTCTGAAGCGCACAATGAGTCATGAAAGCAGCAGATCGGAAGAAAAACTAACAAGACACAACCCTCCCACCTGCCCACTGCTCTGCTACTGACCATGTCCACGAACCATGTGCCATGAACATGTTCACAAATTTGCCTTCCTACTTCGCATATTTTGTTAAGTAAACACTGTTCAACTTCGTCAGACAAGAGTTGTACGAGTTGAGGTATCGAAGCAATGGATAAAGTTGCCTGAGGCAAGTGGGCGGTCAGGGAAGACGGTGATTGCAGAGTCAAACGTAGCGTATGTCTATTGCTGTGTTAATAAAAAATAATAGAGGGCATTGATTAGACCTTGTACCTATTATCTATCCGAAGGATCGCTTCGCCACCGATTTTTTTGTCGAGATCTTCTCCGGTGAACAACCTGACTAGTTGCTCGCCGCTTTCCCCGATTGGGTCAAAGCGTAAGTTATAGGGGATTTCTGCCTTGGAAAGCGCTCGAACCATCTTCTCAAGTTCTGTCCTAATTCGTTCACAGAACACCTGATATTGCAAAAGGTCGATGATGGGCTGCAGTAGTGTGTACGACGAGCTGCCTTGTGGCAGAACATGGGCGACACCTGCGTGTCCGATACGCTGCAGCTTCTTATGGGTGTGCATTCCAAGTAGGAGAGCACAAAGTAATGAGTAAATCAGGTCGCACATTGTGGTCGCTACTTGACTGTTGTTCGATTGTAGCGACTCCTGGATGCCATCACTATCTCTCTATTAATGACATAGATTAGATTAGGTATAATGGAAAGGATATTACTTGCCAATTCAAATCGTAATTCCATTCCTTGAGCAGCATCAATGTCGATCAAACGTTCCGCTACGCGAGCTGATGCTGTGGGCAAGCTACTCGCTTCCTTGATGAGTGTAGAAAAAATCTCTTCTTCTACTATTTCTCGCTGTGAAGCAGCCAGTGAACCTTCTAAAGAACTATCATCAGAGGCCACGATAGAATTGTGCGATTCAACCTGTGCTCCCTTAGCGTCCACCATGTTCAACGATATATACAAACGAGTTCTCTGACGATGGGGAAATACCAGAGGATCCGGAGTAGTTGGATCAGTAGGCATATGACCTATCGCTTTTCTTCGAAAATATGCAGTGGCTAAATAATATTATTGTTTCGAGTTGTCTTGAGACAAAATACAGTAACTTACACCCCTCGAGGCCGAAGGAAATTAAAAAATCCTTCGATGTTTTATCCACGCCTTTACCGGTGGGAGCTCCAAACGGAAGGGGTGCGGGGGCTAGTCCCCAGTTCGCTCTTCTTATTCTAAGGGCATCAAGCCAGTATTTTTCTCCTCTGAGCCTACCGCTTTCCAAACTGTTAGCTGCCGACTTGAAAAGATCAGCAGCTTTCCGCAGTGCTTCATCTTTGCCGCCAGTATTTAGTTGAGCATCGAAAGCCTGTACCGATATTATAGGAGCTGGCTTCGTGACCATGGTCGCTGCCAAAGTAGCAGGTGGGAGTGAAGGAACGGGAGAAGGCTCAGATGGATTAGTCGACGCCAAGAGTAAAGACAGAAGCTCTTTTGCATGAGACATCTCCCCCAACGCAATGCTGTCAGCAAAAGGTTATTTCATGGTCTGCAGTGAACGAAGACGCGGGTCCAACTGACTAGAGCTGGGGCATTATCTCCGTGCGCATCTGGAAGAGTTCTTCTGGCGTCATGGTAGGTTTGGATATATCCTGACTTTCCTCTGGACCCTCAGCGCCATCCTCCTTCTCTAATGGGGTGGATGATTCCTCCTGCAAGTTTGGCCTGTTGCCACTGTCGAAAAAGTCGAGACCACGTTCGAGGAATATTCGTCTGAGGTTTTGGCCTAGCTTCTTAGAGGGATCTTCCTTTCTGGCTAATGCATCAGTAAGACGAAAGTTCAGTGTTGGTTTTCTGCGTACGGTTCGTAAACATGGGTTCCATCTGGGTGTATATCCAACAATACTGGAATGGGTTCGCCTTTATCATCCTTGTATGGTCTTTCGAGCGATAACTTGAGGTTTTTCCAAGGCTGTTCCTCCATTGCAGGTGATGATTTAAATTAAGGGTCTTGTAATGTAGAACAGTATGATTTGACTGCAATGTCACGGTATGAGGACTCGGAGAAAGCCGAGCTGTCAATATAGCAGGTCGTCACGTGCATGCTATTATAATCTTGGAGCGAGCGTCGGACCGAGTCAGAAGAGAAACCCACCGGATGACACCGGCGGCACTTCCACTCAGAGTTGTACCACAAACTTGTAAATACTATACAGCATTTCTCTGTCGTCGTCGACATGGTCAAGCACGCCCATCACTCGCCATCGAGTACTGGAGCGACAGAGTCCATACTTGCAAAGAGGAAGAAGGTCGAGGATGACGATACAAGCGTTCTGCATTCGAAGAAGCCCCGCACGCGGGTTAGGTAGTGCTTCATATCCCATCCAGCTGCATCACGTTCATTGAATTTACTGTTCCAGCTTCTCATGCGGCGAGTGCCATCGTCGAAAGCAAAAGGTATGGTCTCGTAGCTGATCCTGTCCATTCCTTACCTTTTTCTGCGCTAGTGTGATCGACAAGTTCCCTGCTCTCATGTTGAGTCTCACCAGGCACTCCCCTTTACACAATCTGCTCAATTCCTTTTAGTGTGTAGCACGCAAAGTCCCTGAACTATGTAAGGCCTATACGCCTGGTAAAACAGATCAGGATATAAGTGTCCGACTGTCTAGGCTCGAGCACATTATCGAAATGGCCCTGCCTCAGTATTTCTCATCGGGGTCCCATCCCTCCTCAGTCGGTGGTGACCGTCTTCGCTCCGGCTCAGAAGGTCCAGATGAAGATAATCGCTCAAATACCGAAGATCAGGATCCGAGTGGTGGTACTTTTCAGAGTGGAAAGTGGTACGGCAATAGTGCATCTGGAAGCGTTGCACCAGCTTCCGTACTAGAGCAAGTAAGTCTGAAAAACTGCAATTGTCAAATATTCTAATCAAGACAGCCAGCTTGCAAACGTCGTAGTAGCTTCGTCGCATCAGGACCACTGGGATTCAGGTCACCCTACACCTAGTCATGGACCCACGGGAGCAAACCACAATATGACAAATGGTGTTGGTGATGCTAAGGGACCCATGGCTACTCCTTCCATAATCGATTCAGTCAGACAAGATTCTGAACCATCTGCGGCTGATAACCTGAAGAGTCTCGTTCAGGAATGTGGTGTTTCACCACACAAAATATCAGAGCTTCTCCAAGAACTTCCTCCACAAAGATTCTCAGGTGTACTCATTGACTACTATTTTAGCTCCATGTAAGACGCAATTTCTTTTTCAGTGTCTCGAGGACCATAACCTATGCTTTACGACAGTAATTGGACACGTTATCCGGTTTCAGAACAGGACTTTCGCGCAGCTTATTCCTCGATTTGTATCAATGGAGTCGGGGCTAATCCAAATGATGCTCGATTCTTACCTTTATTGTTTGTAGTTCTGGCGATTGCTGTACGTCTTGCACCAGAACATATTGCCGGAGACAGTCGCACGAGACGACTAACTTCACTGAGATACTATTGGTCATGTATGTCGCCAATTAATAACCCAACGTGATCGATCTAAAGCAACGTTGCAGCTCGTCGATCTCTTTTGATTGCAGCTGCAATACAACCCGACTCTTTAGATATAGTTTTAACACGTTTGTTGGTGAGTCGAATTTTCACCACCTATATCCAGGCTGCTCAAGCAGACTCAGAGCGCTCGTTTCCTTACGTTTGATCGTCGTATAACTGAGTGTTGGAGTCAACTGGGGGCTGCTGTGCGGACGGCTCAGGCTCTTGGACTGCATCGCGATGGGGCACCAATGGTCAGTAACTTGACTCTATAGGGAGATATTGGTCTGACGCCATGTTCAGGGGATGGACCCAGCGCAGGTCGAGTATCGCCGGCGTATCTGGTAATTTTTTTTTGTTGGTGTTGTTTAAATATATTTTTTGTGACTTTTTTGTGATAGGTCTTATTTGTACCACGCGGACCGTTCCTACGCTCTGGTTCTCGGGAGGCCACATGCAATACAGGACGACTATACTTCCACCTTGCCTCCGTCGAATATCGACGATGATTCTTCTGTATCTCAAATCCGCACCCCGCCCCCTATCTCTTCCCCGACTTTGATGACATTCGTGATCCTTCGACACAACCTGGCTACTGTCATCGGACGAATGGTCCACCACTTTCAACAAGTGCGGACACCGAGTCATTACTCAGACGTTTTAAGCCTGGATGATGATTTGTTAAAATTTGTTGGCGCGCTACCTCCACACTTTGCCTTCGAACCTGATACATCACTGGATGACTCCTTGAAGTTTCTGCCCATCCACAGGTTTCTTCTCATAACCGAGATCCTATTTGTCCGCATCAGCCTGCATCGACCTTATCTGCTCCGCAGGCTCAGCTCCGACCGCTACCTTCGTTCACGCACAGCATGTTTTGAATCTGCCATGAAAGATTTTGAAGTTCGACAGTCTTTCCGAGAATCGATGCCAAAGGAGACTCGTGATTCACTCAGTAACGCTTACCGAGAATTCCAGACTGCCATGATAAGTGGCATATATCTAGTCCTCGATCCGTTGGGTAAAGATGCTAGCACGATGCACACTATTCTTGATGGATTTTTAAAGGACCATGAGGGAGTGAGGGAGATGGACGAGACGACGCGGCGAGAACTGAAGACTATCGAGTTTTTGAAGAATAGAGCATCTCAGATGCAGGAAGAAGCTAAAACACTCCAAGAAACACTCTCAGTTCCTAGCGATAGTGTTATCGACCCACAACTATCGTCGACATTCCCAGCCTGTGGTCCACGGAAGCCGAATACTTTATCTACACCGCATACACCATTCTCATCTATGCTATCTACCACTTCTCCACCCTCGGCCAACAATACGTCACCGCACATGTCACCTTCTGTGGCTTATGCTGCAACTACACAATTTGCGCAATCTCCTGCTATTCATCGGCTTCAACACACTTCTTCGGTCGAGGCATCCTTGAATTCACCTGCAGGAACTAACAGCCCGAGTGGGGATGATGAGTCAACAGCCCAGTCCTTGTTGGATCATTGGTGTAGCACCTTCAGTAATGGTAGTACGATGGATGGGCCTACTAGCATGGCTGGATTGTCGTGGGGTGGAGCAGGTGGTGGCGACTTTTCTGGATGGGTGGGAGGCGCGGCTCCTCCACTCGGGCCTGACGGTAATTTATTAAATGGTGTGGACAGCTCAGATTGGAGCTACTGGGAGACGTTGGTCAACCAGATACAAACGGGACCTGCCGTCTAACAGAAGCATATATTCCTACTGGTATTTATTGTCGTGTAAATCTCGCAATAGATTATTGTATGTGATTTTTTGTATACTAGACTGTACTGGCCTTCAACGGCGTGTATGCCGGCACTCATGTATGTTTTCTATCGGGATTACGCGTTCTTCGAGAATGATCAACTTGTTTCGTTTCAAACGTGTAGTGTATTTAAACTTCTACAACAATAAAAACATGTTTAATAGCGCGAAAAGACATGTCCCAAGATGAGCCTGCAGCTTGATCCCATTATTTGTTGACATCATTTTTGGATTTAGAGCGTACATCGGCACACTAGTCGCAGTCGAGTTGGGCAATTCTTGTGCGGGCGGCCTAGGAGTCGGCGTCACGCCATTACTGTTCGACGAGTCATCTGATTCGCTGTCATCAGAAGTGGTGTCGTCGTCCCCATCTAATTGTCGCCTGGACGCTACCGGTGGTCTCTGCCCAAAGCAATTGGTCTTCGCACAATTGTAATTTATGTTTGTCCATTCTTTGGTCCCAGCGGTAGGTGTGGCACGTATGAAAGATGCGCTGACATTATCCTCATTCGTTGCTGATAGGTTGTTGACAGCAGTGGTGTTGACAGCAGTGGCAGACCTGAAGCGGCCATATCCCCAGGGAACGTCCTGTCCATCTGGTTGCGTTGAGAATTGCGGGCTTGTGGTGTCTCCAGAAGGGGATGCGATCTAAGTTATACAGTGAGATCCACTGTGTCAATGAATCACATGATTTATGTCTGACCGTAAACCGTGTTGTCCACGCCGAATCTGCCACGTCGTCTCCGTTTGTAAACTAAAGAAGTGTAATGTGGTGAAAACAGACAAATGAATGAAGCTGAACGCACTTGATAGAAATAAACGTCAGCGTATGGAGAGACACCCGGACAAGTCCAATTGAAAGGCGAAAGGGTAGCATCAGTGCCGTCAAGTCCAGTGACAACTGGAATCACGGATGTCATGTTCAAATTCGAACCAGACATCAAAGCTGGAAGTGGATTCATGAGATAATGATTGTCAGCGAAACTGAGTGTACCACACTTACTGATGGTGACATTCTTCCATGTTTTGGTTTTGTCCGCACCCCAGGCAATCAAACATGATGAGCCAGCTCGATATATCTCTCCAGGACCTGGTCTAAGAGGAGAAAGGGCCGCCAAGGCAACAGAGGAGCAGAGAAGCAGCACCAGTGTCGACATGATAGTAATTCGAAGGTGAAGATGTGTACGGTTGGTAATGACTGGCGCTAGAGTTTGTGTGATGCCAGATCACTATGGACTTGAATGGGACACACAAAGATAGAGAAGTGAAAGCTTGAGAGATATCTGAATACGCCGCAACTTTTATAAGCATGGATTTTGGTGTCAGCCGCAGTGTCAGCCTAGTCCAAACCTCAATTATCAGTGCGACACAAGGATGCATAAGAGTGAAAGCATTTTGGCTTTGGTGATTCTGAGAAATAGCATGTTGCTGTGCAGAAGTAAAGGGAGAAGTGCATCTTACGGCAGCTTGACGGCAGCCAAGCGCAAGAAGAGTCAGCGCAAATGCACCGCAGCCGGCGGCTGTATGAGGCAACTTAGGTACAGGCTACCTCGTCAGTCAAAGCAGGCCTTTCAGTTTCACAGGCTTTCTCAGGCGGTTCCTGTTCCACCTCTTCCTCATACTATGCAAAGCATCAACCGCTTCCTGTACGGACCAACGCCAGAAGAGAAGGTGCGAGCATGGCAGGCCAAGCTACGTGCAGAGAGCCGACAACTTGATAGGGAGATGAGGCAGGTTGGCACTCCCAATCATACTTGGTTCCTTTTTCTCCGCTAAACAGATATGTAGCTTGATATGGCGACGAATAAAGCGCGTACCACTGTGAAACAGCTTGCCTCTAAAGGGGACATCAAGTCTGCCCGCATACTGGCTAGAGAAGTTGTACGAAGCAACAAACAAAAGGAACGCTTATCTGTGAGCAAAGCGCGTTTAGGCTCCATCGGAAATCAGTTGACGCAACAAATGGGTAAGCTACTTCTTCGTTGCGGGTGTGTCTTTGACTCATTACGAACTTTCTAGCAATGATGAAAGTGACTGGTGCGCTGCAGAAATCGACTGAGATAATGAAACTTTCCAGTGCTTTGGTCAAGTTACCGCAGATCAGTCAAGCCATGCGAGAAGTTAGCATGGAGATGACCAAAGTAAGGTTCAGTTCAATCTTTCATTTGGCACACTTTACAATTGCTGTGGTATACTTAGGCTGGGATCATGGAGGAAATGCTCGATGATGCCCTTGAACTCGATGACGACGAAGAGCTAGAAGAGGAGGCAGATGCTGAGGTCGATAAGGTGCTATTCGAACTCACAGATGGAAAGTTGGGAGTCGTAGGCTCCGTTGGGACAGAGCTACCGGTCTGTGTCGGTAATATGCCTCTCCTACAAAATACTGATAAACTGCAGTCGTTACAGGACAAGCTAGAAGAGGAGGAGACAGAGAGGACGATGGAGCAATACCGGCAGCAGCTCAATGGCTTATTGAGCGGTTAGTTGTTGATATCCTATTACCATTCAAATTGCAACACATCTTCCCTTTGTATTACTATCTGCCATGATCTTCTTGTGCGCGGTGTGTATATTAGATTCATCGTATAGTGTACAATTTTTCTATGCAAGTATAGTCAACTGAATAATCCTTTGCTCACTGTGACCGTCGAGCTCCGTGCCCGGTGTGAGCATGAATCGGGAGCGGGTGGTAGCACGTGTTGATGTCCGTTTATACCCGGTCCATCTTCTTCCAGGTTTTTCTGTTCCTCGCGTCTCATTTCCTTCACAAAAAATGTTACACCTTCGGTCCATCGCTGGCGTTGCGCAGGGCGCAGTCAAAGCCTCACAGGTTGGTTGCTGTTTCACTGGGTTGCATTTGTACTCATATGTCGGCAGCCTTTTAGAACCTACGCGTCTGCGGCGCCAACTGCTGCTTTTGCTGGAAATAAGGGTAGTAATGTGAGCCTCTAACTGATTTGTTAAAGTTCTTCCATGTCACCGATAATATAGGGCAAATATACCGTGACTTTAATTCCTGGAGATGGTATACATTTCATCTGGTGTTGTTGTGTTTTTGTCTCTGACGTCAGTCCTAGGTATTGGTCCAGAAATCAGTGAATCTGTCAAAAATATCTATGCTGCCGCCAACGTATGTGCTTCAAGGGGTATGATCTTGAACTTCTGCTCATCTTGCAAGTTGTCTAGGTTCCAATACAGTGGGAAGAAGTCAGCGTTGAGCCAGTGTTGAAAGGTGGAAAGACGGTCATTCCTGATGCCGCCATTCAGTCCGTGAAGAAGAATACTGTTGCCCTGAAAGGTAGTTTCAAGCAGATTATAGACTGTACTCTAGTTCACCTGTGATTTTTAGGACCTCTTGCCACACCTAGTGCGTTTCGTTCATCTTTATTGAATTGTTTGCCGACTCGAAACATGTATTTTAGTCGGAAAGGGACATGTGTCACTGAATCTTACCTTGCGACGAACTTTCAACCTTTTCGCGAACGTCCGTCCATGTGCTTCCATCCAGGGGTTCAAGACTCCTTACGATGACGTGAACACTGTTCTTATTCGTGAAAATACCGAGGGCGAATATTCGGGTATTGAACATGAGGTATGCATCATGTTGTTCAATGGCCTCGCGTCGCATGTTTACGTACTTTGTCACAGGTAATAGATGGTGTTGTTCAGTCCATCAAGCTTATTACATGGGATGCGTCGGAACGCGTAGCCCGTTACGCCTTCCACTATGCGCAATCCAGTGGAAGGAAACGAGTGACTGCAGTACACAAAGCTAATATCATGTGAGTACGTGTGAGAGTAGGGACACACTCGTACTGACCTGAACAAATCTCAAAGGAAAATGTCAGATGGTATGTTTTTGTCAGCTTGTCGCCAAGTTTCGAAAGATTTCCCGGATATTACATACGATGAGGACCTATTGGATCGTGTCTGCCTCCAGGTCGGTTCGGTGTGACATTGGCACCGACGATATGCGCTGAGAAATTCAAATTTAGGTCGTGCAAAACCCGCAACCGTACTCCAATCGTGTTATGGTGATGCCGAATCTGTACGGTGATATTTTGTCCGACATGTGTGCCGGTCTTATCGGTGGTTTGGGTCTGACACCTTCTGGCAATATCGGGCGGGTATGTTGTTCTCCTAGGTCATTGAAGAGTATGCGGCGCTAACCTATTGGTAGGATGCTTCAATCTTTGAAGCAGTCCATGGTTCTGCTCCGGACATCGCAGGTGTGTGTGCGATCTTGTGTAGCATATTGGGCATTTCACCAACACGGTCTGTCACTAGGAAAGGGATTAGCTAATCCGACTGCTCTACTTTTGTCTTCGCTGATGATGCTAAGGTGGGTATTTATGACCGCATTTGATAACGATCTATAGTCATGAAATGATATTTTTATAGACACATGAACCTATACGAGCACGCTGCCAAAATTGAAAAGGCTGCTCTCACCGTAAGTGTCTAGGTCTCTTGAATCACTGTATGCTGATGCAGGCAAAATTTCCGTTTGAAGACTATTGCCGAAGGGAGGAACATCACCGGTGATCTGGGCGGCAAAGCCAGCACCAAAGAGTATACCGACGCGATTATTCAAAAAGTCTTGAAGGCATAACGATGCTGCATACGTATTCGGAATGTAGATGTAGATCTCGTGTATTGCAATAGGTGCTAGACAGTTAATAGCGTTGTAGAGCCGACCTATATGCTGCAAGGACTACGTACAAAATTGTGCGCGGTAGACCATTACGTAATTTGATCCGTGGTGAGGTGCTTGAGCGTGGGAAATAGTTACTGGCGTATGGGCTGGTTACAAGTTTCGAGTATTTGACCTTTGCTCTTGCGACGACAAGCTTAAGTACCCTTCCACGCCTACGCACGGCATTCACTTCCCATAATCCCTCACTCGCCCTACAGGGCAAAGACATCCAAGAAATCCTTACGTTTGCCAACTCCCAGGTGTGTAGCTCGTCATAATCTTCTCATCATATAACTCATTACTTCTATCAGTCAAGACCATTTTATTCAGAAAAATAAAAAACCCAAAAAGATCTCATAATATTCAATTCACTTCTGCCAGGAAATAGTTACGAACGAACGAAATGACGGACGAAACATCTCAATCTCAACAGCAAATCCTCCCTAAGAAGGACGATAACAAAAAGTCCAATCCTACCACCACCAACAACCGTGGACCCAAGAGATCTGTATCAAACGCAAGGCCAGCGTCCACGGGCCCCAATTCTCAAGGTGCTCAGCGCCCGTCCTCGAGGACCGGCAACAAAAAGCCATCAGGACCGGCTGCGGCTGCGCCTTCCGCTGAATCTGGATCGGATTCCAACAAGAAGGGTCCGGACAGCAAGAAGAACGAACAACGTAACAAGAGTCAAAGCGGTGGAGGACGCAATGGCAACCACCGTAAGGGGCAGCAGTCTTCTTCCCAGGCAAGCCGTGGCGGCAATGCCAAGGAACGGGCGTCGGCTGGCCAATCGTCGTCTCCGGCCCCTGCTTCAGCCACGGATTCTAGTGATGCGCTGTCCTCTTTGCAGAGGGTCATCGCTGATCTCAAGACCACGTCACCGCCAAATCAGGCGCCTATAGCCCCCAGTAACTCCCTCTCTGCCTCCATTCACGCCCCTCAGGGCATCACGTCCAATCTTCCTGCTAATGCTCCGGTATTCCAACCCGGCGCGATAGCATTTCCCGGGTCTAACCCCGTTGATGCCGCTAGGCACCGCAAGGCAGTATCCCTCGGTAATTCTGCGCTATCTGGCAATTTTAATTCCTTTTCCCCGCATCTTGGGGCTATGATGGAAGATGCCGAAGATGCTAATAATGTATCATTTGAAGATGGCGAGATTCAAGAGAATTACTATCAACAACAACCACCAGGACACCAACCTCGTTCACAGTCCCAGAGCTTCATGGCTCCTCGTTTTGCGGCTCTTGCTGCACAACAAGAGCAAAATGACGCTGTTGGCCCTACCGGTCGACCTCAACTGGCTCCAGGCTTTATGTTTGGTGCACGAAGAAGAGTCAGTTCTAACGTACCAATGGCTCCCCCAATCAACGAGGAGGATGTTGGATTCCAGTTTCCTCAGCAGCAGCAAAGCTTCCCGCCCGAGACATCTTTACATGAGCAGAGTCACAGAAAGTCTGAGAGTGTTGAAATATCCGGTATCATGGCAGAGCAGGTTGGTGCTATTTCTGTCTTCTTTTCAAGTTTCATACTGACACGCTGTCATGCTAGATCGCTTTGCAGAACCAGATCGAAGCTTTGCAACAGCAGCAACAAGCTCTTTACCAACAGCAACTCGCTTCAAACCAAGTGTTATCTTTACAGACGCCAGGTTTGGCTCCCCCTAGAGCTCACAGACGTGTCCAGAGTACTGTACCTGGCCTTGGGAGCGGTAACATGGGCTCATTTGCCCCTGCTCTCGGCCAATTCAATAGCATGGGTAACCTTGGTCTTGGGATCGACTCTCAGCCTCCGGGTGTTCCCAGGGGACACGGCAGAAGGCACAGTGTGAATGTCGTCAATAAGGGTTCTGGTCAAGGAAATTTCGGCTCTGTCAGCTTTCCTTACAGTGGTCAAGATGGTTTTGAAGACGGCTTTGCACCACCGCCCGGTTTTGGTGGGCATTCACGCCAAGTATCTCGCGCAGACTCTAGTTGGCGCATTAGTACGTTTTCCTAGTGTTCACATTATGTTGCTTGCTTTTTAAACTGAACTTTGCATAGATGGTGGTGTTGGAGGAATTCAGGGCAATGGCGCATTCGCTGCTGATCTCGCTCAGGCGCAAGCCCAATTGCAGAGTCTTCAACAGTTCCGTGCTGCTGCAGGTGGTCATCATCATAAGATGCCCTCGTTTAGTTTCCCCAACATGCTTCCCAACATGATGGCTGCTAACATGATGGGCCTTGGCCTTGGCGGCGGCGTCTCGCTCTTACAACAGCAGCAGCAACAACAGCAACAATTCCAGTCACAGCTTCAGCAGCAGTCTAACCAGCCTCAACGTAAATCTCTTTTCGCTCCTTATCTTCCTCAGGCTTCCTTGCCACCGCTCCTTGCCGCCGGAAAACTCGTCGTTGGTATTTTGCGTGTCAACAAGCGCAATCGCTCAGATGCCTATGTAGCCACAGAAGTACTTGACGCTGATATCTACATTTGTGGCTCTAAGGATCGTAACCGTGCTCTCGAGGGTGATATCGTCGCCGTGGAGCTTCTCGACGTTGATGACGTGTGGGGTACGAAGAAGGAAAAGGAAGAGAAGAAGAGGAAGAAGGAAGAGAACGCTGCTTATGATTTGAGGTCTACCGCTGGCCGTAAGGATGACAAGAAGAAGGACGACGTGGAGGTTGAAGGGCAAGGTTTAATGCTCTTTGAAGATGAAGAGTATGTTTACACGCTTTTGTTGAGGTCCACTAATCGCTTATATTAATTCTTCCAGAGTTACTGATGAAGTGAAGCCTCAGTTCGCTGGCCACGTAGTTGCTGTGGTGGAACGCATGCCGGGCCAATTATTCTCAGGAACTTTGGGCCTTCTCAGGCCGTCTTCAGCAGCCACGAAGGAGAAACAGGAGGCTGAGCGCAGAGAACGCGAAGGAGACCGTGGTGATGAGCCCAGGCGAGGTCCTATCGAACGTCCTAAGATTGTCTGGTTCAAGCCAACTGATAAACGTGTTCCCTTGATTGCAATCCCAACTGAGCAAGCCCCTCCTGACTTTGTCCAGAACTCTGAAGCATACGTGAACAAGCTCTTCGTTGCTTGTATCAAGCGCCACGTATGTCATATCTATACACGACATGAATATTTTAACTGATGATATATAATATAGCCTATCAGTTCTCTTCATCCATTCGGGACGTTGGTGGAAGAACTTGGCCCTATCGGTGACATTGAAGTCGAGACGAGTGCGTTGTTAAAGGATTGCAACTTCCCTACAGAGGATTTCGGCGATAATGTTCTTAAATGCCTTCCCCCCACCCCATGGACGTAAGCTTGCCCCCTGGCTGTTTTTTTTTTACTTTTTACTCAACTGACGCATTTGGTTATGACAGCATTCCCGAAAGGGAATATGAAGTGCGCAAGGATATGCGCCAGGACCTCGTATTCACTGTCGACCCAGGGTCTGCCAAAGACCTTGATGATGCGATGTCTGTGAAGGCTAATGACGATGGCACGTACGACATTGGTATCCACATTGCAGACGTATCTTACTTCGTGAAACCTAATACGGCCCTGGACCGCGATGCCAGGAAGAGAGCTACTAGTGTTTACCTCGTTCAGCGTGCTGTCCCAATGTTACCCCCTACCCTTAGCGAAGAAGCATGCAGTCTTAATCCCGGTCAGGAGCGACTGGCTTTCTCTGCTATCTTCACCATGACCAAGGATGCGAAAGTGGTAAACAAGTGGTTTGGAAAGACTGTCATTAAGTAAGTAGTTATGTGTTTGGGGACTATCAGAGTACTGACTTGACCTAGGTCTGCGGCTAAGATCTCTTATGAGAAGGCACAGAAGGTCATTGATGGCCATGTGTTGGGAGACGTTCCTGTCACTCCGGATCACGATGCTGCAGCAATCGAGCATGATATCAAAGTCCTAAATAGTCTTGCTAAGCAGTTACGTGCTCGACGGTTCCAAGATGGTGCTCTGAGTCTTTCGACCATGCAACTACAATTCAAGCTAGATGAAAGTGGTCTTCCGATAGACTGTTGGCAGCATGAGAGCAGTGATGCCAATGAACTTGTGGAAGAGGTATGAGATACTATCATTTTTCGTGTTCAAGCTGATTTATTCTTTGTACTTTAGTTCATGCTCATGACTAATGTCTCGGTCGCCCAGCGTGTTGCCGTCCATCTACCTGAACAAGCACTGCTTCGTAGGCATGACAACCCCATTGACCGGCGCCTGGTACGTATTCTGTCCCTCGTACTGACCATACGATACTGACGATCCATTTGTAGGCTGCTTTTAGTGAGCGGGCCAAACGCTTGGGCTATGAAATAGACACATCGTCTCCGGGAGCCATAATGCGTTCCTTCCAATCTGTTACAAACCCTACTGCCCGCAGGTTACTCGAGCTGTTATCACACAAGGCCACCCACCGTGCTAAGTATTTCTGTGCTGGCATGTTGGACATCGCGAAATACAACCACTACGCTTTGAACGTTCCTTTGTACACTCATTTTACATCGCCCATTCGTCGATATGCCGATGTTTTGGTGCATCGCCAGTTAGAGTCTGTTTTGCAAAGTGGAGGTGAGTAAATGCCTATGAATATCAAAGTTTTTCGTTGACATGTTTCCGCAAGCCGAACCTAAGTTCACTATGGATCGTGATGCCGTTGCTAAAGTTGCTCAGCAATGCAACATGTGCGTTGAACAATCTATCGTGTTGAATAACGTTATTGATGTTTCTATCTCCTACAGTAAGAGGGATTCTGCTACCCTTGCTCAAGAACAATCGACTCATTTGTACTTATGTGTATTAATCGCGGACCTGACTCATCGGTATGGACCGGTTATTCGTCAAGCGAAGGTCGTAGGCGTCCTCGACGCTGCTTTCGACGTGCTTGTACCTGAATTCGGCATAGAAAAGAGAGTGCACGTGGATCAGATGCCTATTGAGGTAGGCTACGCCTAATTGGTCCTCATACTTTCTTCTAACTATCGATACTACCCAACAGAATCATGTTTATGACGAGCATTCACACACGCTCCAGATTTATTGGTCCAACCGTGATGTGATTAGCTGGCTGGCTGAACATAGTGACGATGAGCATTTGAAGAAAGTCAAACAGAACGCAGAACAACACGCCGTTAAGATGGAAGTTGCCTCTCGCTCCGTTCAAGACGAACATGCTCTTTTCGACGAGGATGATGCCGATGATGACGAGATCGTATTAGGCCGAGAAGACCAGGTTGAAAAGGAGAAAGAGACCTCGAAGCAGCGTTTGTTGTCTGCTGCGAAACTTTTGCCCGAGTTTGAAGGATTAAGGGCGTCACCTTCTGGTCACAAGATTCAAGACATCAAGGAGTTGATGACCGTTCCTGTGAGTATTTGGTTTCTCGTATTATCTAAATGCAGTGACTAAATATAGTCATACTACTTCAGGTCATTGTCACTGCCGACCTCACGAAGAGCCCACCAGTCATCAAGGTCTACAGCGTTAATCCTTACGCCGAGCAAAAGAAATGAGCTCGCTCTTTAAGCGCCGATTGTACGATATTGTAGTCGCTTCCCACCATGCTCTCTTTTTCGATTTCCCTCCTTCATACTGACCCAAATTCTTAAGTCACCATAGGCCTTGTTATGTACTTTACCGTCTCCCCTTTTTTGTTCTACCTCTTCGTCCATCCCTTGGTCGCTGAGCGCAGCGCTCTCGGGCGCAAGTCCAAGCTATATGTTCGTCCTGTTGTTGCACGGTGTATTCGTGTTCGTATATCGTTTTCGGTCAGAAATCTATGATCCATTGTTGACATGGTCAAACTGCTTCGTTTGAGCCGGGCTCGACGTTGAGTCTGAAGTCGGATATGTGGGGGAAAACCTACTAATTAAGTTAGACCATCAGCTACTTCCCTTCCCAGTCCCATTCATTGGCGTCTTTCAATCTCTTCAATATCGACGAACAAACTCGACACATCCTCCCGCAATCAAGGTTTCTGCTCAAGCTCATAAATGACATATTGCACATTCTTTTGTTCGCACATATGATTATTCTGGACCTCGCTCAAGTTCAAGGCGTCAATTGACCTTCATATGGGGCACAATAAACATAAGACACAGTAACAACACAATACTAGACTATAGATACACTGACAACCAAGAATACAGTCGTTAATCGGTACATATGTGGGATATCACAAAAACATGCTGAAAGGAAAAGAAAGCTCAATATCATATCCAGCCCACTGGCGGACGACTCCTCATAGAAGCAGGAATCGGTGATCCCTTGCGGGAGTGGCTTCGACCACGGGCGGTGGACTGCTGCCGAGGGACATGTGGGGAATTGGAGTTGAAACCCAACTCGGTGACGCTGGTACTCCCACTTCGCATTGTATCACTCGAATCCCGATACGAAGCCTTTTGCTCAGAAGGATCCATGCATTCACGGAATGTGCGAATAGAGCGCATAGAGCCATTATGGCTGCTATTGCTTCCTCCTCTGGCATGAAGGACGAGGCTTTGGCGTTGACGAATTTCTTCTGTGCAAAGTCTGTATAGTTCATCGAGGTCGAGATAGCATGCTTCGTCGCGCAGCTCCAGAAGAGCTTCAAGGCGAGACGATGAACACGATGATAGCTGTGCGGCACGAGGAAGGGTAGCAGGGTTCTCGGGAGTTGAGGGCGGTGAGCGAAGGTAAGTCAAAATGTGAGCATATCTGGATGAAAACGTTATGAGAACAAAGTTCAGAATCAAAACGAAGACTACACTCACGGAGCACTGGGCCTATCAAGGAAAATATGGAGGTTTGATGAGCAGTTGGGAAGAACACCGGATGAGGTTAAGTGGTTGTGGAAGATCGAATTGAAAGAGCTGTCTTGATCGTTTGAGACGTTACTCGTGTTGGAGTACAAAGATGCCGTGTCCGGTGAATTGGGACTTGGGAAAAGAGAGGCGATGTAGCTGGAAAGATATGATGGTCGTGAAGTGAGGGTATTCAGGGTAGTGCGGTGGGATGTCGTGCTCGTTTCCAACGTAACTATGATTTTAGAAGGGTCAATGGCGCTTGCCGGGACTGAAGAAAGAAGGATAGCCTGAAACGGCGGCTGAAGAGGCGAAGTAGGGATGTTCGAAGGCAGAGCGGGCACAGGAGGGGAATACTCGGAAGATGGAGGCGTTCTCGGTTTCAAAGAAGGGCGAAGGGTAGTGGACGCGGACGCAGCAGGTACTGGGGGTGCAGGTCGCATGGGTCGCGGCGGTGTCAATGTTTCTCTTAATGGGAGATTCGGAGAACTCTTGGATGTAGGAACTGCAGGCAAAGGAGGACTGGATGGGGGCGATGGAAGGTCCCTGTATTCTTTACCAGTGATGCTACCATTGCGTCCCAAGTCCCTTTTCTCAAGCTCCTTTGAAACCTCCTCCTCCTCCTCGTCCAGCAAATCATATAATTGACTAGTCGATACAGATAGTGCTTCCTGGGGCGTTCTGACGACCGTGGCACCGCTCCCAAGAGCGCCATTTCGTGGAACATTGAAAATTCCTAGCGAGTTGTTAAACTGAGGCTCTGAAATACGAATTGGTTTCGGTGCTTTCACTGGCGCAGCCTGAGGTGTGATTGAAATGGATCGAGAAGAACCAGAGGTTGAGCTACGGCTCAGCCATAGCTTTGGCTTGGTCATGGATGGACGATGACCGCGAGGTGGGGTACGTGGTGGAGAAGCAAGTGGTGTTTTTGGTGAAGAAGAGAGAGCCAGCTCTGAAGACATTGGGAACGACGAAGGGGGTGGCGAGTGCTGAGACCTCTTTGGAACAATCATGATGAAGATAAAGGGTGGTATTAAAAAAGCAAGTGGGATATAGGGAATATGAGATGAGAAAGAGAAAAAGAGGTGAAAGGATACTTAAAGTGAGGGACAAAGCATTCATTTGGGCCATTCGCTAACGAGAACAATGGCTCCAAACAAAAAGCGGGACCATTGACAACACTTGCCTATTTCGGACATCATTATTATGTAACCCTCACAATGAAGGCTGTGTCACACTGTCACGCATTATTTCTTTTCATGAATTCCGACGCTGCACCCGCGACTGTAAAATTCCAATGCAATCTACCCTTTGCTTTGCTTTCTGTTTCTCCTGCCCTGGCTTCACTTCATGCTAGTCGTGCACGCCTTCTGCTGCCAGATTCTGCCAGCAATTCCAACTCGACCCAGTGCTCGAAATGCGGTGCTTATCTTCTTGATGGTCAAGGCACTGTTCGTATTACCCGCACCCACAAAAAGAGAAGAAGAGTAAGAGGGCAGGACGACGATAATCATAGACAAATATCCATGCTCTGTCACAGATGTGGATATTGCGACCGTATACCTTTCAAATCTACAGCACCAAATGCTTTCCCCCAGACCAGGAAACCAAAGGCTCATCCACCACGCTCAGAAAACATACCGTCGAAAGCCTCGAGTCCTCCGGCAGAAGTACTACCTCTTACGCCACAGGTATCCAGCTCACCTATAAGTGCGATTGTTGCACCTACTCAGGCTACAGTGTCCTCCACTCCCGCACGTCGTGCGGCTACTGCCCCTGATGCCTCAGCTCGTATAAAGGCTCGACCAAAGCAAAAATCAGGTTTACAAGAAATGCTGATGCGCAATAAGAAAAGAGAAGCGGAGGAAAAGTCGAAGAAAAGCATCCCTCAGAATACTTTGGCTGCATTCCTGAGCGGACTGTAGTTTAAAAAGCCGTTCCGTCTCGTATGTTGCTTCTTGTTTCCCAAATTTCATTTCTTCTTATCTTGGCTTTATCTCAGCTATCTTTGTTATAAGGGATGACCGATATCTTGTGCCTCTGGTTGATGGCGGCCAAAGTGTGAATTCATATTTTGCCTTATCGCCTTATCTCCAACCCGACGTCAGAATTTCCTTAAAGTTGGCTCGACTTGTCAAGGGTCAGGTCGGAATCAATACTAGGCTTAGGTTCATCGTCTTGCCTTCGGTGACAGCTGCAACGTGTTTGCTGTTCATGTAGGGCCTTGTACTCCTTATGGGCTGGGTCCTTACCCAAATGCCTGATTTCGTTTCCGAACGTGGACTGGCATAACTTGTCCATCAACTCGAGCCTCATGCATCATCACGTCAACTTTTAAAGCTAGTCGCGTTTTCCCCGCAAACTTCATCCACTTATCAACGACATTCTTGACCCCTGAACAATTGTCGCATCTGATCAAAGGGCTTTCGTAGGCACTCTTTGTTCTGAAATGGGTATCTTCATCCGTTTGTAGCCCCACCGGGAATATATATGTTGTACGTCGGTACATGATTTGTTATATGGTCCAGTTCGATGCCTTGGTATCCTATATGCGTCTTGGAAGTGACAGACCCTTTAGAAGGATCATAAAATGCTGGTAAAAAGGGGCAACATGACCCTGGACCCGGTAGTCAGACCTAATACTTCACCACATAAATCTACCGACACCCTCCCTCTCTTTGTACAAAAATATCCACATCGTAGCCGCATTGATCACAGCGTACCAAAGTCCCTCAACAATGACCCCTCTAATGCTCGCGCTATAGACTTGGGCCCTGAGCAGGATGTAAGGAACGAGGAAATAGCGCGGCTCTAGTAACGGCGTCGGCAGGAGCGTAGGCAACACGAGTACGGGAAGAACTAGAGTTTGGAGGAGGGTCTGATCGGGTGCTAAGTAACGAGGGTAAGAGGGAAGTTTGAGTTCAGTGAACTGTCAATGCGAATAGAAGAGAAAGAAACCGACGTACCTATGCGCAGGAACCAAGCCCATGCGCATGCCTGGTAACCTGGGATAAAGAGGTACGGGACGATAGGGTGCAGCATGAATATCCGACGCCATATGTAGAATGTATAGTGACGGTTGTCGGACAGCAGGAAGGGGTGGTGGATTCTATTTAAATGAGGTGACCTTGTCAATTTCGGGAGTGAATGGTAAACGAGGAGAGCGACTGACGTGAACTTTTGAATGCTGAGCGCCATAATGGCTGCTATAAGCGAGGTGGCCAGCACCCTTCTACATATGTATCGCTGGGTCAGGGAAAAGAGGCGATCAGATTGAGGTGTGCGTTTACCTCTTACTTCCAAACATTCGTGCTCCAACGTCAGTCACCAACCCTCGTATCCCACCTGGTCCGGACAATAAGACGGGCCATGCCATCATGGTTGAGAAACCGATGAAATAGTATAACTGGGGGACATGGAAGGAAGGGATATGGTTTGATTTGTCGCCTGAGAATAGAGAAACATGTCAATGACGGCTGAGCTACGTGATGAGCAGATTCTTACCTAGCACGATTCCCCCATTCCACACTACAAATGACCCGAAGAGCACAAGGACGACCGCGTAAGGTATGAATGCGGGGAGAATTTCGAGGATAATGTTTGGCAGGGTAAGTATAGATTGCACGATGTCAGCTGTATTCAAAGCACAGATATCATTAATATACTGGGCATATACTCCACAAGTCCTGTTCTATACTGTGGTAAAGAGAAACACGTACATGGACCTGCGATAAGCGCAGACTGATCATGCCATACAGCTGACGCCTCACGTCTGAACCTTAGATACATGAGTTGGCTTACAGCAAACGCGTAAATGACCCAAACCACGTTAGTCTGGCGCATAGTGCAACTGATGAGGCCTAGCTGAGATCAGTTGGCACAGTTCGTGAGTGGCTATAGCGCAACAAAAGTTATAGTTATGTACATACCAGAGCAGCAAGCCAGTGTTTGTTCTGCGTCGCTGCAACAGCTGTGCTGAGGACAAAAACCAGACCTGGAACGTCCGTATAGTACAGAAAGCCAAAGAACCATGCTATTGGGAAGAATGACAGCACGACGGCCTCGAGTGAGGGCGAAAGGAGGGGTGGTGGGCGACGGCGCTGGTAAAACGCAAGAAGACGGCCGAGAACCAGAGGTAAGGTGAGAAGGGTGAGGGTGGCTGTCAGGCGAAGGAGCGGTAGTGTGCATTTGAACATGAAGATTCGATGAAAGATGACGCTGAGGACGTATCTAGCGCAGTATTAGCATGCAGACAAGCTGGGGTGAATCAAAAGCTGTACAGTCCGGGCGGGGTGGTGATTTTTGGGTCCCATGATGTCCATTCACCTCGACAGTATGCAAGTGCTTGAGGAACATGAAACGGTTCATCCTATAATGGTCCAGCAAAGACGGCTCAGAACGTGGTTGGTAGACAGTGGGAACAAGCTAGTTTTACCTACCATGTATGGCTCCGTCACAACCATGTTTAATTCTTTGAGTGTAAAAACACATACGATGAAATAGAGAACATATGGGATAGGGGAATTCGCCATACTGGCGTTAATAACATTCAGATATGACCACAAGGCAAGGTTACAAGGTTACACGAGTGGTACACGATCAAAAAGCTGCCTGTTTCATGTGGCGGGGTATCTTGCTCGCGGTCTAACAACTATAATTAAAATGGCTACGGGCGTATACGGAGGGCAGATAAACTTCAGTGATTAACCTCAGATAATGTGTAGTACATGAGTACCGAAGTCGAACAGGTTCGAAGTCCTTCTCTTCAAATGTTTGCAAATATGTACTTTACAAGGATTGTCATTGAATCACAGAGAACCAACGTTCAAAATTTCAAACTTCAAGGCTTTACATCCCTATGCCACATAGAACGCACGTCGTAAGGTACCGTACAAAGAGAGTTGCGAAATTACTTTTTCATCGGATTGCTGCATATATAAAAAGTTACAGGTTTGAAATGCTAGTCACGGGCCAATTGCTACACGAGGAAAGGACGCCAGTCAGTAAAAACTGAAGGCGACATATCATGAAAACGGGCAAATCGAGAAAAAATATTAACGAAAAAATACTTACTATCCGTCAGTTGATCGCTTGTACCCTAGTTTACCAATGAAGTCATCAAGCTCTTTCGGTCCCCGAGAACCGTATGGGTAAGGGGAAGGCCGAGGCCGAGGCCCCTCTACGCCATCTATCCAGTGCAAGATAGGAGTAAAGATCTGGCGTTTATATTAGCATAGAAGCTTGGTTATAAATAATGTAACTCCACCTTCCATGCAACATCTAATTCATCATCACGCACAAAGTTGGAGTGGTCACCTTTGAGCGCATCGAGAATTAGTGCCTCATAGGCCTCCGGTATCTTTGCATCTGAAAACCGCCTCTTATATGTGAGGTCCATCTCTGTTGGGAGCGCACGTGTGTACAGGCCAGGTGTCTTGGTGTTTAATTTCAAGTAAACGGCTTCAGAGGGCTGAATACGCATGACAAGCTCGTTGCGTGAGATGTCTTTGAAGATCCCTTGCGTGACATCTTTAAATTGAACCCGGATCTCCACCTTGGCTTCGTTAAGAGCTGGGATAGTGACAAATTCGGTCAAATGATTTGATGGAAAAAACGATGCAACGTACCTTTGCCAGCCTTGAGAACGAAAGGCACGCCTTCCCACCGCTCGTTGTTAATCCAGAGGACAGTGGCAGCGAAAGTAGGGCAAACTGAGCCTTTTGGAACTGTATCGTCGTCCAGGTAACCTGGCTTTCCGTTCGCAGATACATACTGGCCCAAAAGTGTGTCTTTACGCTCGATGGGTGGGATAGCACGCAGGACTTTGACCTGATAACCGTGTGTAAAAATGCGTATTTTCAAAGTAGAGAAAATAGCATACTTTTTCATCACGGATATCTTCAGCTGCGAATGATACTGGTCGTTCCATGGTGAGAATACTCAGGACCTGCAGTAAATCTACTCATGTATGAGACACATATTCTCACGTAACAAGCATCAGCACTCACGGTTTTGCAGAACGTCTCGAATAATCCCAAATTCGTCAAAATATCCACCACGCCCCTCTGTACCAAACGGTTCCTTGAAGGTGATTTGAACGTTGCTGATAGAATTTTTATCCCATGCAGCACCCATAGCAATGTTAGCGAAGCGAAGGACAAGCAGATTTTTGACCATCTCCTTCCCGAGGTAATGATCAATCCGGAACGTCTCATCCTCAGTCCACGATTGTTTCAAGGAACCTAGCAAGTCTCTGCAAGATTGAAGATCTTTCCCAAATGGTTTCTCGACGATGATACGATTGATTCCGTTGGCCGAATAACAGCTCTCTTTGACGTGTTTTGCCACAGGGACGAATACACTGGGTGGTAGGGCAAGATAAAAGAGCCGATTAGCCTCCTTTGATGGGTATTTTGACTCAATGGACTCGAGATGCTTTGTTAGGTTCTGGAAGGAAGGGCTATCTTCATAGCCACCCGAGATGTACGTTGAGAGTTTCTTGAACTCCTCTACTTTAGCAGACACCTCTGGGTCGTTATCGGGATTCTTGATGTATGAAGTTGCACGTTTGTGATACTCTGCCTCGTCCATCTTTGTGCGAGCGTAACCGACGATATGGACATCTTTTGGTAGATAACCATTACGATATAAACCGAACAGTGCAGGATAAGTCTTGGAGAAAGATTAGAGATGGATAATTAATGTGCAACCCTATCACACGACGACTGTACCTTCTTCTTTGCGAGATCGCCAGAAGCGCCAAAGACTGAAGCGAAAAGGGTAAGACCAAGAGCATACCAGCAGTAAGGGGGTGGGTGCATACCAACGATAACGGTGTTATCCTTGAGCTCATCGTGGCTCGTCTCCATTGAGGGGATGGTGCCCGACGTCGAGCGATGCATGGAGGACATTGATGTGAAGGGGGAGGGGGTGGATGTTATGGATAGAGAGGAAGCAAGCTGAGATACTTTATTGCAGGTTGACGTGAGTGTGAGAGAACGCGGCAATTGTATCTGTGCTCGGTCAGCAGTTATCTCAACCACTGTGATCTTATCACTCCGGCCCGGTCCCGGTCCTCCGCCCCTCGCCAGACATCGCCGCAGCCTCCGGACGACGGCCGACTCAGTGGGTCGGGTGGCGCTCGCTCTTCCTCAAGAACATGGCAGACCGCGCTGTGTCTGAGGACATCGCCATAGAGCACCTACGAGAGCTCGTGTCCCCCGCCTTCCTCGACAATGACACCACCGCAATGCACATCCGCGCCAGTGCCCTCGTAGCGCGTCTCAAGGCTCTCAACCGCAATGCCAATGCTGCCACCCGTGCACACAAGCAGGCCACCGCAGAGGCAAGGCATGAGATGGACCAGACACATTTGGGCCTGCAGAACTTGCTGTATGAGAAGAGACATCTTGAGAGAGAGATAGACAAGTGTCGACAGTTCGCGTGGGTTATCCATTAATAATGGTTCACCCAGTTCTTTACGCTTGTTGACATCAATCCTCGCCTCACGCCAGTTCAATTTACCAAGATGTACCGTTATATTCCTTAGATGAATTCAAACAACTCGCACCGCTAGAAGCCCGTGGAGACGATGTCCTCAATAATCCACACCAACTCATGCTCAATCGGCTTAGCTTCGAATTGGCAGAGAGACAGCGGTCCGTCATCTTCCCATCCTTTCAGATGTTGTCAACTTATTTTTAAGTAACAGACTCGACTTTAAGAAAAAAGAATTGGCGACTCAAAAAGAGGAGCTCCTCAAACAAAGTAAATCCAAACTCGCGACCATGGACAGTGTAAAATCCCAGATAGATATATTAATGAAGGTAAATACTCTCCTACCGCCAACTCGACTCTTATTAACACACCTCTAGGCGGCAGCTGATATTCAGAAAAGAGTTGACGAGCTTGTACCACCAATACCTCCATCCAACAGAAATACGCCCATACCAGGCTAAAAAGTATCTTAACTTACAGACCATCTCTTGTATTTGTATTCTTCTACTTCCGACTCATCACTCCATATCAACTTTGCCTAATTTTTCATGTTACAAGCACTATCAGTAGTACAATGAGTGTGGGCACTACAAAATCCCTAAATAAGAGTACAAACGCATTTCCAAAGGTGATGAAGGAGGGAATTGAGAAATTGTTCGATGAAAGGGGTAGAGAAAGATATGAGGGGTGTTTCTCCATCACGTATGGAGTTAGAATGGATGGTGGGGTGAACGGTACACGGCGGGATAAAACCGCTCTGTAAGTGGATGGCAATATGGACAAAGGATGCAAAATGAAACGACAACTGGCGCACGATGAGGGTGGATATCAGCTCAGGACTCCATCGCCTCTTCCTCACTGATGCTGCCTATATCACTCATTTCCTCGTCTTCGCCATCTTCAGCGTCACTTCCACCAGTCGCTGCATCGGCAGCTTCCTTGGTTGCGTATCGCTGGACATACTCTGCAGGGGCAAGAGATGTCAGTGCTCGAGCGAGACGATGATAACATTTCGAAACGTACCCTTTACCTTCGCCTCGTACTCCTTTGGATGACGCATCATCAAGGCTGCAGCTTCACCATTCAAAGGGTCGTTCGGGTTTGGATAACGTAGCAATTGTGGCAGGAACACTTCAAAAATGTTGATCATATCTGTGCATAATCACGGCAGAAACCGCTTATAAGCATGACAGATCAAGATGTATACATGGTAATTCGCACCGAACATGGGTGACCATGTTTGATTGATCACGTCAAGACACACCGAGCCGCTCCTGCAAAAACAGCACTTAGCCTCGATGGCACAATGACTGATGACTAAAACCTAATACACACAGCTCGTCGATGTTGGGATGAAAGATCTTGTTCATGAATCCAATACTAGGTGATTTGTACGGGTATTCAGGTTGTAACTCAACGTGTATCTTCCAAACACCGCCAGCAAAAGGGGCTGATAAAGAGCGAGTCATCAGTTGGACAAATATAGGTACTGAGCGGGGTAAAGTACGCACTCTCTACAGGACCATAGAAGCGGACATAAAATTCCCGCATATTGTCGTTGACGAGGGTGACTTCGTAATCAGACATGAGCCTGAATGAAACATGGATGAGACTCTCGCGTAGATGACAGTATGAATGTATAAAGCTGCTTACATCTTCATGACATCTGTCTCGATACGGCGCTTGGCTGAGGAGTATATACGACAAAAATTAGATTTGGTCTGTGCATCCTGCATACAGTTGCGAGCAAAAAACACTTATCATGTTGCTTGCTTGTGAGGGGATGAGTAAGAACGCAAGTCAGCTCGTGGGGCGGGAGAGAGATAGGTGCCACACCGCCACTTTAACCCTCGACTGCCTTATGAATTGCCGGATAAGCCGGCCGACGGACATCGCATCCCCGCACCAGCCTCTCATTTACGCTAATTACTGGACTTGGATGCACGTGTAAAAAAAAAAAACAAGTATACTTCAAGAGATCTCTACGCTTTTTGGTTACATTCAGACATAATTTACAAGATAGTTATCATGAAGACCTATTCAAACCAAGAATAAAACATCAAATCAAAAGGACGACGCAAAAAGATTCATGTAGATTCAAAGATTGGAACAAACTAGTCTTCCAAAGGTCGTAGGGAATCGTGGTCCAGCAACGTATACTTCCCTGTCTGCCTCAGAGGCTTCCAGGACGCTCACCATCGCCGGCGGTTGTCATAATATGTGTACTCCTCAACGACGCAATAGTCTCCTGTGCATTGGTATGGTTTGCGCCCCTCGTATGCTGGCCTGCGCAAACCACTAGCCCGAGCATTTGAAGCAACACCAGCTTGGGCCCGAGGTACGTCTTCGCCGTACGCTCCAGCACCATAAGCCTCCTGGTTACGACTCGCGGCGCCCACTACAGCACTTTCACCAGTCCTGCTATTTGACGATAGGAACTCCCTCGGATGGTCCATGTTAACATTGACATCCGACTGGCTATATACTCGCATCGCGATGAGGAATCCTGCACATATGCAATGAGTGGTTCAGCCTGACGTCATTACTGGGACACACGTACCAAACCAGAACACTCCCAAAGCCCCAATGAGGAACATCTCCTCCTGCGTCTGTGTCATGAACCGGCCATCGCTCCTGTGGTGCAATATGATGCTACGACCAAAGGTGAGCGCGGTTCCGAATTAGCAAGCGGGCTTGGGTGCTTACAAGAAAACGAAGCAAGCAACTGCCAGTATGCCTACGGAAGTTTGTGTGAAGTGCAAGATATCTATTATCGGACACCCGTTAACTCCAGGTCTGAATCGATAGGGAGATAGAACCTACGAAGTGATTTTGGCATGAACTTCATGATAATATGGCCAACGCCCACGGCCAAACCCGCTGTAGAATCACTTGCTCAGACGCAGTTCAAAGAGGTTCAACATTGCGCATATATTTACCCTTCATGATATTCCTTACCGGATGGCTACTGAATAGAACCATGGCGAATTCAAGAGAGGAGAGAGCAAAAAAATGAAAAGAGGGGGTGGGAGTGTAGAACACCTGCTATCGCGTTTTCAGCGGATGTTCGGGCCACGAGGCACACATCCCAGACACGAGGCAAAGAACAATAAAAAGCACGTAAATAGATCTAGAGCTATGTCTATACATGGTACATACCCAAACTATCCGATTCATACTATCCTCCCAAACCCTAGCCAGTCCATCATACAAAAATTGAAAGAAACCGCTATGAATGGGTATCCATTTTCCATCATGTCTTCCTTTAACATCTTTGTTCTAATTTGTCTTTCAAAGGGATATCATCACATCGACGGGACTTGGCTGATCGTAGCAGGCTGTCCGTTTACACCTGGCTGGATCACAACCGAGTGTCCATGAGCTTGCTGAACAACGTAACCACCCATGGGGTTCTGCATCACATTCGGCTGCATCATTGGATAGGGTTGTGAATATCCCCCATAACCAGCGTACGGCCTAGGGTAAACAGCTTCTGTAGGATAGCCAGGGAGTTCGCCAAACCACCCCAACTGGGATATATGCTCGCTCCAGGCAAAGTGCCGGCCGAGGACAACAGCACGGGTGGTGAGCGTTATTATGATAGTGAAATAGATGGCCACTTCGTGTAACAGATATGAGAACCGTGCAATGATTTGGATGAAATGGAAGCGTACATAGCACGAATAGGAACCACGAGAGTGCTTCGATCACTTTCATTTCATAGCAATATGTGCGAGATGACACTGGAACGAGGTGAGGGGTAAATGACTTGAATGGCATCAAACAGTTCGGATCTTACTGCTTCCATTATTCGTCGGTGTGCTCTCTCCACCAAGGGGATAACACTGAACATATCCTATAATATCCCTATCCCACCGGGTAAGTAATTATTGCGCAGCAGAAGATCAACAAATAGCTCACGCAGCCCAGGCTCCCATTGCTACCAATCGCGTGAGACAGCGATAACCAATAGATAACGCGACTTACCTAGCCATAAGACGCCAATAATGAAATGCGCCGTAACCTCCAGACGAGGCTGAGCCCACTGCAGTCTGAACACGGATTAAAATGTGCCATTGTCAGCATAACAAGCGAGAATTGTTACTCACAGTAGTAAATACACAAGAATCGTTAGAGATGGTACAACAAGTGAGAAAATCGTAAAATCATCTTGATGGTCGCGTTTTTTGTCAATATAAAGCGTATGCATCTTTGAGAATTTACGCGACGTACGTTGAAGGTTGGGGAGAAAAAGTTTCGCGAAGTTGGCTGCAAGCCCCAAGACTGCTGCAGAAATCCCGAAGATGGTCACTGCAAAAATGGTTCGAATTTTGTTATTTGCCAGTCTTGTCAATAAGTCCGAGCTCACCATAAGCAACGAGCCTGATATTCGTGAAGAGGATGGTCATGAGAAGAGGGTATCCTGAGGTACTTGTATATTTTTCTTTCAGAAGACGTAGTAAGTGTGAAATCGGCCCACGACGAGAAAAAACCTGATTCTGGGTTTTCACTGTGAATGGTCGTACGTTATCCACAAGGCAAGTCTTCTATGCGCTTCACGTCATATTAATGAAGTCACGTGTCAACAGAGGCTCCAAAACATTTCTATAATCTATAAGTCATCTGAGCGCTACAACGTGCGTTCGTACAGCGTATAATCGTAAAAGTACAGTTACAAACACGACTTCGTCTTTTCTTCTTTTTTCTCCCCAAGTTTGACCCACAATAAAAACCCCTCTAATAAAGATAAGATACTGTATATAGACTCACTGAGTCAGGTGGTGGTCATGCCGGACGAACCGTCACCGCCGGGGTGATGCATTTCTCTTGTACTTATCAACAGTATGTGCTCTTGCAGGCACTTTGTGTCCCTGTCGTTCAGGTTGCCAAACAACGTACGAGGCGTCACCGTGACCGCGCCGTGTAGATGGGTAGCGGTTTGGGCCCGAAACATTCTTTTCGTCGTAGGCTCTACCTCTCGACTTTGACCTCGACCGGCGAGTGGCAGGACCAGGCAGCTGTGAGCCCTTGCCAAACCAAGGATATGCTGTGACAGAAGTGTACCACACTCTCCTGTTGACGTTGCGGTAATGTCGGACCGCGAGTACCAATAGGAGCAGGAAGAATCCCCAGACTGGTCAATCGTTAGCGATGTTGGTCAAACAAACCGATTTCGGAAATGAAGGTATCACGTACTTAGTATGGCATTGAAGAGCGAGAACGCCTCGAGCACTCGGTACTGTGCTTGATATGTTTCTGTCGAGACTTATTAAGACGTAAATGAGTCACAGGATGAGGATGGCGCTAGATAAAATGAATAGGACATACAGCCTGGGTATTGGATAGGGTCTGCGAGTGTATCTGAAGCAAAGCACTCTACGTCCGACTCCGCAGAGTCTGAGCCTGCTAAAAACCCTCCGAGGGCTATCGGAGCGCTTGTAATTAGTAATTGCAGGTACATACAGACTCAAAGAGTCTCACCTATCCAGAAAGTCCCAAGCAGACCAAGACAGCCAAGCTCAATTCTGGTGGATATTGGATTTCTGTCTGGCTTTATACCGACTGTAAGTCTTCAGAGGGAGTAATCAGGACTGAATATACCATAAGCCAGAAGCAGGGAGGGAAACTCACAGTATGACAATGATAAGCAGACTGGCGCTGCACACGAATAGAGAGAAAGGAACGAAGCGAGCTGTGAACGATATTTAGCTGTGGCATGACAGATACCTGCAAAGGCCAATTATTGACTCACTGAGGTCATCTGTAACCAGCAAGCTTTGGAAGTGGGCCGCGATGGCTAGACATATGATTGTCCACAACAGGACCGCGCCTTGAAAGAGTCAGCCCAAGTGATACCAGCTGCCATCTCACCCTACACCAACTCACCATAAATACACGACCTAAAGATGTTAAACTTGGTAGGCATCGCGCGCCTGGTGCTGGTAAAGATGGTAGAGATAGTGAGGGTGGATAGTCGTTGCGACGAGATGCTGATTGGTGCTGGCGCTGGGTCTGGGGAGCAGGACGTGAAGACCTCATATTAAAAGTACTGCAAGGCTATGAAAAGCACGAGGGAAAGGCACGGTGGGTGATGCGTCGTAAAGATGCGTGTTTTTGAGTCGTGGTCGTGTCGCTGAAAGACAAAGGCTGGATGGACGGGTCACGGGTCAGCGGCGAACACGAGTTGGTCCGTCAGGAAGGAACATTTGCAAGCAAGCTGTGCTTTTCAGGATCTAAAATTTTACGCCCTTCGAGCATTTTGGGAGCCCGAAGGAGTTTTTTATAAAGTTGCAGCGTGCACAAAGGCGCCTCGAGGCTGGCGATTGTGTTCCATAAAAGGAAACACCTCTCGCATAGAATATCCAGTGCAATATCAACTTCAATTGCCTCCGTGCGAAAGGAGCCGCCTTTCATCGTTTTTTCATCTCTCAATATTTCAAAACATTCGATTCTTCCGTTAGAACACTTGTTTTTTTATTTCATGTTACTCTGAACAATAATACAACTTCCGTGGAAGTAAAAAAAAGTCGCCGGTCTGGGTTTATATACACTCATCAGTTCTTGCTCTTCACTTCTTCCCGAAGAGCCGCCCCAATAGACGCGTATGCAGCCAAGCACCCTGGATTCCTCAACGTTGCGGGGTTAACACTAGACACCAGCGCACCATTGATAATCTGCATGTCTTCAGTACAGATCATACACAACAAAGCAAGTATCATAATCACCTTCCTGACGGGCACTTCAACACGTTTACCGTTTAGTGTGTATGGTATATCGTCTATCTGAATGATCTATGCGGTGGCCCGCGGACAACTCGTTGAGCAACGTTCCAGGGGAATGACTCAGATCCAAAGCTTACTCTAGCGGGGACATGCCTCGGACTTCTCCTTGCCCTTACTTCCGCCCTAATCCTCTTTTCCATGTCTAAAGATAGATCCATTCCCTCCGGAAGCTTGACAAACAGGATCACGCGCTCGTCCGTCCCATTATCGATTGTCTGTCCCACCGCCAGAAAGTCCTCAATGATATCGGCCGATTCGCCTTCAGAAGAAGAAGCCGAGAAACACGTGTCCAGGACTTCGTACAGCTCAGATGATCCGAATCGGATTCCGCCTGGATTTCTAGGGATATGTTTGCGACGTTTCAAAAAAAGTAGAGAAAGAATCAGGGGTGAAGAAAGAATGCGCAGATAATCAACTCACAGAACCCCGTCGCTTCTTCCTAACATGATCAACCCTCCCCCATTTCCAGCACGTGAAGGTGTTATCAACACGTGGTCACCGTGATCTACAGTAGACACCGCAGCATGAGTAAACACGCCACCTGATAGGCTTTAGCGTGCAGGCTACACTCACACCAGACGTCTTTGAATTCCGAGAAGTATGCCTGCTGATACCTCACTCGTGCAGCACTGACCGCTTCTTCACTTCCAAATCCGGGCAAGGGCCAGAATCCAACGGGCATGCAAGGGAAGGGCCGTATACATACGAGTTCCCCAGATTTACCGGGGGCACATGGTACACCCTCAGGGGTGAATGTCTCGATGGCCATACCAAGCATACGACATTGGATCTCCCCACGAAAAACTGGCAGGGCAGTAGACATCCCAGCAAACAGAGAGCATATATCTGTACCTCCTAAGAGGAAGCGAAAGTGCATTGTTAATAGGGCGTGATCAACAAACCCTGGAGTATTTTTACCTGTTATCGACGCAAGTAAGACTTGAGGGTGTATGTCCTCGTAGACGTAATCGAAGAGCGCATGAGATAGGGGAGACCCAGTGGAGTAGATGTGATGAAGGGTAGACAACTTGTGGTGTTGACGAGGTTTGTAGACTTTCTGTTTGAATTATATCAGAACGTTTTGAAGGGTAACTTTGAAATGAACCATCATCAGGAACTCACAGATAATTGGTCAAGATACTTCGCACTCGTGCCAAACACGGTTATGCCTAGATCATCAACAAGACGCCATAAATATGCAGGATCTTTTAGAGGGCTTCCGTCATATAGGACGAGTGTACATCCTACGCTCAATCCATTCACGAGAAAGTTCCACATCATCCATCCCCTGAAAATATCATGATTAAGCAAGGCAAATTACCACGGCATGTTACTTGCGGACGTTGTGGTGTAATAGAAGAATACGTCCTGAGGACTGAGCTCGGCGCATATCATGAACTCCTTCTTCGCTTGTAAAAGCATCCCACCGGCCCGATGGACGATTGGTCTGTTGGGATCATGAATCGTACCAGGTGCGTCAACATGACGTTATATGCGCTACGTACTTTGGACGCCCTACATGAGCGCAATTTGGTCACAAGGTAAGGATTGAATCGTGCGCTTCATATTTAGTCCACACGCACCTGTGGTCCCCGAACTAAAGAGTATCCATAACGGCCAGTCGAATCCCTGACGACACCACTCTATCTCCCCATCAACAGTGCGGCCGCATTGACTCGATTTGCCTTCTTCAATAAAGTCCTCCCATCCAATCCAGCCAGCGCTCCACTGCGTACGAACATTAGGACTGCATGTAGCATGAATAACCACAACCTGAGGTGACTGGCCAGCTTGAGACAGCCCAGAAAGGAGGGATGATAGCTTTGGCAAGTGCGGGTGAACTTTGGCGTTGTAACTTCAGTTATGATGTCAAACTCTACCAAAAGAAGACTAATATGATGTTGGGGATGACGCACACTACTGCGTCCACGGCGAAAATTATGCGGGGTTGAACTTGCTCAAATCTGATGAAGTCGGGATGTGTAAGATACGTCGAAGAAGGGGTTGTGAACTGCATTCACACACCGCTCTAGAACCCCATCAGGGCCAAAGTCCGCAGCGGCACTGACCCATATACATCCTGTGAAAAGATGAACAAAATGAATGCACTAGTTTATAGAGAACTTACCGATGGCAGTGGCAGCAAGACTCGCAGCAACATTTTCCTGCACAGTAGGCGAGCATCAATTAGTGCCGTACTTGGAACGCCACCAGCGGCCGACTATATGCTAGTGGTTGAAACGTACTATGCAATTAGAGGAATACGATGCTATACGGTCACCGGGTTTCAAGTTATGGTGAAGGAGAGCTGATACGAGATCTGCGACAAGTGCATAGAGGTCCGCATAAGATATAGAGCGTAGTGGTGGGCTGGGTTCTTCTGGAGTGGGTTCGGCTGAAAGCTGATCCTTCAGCTCACCTTGCAAAAAAAAAAAATTAAAGAAGACGCACTGGGTTGCACGAGAGCAAGCTTGTGAGTGGAACGACAAGTGAGCATATTTTCCGCCCAGTTTAGTGCGGCCTGGGAAAACCATGGCGGGTTTGCAGTAGGGGGAGCAGAGTTGTCTACTACGTGGGTGCCCTTCTGACCAACGACGTGGACCTCGTCCCACACCAAACTCCAAAAATTGTCAATGTGAGTAGTGGACCAAGAGTATAAGTCATGGTACGATGTCAGAGGTGGGGAAATGCCAAAGATAGTGTTTACCGAGTTGCGAAAGCGGAAAGTCGAAGAAGCTTCGGGGGCCGAAGGCTGGAATAAGAGTCTTGAATAAGCTTGTTCCTCTGCGGCGGCCATTATGAGTTTGTAAGACGATGGTGGATAACAAAGAAAGCAAAGTGAAACGCAATCTTGTACAAAGATGTGAATGCAAAGGTGGAGAACCAGTGTTGTCTGATTAGAGTAGGAGTGAGCACAAAGAAGCAGAGATAAGAAGTCTAAATGGTCTAAAGGACCACCAAGGACCGGAGATGAGAAGAAGAGCCAATGGGAAGGGAAGCAGGATTACCATATGTCCGCTGTGGCTGATAAACCAGATTGATCCGTGGCTGACTCATTCGCCGGCGGACACATGTTACCATTGATGTGACAGACCTGGATATAAACAATTAAATATTTAGTTTCTTGAGCATGGCGTGACAAGAATCCGTTGGGGTTCGCAGAGTGGCGCCCTTCTACAGAAAAGGACAAGTTCTGTGAGCTATGATCAGCGCCAGTTGGGGGATGTGGTGAAGGAAGATGGTGAGACGTGACCAAGTGTGACAGGTACCGAGTCATATTTGTCCCACCGCGAACGTGCGGCTCAGCCAAGGCGTAACGATCATTCCGGAATAGGCAGTGATCTCTTCATAAAACTTCACGTTTGTCGCTCTTTCAATCCCTCCAACCTTTACTACGCGCTTACAGTATCGCCTTTCCACAGCTCTCTTACTTGCTTATCTCACACATCCCCGCGTATATATATATACCTTCCCTCCCCTTCACCTTTCCTTCGATCTCCTTCGCCCTTTGTAATACATCCCCTGTCATATCCACCATCCCTTTGTCGCATACATCCATCTTACCACAACTCGCAGATGGATCGCTTCCTTGCCCCCAACACCTCTGAGGCTCGCGCACACTCCCAGCTCACGTATGTCCCCACTAACGCCTGCTATGTCTTACCTTACTCATACCCTTCACCACAGCGAAAACTGGCTCTACTGGGACATTGACCACCCTACTTTCAATGAAACACTCATTGCTGGGTGCGCTTCGTACCAGGCAATCAACAGATACCTTACAGGCTCTGACCTGTTCATTGTACCACGCTCAAGAACTGAATTAGAGCGCATATTGTCAGTACTCTATTTCCCCACACGCATGCATGGCTTCTAACACCGCTTCTGTCAAACAGGAGGCGTTACGCTCATGATTCTATACACAATGCCATCTCTAGGTCGCGTTCAAGCCTTGAGTTGGGCGGTTATAGTCGGGTTCGTTTCCTCCCTTCTCCACCATTTTGTGCGTCATTGCTCATCCTTTTACAGACGTGTCACCTCGCAGAGGATTCTATACGTAATGTTCTCAATACCGGTGATAACGTAGCCACTCTTCTCGCACTCCACTGCCCAGCAGATCCGACGAGGCGGAATAAGGGTTATTCGCCTTCTCCCATCAAGACGAACTAAACTAGTTTCGTATCTTTCGCGATACCACTCATGATCCGCCTTGTCACTGTATTGTTCACTCAGTCTGTACGTTTGTGTACGTCCTTCGCCTCAAAATCGCACTCCTGTACCATCAACACGCACCACGATTTACTTTATCCTGTTGACTGTAATCGTGTATCACCATTTTGATACAATTATCAGTGTTACAAACATGTCCAGCTATTTATTAGTAATATGCACTTTGCGCAATAGATTTCCTTGTTGAACAACAGCCTTCCAACCAAGTTACTTGGAAGTCTGAAGGTGTACGTATACGTACCAATACGTACTGTACTTGTACTGGAACGAGTCTAAGAAGCTGTTGTAGGCGTCTAAGAATTCGCAACACAACCTGCAATCGCTCCATTAGTCGTATTCTACACGTACGATTATAGCGTCGTGCCATTGAATGCACCTTTTTAATATTCATCAGGCTCTATTTACCATTGGTGGACGATAAAAGTATCACCAAACTTGTCTAGCTCCACGCTGGAGAGGCGTACAAAGTGACGAACGTGCGCCAGCCTTGCGCCTTCTTCGGGTTTCTTACTGGCATGTTTCTTACCCTATTAAAGGTCGTCTGCTCGTTTGCTCAGGTTGTTTTCGTCTTTCAGCTGGTTTTGTGAAATGAGGAAGCAACCACTGCTTTTTTTCTCCTTGGTGTATCAATGGCAATCGATCGCGCTAGCAGCTCCGCCTCAAGTTGTCTTGGATGCATCTCCCAGTAAGTCCCTCTCGCGACACTTGGGGCCACTCTTGGACACTCTGGAGCGTATTCTCACCGAGGCTTGTTGAAAGGATTGTCCGAGCGGAGGCTCCATGGCCGTTTCTTGCATATCACCGACATGCATCCAGATCCGTTCTATAAAAATGGAACTTCGCAGTCATCCTCGTGTCACAGGAACCAACCCAAGAGTGCGGCACGTTCAGGGTACTATGGCACTCCGTTCAGGTGAGTTGCCTCGTTCTTGTCGTCATTGGGCGATACGCACTGGGTAAAATGAACACACATGCGTTGCCTCACAGCGAATGCGATTCTCCGTTGAGACTTACAAACCTTACTCTGGACTTTCTGGAGAAGAATTGGAGTGCGGAAATAGACTTTGTTATATGTAAGTTTGTGGCCTTCTTCGTCAATTTTTTACTTTCCGATGACGCGTATCCACCTTGCTTCAATTAACTGTGCGCGTGATGTGCATTGGTGATGGCAGGGACGGGAGATAGTGCTCGGTATGGGATCATAGTTCTAGATAATCTCTTGCATTGCTTACGGAGATTTAGACATGACAACGATCGCAAGATACCTCGAACCACAGATGAGATTTACGACTCCAATAGAGCTGTTGCTAAGAAGATGTCCAAGATATTTCTAAGTAAGGGCATTCCGGTAATACCGAGTTTGGGTGAGCTCATTCGACATCTCGACAACGATAAACCTTGACGACGTGCTCCAAACGACAGGTAATAATGACATCTGGCGTGAGTACTTTTCATTTTCGCGTTGCTCGTTGGTAGCCTTATAACCTTAAGATTTATAGCTCATGTAAGAGTTATTAACGCCTATTTCGTCTCACGAGTATTAAACGCTAACCTTACGGCCCTCTTACAAGAATATCATGTCACCTGGTATGTCGTGAAAATACAGTGTGTGTATTGCGTTGACAGCTTAGTTATAGGACCAAATACTATTACTAACGAGTTTTCATCGTGTGTGGTTACCCCTATCCTAATTGTTTTCTGCCTAACGACTGTTCTTAGGATATGGTCTTCGTTTATACCTTTTGCATCTTATCAAGTATTCCAACGAGGGGCATACTACTCCGTGGAAGTCGTACCCAATGCATTAGCCGTGATCAGCCTCAATACTATGTATTTCTACGATGCTAATAAAGGTTATCTCCATTCTCTTTGTAAATTTGATACTGATACTGATTCTTTTTCGTAGCGGTGAGAGGCTGCGAGTATAGAGAACCCAACGATCCCGGGAATCCGGGAATCTACAGTTTGATTGGCTCGACGTGCAACTGGAGATGTTCCGGTCGCGGGGGATGCAGGTGAGAATGTTGTATCGCATATTTGCCGGGGAGCCACTGAAAAGTTGCTCCATACTCCTTTTCTGGGTTCGATTATGAAGGTTTGGATAACAGGTGTGAACTTCCTCAGGCCATGATCTTCTATGCAACTTGACTTACACACCAATGCCGTGGTAGGTCATGTTCCGCCGTCGTCCGGAAACTACTTCCCAGAGTGTGTAAGTACGCATCCAAGATCTTTCATGGCACTTAATTAACGACAGGTTGCAACGCCCAGTATTATCGGTACGTTGAATTGAGCTTGAGATACCAGGATACGATACTGGGTCATCTTTTTGGCGTGAGTACTTTCGGCGAGCTCTTGGTCATCCTCGTGCAGTAACGGTTTTCTATGCTAGCATATGAATGCAGATCATGTAAGTTCGAAGGGATGTTATATGGCTGATAGAACATCGAACTGAATCATTGCGCCACAGTTCTTCTTTCTGGATGCTAAGGATCTGGAGATCTGGCCCGAGGCTGCATCGACCGGCGGCGAGAGTCCCCTGTACGACTCGCTCATCTCGGACTTTGAAGAACTTTGCAAGACTGAGGAAGTGAACTACGATAACTACGCTGTGATAAATGTTTCTCCATCGGTCGTGCCCAACCCATACGTGCCTTCGTTTCGAATATATTCGTACAACATAACAGGACTTTCGTCTACCGTTGTGCGGGACATCGGGCGGGATGAATACTTGATAGAGTTGAAGAAGTCAAAGAGGAAGCATAGTCGTTATCACCATGGCAATCCTGAGAATAACGATTCCGAATGCAGGAAGGAACCTTATCGAGACAGCTGGAGGTGCAAGTTGAAGCAACCATGGCACTCTGACAGCGAAGCGCCGAGTAGACGAAATACATTGTGGACTGGGCTGGGATATGCACAGGTACGCGGGAGGGTCAATAACATTGTGGTCTTTTTTAATATAGAGTTTGGCAACGCAGTACACTATTCCGAATCTTCTGGAATTCGACGAGAAGCATGAGGCAGAGTACAGATTGGAGTATTTGACTTTCCCCATTTCCCGCTTGGATGCTCCCCGGAGTGAGGAGGGGGCGGGAGCGGTTGCCGGGGACTCTGGGCTTACGATTGGGACTGCCGCCCAGCCGCCTGCTGTGCCTATGAGAAACCTACCGAGATCGTTACGTGAGGGGGATGTGAGGAGATCGAAATACACGCCGTATGAGATGGAGGATCTGAGTATTGGATCGTGGGTTGAGCTTGGGCGACGACTGGGGGAAGGGAAGGAGGAGAAGCTGCGAAGAAGGTTCAAGAAGTACATGTACATGGGAGGGGAAGAAGGGTGAGGGGGATATGTGTGATAGGAATGTGTGGTTGTGCAAGGTGCAGCGGTGGACCCACGTTCTGTCAGGAGATAGATATGTACCTAGGATGATAATATGAGGCTTGCTTACGGAGTGGGGACCCTGGAATAAGGTGTGGCTGGGTGGGAACGGCCGGGGAGAAGGCGCTGAAGTGGCGGTAAGGTGCTATAAGCTCGTTCTCAGCAAATGAGAGAGGACCGAATACGGCTCGTTGCCTTGACCACCGACCACCCAGCAGTTTCTTGGAGATCTGGTTATTCACCTTCCTTCAGTCTGAGCCCGCTTCAAGTTTGTTGTCGGCGGTGCCAGCCATCATCCTTGCTTTTCTCTTTTCATCCTGTGCACTGGCTTGCAGTTCTGCTGCCATCTTGTCTTTCTTCCCATACTTTTCAGTCTTATATCCCCACCCACCTTGTCTCTTCTCACCATCTTCTTCGTTCTCCTCGTCGGCTGGCCCGCGTCCTTGTCTTCCCCACTCCCTCACCTCACCTTCCTTATCCTCCTTTTTCTCCCAAATGGCCGCAGTCAATCTCCAGATGATGTCTCCCCTTGACTTTCTTCCTCTCAACCACCCTCATTCCCGCTCAAACTCTGTATCCTCCTCCTCTACTCATTCGCCTAATTCCCGTCCCCAGTCTTCCCAGGGCGGCATCGTCCGTGTTCCCTCTGCACTCCCTCAGTCCACCGATGATCTCTATCGTCTCTCATATAACATGGGCAACGATCATATCCGCCACTCTCCCGCCTACCAGCTCCAGCCAGCCGATATGACCTCTGGAGGCCATTCTCCTCCAAACCACAACATCAGCAATCCTGCCCTCAAAGGCCATATCCGTCAGACCCATCTCAGGGCCCGTGCTGCCGCTTCCCCTTATCCTCGTGACACTGAAAGCGTCCACTCTTCTTCCAGTGAGACAGACGACATCACCATGTTTCTCGGTAACTCTCCTGCAGACTATCATATGTACGGGCCAGGTCAGACCTTGCCCTCTAATCAAGAAACTATGCATCCTGCCGGCGCTTTCGGCAGAATGACTCTCAGTCCTGACCACGCCTTGGAGAAACTCGCTGCCAATGTCCGGGTCGCGACTACCACTAGTGCTTCTGATAGGGCAAAACAAATTTTCGTCCAGGCATGGTCTGTACTAGCCGCATTCTGTACTTTTTTTTCCCCTTCTGATCTCACCGGCATTTTTTCCCCCGGATAGGTTGACTGCGAACTATGCTCCTTATCCTGACGGAAATGTCCCTCGCCAGGGTCTTTACTTTTCCTACCGTCGGGTCTGTGATCAGTACGGGATCCCTCACATAAATACGGCGACTTTGGGCAAGGCCATCAGGCTTTGTTTTCCAACTATCAAAACTCGGCGCCTGGGAGTTCGCGGAAATAGTAAATATCATTGTACGTGCATTGCTTCTCATCTTGATGATCGGTAAAAGCTTGATTGGCGCTCTTAAAAAAAAGATTGTGGCATCCGTCCTGCCACTTCGGCGGAAGCCGAATGGCTTCAGGACTATATTCGCAAATCAAACAATAATGCAGGACAGCAATCTATCAATGCAGCCCGCGCAGCTCAGGAACCTTCGGATAATGCCAACAGAGGTGAAGAACGTTCTGATGAAGACGAAGACGCCGAGGACTCTGAAGGAGCTAGCTCCAATCCGTCCAAGAGGAACTCTCTGACGCTAAATGACATGAAAGGCGCCCTCAATTACGGCGATGATTTAAGCGATAAGACACCCACGGCTGCTAACTTGCTCTCCCAAGCTCAAGCTGCTGGAAGGCCCTCGAACAATTCATACCCCAGCCATGCGTCCATTCGCCGCCACCCCAGCCAGCCGGACCCCGGACTCGCCGTTCAACCCAACTCTACTTCTGGTGGAAGTGGTAACTTCGTGTCCAACCAACAGACCTTGTCAGTTCGTCACATGGTGCAGTTTCCCTCCATCGAGGAGGCCATAGGATCCAACTCCACATCTCCGCATAGTATCGCCGCTCGCGATGTTTGGGGCTGGTTCCAAGATCATCTTGACGCATTGTTGGATAGCGTCCGTTCGTTCAGGTTTGATCAATTCGAGATGAACCTCAGGAATTTCTGGTCCAATCTTAATGGAACTCATCGCGAAGTGGTTCACGCTCCTGCAATAGCTGGCCTAATGGCCAAGGCAGATGCGATTGTTTATGATGTGAGGCGATTCTACTTGTTAATGGGGCGTTCAATTTTAACATTTATGTGATAGGAAATATTGGAGTTCCTCCGCTCGCAGATGCTCTCTCCCATTCAAACGGCGTCTTTGACTAGCCTTCGTCAGCTAGCTAACAAGATGGAGAAAGTTCTGTTGCTTGCGCTGGAAGGATATGGCAACACATTTGTTGAGCCAAAGGTAGAGCTTGGTGCACGATTTGGCCATCTCGTCTGTGAGTTGTGATTCCACCATGGCATCATTATCACATGTTATCTCACGTTTTTACTTAGTGCGCTTCTTGGACATCTACCAAGTTACTCAAGCATTGAATACCGTGCTCACAAATCAAAAGCAGCTCGCGGAAATGCGGCGTTCTTGGCAAAAGGTTGACTTTGAATCGGTTCGAAACCAATCGGCTTTGGTGTGCAACTGTCGTCACGAGGACCTTGTTCAGTTGCTTGAAGTCGAGTTTGTTTCAATGATGGACAGCCTGTCAAAGAGTAGCGAACCTGTCAGGGAAGTCATGGCCTGGGCCGATAAATGCTGCGAAAGGCTTATGGGACAGCGCGTCGGGAATGGACCTGAGGACAGAGGAACAATGAGCTCGCGGAGCATACTGATCCGCTGGGGTTACGTCACCAGTCAAGTTATGAGGGACTTGGTACGATTTTTTTTTGCTTTGATTGTTCCTCGACTCATCATCATCTCAAACGTTTCCTAGACGATTCGGAGTGATCCGGCTTTCGGTGCCTTTCAGATCATGAAGCTTTTCTTGGAGTACGTCAAGTTTGCTGTGGTTTTTGATCTCATCATACTGACCATCAAAATGTGTACAGTGATTGGATCGCAGTCAATGTGTTGCGGAGTGTGGCACTGTCGACGAACTCTGTCGCAGCCTCTGTTGAGCCGGTGATGCAGCAGCAATTCTTCTCTCTGTCCCCGATGGCAGGGCAGGAGAGTTTCAATACGATGGAAGTTCGGCCACCTCAGCACATCATGACCCATACGCCGACAACTTCGAGCATGCTAGCGGCTTTGCAGCAGGATCCGTTCCCGGCGGGTTCCTTGTCATCAGGCTTCAACACCGATGCTTACGGCGCTTTGTCGTACATGGACGCATCGGCATCTCAGGACGACTCGATACCCCCTGTCCATCAATCTGGACTTTCTTTTTCCGACTACGGTTCCGCCAATACATTTGATGTGACATCGTTTACCCCTCACGAGCTGGGCATTGCGCCCAACTCTGGCGCATCAGGACCAAATGAGGGTGAACCAGAGTCGGACGCTGTCAAATCTGAATCTGTGTCTTAAAAGGTTCGACCTCGCTTGCAAGTCTTGTCGTACCATTTGGTTGTGGAGTAACGATGATCCTTGCAAAATTATAAATATGTTGAAATTCCCTGCTTTCCTTCTGTCATTTATTAGCCTCATACCTCGTATCTGTATTGACAATTTGCTTCGTTTTTACGTGCTCTCCGTGCTCACTATTGTATAGGTTTCGGTTTGGTTAGTCGAATAATAATATTTCCCTCTTTTAGCGCCACCTTACCGCGGACAACAGTGTTTGCAGGTATAGTAGGCATAACAGATAACTTATAGTGATGTATAAATTGGTCCTATCCAATGATGTCCACTTTACTATATCATTGCGAGATCTCGTCATTTTCATTTGCCTCTTCTCGAACGTTCTCGAGCTTCTCGTCAACTTCATTAGTAGGTACTTCATCTGGCTGTGGGGCATTCATTGGCGTAGATGTTGGCTCTGCATGATCTTCACCTCCGCCGTTCGGAGGTGATACTTCGACAGCAGGGGAAGTGTCGGCTTTGTTAGCAACCTTGGCGCCGTTGGTGAGACGCTGAATATCAGCTTCAGCTTTGGCAACGTTCTCAGCCGTCACGCGATCTTGATTAGCTTGGTACCATGCTTTTTTCGTTTTAAGGTCTTCGATGACACGGGGGACATCTGAGTTCGATGTTGGGGGAGGGATGGCAAGTGTGAGGAGGGCAGATAAAGTAGTGAGTGGGATATGGAGCTCGCTACTTGCAGCCGGGGTGCTATCTGCATCCGATGGGCTGGCCGCTTTGACGCCTCCCTTCTTTCCCTTCGCCTTTGCCTTTCCGACGAAATACGACTCCTGATCCTCGCCCTTTTTCTTGCGAGCAACCATGCCATCTCCTGGACCTGCCTCTACTTTCCTCAGCTCCAACTTTGGTACACCTTCGACGTCAGCTCTTGCGGGTAGTGATGATGACGAGAGTACGACGTTGCCACTTGATTTGCCGGACAGCGAGTCGATCAGCGTCTGACAGTCCTCGATGTGGGCCTGGAATGCTGGAATGGAAGCTTCCTCACGGAGGCGCTCAGCGATATCCAGCTTTTTCTGAGACTCCTCAGCAGCCCGTTGAACACGGGCTCGCTCAGCGCGACGTGCTCGGTCTTCGTTCACTTTAGTCCAATAACGATCGTTAGCTTCACGGAAACCGGCCGCTGACTCGCGTTTCTGGTTGAAGAGGGTGTTAAGCTGAGCTTGGAGGTTGTCACGCTCCTCAAAAAGCTTGTTACGTCCGGCATAGGCTTCGTCCGACTCCTTCTTCAGCTCGTCGAGCTCAGCTTTGATGGCCTCATACCGGTCAGAGATAGCCTTCGCGTCTGGGTCATCGAGTTGCTTCCGTAGCTCGTCTGCCGTAGCACGCTCAGCTTCGATGGATTCCTGGTCTGCCTGGAAGCTCTCTACCGCCCGACGTGACCGTTTGGATTGGGAGATTTCCAAGAGTGCCCGTTTTTCATCAGCAAGTTTCATATTGCCAGACTCGACCTGTTTTTCCAAGTTTCTGAAAATACATTGTCAACCCGGGATGGCTTTCGTTAAATGAAAGACGACGTACTTAATGTGAGCGTCGACATCGGCCACGGTTTTGAACGGTGTCTTGGCTTTGGCTGCCTGCAGGTCCTTTATCTGAATAAAGAAACAAGAAAATGGGTGGTTTGATCTCGGAACCTGCAGAGAGCTTGACACACCTTTTTTTGGATACCTTCCTGAATGGATTTCAATTGGTCCAAAGTTTTACCTCTCGAGTTCTTGTTGTTGGACTGCTGACCACGAATGCTATCTAATTCAGCACGAAGCACATTGCGCCTGTCATTCCCAGGGCCAGCCTTCGTGGCTAAAGATATTTTTTCCTTGACAGCGGACTACACGGAAGGGTGAAGCGAATGAGCTGGAGACAAATGTCGGACACATCGGAACAGAAACATACTAGTTTTGCTTGCAAGGCATCGATGTCTGCTTTGATTTTCTCTTGCTCTGCATCGTATACAGCCTTGTCAGGTTTCGCCGAGGTGGACACGGAGGCCAAAGCCTGTTCCTGGTCTCCGCCAATTTTTGACACGACTGGCGTCGACGTTCCTGTGCTCGAAGGGGTTGTTTTGGTGCCCTTGGCTTTGGACGCGCCGTTGGCAGAAGCAGACTTTGTTTTTGCAGCAGGCATGTCAGAATAATACGGTAAAACCTGGCAAGGAGCGGGAGGCTTGTGCTGGAGGAAATGTACAAATCGTGTGAAAGCAAAGGTTGTCTGACCACGTATTAAGAGTCCGAGATTCATCCCCACTCGCCCGTTCACTTCCGACCACGGGAATTTTTTTACGTCTGTTCTGCAGCTATGTTACAGCGGCATACTTACAGATGTGCTTATCATGATGGGTGCCCATGGAAAATATTATAGAGGCCATAAATTACATGCGTTGTGGAGGAGGTCCGTGAGGGAACGCTAGAATACAACCTTCTGATCAAGTTTCTGCACCTCCCGATGACATTCATCGTACAATTCCCGATAGTCATCGTCCTTGTCAACCTTCCCATCAGCATCCTTCTTCGGTGCCTTTCGTTTTTGATTCGGACATATCATCACACAACTTGTCGGTCGTTTGGTTGAACTGGCATGACCGAGTTCCTCTTTTGATGTCACAAAGACATATGGGATTTGCGCCTCCTCTGCCATCAGAGGTAAATGGGATATTATATCAATGGGATTGATATCTGCTGCCAGCACTAGTAGTCTAGCAATAACACGAACATTAATGAGACAGCATTTTGAGCGTGTGCAAAGCTGCTTACCCTTTCTCTCCCTTACGGATGCCTTTTACCACCTCTTTGACACCTCTTTTAACCTGTCTGGCTTTTGACGCTGAGGGTGACTGTCAACATGAATACTCACACAGCCGGCAAACGATCACATACCTTTTCTTATGACTTTATGTAGCTTTTTTGGTAGCTTCTTTTGTGCCAATGGCTGGGCAAGAGGAGATAGATCTTCTAGTGGTATCGTTATTTCCTCTTTTTCTTTTTTCGACTTTTTAGGGGACTAGTGTTTTTGTCGTTAAATTTGCAAGACTGATACTTGCGCGAACTCACCTCAGTTTCGACATCACCCATGTCAACATCTACTGCTGCCTCTGGGGCCTCATCAACCTCCTTTTCCTCCTTCTTTTTCTTGTCCTTTTTTTCCGACTTGTCCTTGGCCATGATGTATAAGGCGAAGACTGGATGGGCTCAGTCGTATCCGTTGAATTCAGCAGTCAACCGTGACAGAAAAGTTCTGACGTGACACGTGACCACAAATGCGCTTTTAAAATTGGCAAGTCTACTTGTCGATTTTTATCTTATTCGATAACGATGCATCGTACAACTCATAGCTCAGAAATTTGACGTATTCAGAAAGTAAATAAATTTGAACTTTTCTTGATATATCATTACAAAAGGGCAAGGAAACGTACCAACACAGATCAATGGCGGCTGCTATTTAATTGATGCGCTCACTCATTGTCAAACTTTTCACCTTCTTCACCCTGTGCTGGCGCATCAGTGCCTAGACCTCTGAGCATATTCATCCAAACCCAGTTCATTCCTCGGAACTCCGCATCATACCACCAATTCAGTGCAATTGTCGTGTCGCTCTGACGCACGTGGTGCCACCAACCAACCGGAAGATAAAGCGTATCGCCAGCATGAAGAGTAACTTCGAGAGGATGGGCGTCCGGTGGTAGGGTATTCGGAAGGTGAGGGTCTGTGATCGATGACCACCGGACATGAGGAGTGTTTGCAGACGAAGGAGTTAACACTAAACCAGGGCCGGACGTTGGTCGGGTATAACGAGCATGAGGATAACTACGTTCTAAATAAGTTATATAAGTAACAGGTTGAACTCTTAGCCAGAATAGCGAGGTGCAAACCCTGTGTACACCATCCTTCTGTTGGAGGAAGAAGGGTAAAATGCTTAGCGCCGCGGATTACAGTATAGATGTTCTCGTAGGGATCTGTGGTTTGATCACATTGACGCATGCGTCAAAGCAACAAATATAACTGCTTACCGCTATGTATACTCGTGACGCTTGTGCTATTCCCGATCCATAAATTAACGGCGTCTGGCGCTCTATCTACAACGCCCGCCGCTCAGCCTTCGAAGTAAATAAAAAATCATAACAATACTAATACCCACCAAAAGCTTCACTACACCAGGAAATATCACTGGGAACGTCAGGTCTTAATGACTCAAACTCTGACGTATCCTCGTCACTATGGTCAAAGAAAGAGTTCGAATAAAGATTGCCGTTCTGGGATTGAAGGTAGTAGACTTCATCCGGCATTGCGGTTGACTCCTAATCGGATGGCGAGTTTGAGGATAATCAATTCAAGTGTGACTGAGTTTGTACCTGAGCTGTAGGTGTTAACTTGCTCAGAAAACTGCCCATAGTCATCTGCTCGACATGAGGTTCTGCGAAGTATAGTTCGCCGTCAGAACCACGAGTAACAGCATCTGCAGCCCTGAGAGAGAGCTTAGTGAACTCGATTGTTTCATTCATGAAGACTAGCTCACCCATTAGGTGTGACTGCTACAGAAATAGACCTCTGTTGCATTCGTTCAAGAATATACTTGTCTGTCCATCGTTTGAGAGCAGGAACCTCGAATCCTAATATAATAATTAGACGGTATGTTACTATAGGTTTACGTTGTAGAGACCTTTGATGATAACCGGCCTAGAAATGTGAGCAAGTCGCGAGAATTGGAGGGCGGTTGGTGGTTCGTCGAGAGTCTCGATGTATGATCCATTCATGTCTATAGGTTGGACTCAGAGAAAAGGTCGACTGCATTTCAGAGAAGAAATTTACCGAAGTACTCTTTCGAGATCCATTTCAAAATTGATTCCCTTGACTCTGCCTGAACTTGTATATTTTCAAGCATCGATAGTTGTGGTCAAGATGAAAGTCGCGGTGGTCTTAGGTCCGTCACGCCACTGGTCACGCGATGTCACACGCGCGACGCGTCTTTAACGTTAAGCGCGACTTACTTCTGAACCTCTAAGCTGTCCCGGGGGTACTCAACTTGCAGCTCATTCTGCGGTCTCTTGTGGCAATTTCGTTCAAAGCCTACGCTTACATATCCCGTCTCTACGGCTTCTTTGATTTGTATATTAAACCGAGGCGGTACATTTTTCCGATATGGCTGAACGGCGAAAGACAAGAAATCCTAGAGGCTTGAAAGCAAAATCCGTCAGTAACAAAATCTCATGCAGATGAAATTGTGTTGTGCTAAAGCCATACTTTTATACTGTGCCAGTCAGCAAATAGTCAAAGGACTTTGTTTGATCTGATATACAAGTCAAGTCATGTCGAAGAACAAAAAGAACATGTTGGAGACTCGGACGAACTGAATACCACGACAAGTACAGAGTCGGGAAAAGGAGATACTTCAAACACATTATCCAATATAGACGATAGTGATATCGTGACAGTTACCTCTCCACGTCCTCCTGTGTCATTCACATTCAGTTCAGCAACCAGCTTGGTCATCAAGCAAGGTTAGTCGGATTTGCTGTATCGTTCATTTTATCCTATTTTCGTCCCGATCCAGATAAACCGGAGAGGAAACCGTTTCCCCTGTTTTCCAGAGCTTTGGCCAAAACGAAATCTGTAACCTCGGATACTGACGGCGTCCAAATGAAGGGACCGGATGTTTACGACCTCACAGGAGACGATTCCCTTTCTGAGATCGATATCGTTGAGGATGTATCATCATCAAATCTTTCGCAAGCCACGAGCCTCTCATGCCCACGATCCTCTCCACCGCCTTCTGACATTACCCCTTCATCCAATCAGACACCGCATATACCTTCCTTGTCTCTCGCATCTAGTGACGACGAACTTGATTCGTTGCCAGAAAGGGACCTCGCGCGCACACAGCCTACAAGGATATTTGTGCCATCAGAGAAGCGTTCTGTCTACAAGAAACCTCCACCAACTGTCAGTGGTGGGAAAGTGCTTGATGCTCCACTTCCAGACCAACATTCTCAGCATGTACGAGGACCTCAAAGTACTTTTACCAAACCGAAGCAGTATTCGAAACGGTCTCCTCGTCTCAAGCAAACCACCGCAGCCGGTGATATATCGCTGAAGTTCTTGTCATCTCTCATTGGCGCTGAGAAGCAAGGGAACAGTCGTCGTACCTTCAAATCATCGCGAATAAATTCGTCCACTAACTCTGACCGCCATCTTGAGCCCCTTACACTTTGTCATGGGGGCCTTCATCCAGCAATTCGCCGATTTCTAACAGTCGAGCCATGTCAGGAGCCATCGTCCTCCCAAGAAACTTGGACCGCTCGCTGGCGTCCCAGGCGCGCAGAGGAGGTGTTGTGGAATGAACGTCCCGCCTCCTATCTTCGGGATTGGCTGGTGGCCCTCGGATTGCGGCCTGAGGAAAAACCGTCAATAGAATCTGGTTCACAAGCCAGTCAAAGTCAAAGTCAAAGCGCAAAGACTGGGAAGAAGGGGAAGGCTAAAATGACTGGATCGCAGGAAAGAGGTGTCAAGAGACCTCGGATTGTGCGTACCGTAACGAAAACCCGGAAAAAACGTCGCTTGCACTCGGACGATGAGTTGGACGACTTTGTTGTGTATGACGATGAGAGCGAAGGCGAAAATTTTTCTGGGGGTGGTAATCAGATTCTAGATGAAGTAGACGTTTACGGCCAGCCTCTTACTCGAACGTTGGGTTCACAAGGTCACGGCCATCCTATGGAAGACCCAACGACGTCTATTCTGGGTAATCAGGCCGGCAGAAGCGAGCCCAATTTCAGACATGATTTCACCGATCTTCTAACCAACACTATTCTTTTGTCTGGTCCTCCTGGTTGTGGAAAAACTGCTGCTGTTTATGCGTGTGCTGAAGAACTAGGGTACGAGGTTTTCGAGGTATACCCTGGCATTGGTAGAAGGAATGGCGCAAGTCTCGACAGTCTCATCGGAGATGTGGGTAAGAACCACCTTATTCAAAAGTCCTCGAATGGTCCCACTGCATCATCCTCATTGGGGGGTGTAAAGACGAAGGACGCATTTTCCACTCTCTTTAGTCAGGCGAAGAAGCGATCTCACCACGATGTAATAAAGCACGTGGGCACTGAAGACCACCCCATCGATATCGAATCAGAAAATCACGGTGATGATCCATGTTTAACGGACGAGCCCCTAAAACCTCCCATGCCACAAAGCCCTGTCAGTGTACAGACAAATAACGATCAGGCTGTTCTGGCGCAAGATTTTACTGCAGTGCGGCAATCACTAGTTTTACTGGAGGAAGTCGACATATTATTCAAAGAAGACTCTGGTTTCTGGCCAGCGGTGGTTGAGATGATCAAAGAATGCAGGCGGCCTGTGGTCATGACGTGCAATGGTGAATTGAGCCCCTCCAGTTCATCGCCAGAAAACTTATCTGCAGACTTTTCTAGACATCCTTCTGGTTCCCGTCGCCGACCTCCCATTGCAAACAGTGTTGACATTTCAGACATGTCCCTCACCTGAAGCGATATCTTATCTACAAGGCCTTTGTTACGCTGAAGCTTGTTCTGTCTCCCGAGAACATCTCGCCCAGGTGTACAAAGCTAGCCATTCCTTGGGCAGTGTGGACAATCTCGATGTACCACTCAATCCACGGACCGAGCTGCCTGTGTCTGACATAAGGCGGACTATTAACCAATTGCAATTATTGTGCTCTAAAGGAGAGCACGGAATAACGCGAGATACATATCAAGTTAGCCGCGATATTAACGGGGAAACATGTTTTCTCCCGGGGATTTCAGGTATTGACGGAGAATCATGTCCAGATTTAATCGAAACGCCCAGTGCAGAGTCATTGACGGATACCGGGACGCTAAATGAAAACTGGACTCTGGTTTGCAGACGTACAGAATTAACATCGTATATGGACAGCCATCTCCACAGAGTGCCGTTGGACACGCCCGAGGTGAGTGTTGTCGAGGATGGACTTCTTTCGTCTAATCTTAGCTGTGCACGTTAAGGCGCTTTCATTAAACATTTGCGAACCCTCGCCTGACGACGAACTGGGTCACAGTATACTATTCAAGCCATCCCACGTTTCGGACACGAGAGATTCACTTTCTTTCTATCACGAGGACGAGATGATCGTGCTCGAAGCCACTCGACTTGCACGTGGAGCACGCGAGGCATGGGACACGGATCCGATCAACACCGCGGCAGAGCCAGGGATCGAGCCAGTATGGGACGAGCTGTTCCGCTCTCGCGTGGCATACCAAACGCAGATGGTAGAAGCGCTGCAGTTTACGGTATATCCTCCTGCGCCTCTCATGCCACAGCCTGCAGTGTTTCTGGACTACATACCGTGGGTGAGATATATTGTTGAGGTGGATGATATTCTTGAGCGGCAAGCGTGGGATGGGATAGAGAAGCAGAGATCTGGGAGACTGACCAGGAACAGCATGAAGACGAAACATGCGCATGCTCGCACTATTGAGCTGAGTGAGGAGGAGCAGCGAATACTTGCGACGACGAAGCTTGAGGGACTCTGAGGCGAGCATCTGGGAGTAGCTTGGATACTGGAAAGGGATATCTGTGTTGCCATACTATCTGATTAGAGTAACCAGTGATGCTGTTGACAGGAGATATTGAACCTTGTAAGTGTAGTGTATTGAATGCAGTAGCGTGGTCCGCGCCAACAGGAGGCCAAGACCGCAATTGGACCAGTCTCGTTATTAATGTAGCCTTTTATGGCAGGCATACGGGCCACGTGTTGTCTCGGTGAGTCGGAGCTCCACGTTGTGCTGAACTGAATCCGGTTAGAGTCTGGCGACCTATAAGCCCTCAACTTTTCACATCGACAACCACCCGCTGAGACACAGAGCTCATCGTCGCCCACAGCGTCAAGCCCCCTTTCCCCCATGCCCATGGCAGAGCCCCCATCACTCCCCCCCATACACACCGACCACATCCCCGGTCCCAGCAGCGCCGGCGACAGTCCTCAATCACACAAAGAAACACAGACTGTACCCAAACACTCCCCCCTCACTCCCCTCGTCCCTCTCGAGTATCTCCAGAATCATCGCAGGGGCTCAATAACCGATCCTTCCCTCCATGCCGCTTCCTCAAATCACAATCCAAACATCACAAATCACCATCCAGGTTCACCAGCTGCGTTCCGGCACTCAGAAGCTATGCCTCCCAACCCATCTCCGCCATCTCATGATATGAACGCGAACCATCCAGATTCGACACCGCGGCCAGCTTCTAATTATGTCTTTGGCAGCAGTGAAGATGTAACAAACAGCAGCGAGCCCATCAATAAGCAAATGCGGAAGATATTGCGGTCTCCATCCACAGAAAGGGACGTAGGTCAAATCTTACATGCAGAAACAGACGCGTCTCCGCGAGCTCTTTCATCACCCACCACTGCAGGCCCAGGTCAGTGTGATCGCACTTCAGCCTCATGGTCAATCTATGAAACACAACACATTTTACGCAGCAGGGTCCAACAAGACAAATACATCAGATCAGATGGATATTGACACCAGCGACAAACAATCACCACGAATTCATGTGTCGATGGAACACGGAAAACTACACCCAAGTCGACAGCAAGAAGACATCGAGTACGATACACGAAGACAGTCGCTTACCGTAGGTCCCATTCTGATCGTTGTCTGACTGATAAGAACATCCTCACCCATTAGCAGAACTCACAGAACCCAGACTCGCCATATCCTCAAGGGACGAAGAGAAAGATGTCGTCGGACAGAGCGGCTTTAGGTGGGGATGACGTTGACCCCCAGCTGGTTGGGCCTGGCATTCCCAGCGGGATGGGTGCTGAGAGCGAGGGTCGCGCATCGAAACGCAGAGGGTCAGCTGTCGAAACCCAACGAATTGCGCACCTCAGTCTTTACGACAGGCGGAATTCTGTAGACTCGCGACTTGTAGGGTCTGCAGCAGGCCATGGCCCTAATGCAAGTATTGCGAGCCCTCTCGGTAATGGACCTCAGTGGTGGATAAACGATAGGCGAGATTCATCGTCATCTATGTTTTCGAACGGCTCAGGTGGTGGCTACTCCTCGGCATTTTCCGCAGAGTCGCCACATGGTCGAGCACCCGCACCTCCTGCACCTGGCAGCATGGCTACATTCGCGTGGGCTACAGCACAACATCCGGAAAACGACCAGGACCCTAATGCTCAAAATCATCCTCGTCCCTTTGAATCTCAAGCTCTACATATCCCCATGATGCCCCCTATGAATTTCGCAGCAGACAGACGAATGTCTGTTCCCGACAACACACCGTCGGCTGTTGGTCCTACGAGGACTCTTCGCTCCAGGTCGCGTCCTCCGTCGCGTCAGATGCGCGGACCAGATCAAGCCAACTCGGGCTCTACTGGCCCCTCGTCGGGTCAGGAGGAGCCATCATCGGCACCCTCTCCCTCGTCCAGTCTAAAGCCGCTATCGAAAGAAGCCGGCAATACACCATATTCTCGCTCCCCAGAGCTGCGTGTTTCGCATAAGCTTGCGGAACGAAAGAGGCGGAAAGAGATGAAAGACCTATTTGATGAGCTTCGAGACCAACTACCAGCAGATCGGGGGATGAAAGCCAGTAAATGGGAGATTTTGAGTAAAGGTATGTCAGATTGCGATGTGGTCTTGAAGTAAAAGTCCTTGGTGCGATAGCTGATCTATGTACATATATTATTGTAGCTATCGATTTTGTAGGGCAGCTTAAGCAGAGCCATCAAGACATGGTTCGCGAGATTGAGATGCTCAGGCATGAATTGGACAGTATGCGACAGGGCATACCATCATTTGGTCCTGGTGGTCCACCTCACGCGGTCGTTTATGGACAAGGTCCAGTAGTACCCGCGCAATACCCCCATCCACAAGGAGCTATGCCTCATGCCCCTCCACACCCTCACCAGCCTCCGCACCCACCCCTTTCTCGACCAGCTTCTTCACAAAATGCATTTCCGCCAGGGAGTGGACCAACTACACACGCACCACCTCCATCTAACGGAAACTCGAACAATGTCCCGATGAACAGAACTGAAGCTCCACCTACTTGAATTTGTTGTCTGTATTGTCATGACATTAGGGATATGTACTAGTAGGATAACAGGAGTCCTTTATCTTTGGGTCGGAGTCATGCAGGGCGCTTTACTTTTGTATATAAGAGTTATCGTATCAGAGCTGCTTTTCTGAGAATGCGCGTACTGTTTGATAACGAAGCTCCAAGTAAAAATGTTACTGAGTCATCCAGGTGACTGTGCGGACGTCGGAGCCGTGAGCCGGCGGCAATGACCGCGCATGGATTGAAGGACCGCGGGACGAGAGTGTCCTTGTCCCGCCACAGCGACGACGACGGCCATTGTTTCAGCTCACAAGTCCTCCTTGTCTCGTCCTGTTCTTTTCTATTACTCGCCTGTACCGTGCATTCACCTCTATCACTAAGCAAAACCAGCTACGGCAGCTCATAATTAATATCTCCTCTTATTCCATCACCACCACCACCATCATCATCATCATCAGAGTTTTTCTATATTCTGCGTTCAAACTCTCGCAATAATGCCTTCCAAACCCTCTGAATCCCTGCTCTTTCACAAGAAAAAAGTCGTCAAGAAAGAGCCGTCTGGCTCAGATACATCCTCATTACTAGCCTCTCCTCGCAAATCCGCCACACCACGACAGATGCCCAAACCCGAACCAGACGACGAGATGAAGCTGCCCGAGGGCAAGTACTCCGAGTTCAAGCTGATGTCCTCTGCGCTGAATGGCTGGAAATACGACGTGATGAAGTTTGATTCGAGAAAGTCCATCGACGTGTCGACGTGGGAATCTCCCATCAGGCTCAACAGGAAAGAGTCACGACGAGAGGAGGTGAACACGACACAGGTTGTCGCTGGACCCATGTTGGGCCCTGATGGTAAGCCGGTGATTGGGCCAGATGGAAAGGCAGTAATGGTGGATGCGGATGGGAGACCAATACATAACTACAATAACGCGGGGGAAGGTTCTTCAAAGGAGAAAGATGCGGCAAAGGGCAAGGCTAATGGAAGGAAAAAGTTTCAGAAGAAGACTAGGCAGGTTTTCTTGGTACCGGAGGCGACGCGACAGTTGAGGAGAGAGGAGCGGTATCCGTGGGTAATGGAGGATGGAAAGCAGAAAGAAGTTTGGATTGGGAAATTGGAGGAAGTCTCCAAGGCGGAGACACACGCTTTTTTTATGCCTGCAGAAACCGAAGTATTCAAATTCGTTCCCGCCCACCGATGGTACAAGTTCCAGAAGAAGCCTAATTATCACGTCCCAAATCTAGAGGAGGCAGAGTCGATAGTAAGTTGTTATTCGTATTCGCATCTTGACTCGTTATCAAACTAAGTTATTTATTTAGATGGCAAAAATTCAGAAGAATAAGGATCCTGAACGGTGGCTTCTGCATAATCGTAATGGAAAAGCCGCTTCATCGGCTACATCTGCGATATTCAAAGCACAAGCAGAGGGTCGCGTTATATCAAGCGGGAATTCACTCGTTCACACCGCCGGACAAAGCTTGGGACCCGGTAATAGGAAACTCAAAACTGTAGACAGAGAAGTTGACGGGTTATTCGGAGATGATGATGATGAAGGTGGAGACCGTAGAAGGAAGAGGGAGAATGATGGAGAAGGTGATCTCGATGAAAATGAATTCGAAGAAGAGTTTGCAGACGACGAAGAGGCGGTGAATCCGGCTGACAATGACGATGAAGAGGCGAAGGAGCTTGAGGTACTCTTCGAGCGATATCATCCGTGATAATATTTGTGACTAATTCTTGTTACAGGAACGACTCAAGAGAGAGTACAAGAATGCAAATAAGCAGCGAGAAGGATACATCGACGAAAGCGAAGAAGAGGATGACGACACCCTTCTAACGAAGGACGGGAAAAATATGAAGAAACTGATCCGTAACCTCGAGAAGAACACGGCTTATGAGAGTGACGAAGAACGAAATCCTTACGCAAGTTCGGTACGTACTATATTGAGTTATTCTCCGTCTTTCCCGATTAATTCCCATATAGGACGAAGAAGAGGAGGAGGAAGAGCCGCCAGTTGTTACGAATGAGCCTGCCATCCAGCAGCAGCCTCAACAAATCAATTCTCGCTCTAGTTCCCAGCAACCTTCTGCCAATACTCAATCCGGTAATCGCGGTTCGAATGGCTCAGCTGCAGTAGACTCTAGAGCCAACTCTCCCGTACCTGCAACTTCTCCAGGTTTGGGAGGTCACTCTGTCGTAGCGAAACGCGCGACAAGTCCGAAAGCGCCGAAGCTGAAATCTAGCGCCAGCCGGGGGAGTAGCCCCCTTAGCGGAGGTGCTGGCAGTCGTGCTACCAGCCCAGTGAATGGCAGTCGAGCCACTAGTCCTACTGTCGGGAATGCTGCGAGCCCTTCGGCTCCGAAACTATCTAACAAACGAAAAGCCACAGATGACTTGACTGGTGGTGCACCTTCCCCGGGAGCTGTGGCAAATGGTGCCAACGTACCTCCCAAGCCGAAAAAGCGGAAACCTCTACCTGGTGGAAGTGTGCCTACGGGAGAGCTGGAAGACAGGATGTTGGTTGAGTGGCTGAAGAACACGACGAATGCGACCACGAGGGATTGTATTCAGCACTTCCAGCCGTACTTGACGGACGAAGCGAAGAAGAGCAGGTTCACTGCTCTTGTAAAGGAAGTTGCACAGCTCAAAGGAGGTGTGTTGATTTTGAAGAATGCTTATCGGGAAGGATCTTCTGCGGCGTCGCCAGGGCCGGTTTGAGGTGCAAGAGCTGCATGTATTAGCATTGCTACGCTATCATACAGTGGGACTTCGACTCTGTTGTTTCTGGAATCAACTGGTTCTTGGCTTCTCTGTGATATGCAGGACGTGGAGAGTGTCCTGGGGTGTCTTGCATTGGCAATGAGAGCGTCAATTATTTCATCACTTGTTTCAGCGTCGGAAACACGGTCCTATATGCCATCAGGTACCGTACGAAACCTCAGGGGGGGTCACCAGGTAGTAGACGCCTCTATAGGTCAAGTATGGCCGTGTCGACCATGCGATTTCGGCACCGCTAGATTGAATGAGATGTATTGTAGAGCAAAAGCATGTGCATGATAGGAGGCGTAACAATTAATTGCTAATATGGTACAGTGAATCTTTTTGAAAAATGAAGCTTTAAAGAAGCCTTGGAACCTATTCCGAACTTGCTTGTCGGTTTGCAAGCGTAGCAGTCACGGCACTATTGAGGACACAGCCACCGAAAACCAGGGTGTCAGAAAGATCCCCTGTGGCGCACTCTTTTTCCCGTCTCTCATGGCTCTCATGACTAGTACACCTGATTACCGTTGACATTGGATCACGGCAAGTCCTTGATCCCGTCCATCAGGTTACTATCATGTTCCAGCAAGTTGTGTTCGGAAAATAAGATTAGCAAAGGAGCGTTGGTGGAGGAAGTAACTGTCTTGCCGCTATACAATGATAACGTGTTTTATGTCTATTCATTCTTAAATCACAGGTGACATATCTTCATTCCTCAACAATTCGGAACGTCCGTTACACCCGTCTCGAATGTCGTCAGCAATTGGCAATACTTGTTAAAGTTCGAGAAACCTTTTTACTAGCCAGGTCTAGTGCTACAACCATTTACTGCAATAGGCCCCAGCGCTACAATGTTTCTCGTGAGTTATCTTGTAATGTATAGTCGGTCCCACTTCACCGGTCTTCCTCGCCATGCCGCAACGTTGGCTGATATACCGTACTCGTTGATCCAGCGTCTGTATCCGTCAAATTATCGGCAGAAATAAATGCCAAGTGGAATTTGCATATGGCACGTACTGATCGATTATTTGGTACTTATCTGGACCTGTTCTGAACGGCAATACGACGTAACGAAACGGAAATCATTCGCCGCATACAGTCGTCCTCAAAATGATGATATTTGCCCAATTTAATGGCTCTATCCCCTTTCCCCGTCTCTCCTATAAATTTGCTCCTCCCTTCCCGTCTCTCATTTCCTCTCCTTCATCCTCTCCCCCCTCTCCCTCGTGAACTATGTCTCGGCGTATTGCTTCATTCTTTGCACTCGCTGGATGTATAGCTCTTGCAGGCGCGTCTGCGGTCGGATCAGGTCATGTACAACGCAGGAGCCCGTCGACGTCTTGGTATCATGCAGACGACCACCCAGCTCATTCGCTCTTCAAGCGTAACTTCACGGACGGAACCACCTATGCACCTATCGGTTCCCAAGGTTTGTTCCCTTGACTATGACCTACTCCTTCCTGTACTCATATTTTCCCCTCCGAAGAATGGGCCAATGCTTACCCGCAAGACACAATCAACGTGACTGCCATCCCCAAAGCCTGGATCGATGCTCTGAACTCCGCCGTCAGCGCTGGAAAAATTCCGAACCTTCCCCCGTCTACAGTTAATAGTCAAGGGTTTACAACATATTCTGGTGGACTTGACCCTAACGGGCAGGAAGTCTGTTCGGCGACCTACCAGTGTTACGTAGCGGATGACCTCTGGAATGCTCCGCAAGGAGATGTGGGCCTTAGTTTCGATGATGGGCCTTTACCTGTAAGCCATCATCTTCTGCGCTGATGCCGTTGTACTCTAGCTAAATCAGGGTGTTTAGACATCTACGGCGCTTTACGAATTCCTTGCCAACAATTCCTTACGGTCTACGCATTTTTTCATCGGTAGCAACATTCTTTACAACCCACAGCAATTCAGCATGGCTTTCGACCAGCTAGGAGATGATATTGCCGTGCATACATGGACACATCCTTACATGACCACACTATCGAACGAGGAATTGGTGGGAGAGTTTGGGTGGACGATGGAGATCATCCATAATTCTACTGGCGGGCGATTACCAAAATACTGGAGACCACCTTACGGTGATGCTGATAACAGGGTCAGGGCCATAGCAAAAGAAGTGTTTGGATTGACCACCGTCATATGGAACCAAGAGTACGTTGCATATACTCTCATTTCTATCTTACTCGTCTTTAACATGAAATCGCTATAGCACTGGGGATTGGAGTCTCACTAGTGGTGGCACTACGGCACAAGCGATACACAATGACATGGAGAAATGGCTCACTGGTAAGCCCCCTCCGGTTCTCTCACATCAATATGCGACTGATAGGCAACCGATACAGGTCCTAAAAACCCTGGCCTCATTATTCTCGAGCACGAGCTTTCTAATCAATCAGTACAAGCTTTCATGGATGCATATCCCATTATGAAAAGCAATGGTTGGAATACTATCTCTGTGGCCGAGCTATCCGGTGGTCCCGTGTACCAAAACTCTGACAATTCAACGGACCCTGTTACGCCAGGGACAGTGGCTAATCTAGCAGTTCAACCACCGCCCAATTCGACCAGTTCCACACCTGCGTCGACAAGGTGAGAAGGCTTGGCCTGCTATTTGTTACTCACCCGCTTAACTTTTGTTTAAACACAGTACACAATCCACCTCTTCGAGTGCCCCGAGTGGATCGAACCACAACACTAGTGGAACTGTTTCTATCAGCAGCAGTGGACGTGTTAACTATTTGATCGCATCTATGGCTGCGATAGGGCTCGCTTTTTTATGCTGAACTAAACTAACATTCATTTTGACATTACGGACTAAATATTCTGGGATCCGAGACTCCTCTCATGCTCGTGCTTTGCTTGAAATTTCTGACATTCCTTCGTTCCTTCGATGGCTTTGACAATAACTGGGACAATTTGCGGGTATATCGTCCGAACTATCTGACTTTGCAACTTTATGATTCCTGTAGTTTACATACAGATGCGTCTTGTACAGGGTTGTCACCCCTTTTGTACTCTAGCGCAATACGTTTCTGCATAATATTACTTTTAAAATCTCGAATGAATGCAGTATTTCTATATGGCCCTTTTGAATGAGAAATTACTTTGTTGTGTTCTTACAATGATTCTGAGTTATGTGTTTGATAGGCATTTATTGTAGTTTCCCTTGCTTACCTAATTCAATATATGATGAGTCGATATCTTGTAAATAAGGTCTGCACCAAAGTAAGACCATTTGGCGTGAACCCCCCCCTTCGGTGCCAATAACACGAATATTGAGCTCTTTTGCACCTTGATTTTAAACCCAATCGCTCCGATTGAATATGGCTGAGCATCACAGTAAAGGCTAGCTATTGCTTCAACCAGCGTAACTCACCACTTAGCCTTTGTGTGAATCGGTAGAGTTGATAGTGAAGCTCTCAGATGACAAACAACGCTAGTTTCAAATTTTTCTTCCATCCCGAACAGATGCTGAGCCCCAGTGAAAAGCGGATCTCGTCGGAACGAGCCAGGTCTGGTGTAATCGTAGAATCTATTGTAATCTAGCGTAATCAATCCCATCTACAATGCCAAGGTGATGTACCTCCTTGTTTCCGAAGTTTGCACCGAATTTAGTACCAGCCACAATGTTCGACGAGCTCTTTCCTGCCATTTGCATGCATGGTGTGTGCTGCCTGCCTGCCAGATTTATGCATGCATGTAAATATATCAATATATTGGTGCATGGTGTGCTCATCTTTGTATCTAATCTTATCTTATCCAGCGACATCGATCATGGCAACATCCACGCCACCATCCTCAATCGAGCTCGATGTTTCGCTCAATCTCCTCAACATGCACCTTTCATGTGGACTTAATCAAGACTACACGTTGTTTCCTGGCTGCTAGTAAGTACTTATAATTCTATGCAAGGTCTCAATTTGATCTCCAACTTTGTGTGTTCCAGACAGTTGTAGTGACATCCGCATGTCGTCGCCTGGGGTCCATTACACTTGCAATTGCACTCGCTTTTGTCGCGGGGAGCCACAACAAGTCTCCCACTCAACATTCTTTCGACATGCATTGGCTATAACGTTCAGCACAACAACTTCTAGTCTCTCAATTCCACCCTCTCCCAGTTCCCCACAACCACTGCCAGACCTATCCGAAGACCCAAAAATGACATCTGGCTCTCCTGAATCAGAGACATTGTTCATTTACAATTCAACTGTGTCGATACCTAGCAGCTCGACTGCACAACTTGAAAATTCACCAGCAGGATCTCAGTGTGGTGATGAGATGGACGACTTGAAGACACTCATATTAAGGAGACAACACAGCATGGTGAGTATTATTCTACTACCTTCATATCTTGTCACGGAGTGCTCACTCGGGTGTGATTCTCAGTCCAGTGCTGGAGGACTCAGCAGTGGTCACAGTGAAGATGAAGATATCACAATGAGCATCTACTACCGCTGCAGATGCAAACTCCTACGAGATTGATCTTGACGCTCTCTCTGAAACAGTGCAGTTGGATGATATACATATAGCTATGGAGTTTATCCATGCTTTGAAGGACGCAACACTTGATGACAGCAATATCAAGCTTAGTAAAGATTCCTTAGAATGTCATTGAAACCCACCCCAATCTGCCATTGAAATTGATGATCCCGACACTATCCTTTCCCTAGACATTTTTCTTGCCCTCACCAATTCATCACAGGAATCTTACAACTTGGTCCGGGAAGTGATTCTTAAATGTCATCCTGACAGCAAAGTCCTTTCATACGACCAAGTCAAGCAATGTATAACTGAGTTGAGTGGTGTTGATTCCATCAAAAACGACATGTGTATAAATTCATGCTTGGCCTACACAGGCCCCTTCAGCAAACTCATTGCATGTCCCAAATGCGGTGAATCCTGATACGACTCAGCCAAACTTGCAGCCAGTGGCGGGAAACAGAAGGTTGCACGTCAGGAATTTCATACTATTCCTCTTGGGCCACAGCTACAAGCACTGTGGAGACATCCTGATAGTGCTGACAGGATGCACTACTGTGAATGTCAAACATCTCAAATTTTTGAGCAACTCAAGCAAGAAAACAGCACCATTCATGTATATGACGATTTCTTCCATGGCCAGGATTATCTTAATGCGGTTGCAGATGGAAGGATAGGCCCTAATGACATGGTCCTCATGTTATCAATTGACGGCGCACAACTATATGAGAACAAGGCATCGGACTGCTGGATTTACATCTGGGTAGTCATGGATCACCCACCAGATGTTTGCTACAAAAAGAAATATGTGCTGTCTGGCGGCTTCATACCAGGGCCAAACAAGCCAAAAATCCTCGACTCCTTTATGTTTCCAGGCTTGCACCATCTTGCTGCCCTACAAAAGGAAGGCCTTCATATTTGGGATGCTTCCCTCTATAGATCTTATATTTCCAAGCTATTCATTGCAATAGCAACTTTGGACAGTCCTGGTTTATTATACCTGAATGGTTTTGCTGGGTATCATGGTAGAAATGGATGTCAACAGCTCTGTGCACAAAAGGGACGGCATAAGCCTGGCGGGACACATTACTATCCCGCTATGCTCAAACCACTCAATTACCAAATTCAAGGATGTGATCATGATGATGTCAACTTTTGAACTGTCCTGTCTGGGTCTTCAGAGGCCTATCACATCAATCTACACTATCTGGTCTCTTCACCAAATAGTACACAATACAAACAATGTCGCCTAGAAACAGGTATCTCAAAACCAACCATTTTCCTTGGTCTCCCACCGCAATGCAACCTCGGTGTACCCAAAACCTTTGGCTCAGATATCATGCACCTTGTTGCACTCAACATTCCTGACTTACTCATCAATCTATGGCAGAAAAACATTGCTTGTGATAAAACAGATGACAAGAGCTCCTGGGATTGGGGTGTATTATGTGACGAGGTGTGGACACAACATGGCAAGATGATAGAGAATAGCACTTGCTATCTTCCTGGCTCATTTGATCGGCCACCACGGAACCCAGCTGAGAAGATATCTAGTGGATATAAAGCATGGGAGTTCTTACTTTACATCTACGGGCTAGCACCAGGTGTATTGTATGGTGTGCTTCCAGAGAAATACTGGAAAAACTTCTGTAAACTGGTCTACAGCATTCACATATTCAACCAGCACAAAATCCTATTACCTGATCTTCAAGAAGCTCACAAGAAAATACTCAAGTTTACGGCAGAATTTGAACTACTTTATTACCAGCGACAAACAGACCGGCTCCACTTTATTCACCCCTCTATACACACTGCCCATCATCTAGGTCCAGAGGTTACTCAAAGTGGTCCGGGAATTTGCTCGTCACAGTGGACAATTAAAAGGACTATAGGTAATCTGGGCCAAGAAATGCGCCAACCCTCAAACCCTTATGCAAATATTTCCCAACGAGGCCTACTTCGCTCTCAAATCAATGCACTAAAGGCAATGATCCCTATCCTCAATCCAGAAAGAAATTCTCTTCTGAAGGGTGCAAAGGACGTTGAAGGTGGATATGTCCTGTTACGAGCAAAGGAAAAATACCCCAGCAATGTTCGTGACTGTGAAGTTGAGGTCATCCGTGCCTACCTGTTAACAATGAGCACCTACAATACAGCTGCTGTGAATGAATGGAATCCTATGGTTGTATGGTGGGCACAATTGTGACTCCCAAATGGACAGGTTGCACGGTCAGCCTGGAAAGAGATACTAAAGCCAAAAGAAAGGGTTAGAGTCGCAAGAAATGTGAAGGTATAGTATTAAACACTAATCTTCTCAGAAGTGGTACTCACCTACGTTACTCTCAGGTGTATCTACATGGGCAGCTTCACTTTGCCGAAGTTTTGTTCTATTTTCTTTTACGTCTGCAGCTTGATGGCAAAGAGAAACCACATGCACTTGTATCTATTTATTCAAAACCACATGCGACTCTCCTCAAGGCATCCTCAAACACAGTCTGGTCATGCACTTCTCAAGGTGATACTGGCCTTCAAGTTATCGGGGTGAAGGACATTGTTTGTTTCAGTGGTCGCAATGGTCCCCCATGTACCATTTCCTGGTGAGAATGTTGCAAGGGTTTTTGCGTTAGAGAAGCCTGGGTTAGACGTAGCATGTATAGTCTACTGGACAAAATCTTGTTCAAGGTTCAGGTCTCTGTTCAATAGTAACTAATAAACTATAGGTAAAATAGTATCAGGTAGCGTAGCCCTTGCCAATATTTTACCGTGATAGAGGAATTCAATGTGGAAGTAGTGCCCCAAAGAAGTATCTGTGCTACTTTGGTTTGGACTTGGTCGCAGAAAGTAGGATATTTCCTTTTTTGTCACAACACAACTCAAACTGTTTTCATCAACATCATCATATTCACAAAGGCACGGCCATCACACAATTCCACTCGCTCCAATGAATGCATTAACAGGTTTTTTGAAATAATCACATCATACTTTCCCTTCAGCTTCTCCATATCTTCTTGACCAGTCACCTGGAACAGAATCTGGCCCTTTTCCTGACTCTCCTGCAGCCTCACTTTCTGCTATCAGTGAATCATGTACAACTAATCCAGTCTACACAGACCGTGAATTTAGCCCAGCTTTTATGGTCAACAATAGGTCCAGGTCAGCTACTATGCAAAATTCATTGGGACTGCAGTTTGGTGCTCGTGAACTTAACAGTGTAAGCAATTTTTACCCTTACTGGTTTTAAAGCAGCCATGCTAACATTCAATCTATTCAATAGAGCTCATCTTCTCTCAATACAACCTCAAGCTATAGTGCTGGAATTGGTCATTCCTCACAGCCAAATGATCTGGTCAGCCAGATGATGGAATTACAGCAAGCAAACAGCAAACTGCACCTGCAAAATGAAATATTGCGGGCAAAGAACGATACACTACAGTAAGTCAATCTATTAATTATTATATTTTACGCTGAAAACAGGATTTTAGAGGCGCATATGATGCACTTGTTCAAAAAGTGCCACAGCTCTTAACAGATTTCAGACAGCCTATATCAATCAAGAAGGGTCCTGATGGCGCTATTGAAGTGCCAACACTTCCAATTGTTGTCTTGGACGTTGCTTTGAAAAGAGAGGACTACCCTAATGTCCGATTCTGGCGGAAGCAAGAGTACCAGCAACATTGTAAAGAATACCAAGAGGCACAGTTAAACCCAGAGCAAATATCTGGGATTGGTGAGAAGGCCCTTAATAGGTTGTTTTATGTAGAGTACGAGGATAGGACTACCATTGATACAGAGGAAGGGGGGAGGAACATACGCAAGCTCGCTCGCTCAATTTGGTTTGAATTGGCTGACTTAGGGATGGCACCAAAAACGTGGATGTCTACAAGCCGCGCAGTCCTTGACTATTACAGGAGCAAGATGTATAAGAAATTCCCTCAACTTTGCTTCTGTGAAAGTGACTGGAAAGCCGATCAACTTGCAATCGACAACTACCCCTCCTGGTATGCAAACCATTTCACTAGAGCAGAGAAAAAAGCTGTCAAGAATGAGGCCATTGATGATTCAAAGAAAAATCTACATGCCAACAAAGACAGCAGCAAACGATTGCCAGAGAGCATGTTAGTCAGCCCCTCTCATCCAGTGAAGAAACAAAGGTCCAGCAAGCAGTCAATTCCATCTGGCAATACACCAACATTGGATGTTTCGAAGAGCGAATGCACAGAGAAGTGGACCCCAGTCCAGGTACATTTTTGTTTAATATTTGTTTGGGCTTCGCTAAACAATTATAGATTCAAAACACTATGCGTATAACTGATACATAGACAGCCCATCACTTGTTTACTAACTGTTTTGTAGAGCTAATGTCATTCCTAGTAGCCCAGATATCATCTCTCAATAAACACTATCCAACCCCAGCAATATGACCATCACTGAACAGACTCAGCCAGAAGCCTCGATATCACCACCACCACCCCCTCAAGTCCTTCCGCTGACACCAACTATTAATGGTGTCTTAGAACCATCCAAAACTTGCGTGGTTTTGGACAGGACAGATCAGCAATCTGTTGATGTTATGAGGGAGGACCAGGATGCGGGGAAAGCCAAGGTGCCCAAAAAGAACAAGTTGTGTCCTAGAAATACAAATACAGCGAGGTATGTCAACCAACTTCATTATGACACTCTCTCGCTTTCTGATTTTGTACATATCTTTCTAGGAACCTTTGTGCACTTGACTGGCTCAAAATGAATAAAAATGGGACGGCAGAGGAGTACAAAACATACTACAACAACCTGGACCAGGAAACTAAAAAGGTATGCCTCCGCAACAGTTTTTCTCAGTTGCAAACACTCACACTACTTTTCTCGTTACAGATGTACCAAGAACGTGCAGAAGCAGCTCAGACACAGGTAAAGTTGTATATTTTCTTGTATGTAGTGTATTTAGCTAATGTCTGACCCAATAGAAACAGGCGGCTGGGACATCTGCTTGATAGCATATTTATCATGCTTTCTTTGATTTCTCAAATGAATAGGACATCGAGCAAACTCGATTTCAATAGATTTTACAATATCACACATGTATTTAATACAGCCTTGTGAGATCTGAGCAATTCTAGCTATAACGATAATATATAATTGAATAGATTCTACTTGTTCTACATAGATTAAATCTATAAAATAGTCCCATTTTTCTGAGGATGCCTGGTGTCATCTAGATAATTGGTCAGTCTAGATTTCCCTCGTTCTGACAAGATCCACTTTTTACTGGGGCTGAGCCTGTTACAATTGACATACCAGCACCTACTTACACTTCACTTTTGTACTTCTACTTTTATTTTCCAAGTCACATGACCAGTCATGTGACCATTTACTTTACTTTACATTTTTAACTTTTCATAGTCACATGACCAGTCACATGCTAAACATCAGACTTTGAACTTTATTTACAACTGTACAGTACCTTATGTGAGTCTGGGGGACAGCACTTCCCATTTGAATCATAGATGGGTAATATAGAGGTGAGAGAAACCTAACTCACTGCAGCCTAAGGGGTAACCACTCCCCATCATCTTCTTTATAGTGTGTTCCTGTGTGCGCCAGAGTAAATAACTCTTGGTTGTTACAGAGCCATTGAGATAGTGAAACTGTCAGCCACTCCAATTGCAGACACACCTAAACCAAAACATGGGCAAAAAGAAATGGGATATTCAGAGTCATATAGGTCCAAGGTGCTACATAAATTGTCGTAGTTGTGATACAATAGTACTATCGTTGGACAATAGGTGCAATTGGTCTGGGGAGAAGTTGAATAACTCACCAGTCGTTGAGCTTTAGACTGTCGGAACTTGACCAGTAGATATAATTTTTAGTTTTCTAGCTGCCTATGTAGAAAAATAAGCAAGAACTTGAAGCATTGGAGCAGCGGAACAAAACCGAAAAGACGACACATGCTTTGGAATGGTTCTGCAATTTCTGGTCACACTGGGTCACAGCGGCACTCACAGACCAAATCAGGCGGAGCTTACAAGTCAAATTCCGCCAGGTCACACAAGTCCTGATGCTGGTGGTATGTGCGGTACATACCAAAGCGGAGCTAGCAGTCCTTGATTGATTATCTTGGTGTGTGATTGTCTGTTTCAGTCGCCTAGTCATGACTCCATCATTGTTTTTGTTTCTCCAGACGCTTTGAGGCCCCAATCAGCTCAGTAAGTATCTGGCATTGTAGGGGCCTACCTATTGACATTTTCTAGAAAGATATTGCAATATTCCCAGCACAAGATCTGGTCAAATCTGGCCATCTTTCCCTCAAAATTCACACTTCTGGAGTTCAAGAGCATAGTGTCAGGTCTGTCGTTGTTGCTACAGATAAGCTATTCACTAAATTATTTCACAATTATATTCTCTATACTATATTCTACATCTGACAATTTTCTAGCTACCTGTACAGTGATTGTTGAGCCTCTGGAGGCCCAAGTGCATATCTCTTACTGGTGTCGATGATGAGAACTGCTGTTAGAAAACCACACACAAAAACAAACTAACACACAATCCTCCCAGATTCCACGGAACTTGTTTATGGGCTTTGCCTCCTAGAACAGTGGAGTGGTCTGGTTGTTCGTGGGGTGGTACATATAAAGATCCTTCAAAGTAAAACCCAGAGGTGTATGAGTGTGGGTTTTGAGGAGGAGGGATAGTTGAATTTATAGAAGATAGGGGCTTAGTGACGAGTATAGATGAGCACTACCTTGCTAATTGTAGCACAAGGTAGGTTTGAGAACAACGAGGATGATGAGGTGATGAGGTTCCCAGTGATAGCAGGCTCCTGACGCACAAACTGTAGTGCTCAGAAGGACTCTAATTGAAAGGGATAACAATGACTTCAAAAGTGGGAAGTGACGATGACAGCAATTAACAGTGGTAGCAGTGGGAAGTGTTGTGACCACACTGGATCACAAGTAGCAGCAAGAAGTGGACTTAAGATTAGAGAAGAAGTCTGGAATTGAGTTCTTGTTCTTTTTACAAGGTAAAATACAGGGGTTTCTATAGTAAAAGAAAAGTAGGCTATGCACAGTATAGCTGTGCAAAAAGAATGAGAAAGAACATGAAGGAAGGAATGTATGCTGACAAATCCTGTGTAGGTAGTACAGGATAAGATTGTCAAAAAAGGAAAAGAAAGGGATAGAACAATGAATGCTGTGAGTAATGTCACAGGTTTGTACAGCCATAAAGTAAAGTCCAATAGCAAAAAGAGAGCAGGAAAATCATGATGTCATGGGAAGATGCAGTAAAAAAAGGGCAAGGCAAAACACTATCAGTATCAACACAGTTCCTTTATTGTCAGTCAGGCATTCTAAAAAATATGTGTCCATAAAAATGATTCAAAAATCAAAAATAATCACACTGTAAATGAATGTTCTGCTGAAGAAAAAGAAACTGGAGCCACCGGTCCACCACCTAGTCCAAATTCGACAGTTCCATGGCCTTACCAATGGACTGGTTGTGTTGGACCACCTGATCAAACGAGGGAGGGAGAGGAGTAGTTCCAATTTGGAACAAGTGAGTCCCAGGCAGCGTGTGGTAGGTGTAGCTGTAGCGAAGACGATGGACAAAAGATAAGTGTACCCAAGTGAATGGGACAGCAATAAACATGGGCGACGCAAGGGGATGAACCTTCTCCAGCTCAAAAACTACCCACCCACGCTCCAACCAGGCAAGACGAGCGACCGATGTTTTGATAGTATATGATGGCAGATTGACATCATGAAGATGGACCTGTTGCCCTATTTGGACCGGCCGCCGGGGCTTTGCTGATATCAGCAGTGGCACGTGGTAGTCAACGGATCGGCGACGGAAGCGGATAGGAAGTGGTGACATCAGAAATGGTGGGGGTGCAAATAAGATGAGGAGGAGGGTGGAGTTGACGAAAAAGTGGATTAGAATGGGGATCCAGAAACGACCGTCAGGTGAGAATAAAAAGGAGAGGAAGGGGCTAGGCAAAGGAAGGGGAGTAAGGGAAATGACAAAAGCGATGGCGCAATGCAATGTGTAGCCAGTGGCAACGCAAAAATTTGCCGAAATGCCGAAATGCCGAAAGTACCGAATGGAAAAACAAAGGTGAGCGTGACTGGATTGCCTAATAGAGGTGGTGCTGATCAGCCACAAGTTCAAAAAAGGCAATATAAATTACTATTCCACGTGGCACTGTGCCTGTGTGGTGCAAAGGCGAGTCTTTTTGAATATTTGCTTCGTTATTGACACCTGTTCATGCTACCAATCAACTTTGGTGCATGACACCGGTTGCATCCGGTGTCCAACGATAGTAGGGATCATGTACATAACATTTGTTCTCTACAGTAGCTGTTTCAGCTGAAACCTTTATGTGCTTTTTCCTGGTGTGACTAGCCACAAAATGCCGAGTTCAAGCCGAAGGTGCCGCTCATGGTGCCTTCTCTATTACTACCGAAGCGGGGGTTCCTGCCAAAGGTCCTTACTTCGGACCAGACTACATTTATTGGACAATGTTGGCCCGGATCAGCACATGTTGATAATTGCTCTCCGCATGATCAAACATCTAGCTGTATGTAGGAGCAAGAATATATATTAATGATCTGTCGAAAGATTTGAACTCTAAGGTAGTAAATATATGTACGCAGAGTTCTACAAACAAATAAAAAAATCACCGAAGGCGTTACCAGGAATCGAACCTGGGTTTCGAGAAATCAAACCCGTCAAAATCTCGAGTGATAAGACCGCTACACTATAACGCCGATATGTGACTATTTATCCATACGAATTATGAATGACGCAACCGAGTGACAGTTATTGTGACTTTCCTGTTTCCTACCACTCCCTCCTTTTCCACCAAACTTTCAGTACAATGGAGTTCTCTCCTCGGTATTCACAACCGTTTACACTAGAGGAAGCTATACACCTCGACCTTCCCGTGATAACAGAAGGTCTTGCAGATACCTGCCTGCTACCAGCTGAAGTAGCTCACGCATACTCCAGAAATCGCTCGTCTTGAAAACTCGCTTCTTCACCTGGGGCAAACTCAGGAAGAACTACGGGAGTATACTAAAGGCCCCCCACCGTCGTCTCAAGATCCAGATATTTTGCAAGCAATTGAGGAAAATGAGATCACAATGTAAGCCACTTAGTGAGATAGTTTTACCCCTTTTCTCATGATTCGATAGAGGCTCACAACAAGAGCGCGTACTCATGCTGAAATTGGCTTTGACCCACAAAGGCGTACCAGAAAGCAGCGGTGCTCATTACGATTTTGCCCTATCAGTCACCAATCATGATACTTCTCTAAATGGGAGAAATACCTCTCCGACGAACGAGCGTGTTACTTCAGAAGGGACGGAGGAAGATGGTGTTTATTTGTAGCCTATTATTATCATGCATGTCTCTGGCGCTTGCTTCTGGTCTTTCATAATAACTGGCTTTGCAATCATTGCTATAGGATGTTCAATCACCCAAATAAGAGCCGTCAACTAACATATTTCATTTATCAGTTACTATGATACTAATCAGCTGTGCCCAATATGCCTCCTCGGGCGTGCCTCTGACAGCCGCTTCTGCTGCTTGACAAATAGTGTCACACCCCTCCGATTGTTGATCCGTGCCCGACTTTTGGAATATTGAGCTTATGATAGCGGACAAATCGAGTACAAGTCTTCGCAATGACGAGGAAGTGGATGGTATTTTTGTATATGGGCCAGGAATGCGGCCACGCACAGCATGCATAAATCCGAAGTAAGGTATTAGACGCGAGTGAATTGCTGAGACGAGCTGCGAGAGTCACGACAACAGTAAATTGGTAAGCACGTCCGCAAAGGAGGAAGGGAGACAAACCTCGTACGACATGTGAGCCCGTCTGCGCTGACATAGACGCAAGAGGAAACGAATGATAGTCTGGGCAAATGTAAATCGAAGGTTTCCTGTATAAGTGGAACTGCATTCACCTCGGAAGTGACAAGATCATTGGCTCCAATTTCCCATAATGTTTGCGGGAGATGAAGAATCCACTCTTCGTGTTTTTGTTTTTGATTTCGGAAAAGAGCTCCCAAGTTGCCCTTATATCCAGCATCTGTCTCCAACTTACAGATGCTATGGTATTAGTACCGAAGGACATCACCAATAAAAGCATGAGGACATACAAGAGAAATACGGGCAATGAATTCAATCGTCCACCTTTTTACTGCAGCTTTTGATGAAGTCTTCATTGCGTGTTCAAGTGTCGCGCTCAACACCGTTTCTGGTATCGATGTTGCTTCCTGTTCAGAATGTAACCCTACAGGCTGATTGAGCAACGACCAGATTGTTGGCAATATTGCAGCATACGCCGTGGTAGTTAACGGCCGAGCGAGTGCGTTCGAGGTAAAGTCGCATTGCAACAATTGGATGATGTATGAGCTGACAGCCTGAGCTTGCATGGATAATTTTCTATCAGGCGTTTGTGACAAGCCATGGAATGCATCGCGTTTTGTGTTTCCCTTGCGCCCTGTTCGGCCAAGATTTTTACGTTGATTGGACTCCGGAGAACGCCAGTGCGACGAAATGTTGAGTAATGATGTAAGTTCGCAATATATTATGTTAAGGTCTTGAAAAACCTGTTCCATCTGAGAGCGAAATTTGTCAGCACCATTTCAAGTAAAAAATGACCTGCACGCGACCTTCATATCTCGATGCGCAGGTTTGAATGGAAAATAAGGTGTCATAAAACCGAGCAATGTTTTCAATTCATTACACACTGCATCATGCGCTTGAGTCTATGATGCTGCATAAATGATGGTCTAAGATTTGAAAAAAGAAAATACTTGCTGGTACGGCTGTTGACTGCTGTAGAATTACTCTGTAAAGCGTACATGTGATCTTTACAGTAGCTTTGACGAGTGTAACCTCTACATCTGGTGGATTTGAGCTCGGAGAGAACACTGAAGGTGCGCAATCAAGGAAAGTTGATAATAGAGTGTCGTGAAGCGTTCGTGCTAAGTGCTGCAAGTAAATACACATATGTTGTTTCATCAAAGTTATAATGCCGTGGATGATGGTTACTCACGACTACAAAAGACGGGTCGATGGATGGGTGCAGATTGTTGCCTTCGGTGCTCATGGTTACATCCGGTAGCTCATTTAATATCTGCACATTCCATTCGGGAACGAGAGGGTCCGTTGCTGCTACATAGCTATAACAAAAATCTTCATCGAATGACTCGAGCTCGACTTCTGGTTTCCAGAGTCTGTGTGTGCTTGATGACGAACCCGGGCGGAAGAACTGATCATATGATCGGAAAGCTTCACCTGTGGTAAAAGAGGGGAGAAAATACCATGTCGGTAGGTAATCACTGTCTGAACTCCCAGTGTGATGGGTTATAGAGAGAGCCACTTTGAGAAAAGTCGACAAGGAGTTCAGTACCAGTGCTTTGGACTGTGATAATGCTTTTGAATATAGGTATAAAAGGTGTGGACAGGGTTCGTACCTTGGACGAAAGAACAACACTGGCAGTGGATGTGGCTTGGACACCACCTGTGGAGTTAGAAATTACTGTAAGGTCAGATACTTTACACATTAAGACAGATCTCTTACTGTCGGCGCTATCATATTTAGACCCTGCACTTAGTATCCCTAGATATCCCTCTAAAACCTGTTTGCCGTGCCCGGTCCCGTTTCCCATCCATCCTGCTACAACATTCTGGGGGAAAACATTCAGGAAAAGGTCTAAGAATCGTACGGCGTCGATGCGGATCTCGGGGAAGATGTTAGTTTGAGCGGAAGTGGTGAATAGAAGGATGAGTGATGAATATGGTAAGAGTTTTTCCTATAGACAATCATTCTGAGTGTTTTCGATAGAAAAGTAAGGGACAAGTCGTACTGTTGGTACCAATAGGAGGAACCAGTCTAGAAAACGCAGTAAAGTTTCTCGTACGCTGGAGTCCTTTTTATGTCTTCATCACGATGAAATTCGATGAAAACGTGTATCGTTACGAACCTCGTCTCCTATCAAACGCACACTGGCATTCAGGAAAGTTGTCAACGACTTCTCGATGATCTGTGGATATGCCTCAAAGAGTTCTTTAAGACTAAAGATGGCGTCTTGATGATATAGAACATTAATCACTGCATTCCTACAGTTTGAGATTGACGTACCTTTGCGCACCCCAGCGCTGTAATGACCCAGATGGGATATGAGGTCATCGAAAGAAAGTCTCTTCCTAGTGGTGGGTATGGTATCATCTTTTTCTGTGGCGATACTCTGTGTAGGTAAAGCAATGGCTATTCGACCATGTGAATCAAAGATAATCTTGCTATGAGAAAGTTGCTTACTCCGAGCCTTGAATGAGGTATCAATAACATTGCTGGCTAATTGTTTTCCTTTACCAAGTTTAAGCTTGGCTTTCTGTATAAAAAGTAATATAGCAAATGAGTTACAATCCCCGAGCAATGAAATGTGGAAAAAAAAAATACCGAAAAATCAGCTGCCTTTTCTTTCTTTTTCTTGGAGCTCTTGGGCATTTTATGCGTTTATATATCGACGTGTCCCAAAACGTTTCCCATACAATTCACTCGCAGCACAAGAACAGAGCCGACAGATTACACTGCTGATGTCTACTTCAAGTTATAGTCCAAATTCCTGAGTCACGAGATGGTGCAAAGAGGGGTTGTTTGGCAAAGGCCTTGGATCCAAACAACGTCTTGAGTTACCGCCGGCTCCGAGCCACTGGCGCTCACTCTGCAACACCCCCCAAAATGTCAGTCAGCCTCCCTTCGATTCTCGTTGCTATTCCACGCAATACTATTCTAGCTGTCGGACTGCCCCTTGTTCTTGGTATACTGAGTGGATCCCACACAGGTCGTGTTGTGCGCACCCAGTGGTACAATGTTTGTTGCCGTTGTTTTGATAGCGGACAGTCACCGTCATTTTAACTGATAGTTTATGCGGAACGCGCGCTTTAGACGTTGCGATTTCCACCTGGTCGCCCGCCCCGCCTAGCATTTCCTATTATCTGGCCTGTGCTCTACATATGTACGCGGCTAAGCTCAGTCGTCAATGTTTTTAATCATATCCAGTAGGCATGGGTTATGCTTCGCACATCGCCGTGAAGGCTCTGGACGTTTCATCAGACCCAGTTCTCCGGTACGTTAATTCTATGCCTGTGTTTCAGAGTTAGCTTCCTTTTGACTTCGTACAAGTTCTGATCTCACCCTCGCTCTTGGTTTGTACTATGCTCAACTCGCGCTCAACTGCCTTTGGAGCCCTCTATTCTTTGGTGCCAGACAGGTGGCGCATCTTTCTATACGCTCTTTTTACTTCGCTCGATGAATATGACGCGCATTCATAGATCGGATGGGCCCTTCTGGACAGCATCGCGCTTACCAGTACGACATTTTACATGACAGTACGTTGTTATGTTTCATCTGGTTCAGAACAATGCAGTAAGTTGGGACTTGTGACCTTGTCGCTCACCCATTGTACAGAAATTACTTCATGCGTCGGTAGGGACACGCAGCTCAATCCTTCTACTTCCCTACTGTGTCTGGCTTTCGTTTGCGACATACCTCACTGGTGGTTGTTGGTGGCTCAATCACAGCAGGAGACAATTGAAGTGAAGATATGATTTCTATCTTTCATATGTGGTGGTTTCTTTGTCATAACCACATTTCCGAAACATTTTTTGTAACTGGAATAAACTACAATGATGACAAAATGAATGGCATGGTTATGGCAAATGTACATCCCGCCTCAAAGCAAAATCGTTTCAAAACTGCAACACCCCTTCGAAGCATAACATTTGGTGAACGGATGTTTTCAGGAGAAATACATCATGGTTTTCATATTCGGGTGTAGATCCTTGAAACCACGTTTGAAGGCTTCGAGTGTCGAATCCGCCTGCCCCTGGTCGGCCTGCGTGGCTGAATCAGAGAAATCAAGTTGACCTTGGGGGTCATAATGATTCTTTGCACGGCTGCACACGATATCCGCATCTAAGAAATTTGCGAGATATAAGATTGTTAATGAAGGAGCTAAGGGACAAACTCACAATACACCGGGGCTGGGATGGACACAGAACGCGTAGCGCGTGCATAAACATGGCAAAGGGCAAACGAGAGAGCCTGCAGTCCGTCCGCACTGCAATTCACCCTCAGATCAGTTTCTGAAGGCTCATACTGACATCCATGAACCAACACTCACCTGAATTTGTTCTCATCGTATAACACGTTATAATGCGCGGGACGACTAGTTCCAAGGAGTCCTCCATGACTCTGAAGATACCAATCAAATTCGGTCGGATGTGCCACCACTTGGTCAACGACAGTACCCGCCGGGCAGTTGCCACTCCTGTCTGCATCTCCCGGGTTCTGAGGGAAGAATCGAACGTGGTGGCGCTTCGCCACGACGATCATTGTGATCAAAGGTTTGATCTTGAGCTCTGCGCAAGCTTCTGATAAAGTGAAAAGATCGTGAGTCGAGACTGTTAATTCTCATGTCATACATGCGCACTCTTCAGAGCCTCGAGTTCTATACATGATAAGTCAGTTTGCAATACAATTCAACCAATTATGATATGGACTCGCCTTCCTCTAAGACTTGCTTGAACTGCCCCTCCGAAACACCATCTATTAGCAAAAAGAGTTAGCGACACATGCCTATTACTGGTAAGTACGTGCTTACGAACCTCTGAAGAAAATCAAACGAGTAGGCGCTGGGTTTCCAGGCTTCTTTTCAGCCCTCTGGCGATACGTCATATACAAGCGCAGAACATCCTAGATGACCAAAGCTCAATTTATCAGTATAAATTAGTAAAGCGGGAGTATAAAATCATTACCACAGCCATCTTTTGCAAGTCTTCAATTATCTCCTGACGGGATTTCTGAACACAACTAGTTGCAACATACTTCGCAGCATCGGAATCCACATTGCCAACGAGTGCAGTGAACGATGGGCGACCCTCTGACCCGGGTGCAGGATGGATGACATCGGCACCTGACACACATAATGAATACCTCTGCCAAAGCAAGGAGATTTCACATACCCATGACAATAGTAGGATTACGGGGATCAGTTAGCACTGATGCAGATTGTTGGTCTGGAATGGTATTGATACCACCTAACTTCACGTTGATTCTGTGATACAGTCAATTAGCCATGGGCTATATGACTCTAGAGGATGTGAGCATACTTCAGGCAAACGTTTGCATAGTATTGTGGCTTCGCGCGGAAACACTTCGAACTCTTTAAGCATTGAGTAGCAACTCCAACCTACGAAAAGAGTGAGCTGAGTTATCTGAGTGAGCGAATGTATCGTACTCACAGTGACATCACCGAAACTGAACGAGGCGGGAGGTAAGAAGTAGTTCAGCACCAAATATCACTGCACGTACTGTTTGACGGCGGTGTATATATCATTTCCTCCATCAGGTAAGACTACAACGATAAGTTGAGGACGAACTCCGGTTTTTTGGAAGCACTGGGCACCAGCGTCACGCATTTGCTGAAGAATCCGCAAAGGCTCAGTATGCAAAACCCATGGACGTTAGTTCTGAAAAGCTCACATCAGCAATGCGGCCCTGGCCGTTTTGCCAAGTAACGATTGGAGCAGTGTCATTCACATTGATGCCTACAAAAGAGTCACAGGTCACATGCATAAATGAGCGAGATTATTGCAACTTAAGCACGCTAGGTCTCACCTACGCTGGCACAGCTTGACATAAGGCCAGAGATCATCTCTTGCGCGGCTTGCTGGTTAAACCGTGCTTGTCTCTCATAAACCACTACGACCCAACGATCGATGGAGGCGGGACGATAAAAACGCTTGTCGACCCTAGATTGATATTCAGATCAGCATAGCCTTCACACCCAGAATGCATCACTCACATGTTCCAAGATCCGTTTGCAGGTGCCTATAGGAAGGTGTTCGATATTGTAAACCATACGGGAAAGAAATAACTTACGATGGTAGGCTGTCGGCTATTCTGGCCGTACCTCAAGGTCGGTGGCTTCAAGACACGTGCTTGAAGCGCCAAAGGGCCAGCAGTATCTTCTACGTGCATACCAAATGTTCGGACATATTCTGATTGCCCATACGCCAGGACCTAGTCCATGGTCAACTCAGTGGATGCTATAGGAGAAGTATGTAAGCTTACTGCGAGTCCGTTTGTGATACTGGCGAGACGTTCATGAGGTTTTTTAGTCGCGAAATCAAGAACGTCCTTTGTCTTCTCTGGTGGAACTTGCTTTCTCATGATTTGTCCCTCGGGGACTGTGCATAACTCTAGAGGAATCAATGCCCCAGAACCCACCTGATTGAATGTCAGGTTGTTATCGTTTATGAACTATGCTTCCTGACACACCTCAATGCAGAGAACATCTGGGAATTGCAAAGGACGATTCAGAACCTGTCTAAAGTATTGTGCAACCGTCATGGAACCACCTTCCCGCATAGTAAAGGTAAGGTCTGAGGCTCCAGCTGAGCTGAGTTTTTTTACTACTCGGGGGGTTCTACGGCGACGTTCATCGCCATGGATTGTCTGGATTCGGATTCCTGAAACAAAACGCTGCAGGCGAATTCGTTCTCGATCCGGTAAACCGCGCTTAGGGCTGAGATTGTTTGGTTGCCCTTGCCTGCCGAAGAACTCCAGGCAAAGATCAATTAAAGGACCCGGCTTGTACATCGTTCCAGTCGATATATCCACATTCACAAGCATGCGTCCGATTGCAGGACGAACGGACTGGAAGTAGCCTCGCCATAAAACCAGGCCAACACCGATATCCTTCGTTTCCCTGTTGGTAAAGAATGAGCGCACGTTGAAAGGGTGGTTCATGGTGGGCTCCATGCGTATAACAACATTCAAAGCCTTTTGAAAGAGATCAGACGTCATAGAAGCGTTTACTGGAAATGGCACCTACGGTCAGAGCAGTCAAGACGTCGTTGTCGTGGGACTGCTGTCCTTGAATGAATCGCTGCAAAACCCTAAAACAATGATACCATGATATAGTGAATATCTGTGAAAAAACATTCTTACTCTGGGTTGATTTCCGCCACTTTAGTAAGTCTGATTTTATACACCTTGGGTCCTCGCCCTCCGGTATTCTCGCCTGGACTACCACGTGTCGTCTCATCAGATAAACACACGCTAAACTAGACTCGAAATGAGTTGAATCGCGCAGCGACGAGTACAACGATATACTTCTTGGCTATCAGTGGCACCTAGAGCGAGCCTCCTTGATGCAAACATGTTCTTCCTTCCATCGTACACCGCTGGTGGTGTGAACACGTTGGGAGCATCTATCGTTTGTAAATGCTTGATCAGTTCCATATTCAAACGGGCGGGTAATGTCTTCTCAGATGGTGAGATCACTTCATATGATCGCGTAGTCATCAGCATAGATCACGATAATGTATCAAAAGAGAAAGACACGTACCAACTGAAGATCAGGACCGGACAAGCAAAAAACAGCGATGAGTCTCATACACATTAATCTATAGCAAAAAAGGGGGTGCGCACCATCGTAGTGATAAATTATGTTTTCGGGCAAGGTGATGTTGAAAAAATTGGATGCGATAGGGATGACTCTGCCCGCTCTCCCGTAGTCAGACCTTTTGACGCCCACCGTTTGGACGTGACGGTCAGGTAAAGCGCCAGTCGAAGTCGCGACCACCACAGGCCCTCGAACAGCGGGAGGAGGAGGGCCCCCGCCTCTACCGGGGGGCCCTCCACCCCTTGGTGGGCCTCCTCTTGGCGGACCTCCTCTTGGCGGACCTCCTCCTGGCGGGCCTCCTCCTCTACCACGACCTCCACGAGGCGGACCTCCCGGCGGAGCTGCTGCTCTGGGTGGCATTGTTTCAACTTTGAAGGGAGAGGCTGACGAGGTATATATAAAAAAGACGCAACGGCGATGTTGGTGGGTGGAGAAGAAGAAAGGAGTTTCTTTGTTGCCCCAAGTTTATAAGAGAAGACGACTGATTACTTATAGAAGTCTAGTCAAAACAAAGGCGCAGTTGACATGAGGCCAAAAGGGTGGCTCAATCCATCCGTGTCTCACCGTGTTTGCTCTAGTTTAAGGTCTTCTACGTTATCAATACACATCGAGACCCACAAACACCCATAAGTGAAGCTGATTGGAACGTTACAGGAACGTGATAAGTGTCCGATGACCCGTACATATAATTACAGGTCTCGTGAACTGAGCAACGCCATCACCCCCATATAGTTATTCGTGAGCAAATTGCGCACTGGGTCTAAGGTATTACAGGACGATCGTCCGAGGTGTATGCAAGTGAGTATGGGTATATACAGATAGGGATATGTACTCAGGACCAGTGGTTGAAATGAATGAGATCTGGTTCACAGCAGCTAGTTTCCCTTCAGCCATTCCATGATTGCTGCGTGTCCGGCCCCCCCAGCGGTCAGGGCTTGCCCATGTCTGCCATCAGGATCGAAGTACAAACCTTTACGAACCCCATGTGAACGTAGATACCGTTTGACACGCTGCGACCTCAGGTAAGTATTCTTAGAATACATCAAGGGTATGGCCCTCCACCAGCAACGAACTCGTGGAATAGGGGCAAATGGATGCTGCGGGATCAAATAGAACGTACCTCTGCTTCAACGATAGCATCTTTACCACCCAAAAGGAACATCGTTTTTGAAGGGTCCCGTGCATTAGGTATCTCTTCGTACCACAGTGCATTGGATGACCAGTCGAAGTGCCGCTGGAGAAGATTGGCTACACCTAGCTCCGTTCCGACAAAATAGCGCATCAGTAGCTCCATACCCTGTAAATGCCTTTTAGATAACATGAGACTTCACAAACAAGAAGTAACTCGCCGTTGTGCATTGTCTGTACAAGAAGTTATAGCATACATCTAAGTAAGTATCATGATTTTGTTTAGCCGATAAATGATTTCTCGAAGTAGTTACTCACCGCCTTCCCAGGAACAAAAGGTGACAGGATCCACAAAGCAAGAGCGTACCACCATCTGTGGGTAACTTTTAAGCATCCATGTATGCGCATACGATCCGCTATCTCGCCGCACACGTTAAATATTCTGGTTCAAATGCTACTATATGATGCACGAGACACTGACTTGGAGTGACTAAGCATCACAACGCCTTTCCTTGAGGATTTGCCAAGTGATGCTTCTTCGGGTTCGGATTCGGTATCAGTGGTGTATTTGTCTTTCTGAGACACCCAACCCAGCTCTCTCAGCAAGCCGACCACACATGCAGTCGTCTCATGTCTGCCCATCGGCTTCAAAAACTTTGAATGGAAGATCTCCTGGCTGATATGCGGCTGTAAAGGTACGAGGAACGGTCGATCGGGAAAAGCGCGAAGATGATGCGATAAGAAAACTTGATACTGGGTCAAGCCCAATCCCAGCCCATGCCAGAATACGATGGGACGAGGTCCAGAGGCTGGATCCCAGCTTTTAGGAATTCTGATAAAGTATCTTTCAAGTGATATTTAAATGCCAAATGAATATTTCATGTGCACAAGTTGACTTACTCCAAACCGTTGTAACAGCCAAAGCGCACATCCCATGTGCGCATTAGCCACCACCTCTGGTAACAATTACTCGCAGCAACAAATACATACCAGAATAGAGGTCGCCAGTGGACGTTGACCTTGTCCAAAGTAAGAAGAATAGGTCGAGTAGTTGGATCGGAGCCCTGGGGTATAGTAGTACCAGAACGTTTCTCGATGAGGCTCAGAGCATCATCAAGAGTTACGCGGTGTGCGGGTGGAAGATTCTCTAGCGGGGGGAGCGATGTGTTGTAGATAGACCAATATAACCATGAATAAAGCTCCTGGGTCCGTATGGAAGACCATCGCGCTTTACGGAACCTTCGAAGAGAGAGAGAGAAAAAAGAAAAAGAAAAAAAAAAATACTATCTCAGAAGAAGATGCAAAGATTCTGAATGATCAAATTACCAGGTTCTCATATAGTTCCTGAAATCTATTGCATGGGGGTTACTAGCTTTCAGCTGGACTATATTCTCAGCCGGACTGCCTGGTCGATCTACGTCCAAGGTCTCTTCGTCACGGTCATCTTCAGAGAGGCCAGCTAAGCCAGCCTTCAGAACGCGGGTAAATGCCGCCTGAAGCTCATCAAGATGTCCAGGACCATTCGGAGATGGGCCTGAGATCGATCGGACCATAAGGAAGTGATGCACGCTAAAGAGAACCTATGATAGATGTGAACAGAGTAAGAGAAGTGGATGGTATATGTAGACATTCTAAACATGATGAGGGACGACTGACCTCACAGAGAGCGGCGGCGAACCAAATTTTGCCATGCCAGGTATATGACCAGATCCGACCAGTGTGAAGGGTATACAGAACGAACATCCATGAAAACGGCACGGCAGACCAAAGCGGTAAAATGACGAGTAATAAAACGGCGTAGAAGGCGAGATCCCTCTGCCGTGAAGGATGGGGTATTTCTGCAATGTCTGCAAGCGTGTCCGAGACCTTTGCAGACATAATTAGGATTAAAAGGTGGTGTGGTGTTGAGTCGTGATCTATAGCAAATAAAAGAGAGGACGAGCAAGAGCGCTCGAAAGCCAACCTTCAGGACAGAGCCTGAATGCGGAAAGGTCAAGGAAAGAAAACCAAGGACTGGTGAATTTATGGGCGCTCTTTCCTGGTAATTACTCTGGACATCCCACGAGTCCATTTCGGGTGCATCGCTGCTGTCTGATCCGATAGCACGTGGTCTCACCATGCAAGCCTCTGTGACGGTGCGTCTTTCTTCCGTTTCTTTCCTCAACGCTTTTTTTCTTTCTCGACATCTGTGATGTTCCGCAACGCGCTGTCGGCGGCGACCCGCCCAGTTCTTCACCAATCTGTATGTTTGCTGTTCTCTTACCAGCACTCTGCACTCATTTTTTTTTTAGCAGAGAACAGTTACAACGCTTTCTGCCGGTTTTCCGAGAGTAACCCAAAGAGTATGTTTTGGCTTATCGAAACGTCTATCGACATGTGTTGAGTTTAATTGCATCTGTAGCTTCCCACAAAATATGGTGGTGTATATACTGTAGGCTTCTTTACGTATATCTGAATTAAAAGCCGCTAATATCTCGGTAGGTGACTCTGATACCAGGTGATGGCATAGGTGGAGAGATCACGGACTCCGTGAAAGAAATCTTCGAGCATGTCAGTGCACCCATTGAGTGGGAGCAGTATAACGTTTCCGGCATATCTTCGTCCGGCGAGGAGCTATTTAAGCAGGCAATGGAGAGCTTAAAGCGCAACCGAGTTGGCCTCAAAGGTAATACTCCATCTCCATTTCCGTTCAATAACTTGATCTAGTGTCGCATTTTCTCCAGGAATTTTGTTCACTCCTATCTCTCAGTCTGGACATGTCTCGTGGAATGTTGCCATGCGTCAGCAGCTCGATATTTACGCGTCGGTTGTGATGTGTAAATCCCTCCCCGGCTTCCCAACCCGTCACTCAAATGTCGACTTTACTATCATTCGTGAAAATACCGAGGGTGAATATTCTGGTTTGGAGCACCAGAGCTACCCTGGTGTCGTCGAAAGCTTGAAAGTCTCGACGCGAGCAAAGGCAGAGCGCATCACGCGTTTTGCTTTTGACTTTGCGTTGAAGAACAACCGCAAGGTATACTTTTCCTCATATATAGACAATAAAGCGTTTTGATAGTGTCTTTCTAGAAAGTAACATGTGTGCACAAAGCTAACATCATGAAACTCGGAGACGGTCTGTTCCTTAACACCTTCCGCCGTGTGGCAGAAGAATACAAATCCGCAGGCATCGAAGCCAATGACATGATCGTCGATAACACGTGAATTTCATTTGCACGCAGCATCCATTAGTCGTCCACACCTAACTTTCATATTCTTCTCAGGTCCATGCAGTTGGTCGCGAAACCTGGACAATTTGACGTCATGGTCATGCCAAACTTGTACGGTGCCATCATCTCGAACATTGGTGCTGCTCTCGTCGGTGGACCTGGTATCGTCCCAGGTTGCAATATCGGCCGCGTAAGTTACTATTACCATTCTTATGCACCCGCTCTCATACACTTTAAAGGAATATGCATTGTTCGAACCTGGATGCAGGCACGTTGCATCTGACATCATGGGCACCAACCGCGCCAACCCGGCTGCCATGATCCTTAGTGCAACGATGATGCTCAGGCACCTCGGGTCTGTACCCCAAGTTCTTTATACGCTATTTCATATCTTAACATGTCGATTTCAGCCTTGACTCCATTGCTAACAGCATTGCTAGCGCAACGTTTGATGTCATCAACGATGCCCAGGTCCGAACAGCAGATATGGGTGGTCAGTCACTGAAGTATCTTGCTTTTGCTTTCCAGCCCTCACCCTTTTTCTACTTAGGTGCTGCTACTACATCAGAATTCACAGCAGCCGTGATCAAAAAGCTTTAAGGTAGCATCATTCTTCATCTCGCCACTGCCAGCGCGCCGCAAGCACAACCTATCATTGTACTAGACTGTTATGTTAGACAGCTGGATGTAGACATACCGCCCTCTAAAATGCATTTTAACTAGGTACCATTTTATTAATTGCGACGGTACAATATTTTGCAACCTTGGATCGCAAGACAACTAAGTCCAACTGGACCCTTTCTAGGTGAACTCCAGGTCGTCGAACGTAGGATCTTGGTCCAAGATGGCTTCGTATTCCTCCAACGTCAGCCCGTGAGACTTCTTTCTATCGGGCTCTTTTTCTTCTTCAACATTTAGTATCTTTATAACTTCTTTCGCCGTCGAAACATCGGCACCAGTCTTGTCCTTGCCTCTAAGAGCCAAAATTACTTCACACTTCACTTCACCTCTCTTCCCCCACCCATCAACAGCAGGCCTGAAATCCGCATAGAGTGAGAACCCTTTCGAATTGAGCTCGTGTGGTATATAGCTTTCTGCAAGGAGACGCAAAGAGCCGATGATATAGGGGGTGGTTTGACGGAACGAACGCGATATATAGGAGAAAGCCGTGCTGGGAATGGCAGGAGAATTGTTTGAAAGAGCCCGCCATTGTGACGACTGGGTCTGGTACAAGGGACTGGAACAGGTGATTAAGAGATGAACGTGATATCTAAGGACGAGGGATACTTACATTCTAAAATCCATGTTAGTCCACACATATAGTGAGACATATTGCCATCATCTTATTCTAGCACTCACCTTCTACCCATGAGCTCTACGTAAGGTTGAGTTCCATCTTTAGTAGCTTCCACCCCTTCCGCCCGACTATGACTATAAATACCAAGAGAAACGCCTTTCGATATGGCGTTCATTTCAGTGTATACCGAGGCTGTCGCATCATGAATACATACGTCGGACACAATTGATGGCATTATGGCACTTACCTATGCTTAGGGCCTCTTCTCTCTGGAAGCCCATTCGCTCTGCAACTATAGTAGACCACGCAGTCATCAAGGGAGCACGGTTCACAACAGTGGACTTCGCCTTCAATATCTAAACCAGAGCCATATCAGTCATACGAGTCCAATCAGACACCAGTCCAGCGGCATATAATCTTCGACTAACCTCTTCATCCATTACTTCCTCAAACTCAAGGCTGCCATACGATGCTGCTTCATCACGGGGTCCATTAGGTAGCAGGTCATTCAAGTCGTCATCCCTCTTCCGCTTTCTTTTAGTCGGTGTGGTCTGCACAGAATATATTCACAGTTATCCACTTATATATCGACATGCTTCACATCCATTACTCACCACAGCTTTCACGGCAGGCGCAGGTCTAGACTGCGATGTCCCACTCCCTTCCGCATTTTCAGGTGTATTTTTACTGTCAGCTTTGGTACCTGGGCTTGCCTTGGGCAGCTTTGCGGTATAGCCGGCCTTCCGGATAGCATTCAAGGAGACTTTTCTTGTCTCCTTATCGTTGATACCGAATGATATGAGCTTTGCATCAGTCAAATGAGATAGGGATTCCGGGTTATTGAATTCCTTATAGCTGATACAAATTGTATTAGAATGGTGGGAAAGGCTAATCCGCTGAGACATACTAACATTTTACTTGCAACAGCCATGGCTTTAGGGACGGGGACACCATGATTCGTTAGGACTTTGAGAAAAGCCGGCAGGGGAAGCTTCCTCGAGGACAATAAATCTGTCATATCGTGAAGAAGCTGTAGTGCTCATGCTTGAGCTTATGAGTAATCCTTTCTATTGCAAGTTCACGGTTTCGTTGTCAGCAATTCTAAATGTGGCGATGAGCAAGTCTGACTCCCTTCAGTTTGACTGTGTTTGTCACTTTACTAAAAAGGATATCTTATGATAGTGACTTCTTTCCATTTCCTCCTGGTCGTGACTACAAAAAACGAATAATACACAAAATAACAATCCTCTAGGGTAATTACTTGTCAAGGACCGTGGTCTCTACAATGATGCCAGTAACGCGGTAAGGGTCTAAGACGCAGACTATCAGTCAGGTACAATAGACGATAGCACAATGAGAGCTCACCAATGTTGGATGCGGGGCGACGGTCTTCCAGGTAGCCGTAACCTTGAGCAGCGACGTGCCTTGGCACGCGGATCGATGCACCACGGTCAGCAACACCAGATTTAAAGGCGTTGATATGTCCGGTCTCGTGACGACCAGTGAGACGGAGGTCGTTGTCCTCGCCGTACACAGCAATGTGCTCGTCGTGCCTCTTAGATAGCTTCTCAATAGCCTCATCAATTGCCTTCATTCCTCCAGGCTCTCGCATCGCCTTGGTGCTGTAGTTGGTGTGGCAACCAGCACCGTTCCAGTCACCCTGCAAAGGCTTGGGGTGGAAAGAGACCTTGACGCCCCATTGCTCGGCAATACGGACAAGGAGGTAGCGTGCCATCCAAAGATGGTCTCCCATCGAGATACCTTCACAAGGACCAACTTGGAACTCCCACTGCGAGGGCATGACCTCAGCATTGATACCACTGATGTTGACACCAGAGTAAAGACAGGCACGGTAATGCGCCTCGATCAGATCACGAGCGAAGACCTTGCCGGTACCTATTGTGAGATAACGATAACGTGAGTTTTCGATCGTTAATGAGGATTTTGTACGTACCGGCACCGCAGTAATATGGACCCTGAGGACCAGGGAAACCACCCTTGGGCCAGCCATAAGGAGTGCCATCAGCGTCGAATAGGGTATATTCCTGTTCGAGACCGAACCAAGGGACAGTGTCTTTGGCAAGCTCCATGACCTTGTTGGTGTGGTGTCGGTAGTTGGTCCGGTTGGGTGTACCATCATTGTTATAAGTCTCGGCGAGAACGAGGATGTTGTCACCACCTCGGAAGGGATCTTTGAAGATGGCAGCGGGACGAAGGTATACATCCGAGTCATTACCAGGTGCTTGGTTTGTTGAAGAACCATCGAAGTCCCAGATGCGGAGCTGGCCGATGTCGGTAACTTTTTTGCTCACGGTCTGGAAAGAGAAGCGAACATCAGAACGACGACGACAGCGAGATCCGAAAGTAAAAAGAGAAGGAGAACAAGCATTGTATGATACTGACAGTAGTCTTTGAGCGAAGACCGCCATCGCCATCAATCCATACATCTAAAACGAAAGTGAGCAAGATGTAACGGATGCAGGAAGGGCAGACATACATTCAGCTTGGACTTTCTCGCCCTGGGGCAAAGCAAGGTAGGGGGCAAGGAGATCGTTGTGGTATGTCTGTGCCATTGTAAGGATATAGATTCGAAAGCAGTGATATGTTACGTGCGAACCGCGCAGTAGAGCAGAGAACAGGAAGAAGGAGCGTTTACAGTCAGATCTTTAAAGGGAGTCAGTCTCCCGTTTCTGTTGCTGTCTATTTACCCGAGGCACCGTTTTTTGCAGTGTTCTGATTGGTCGATAAGCCAGAGATAAGCCCATTCGGCTTCTCCGCGCTGTCTGTCCGTATATATCCATAAATAATATTACCTAATATTAATTTAAGCAGCCGTATTGCCACTCCGCGCAGCTCTCCTGGGCATCTTTCACAGCTCTGCAGGTCACTGTCATTCGACATCCCACAGGGCACAGTGGTGTTGCTGCATTTGAATCATATCATTTTCACGCAGGGAATGGCCCGTGTGCTGAAAACTTGCCGAGTACTCGAATCTGCATACGTTCGCTGGTCGCTAACGCATTTCTGGAAAAACCGCGGAATCGCGAGCCGCCTTGATCAAAACTTCATGTCAGTTTGTTTTCGGTCTTCACTTTTTCAAGTTGCTTTCGGCCGATCCATTTGCTTCGACAATCAGTTGATCAGGAATCATGTCTCCGCCTTACCTGCCAAAATCAGGCTTGTCTTGCAGCGGATCACTCACAATCAGGGATAGCTTCCGTAAAAATGCACGGAAATGCCATCGATTGACCCCAGGAAAGTACTTGATCCTGACGCCATCTCAACGCCATCGACGGACAAGGCTAGTAGCTTGTCTCTCTCATGACAGCTCATATTCTGCACTCCAGCTTCTCATGCTAGCTTCTGACATCCTACAGCTTTTGACCCTGCACCGTCCATCAAGGCACGTCTGCAGGAATATAGCAGCACGGTCCGATCGTCGAACTCTTGGTCTTGTACGAAATTCGAGTCAGGTTGTGTGGAAGATTCGCACCACATTGCCGCTAACCAAGCCTGATCAAAACGGTTACCCTTGATTGAGAGCACGAGGATCATGTAGTCCTCCAACCCTTGAGGGACAAGAGTTCTCGTTATATCCCCTTGGGGTGAACTTAGTTTGTAAGTTCTTGCCCAGCATTGATGGCTGCAGTCCGTTTTCGATGCGTTTGCTCGGCCATTCTGTTTCAGACACCCCTCCCTCGTCTCCACATCCCTACATACATAAAGAAATTCGAATGCAGTGTTTTCTTATCATCGTGCCCTGCTGACTACTGGGTGTATGTTTTCGAAGGGCAGGTCATTCCCAATTTTTCTCGGCATGTCGAATCTTCATCCACGGATGGTTATTTAATCTCCAAAAGGTCCATGTAATGATATACTTGACTTGGGCTGCGATGATTGCACGGACATATCCCCTTGAAGCCCGACGTTGTGTGTAGTGCCAAACTATTATGTGGATAACAATGAAATGTCAAAGTAATAAACAGTTATAACTTCGACCTCTTCGCGGACTTCACGGGCGACGATTTACTTAAGCGATGGCATCGGCGTGAACAGATTCGAAGTCCCGCGGTCGCATTCACATTATACTTATCTCGAGCCCGGTTATCTATAACTTCAACCTCGTCAGTCGTTATACTACCGACACGCTCTATTGAAAGATAAGGACTATCGCGCACAGATACGATCTATTGACAGACAGATCTCACAGCATCTATTATCGAAATGTGATGTCACTGTAAAAGTCTATTTCCCCGCAAAATACCAAAATGAAAAAAATAATTCAGGTACTATCATCGTCTCTTCACTGCCTTTCTCCTTCTCCCGCCCGCCTTCGTAGTGGGAAGACGCGTAGGCCTAAAAGTCGTCTCGCCCCCCTCACTGGCACCGCTTGGCGTTATGCTACCGCTCCTGGGGGTATCTGATAAGTCCTCCGTCTCTGCACCGTCTTCCTGTTCAGCAGAGTCGCTCGAGTCTTCACTTTCTTGACTCGGTGTACGACTGGTGAGTCGGCTAAATGTGGAAGAGACGAATGCCAGGAACCACGTGTGTGTAATGGCGGGAGGGATTGCCGAACTTGCATCAAGTAGATGCAAATCCCCAGACTCGTCAAGCTGGGAGCATAATTAGCGTTATCTGTATTCCCCTTCCCCTTCGATAAACGCATAATTAACTCACGATGTAGACGTTATCACCCTCGACTACCATCTCGATCGTTTTGCCGGATACATAATTTCCGTTGTCGTCAATTCGCGGAGCTCCACCCAGATTCACTTTGACCTATATTGCGAAAGGGGATCGATTTTAAGACTCGTCAACAGTCTTCTATCGTTGGAGACCCACCTTCCGTTTGCCCTCCAGCGGTACCATTTTCTGACCCCAAGCTGCAAGCCTGGCATCACGTATGATTCGTTCCACGCGCTCGAGGTCTCGTGAATAATTCAACCGCTGAACAAGGTATTGCAAACCCGAGGTGATCAGCGTGAGAAAGACGAGTACGGTCTAGGGAAACGCAAATATATCATCATGGAGTCACGGACGCATCACAAAAGGTATACAGGACTTACCCCGAGACCAGGCCTAAACCGCGCGTAATAATACCCAGTGCCCCTCCATTTCGGTACACCATTTTTGTAGAAAAAGTCGTATCTGCGTGACGGCGTGTTTGAGCATCCAAAATTATTCTTTGAATCGGATGACCCTGTAGAACATACCGTTTGCGGCCCTCTGTATTCCTGAGAATGGTACCGACAACACCCAATCGCGCAAACCGCTCGTGGATACCTTTAACTCCAGGATTTTTGTCTGGGCTAATTCGGGGTGAATGAACATTTGATAACGTGAGATATGCAAGACAGGTGCTCACTGAAGTAGTATACTTTTCTTCCGATATGCTTTGTTGATTTGGGCGAGTGTAGCTGTGGAAGGGATATCTAGCCACGAGTAGAATGTCGTACCCTTGCCTAACATACGAGACCTTAACCTCCCATCATGACAAGAGAAGCCACGTCATACCTTCAGTAGCTTCCACTGCGCTGACTAAATCAAAAATCTCATGATCCTCCTATATCATAATAGTGAGTTACAGCGTGTTAAACTGTGGTAGGCGCTCTAGCTCACTTTGGTCCATCTGTGTTGCTGGCATGTCAGTTTTTTAACTTCAAAAATATAAAGATACACTCACGCAGCTGCAATCGTAGCTAGCGCAGCTAGGACGAAGAATAAAAGGTATAGTCTCATTTTACGTGGCCGTCCTAAGGTAACGGTTCACGACGTTGAGAATGTGCTACTCAAAAACACAGGATAAGTCGCAGGGCAAACTTTCCTAATTCTGCAGCGCGATTGGTGGGGAAGTTGCCGAGGTTGCACGTGGGCGCGATACTCCTACCACGCAAACCGCCGGCATTTGTCTCCAGTCGCGCTCATTAAGTAAGGTGTCAACTGCTATGCTCATGACCGATAAGTTGGTTTGAAGTACCACTGCTGCACCATTACTGTGCTTTCCATCTCCTGAATATTACCTTACAAATACATCAACAATAATTCAACTAGCTCACCATGGCGCCTCGACGGAAATGTCCAGTTTGCGGATCTAAACAATGGCACAAAGAGCCATCGAGTGGAATGATCGCCTGCAGCGAAGGACATGTACTTCAGGTAACGGCTCACATTGCTCAAACAACAGGCATGAAAAATGGCTCATATACATAATAACATCCAGAACTACAGGACCGAGTCGGGCGATGCAGAGGACCTGGGCAATCACACGATGAGGAAGCGTACACTGAAATCGGGGCGGAAGAAGAAGGAGCGGGAGAGTAGAGCTAACCCACAATGTGCGTTTATCATATTTTCTTGATATTTCGCTCCCCTTCTAGGTCGTCCAATTTAGCTGATATTTCTATCTTTCTGTACCGTTATATTGATGGTAACTGAATGTCACGCCCTTAATAGTCTATCATGGCGCCAGGGCGCGTTTCCATTATTTTCAGTGTCTGCAGCTGTTGTTGCGCCACCAGGTTTTGGCTTTAACTGCCTTGTGGGAGTTACCTCCTGAATTCGAGGTCAGTTCGATTCTCTATCCTTCAGAGTTATCTTCATCATAAATAGATCATTTGCAGGGACATATGGGCACTCCATCTAAATCTTCTTCCTAACCCGCCTCCGGCAGAGCCTTTCTTTCATATACTGGAACAAAACGGAGAAAGACCCGACCCAGTCCCGAATGTCAAGCCTCCATTACCTAGTCGCGGGCAGGAGGAAGAACCACCCGAGGGCGAAAATAAGATTAAAACTCGTGAAGAAGCTGAAAGTTCGGGATCAGAGTCTTCATTGTCCAGTGACGAAAATCAGGGCGAAGAAGACCCAGAGCTAACAGAACTCTTGCGGGAGAATTCCGAAACCAGTTCCTCAGACGAGGAAGCTGATGAAGCTCCTCAATCAAAACCTGGTAATCGGCCAAAGCACCAGCGAGGCTTGGTTGGAAAATATGATGGGCCTCTGAGCACTGTTGCTGTACTCGTGCTTGCATGCTGGACGATGCGTTTGCCGGTGATGTACATGGATTTTATAAAGTAAATCCCTATACTTGAATGCTTGGCATCATGGTGGCTAATCACGAAAATACAGGATTATAGATTCATACAAGCTCCCATATCTGGAGTCAATCCGTATACTGCCTCCTTCATTAACCCTTCATCTAACCAAGCACATCATACAAGCGCTGTCACCACATGTACATATATTCCTTTCATGCCGCATTTTCCGGATTTTGAGCTGATTGGATTGCTGCAGCACGCTCCTAGCACGCTTCAGCTACATGGCCTCGCGTCTCACCTTGCAAAACTCATGTACGCCAAGTACAGTGTTTTCACCCCCGAACTTAATGCTGCACCTATCCTGTGGCGCGTTACTCGTTACCTGGGTGGCACTCGTAAGATGGTACCTTGTTTATGGGCGTTTGAATTCCAACTGATGCTGTGGTTATTTGTCGATTACGTATTAGCGACGCTGTATGACCTCGCAAAGCGGTTAGGGCGTGTATTATCACTGCCGTTGACGCTCCACTACTCGTTGGCCCCAAGCTTGAAACGAATCAGGAGGACCGATCCCGAGAGCCACAAATTTGATAATGTTCCACCAGAACTGAGCCTCATGGCTACAGTTATTGTTGTCTTGAAGATGGTGTATGGCTTAGATGGGAAAGTCAGGTAATGTCATTGCCATCAGAAATCAGGGCATCTATTCATCTTAGTCGGTGACGGCCGTAGGCTTCCGAGAGAACCATCGGACCCAGCCTGCGCGCTTCCTCGACTCGAAGAGTACCTGGCATTACTAAAGAGGATGGATGAATCGGACGCAGAAAGTAGAGAGAACCAGTGCAGCTCCAGATCGGCAATGTCAATCCTGATCAACGTGTATTGGCTGAGACTAACAAAAATACAGGCCTGTAGGTGACGCAGACGACGCAACAATCGACGAATATCTCGATTTCTGCGAAAGAGTGCTCATAGGAACCACAAATGGCAATACAGGTGAGTGTGATTGAATCCAACCGCTGTAGCTATTTATGCGGATTCTTCCCCACAAGGGTACATCCTCGATAAATTTTTCCCACTATCGAGTGAAAACACAGGAGAGACGCCAACAGTGGCAGGATCAGATCAGATTGTGCTCGCGCTCCCACCAACGACAGTCAATGCAGATGACGAGACGGTGCTTCGCCCGGGTGAATCGCACACGATATTCAGTTCCCGCGATGTTTTAGGAATATTACCTGAGGAGCTTGAGTTGATACTACGGCGAGGGGCACAGAGCGTAGGGGTGAGTGGGAGCTACCTGTGTGGTGCAGTGGAACGATACGAGTATCGTATTGCACGGTGGTGGAAGGGCGAGAGACGACGAGAGAAAGAAGGGCGAAGACAGGAGGGCGATAGCTAAGAATAGCCGGGTAGCCGTGTGGTCAGTGTGCCGGTGAGACAAGTCTGCGTGTTGATGAGATTGGAGGTGGCAGGCGATGCCGTGGGTGTTCTCACGACGCTGCGAATACATAAAACAAATGACAGAGCACGATGGTTGTTGCTGGCTGCAACGACGAGCTCTGACCTTTACGCCGCGACCAGTGAGCTAGTTCTGATCCAGTGAGTAGTCTATACGGCCATACGGAGGCTAGAGAGGCTAGTATAGGAAGCCGTGCACGCTAAAAGCCAGTTGCCGAAGACGCGCCGCAAGCTCTAAAACCGGATTGGCAGTTCAGACCTTGCTTGCACGTTTCATTGTCGTCTTGAATGTGACGGTCCATTTGTAATGCTTTAATCGCTTTCTTTACTCTCTTTAACCCACCCCGTCGCTTTATTCCCCTCGTCCCCTTCCACCACCATGCGTCGGATAGCCTCTGTATTTGGCTCAAGGCGTTCAGACAAGCAGGATGCAGCACCCACCACCCCCAGCATCGAGCACAGCGATCTCTCAAGGGACAGCACGATCAAGAAAAAGCCCGGGGTTCTCAATTCGCTCTCTCGGAAAGCACTCCATCCAACAATGCCCCAGCTCTTGCCCAGCATCCCTGCGAATTCCTCCTCTTCCTCAGCATCCAGCGGTTCAACCGCCCTGCGCACACCGGAGGACGAGCCTCTCTCACGCTCTCTTAGCAAGAAAAATTGGAAATCATGGATGGGCGGCAAGAAACCTGCCGGCATGAATGGTCTACGCAACGAATGGGACCCGAAACTCGACTGGGAGCCGTTGCCAGCTGCGAATTTGTTTTCTGCACCACAGATCGATCGCAGTGACACTGAGCTTGGCGATACCTCATCGCAGTCTGAAGAGTCTGACCGTCATGTTACCACTCAATCTTCACTCCGGACGATCACTCCCCTCATCATCGCCCAGGCTCGCTCAAATCTTCGAACTCTCATCACAAACAGTTTTCAGCTCATGCCATCATCACCCCCCTTACTCCAGCGTTCAGACCACTTCATTTCTCCTCGTTCATGCAATATATCTCGTCTGTTGCCAGTACAAGAAACGATGGAGTCCAAAATGCACAAGGAGAACCTGTTGCACCGCCTCGACCGTCTCACTCGCTCCGAGGAACTCTCGATACTGCCCCTCGGCCTAAGGTCTAATATAGCCCCTAAGAAGCCCATATCTTCCGATAACGATATAGACAGATTCCCGCCAAAAAACAAGTTGCTTACCCATAGTCCAGGGCTAAATACGTGGTCTTCTCGTCGTTGTTACGAGGACAGAGTGCTTGTATGGACTCGTGAAGAGGAGTCAGGCGACGTCTACTGTACGCGCGTGACTGGTTCCGAATTCGGAGTCGCCGCAATCGAGTTCTCTGAAAGCTTAGAGCTTCTAGCTGGGTTAGTACCTGAGGGCCATGATGAGGAATTTGTGCCCCCGATATCATCAGCATCAAATTCTGTTCCAGCATCTGGTACGTTACACTCATACCTTCTTTTGTCTATTATCTCCTCACGTGGTCTACCATAGGCTCTATTCAGGTAACGCGCACACCTGATGCGGCCAAGTTGACGCCTTCTCCAGCTCGTGTTATAAAGAGCCCGACGCCACTGGAGCGCCAGACACCTGTAGACGCTTCTGTTGCAGCAATTGCAGCACCTGCTAAAAGGGGTGTTCGGTTTGCTGAAGACGACAAGGATGATCAGATTCCTCTCGGTTATGTTCTACGCATAAAAAAGAAGCGAGAAGAAAAGGCCAAGTTCCTTCGCGAAGAACGCGAACGGAGAATTCACGAGGAGGAAAAGCGCAGACAAGAAGAGGATCGGCAGAAGCGGGAAGCCGAGAGGAGAGAATGGGAAAAGGAGCGTAAAGCATGGGAAAGGGAAAAGAAGATGATTGAGGAGGAACGACAGAATAGGGCGTACGCTGAGGAGGTCCAAGCTGCAAGAGCAAGGCGCGAGGCCTCTCGAGCTGGTCAATCTTTTGTCCCACCCTCGCCGGCCCGGCAACCAGAGCGTTCAGTAGTTCGTCAGCCCTCGTACTCTCGTCCGCAATACGGCAGATCTTCGTCGCAGCGACAGCATGTCCCCGAGCTTGTGCTTTCAAGCCCAAATCCTTCTCCGAATGATGGTTCTCCTGTCAGCTCTCGACCGCCAAGCATCACTGGAGCCTTACCTGCCACTCCTGTCAGTCAGCGTGGTTTCTCAAGGCCACCATCCGTGTATTCGGCCCATACCTTATCGTCCTCGGAGGATGTTCGGGCTCGTGATGGTCGTCGTGTTAGTAAGCGCAATTCCATGATCGGTGATTTCACCAAGCAGCCGCTCTCTCCTCATATGCAGCCGAATTTCCTTCCTTATCCATCTCAATGGGGTAGCATCCCTCCAGTTCCTGTACTTCCTTCTATGCCATTTTATGCTGTGGATATGCCTCTCCTTCCCCCATCTCCTCCTTTCATGATGCAGCAATATGGCCGTCCACGCTCCTACAATAATTCCTCACAAGGTCAACTCTCGCAGTCATCGCCTCGGCAAAGTACAGCCAGTTTACCCAGGAATAATAGCGTAGAAAGGATGAGTAACCGTAGTTCTCCGTCCAGCCCTCATACAAGTCTTCCACACCACCAACGCCGCTCTAGTGATGAGGCAGTGACAAGGACAGTGACTCAGAAGCCTTCGATTGATAGGAGATTAGGCAGTCAACCCGACCTTCGGGATAAGAGGTCATCCACATTACTGTCGTCACCTGGCGCTTACCCCGCCAGCGGCTTGCGGCAAGCATATAGGCCACCTCCCGTTTCCATGCCCATGCACGCTGTTCCCACTGGTGCAGGTGCAAGGCCCACATTGACTATGCAGAGGAGACAAAGTGTGATCTCATGACCTCTTGTGGACAGATTCAGAACACTTTTTCTTGCAAGTCCTCTAACATTACATTGTCGATCCCGCGCATAGCTTGCAATGCATTAGCGGTATACGATTCCGCTCATTTATATCGCATTCTCTATACTCAATACCCACTCGCATTGGATTCGTGCATAACTGAAGACTATTTTCTTTTTATTGCGGGTATTCTGTGTACTCGTATTAATTATTCGTTCTCCTTTACCTCTTTCCGTTCCAGGAACTTTCTCCATCCACCCAAACATCTGTCATACTAGTGCTCAGCTGCATCGGTCTTGGTAATCACTCTGATTTTCTCCTACATACTTTCTCTTGATCAGGACTTTTCTTCTGTTATCGATATCATTTTTATAGCTTGGTACACTCCAAATTGACATTGTACGAGGTCATGTTTGAAAACTCATCATAGGATGTTTGATACTGGGAAAATTGAATTACAATGCTATCGTGCAAGTTATCACACGACATGTGTTAATAAGAGGGATCTGGAGATATGGAACGTCACTTCAAATTTCAAAGCTCCAAGCTTTAACGTCTCAAAATTTCAACATTGGTTATGGGTGGATCGTTTTGCGCTTGGATTTGGGTATGCTCCTGTCTGACCTAAGTCTATAGGGGTTTACCATAACTGTTACAACTCGAGGACATAATGTACTTCTAGCAGTTGCCACATCGATATAATTACAAACACTATTTACTAACCAACATGAATAGAGATAACTACAAAAGTACTAGCCAAGATCAACGAATACGAAAATAATGGATCTAAATAACTCATGCCAGACCACCCCATGGACCCCGTATTCTTCGAGCAAGTTGTATGTCACGCTGCATGATTGTTACGCGTTTTGCATGAATTGCACATAGGTTACTGGACAGTGCGCGAAGGTGTGAAGATCAAAACCAACAAGAAGGAAAGGGGAAACGCACGCGTCTTCAAAGAGGTGAACAAGGAATGCTTCTGTAGCTTCTTGTAAAGCCATGATAGCCGAGCTCTGCCAACGCAACCCTGCCCCCTCACCATAGTTGTTGGTGTCTGTTATCATGTCCAAGGCGATTTCTCGCACCTAAGGGTCGCCTGTAAGCATACCTCAAGTTACAGTGTTTGAGCACATGAAAAGGTAGACGAACCACGCGGGCAAATGGCAGTTTTCGAAGTAGCAAGTCTGTGCTTTTCTGATACTTTCGTATTTCGCGTAAAGCCAGTGTTCCAGGACGGTAACGGCGTTTCTTCCTCCCACCCCCCTCCTCACCGACATCGGATTGCCCTGTTCCACAAAGTCTGAGTATTGTAGCAAAACAAGGATCACAGAGACTTACGCCGTCCCCGCCCTGGTAAATGGGATGATGCCCCCTCGCCGCTTTCCCTCACGATTCTGCCACCAATGGTGCTTTTCCTCGCAGTGGCTTGTTTCACTTTCTTTGGTGGTGCTGGAGGGTCGTCGTCAGAATTGTCGTCGTCGAGCCTTCGTGCTGAGCTCGATGCGCCTGAAGGTCTCTTTCGTTTCTGCACGGTCTGCGCCATTTAGGAGAGAGATGAAAGGAGAGATCACGAGACCGCGTTCGAGAGCAAAGACTCAACTCGGAATCTCACTTTCACGGTGGCCTGCCCATAAGGGCGGGCTTTCAATTTGGGACGAAGGAACGTTCTCCATATATAGTAAGAAAGAAGCTTTCCACATACGCTCTCGTTCCCTCTTCCTACCACCACGATGGCCATCTCTCCAGTGATAACAGGATATTACAGATATACGGATATATGGTTTGAATGGTAACGAGACATGATTTCATCCCTGATCTGCCACTCATGCATTCCTTCTTGTAATAGGCACCAGGCTCTGCCAAACCCAGATGACCGAGGTCCACTCAAGGCCGTACTGGCACACGATGCTCTCGTTCATCCGGACCACCCCCTTCGCAGAAAGGATGTCGATGGTGCAGAACTTTTCATGGGCTAGTATTTCTGTGTCTTTGAGATTCGTCGCTTGGCCCTGATCTTGCCACAGGAACTTTGCAAAACTACGAAACCCGTCTGCTATTTTCTTCCGCTCAAGTCGAATATCTGAGATACTGGTTACATGCAATGGGGCTCACCAAGGAGCCTATCTCTATCCCATACTCAGACTGCCTCTTAACCGATTCCAATCTGCGGCACGTCTCACCGGTAGTGTATAAAACTGGTGGCGAGCTGAAGAGTGCACTCAAAGTACTTTAATACACACAATCAGCTTAATATTCAACTTAATGACTCCACTCATCATCTAGAAAATCGAGAAAAATAATAAACGACTAAAGGGAGCCAACCCATTGCTTAACACGCGCCGTGATCTCTTCGAACGTGTTCGGTCTTACTGGGCTAGCAAACGTGGCGTCTGGTGTGCTCTAGATTTCGAGGCTTGGGATCGCGATCATACACTCTTAACCGAATTTGGTTGGTCGCTTATCCGATGGCAAGATGATGAAGAAATCGAAGAACAAGGCCATCTGATCGTGAAGGAGCACCGGTACTACACCAATACATATGTGCCAAACCACGGAGAGGTACGGATTAATTACGTGCTTGTGTCTGCGTCCCTTCTTAATGATCCGCGTCATCAGCACTTTAAATTCGGGGAAAGCCAGATCGTCACCAGAGCTGACTTCAAACAACGGATTCAAGACCTTATCTCCTCCCTTTCTGAAAATGGACCTGTTTATCTTGTATTTCACGATAACAACCAGGACATAAAGTGAGCTCTGCTTCTCCTTTCTCAATTTTCTATATCCATTCAGTCGATGTTAGATACTTGCGCTCCAAAATGGTCGACGCACAACTACCAGAGTTGACGTTCTTACTCCCTGACGCCACTCCCAGTGAGGGCATGTTCATCATAGATACTTCCGATCTTTTTGCCGCATTGGAGGGTGAGTCTGGCCATAACCGGAGATCACTTGAGCGTGTCTGCAGGCATCTGCAGATACCTACCGAGTATCTACACAATGCTGGTAACGATGCACATGTACGTTTCTCGTCACCCTTTATCCGCAACATGACCAGTACGAATAATGAAATTCTAGCATACACTACAGGCCTTGACAGCGATGGCGTCCGGTGATCCCTTGGACATACAACGAGAGAAACGTTGGCCCAATCGCACAGACACCGCCAACTCTATCAATGGATCTCACGTTGGAGCTGGCGTCAAAGTGCAATTTCAAGCTTGGGAAGATGAAGATGACTTTTCAGACCAGGAAGGGCTTTTTGCCTCGTATTCAGGGTATAATTTGAAAACCGGAGAGCTACGTACTCCCCCAACAAACACTAATGATAATGACGACACAAAGACAACCGAAAATGCTGCTGCTAAAATCAGTTCCTAGAAAGAAAGAAGTAGAAGAAAAATGAATATGAATGTGAAGGGTATTTGTACGCTTGCTCCTATTTATCTCCAGGATATTTACTTCGGTTATCGTTAGTTTTATATTGGTGGATATCCAAGGTATCAAAGAAAGAATTCGTTGATCTAATATGTAACTCGACAAGCACTGTCGTTTGTTAAGCTTGATCATTCTTCTAATCATCCTCATCGTCATCCTCGTCGTCAGATCGTTCATCTGTGACCGTCACAGCAGTCTTAATTGAACTAAATATCATGAACATATCAGCTGGATACAAGGATAAAACTGACATATAACTAACCGTATCAAAATACGCCACATCAAGAAGGACCAGAAGATGTTCAGCATGTGAAGAAGCACGAGGGGGGTAAATATTTGATATTTCATCCACCACGTTAGCCATACTCCATTTTCTGGTATCCATGCTCTCGACGCTTCTCTGTAAGATGAGTGCGATGAGTAACACAAAAAGAAATAGGATTTCGGGTAACATACGGTATTAAGTCAAACTCATACCAGACTGACCACAATATGACAAGGTTCAACCAATGTCGGAAATATCTAAAGAATACGCCTCAGACTATGTGTATCAAGGAATATGGGGAAATGACTGACGTCCAAATACAAATAAATACCAAAAAAGCAATAGACTTGGATTTTTCCCACTGGATATAGTTCAATAACTTCGAGAACTTGTGACCAGACCAAGTTAACAAGATGAGACTCAAACAGTTAGAAAACAAACATACAGCCAAGAAAGCATCAGGGATATCCATGCTCATGTGAACAGCATGACCTATAAGGGTGAGATTGACTAGATAACTCCACCTGTAATATTATTTTCCATTTTTAGTCTAGATATTGCAGCCAGCAATGCAATAACATACCCAATTAACCACAACGTGACAATGTGGTGTGCAATTAGTTCTGTATAATCTGACCGTGGCTTTTCGAGACGAAGTAGGAGGACTATGAACTGTTGACACCAGTAGGCGGAGTGCATTAGGTAGTAACGCTTTAGCTCTGGATGCATTTGCCACTGAGGATAGTCTTGGAAGGTTCCTCAGATAAGGAATGTCGCCTATCAATATTTGTCACTTACCTATCCAAAAGGAATCTGTACGATACCACCAAGTAGGCAATTGTGACATTATACGCTATCCAATGTATCAGTTTCCAAAAATATGAACACAGAGATGAGGGTACTAACAAGACCCCATGCGCCCATCACAGCGAAATACACTAGTGCATAACCTTGTTCACCAAATCTGTCCAACTTTCCTTGCTTCCTGATGCCGAAGTACCTTGCAACAGGCTGAGAGATGATTATGGTAATGAACTGTCGCAAAAATGAGAAGAATATGACATAGTATGCGATAAACAGTAAGTCGAAATAGCCTTTTGCATATAGAGGTTTGTCGTCCGGTGACGAAGGGACACGGTGGGAGATGAACAACATCGGCTCGAAGGGATTGGGGGAGTTAGGAGAGACATATGGGCTAAGAAAATGCCAGTTTAGGTATAATATAACAGGAATCATGAGTAACTTGAGGGATGAAGCTGGGCGTCCCTCGTAAGTTGCAATGGTAGTGCGGGTACAGGACAGTAAAGCAGCGATGGACGCACCAGGCTCTACCACCCATCTGGCGCTCTTGAGATCAGCCAAGAAGCCTTCTGCATGCTTGGTATGGTTGAACCCGCTTCCTTTGAGTGATACAGGGGAACCGTTGGAATCGGGGGTATTTGAACCGATAGGGCTGAGATGCCAGCGAAGTCGGGAATCGAAGTGAGGATTGAGTGGGGTGTTTGGTGGAGAAACGACCTACGTTTGTGCCATGAATGGGCCTGTTAGATGGTGGCCAGGGTCAGTCCTAGAAAACGACAGGTGGTGAGTGCGCTGGTTGGTGTGTGCCATCAATGAAGACGCACTCGATGCGGTGCAATGAGCCAGCCCGACCTCTGCCTTGCCGTCGTCGTGAGTGAATAGTAGAACCTTGGGACGCCATTGCGCCTTGAAGATGAGAGCAAAAGCCAACCAAAAAAAGAGCTTACGCCCAACGAATGGTTTTTCGGGGGAACGTAAGAGCTAATAAGGATGGGCCGAAAAGCGGCGCCACTGCCAAGTCGACCGACCCATCGGCATTTATCCGTATCAGATTACCTCATTCCCTCCCATTGGTTTACCGGCACCGGTGCACCGCCCTCCCGGTACTGCCCCGTTACCGGCCGCCCATGGCATTGCCCACAACGATGCCGCCGTCGTGAGGAACAACGGCTGTCTCCCAGAGCAATGTCTCCAACGAGGCATGACTGTATGCGCCCGCCGTCCATACTTTCCTCCACCACCGACCTACATTCACCTCCCATTCCCACTGATTCTATCGATGACTCAAAGCAACCCTCTTCATCGACAACGGCGACCAGCGTATCTGGACCATCAAAGCTCCCTATGGCCAGCACCAGTGGCAGGACCTCAGCAGCCCCAGCAAAGAGGCCATTCGAGCTTTCCGCTCCATCTGCATTAGATGCCAGCACTAGCGAACCTCCGAGACAGCGCCAGAAGCTAAGCGCAACACAGAAGCCAATTCCAAAACCTTCTATACCACCAACGGCACAAGTACGTGACGTTCAAATAGTCAACCTCAGCTCTAGAAACTCATTCTGATGCGATTTTCCCTCCTCAGTCAGGCGTTCCAATTCTCAGAATCAACGCTGCACTGTCTCAGGTGGCCTTGCCCGTTCGTCAGGTGATCCCAAATTCCCTCCGTCCTTTTGTCGTTTCATTCACCATAAGTTAGGCCATGGTCAAATCACTTTACGACCATTTTGTTGTTTTATACGACACGATTCTTCCAACCAATCCGACTATCGCAACAGAACATGCTCTTCGCCAGGAGGAAGAAGTATACAAGAAGTCCAACAAACTTGCGTATCGCAACGTACGGTCATTTTTATATTCCACCGGGCCCTGGTCTCTCATAAGTTTCCGTAGGCAGTAATAAGTTCAATAGTAACTCTCAAGAAGCGTCCCTTTCCCGATTCAATATCGCACCCTTCTGTAGGAACTGAAGGTGACCTTGCAATTCGGGAAGAATCGCGAAAGAAGCGGAATTCCTTGCGGCTCACTCGTGCACATCTCGACTCCCTCGTAATGTCAATAGAGGACATGCAGAAGTGGGGGTACATCACTGGGGTCCCGGACGGGATCGGAGGTGACAGGCCACACGCCGAGGGAAAAGTGATGCAATGTGAACGATGTGCACAGCCTTACATGGTCAAACGAGATGCCGGAGTAGATGAATGCATATTTCACTGGGGTAGACCATTCACCAAGGCTATAAATGGCGAGTTTTGTACATCTTCTATATCTTGCATCATTCACTGCTAAATGTTCCTCCTTACGTAGGCGAGAGATTGCGACTCTATTCTTGTTGCTCAAAATCCACCAGTGATGGTCAAGGGTGTAGCCGAGGGTCCCACGTATTCTACGAATCCAATCCGGAGGATATTCATGCTCGCCACCCTTTTTCCTTCACTAGTAATCCAGCCCCCGAAGGAAAATCAGCCGCTTCTTCCTCCGGTGATACTGCCCTTGATGTAGTTGCCCTTGATTGCGAGATGATCTATACCACCGGAGGTATGCGGGTAGCACGTGTCTCGGTGGTGGATGGTTCAGGCGCTGAAATTTTTGATGAGCTAGTCCGAATGGATGAGGGTGTTGAAATAATGTTGGTATCTTATATCCTCAGCGGTTCACTGTCTAAAATGTTCACTTCATAGAGATTATAATACCCGCTTCTCTGGCATTACGCAGGAAGACCATTCCAAGGCCACTTTATCTCTATCATCAATACGGAATTCATTAGATGCCTTTATAAACTCGGATACCATCATTGTTGGTCATGCCTTAGACAATGACTTGAAAACACTGCGCATGATTCATCACCGATGCATTGACACTGTTGTGCTCTTTCCCCACCGACTTGGGGCACCGTACAGGCGAGCTCTACGGGATTTGTAAGTCGCCCTTCGCATTGCTACTACACGCAGCTTAATGGAAACCAGGGCAAAAGAACATCTTGGCCTTACTATACAGACTGGCGGTGGATCAGTTGGTCACTCGTCTGTCGAAGACTCCATAGCTACTCTTGACCTTGTACGGCATTATGTATTGAACGACATCAAGCCCAAGCCCAAGCCGACACCTTCATCAACATCGGCATTATCAGCTAAGGAAGGTACCGATGTTGTTGCTACGTCTCAGTCCACACCTGCTTTGTAGCACTTGTAGCGCTGGGCTGAGTGATGTATGATCAGCCAAACCTGCGATGAACCCCAATTTCGGTGATGGCAGACAGATCATTATAAAGCTCTAGTTCCCCCTGTCCCTGTCGGATCAAACTACTGATGCTGACAGTCGACATCTGTAAATAAGCCTTTTGAAATTTGTTTGCTTGCTGACAAGGATACATATACGTAGTAACTAATTCCATGATTGTATCACCTTTTTGGCAAAAAGAACGATAGAAAGAAAGATCGTTACAGCCCCCACCCATCTAAGTGCCAATGCTGTACCGATGTCGTGATTGAACAAGTTCTTGTAATAGGCCGAACGTCTGATGAGTGTTGGCCAGATAGATGTATGCACTGGTGGATACATTTTCATGATATCAAGAGACCTTGAATCACCAAATATTATAACGCATTTATAATACACTGAAAGGTGGAAGTAATTCTAACCACTTCTTGATCCTAACCGAGCCAACGTATCTTCGCTGTTCTCTTGTTCTTCTACACCATCCGACTGCGTAACCTTTTGAAAAGATGTGGTTTAGATTTTCGAAAAGCGAGAGCAAAAGACGTACTACTCGTAGCACAGACTTCTTTGACGATTCTTGAAGCTCGCCTGATATTATAAGTTCATCCAAGATCTATAGGGAGCTTAGTCCACAGCAGAGCTAAAGTATAATAAGAAACATACAGCATATGCTTTCTGGAAGTTGAATATTCTAAAGGGTGATAAGCACATATGCTCCTGCAACATGGGATGTAGACGATGTAGACTCACAGATCGAGTTCGCAGACCTAAACAAGGCATAAGAGTGAGCATAAAATGGTTGCGATATAAGTATACGATGCTTACATTGCCAAAATAGCGATCCAGAACCTCCACATAACGATGGATAATTTCCAATGTCACAAGCTCGTTGTCTCCCGATGTAATCCCACAAACAAAGAATAGTGATGCATACCGCCGATAGACGACTTTTGTATCTGACCTGCCTTAAGCACCGCTCGACAATCACCCAAGCGCGAGAATGCCACATACCTTTATATTCCAAGAAGTTACACATTCGTGTCCGACGAGCGAGAACCAGCTGCGTAACGTCTTTCACGATCTTTGCCTTTGCTTTGGGAGACATAGTGGTAAACCATTTTGCTAAACGGACTTTGCCTGTGCATTATACTAAGATCAGGTCTTTGTATCTGCAAAGTTATGAGAGCTCAACCAGCCTTGCCGTGATACAAGCAGAATGTAGTTGATCATGGTAGCAGACAAGTATCACGCCCTTGTGGCTGTGTAACTTTCAGAAGCCAAATTCACGACCAGTCTTAAGCTTATTTTTGAAAACGAGAGCAGAATTCCCTTATTTTTGGGAAAATATAGGTTTATATAGTATAAAGGATAACCATGATATGGTTCACTAGACTATAAGACCGTCAAAGTCATCTGCAGTCGAGTAAAGGCCGGATGCCTCCCTAGTACTGCCAACACCCTACCCCACCAAGCCTGGGCAGGCGATCCATCGAATCGAAATATCGATATATATGACCTACAAACTGCACTATCAGTAATGATTCATTTACGGTAGACTTGTAGAACGCGGTCATATTAGATCAAGACATATTCACAGGGTACCACCAGCTCTGAGAGCCATAAAGGGGTTCCCTCAAGACCACTTTTATCGTCATCCCGCGGTGAAAAGATTTAAGGGATTAAGTACTGTCACACGAACCTAGCTTTTTCATGGCCATGTCATTGATGCTTGGAGGCCTTGGGTGAAGGTTGACGTTGTGAAATGTGTTTCTTCCTCCGCATCTCCCAGTAATCGAAAATCCAGGTCTGGATAAGTCCAAAAGTAGCTGAAGTTACCCAGTAAAGAATAACTCCCTTTGAGACCGTAATAACGAAGTCAGAACTAACAGTCTTCAATGAGTAATGAGCACTTACGCCTGGTACCATGGTACCCACAAGGATACGCCCCACTGAGACAAGCCTCAGAGCAGACTTGATAATTTTTTGGGGCTCGAGGATTGTATGACCTTGAGAAAGCCTTTCCTCTTTCCATTTTGCCACTTTCTTTTCACGCTCCCGTTGTTGGTCAGTTATAAACCAGCGGGAAGTCTCCACATTGGCTAGAGTGATGAAGCCAAGAGCTATTGGCAGAGTAGCTGTCGGATCCGCATGAGCTAGTGTTGATAAAGTGAAGAAGGATTCAGAGTCGAAAGGAGTGGGGGACTGTGAAAGGCGATTAAGAACAACAGAAAAACCCATGAAGAGTGGTAGTTGCGTCAATGGTGGTATCAACATGGTTGGCAATGGACGACAACGATGCTCGGAAAGTAGCTGGGTACGTCGGTCAGTCAACTGAAATGTGATTACACGTGGTATGTCAGAGTTGCGTGAAGGGCTTGAATGGATATACAAAACTGAACTAGTTGTTTGACTCGTTTGGCGTGCATTATTTGTAACTCCTCCTTAGGAGCTCTGACTTGAGCTCGCTTCATCTCGTCCATCACTTTCTTGGATATTATGGGTTTGAGTTTTTCAACCTTGGGCATAACGACTTCTTCCGCTCTCCACTGCCGCTTTTTAGCCTGAAGACACCTATTTATTAAAAAAGCTATAAAAAAGGCTTTTCTGCCTTACCCATATCGAAAATGGAACTGTTAAGAAAAGCCTTGAAAGAATCGTGCATAAGATGATGGTCGTAGAATAAGGTGGCAATGAAGGGGGCAGAGGAACAGCAGTTGCCAAGTCAAGGAATCCTTCTGATATCGTCTGGACACTGATGAACGTTCGCTTCGACTGTGATGGGCCTCTCTTTACGATGGTTGAGCGACATGGACGTGTAAGATTACGGTGTGCACCATGCACAGACCGGTAAGACAACATAGAAAAGAAATGAACCGTGAACCTACCCGAAGCTCGGACTTAACAGGTTTACTGCAGTAGGTACTCGGAGTTTAATCGCAAAAATGACTCTTAAAACCTTATAATGCTATGAACACAACTGAAGTTCAGGTCGTCTTTTTTTTTTCGCTGTTTCATAGGAATATGATGAATTTCAGACCTGGGATGTTCGTATAGGCCATTATGCATAAGTAGCGAAAAAATGTGGAGTCATGGTGCAACATGGCATATCATAAATCCTAGGCAGGCCTGCGCCCAAACTCCCGCTCATCTACACCAAGAATCCATACCCATCAAAGCGCTATCTACCCTTAGAATGCCATTTGATGGGGGAACTGACCCTTCGACAGACCGAAGCTGGCCTTCAAGTATTTAGTCAAGTTCTCCTGCTTCTGGATAGCAGCGACGATAGCCTTGTCCAACTCCTTTTGATCGGCCGATTTGGCTTCAGGGAAGGGCTCCTTCTCTTTGGGCTTACCCTCTGAGAAGAATTCAGCCTCTGCTGAGACAGAGCCCTTGGTAGCGGTTTTTGCGAAGTACGCGTCGTTAATTTTGGCGTCAACCTGCGCGACTATGAGTGATCGCCAATGAAATTCGACTGTGAAGACAGTACCTTCAAACCTTCGAGGTCAACTTTGGTGGAGGTGGCAATCACGTAGGCCTGGTTAACTCGTCGCAATGGGACACCATTGATCTTGTATGGACCAGTCACCAATAACAAACCACTCTCCAACTGCTTCAAGAAGACAACCCTCTTCCCTCTGAACCGACCAGCAAGCAAGATCAGAACGGACCCAGGAGTAATAGATGAGCGAAGCTTGGTGGGCTTTGGTGATTTACGGCTCTTCTTGGGCTGACGAACGTCTTCAGCGGGGTAGAATCGAGGTGCTTTGGAGGTAGGGACAAGACGGGTAGAACCATTCTTCTCTCCACCAACTGTTACCTCCTTGAAAGCAGGGGTTTCTTCGGCATTAGAATCTTTGGATTTTTTGAGGCCCTTGTACAGACCACGGCGAGACGCAACTTGGGAACGTGAGAAGCGCGAAACGCCGGGTGCGAGTTGTCGACTGCGGGCCATCTGGAATTTTGAAGTTAGCTCGAGAACGCAGTTAAACGTAGAATGAAGAGCATGAAGTCAGAGCAGCATCTGGGGAATGTTCGAGTCATCCATCGCCACCCGTGCCCAATTTCTCATTTAAATCACATCAGCATCCCACTCTGACATCGTCTGCCCCTCCCACGATTTAAAGAAGCAAGAATTCATGCTCACTGGTGTCGGTCTTGAGGATATTGCTGAGGACGTCGTTACTACAGAGAGTTCGGGCGACGTATAGCGGAGTTCATCGATAGTGCCGTGCGAACGCATTTCCAAATCAGGTATACTACCATTTTTAGTACGCTCATCCCCGAGTCAATCTCCTACGTGATTACCGTCACCCATATCTCGCGCTGCTGTATCTTTACTCATACCCTTTGTATTCATTCATTCCTTGTAAAGCCTATACCCTGAGCGTATCTTGTATCTATCATGTCTCTCAATGAATCCAGCGGTAAGTAAGCCCTTGTTTTTACTTCATCAAAGAAATACCAATATCACGATCAATAATTAAGTAGAGGATCCGAGATTCATAGTGTGGTTTGACATTGACAATACCTTGTATTCGGCGAGCACTCGAATATCACAGGCAATGGGACAGCGTATTCATGGTACGCAGCCATAAGTGACCTATAAGTTATCACTAGCTGATCAATTACATGCTTTTAGCATATTTCGTCTCTCTCGGTCTTTCCGAGGAAGAAGCCTCGGGGCTTCATCACAAATACTATACAGAATATGGTCTTGCACTTCGTGGCCTAACTCGCCATCATGATATTGGTAGTTTAAATCTTCTCTCTCGTCCATGACTAGTAATGACGGCCTGGTCATACCAGATCCGTTGGATTTTGATCAGAAGTGCGATGGGACCCTCCCCTTAGAAGAGATGATCGAGCCAAACCCCGCGTTGCGTAAAATGTTCCAGGACATAGATAGAAGCAAAGCCCGCGTATGGGCTTTGACGAATGCCTATAAACATGTACGTCCAGCTGACTTTATCGTGAACCGTCAATGAACCACCATAAATGGAAGCATGCTCGTCGTGTCCTTAAAATATTGGATTTGGAGGATCAAATAGAAGGTCTTATATATTGTGAATACGCGCAACCCAACTTCGTCTGCAAGCCGGAGTCGGAATACTACCTAAACGTACGATCTCTTTGATGATCGTCTGTGCCTCAGGAGCTTACCGTTATATCTGCGTTAGGCGATGAAACAAGCTGGCGTTACGGATCCTTCTAAGTGTCTCTTTGTTGACGACAGCCGAACTAACGTCGTGGCTGCAAAGCGTCTCGGATGGGGCCGATGTGTTCATTTTTATGAATATGGGATGGAGACTGTAGAAGGCGGAAAGGTTAAGAAGCTCGATGTCAAGGAACAGGGAGGCACTGAATCAGAGATTATTGCTGTGAGTGATCTAGAAGAATTGAGAGCTGTGTGGCCGGATATATTTGTGAAGTAATCTGAACCGACGAGTTGCGATATGTATATTGTCCAATGCATAGTGGGTAACGATACCTTCAAGGAGTTCAAGGTATGCTACATGTATCACCCAGATGTAAGAGGTCTCAATAATAATACATCATTATTTAGAACAAAATCACAGCTACGACTTGAGATGCTTCCGTGACCTCCAGTATAACTCCATCATATCCATACAAACCTTTTTAACGTCATTCAATGTCACATTATTCGAGGAAAGAATTACTTACGGGTCGTCGAGCTAGGTAGGGTGATATCGTCTTCTTCATCTGTACGATCAAGCAACATTGAAGGGGGTGGATCTCGAGGACATAGAAAATGGCTGATTGTCTCAAACTGACCATACCATCCAACGTCATTAACACAGTCAAAACCTGCGATAGAAAACTAAAAAAAGCGAACCTTATCATAGAAATGCATCCTGGGAGGCGAGTCTTTTGTAGACCAGAGAAATTCAAAAAGAATTCAACCAAACGACAAAATCATAGCTCACCATCCTCGTCATCCTCTGGTTTTCCTTCCAGTTCCCAAGGGCAACGTTTGTATCGCTGAAAGAGGGGTGAACCGGGCTAGTCAAAATAGTCATTGACATGCAACTTCTTTCAAAATTGCCGAAGTAGTCGTACCACGTTCGTGTGGAGAATAATCTTGAGGACGATATGTGTCTCACCGGATATCAGGAAATCGATACCATGCTGGAAGTAATTGTAGAAGTCTATAAGTGTTTAGAGATTTGATGGGCCCCGATGAAACAGAAGTATCCTACAATGAGATGATCGATCGGCATTACGAGACTGATTGGGGGAGTGAATGGTCATCCTATCGTCTTCTTTGTAGTGCACTCGAGGAGGAGGTCCCAAATCAATATTCAGGTCTTGCGCTGTAGTTTCCCCTATACGGACATGGAGAGGGTCCGTGGTAGAAGGATGACGATAAAGCAAAAGGCCATCGTGAACCTCAATAAAATGGTAACACGGTAATTGCATGTCCCTGAGGAAAGAGAAATCACAAGAATGTACCTTGACAACTGCGCGTACGACGTCTCCATCCATGATAGAACATTCCGTGACTTCATCTAATGCATCGCGTTCTTCACCGTCGTGGCTTTTCTGACTTACAAATATACGCCTCACTTCTTGCTTTCTGTCATCCGGGTGAGGACTTGCTCCTTTGAAGCCTTCGCCTATTGCATCTTCTTCAAAACTGAACCATAATCCAGGATACCTCAGGTCGTCTCCGGGATATGTTGGACCGAATGTGCGGCTTACTAGTACCTTTACTAGAGTGTCCTCAGCAGAAGATAGTAAAGTATCTTTGTAGCGAAGGGAGACGGGAGGGTATGGATCCCGCAGTTTCTTCAAGCAAATGGTGTGAAGACGTTGATGGTACCCCGAGAAAAGCAGATCAAAATGAGGGCGCAAGTGAAGAATGACAGGGGTAGTGGCCGATGAATCAGGGTCGTACTTGACATCCACCTGGGGGAATATGTGTTGAAGACCGCGTAGCATATCAATCACGGACCAGAGGGACGAGCCTATAGGAAAGAGTCTTTCCTTGTTAAACTGAGAAGTTAAGCGTCACACAAAAATGTTCACCTATCTCAAACATCCCAATGCCTGCTCCTGGTCTGATGTCGACATCCAATGTGGAGAGCATGTCATGTATTCGTTATCAGGCGTCTTCGTTTCTGAGTTGCGGTTTCTTTGACTGCGCTCGAGTAACGCCTAGTACTAGTGAACGTTGCTGGATGTTACTGGTAAAGTGACTACGGTACTAGTGCAGTACCAGCTGAAAGCAGTGGACCCGGTAAGCGGAGGACCACTGGCACGTGCGGCACAGCCTCAGACAGAAAGCTTTCGACGCGCTTAGTAGACGCGTTTCTTCAATACAAACCGTGGCCTTGGACTTGGACGCGTCCCAAATAATTCTTTCGACTTTTGTACTCATTCAGTGAACGGCTCATTATAAGATGGCCGACGCCAGACAGAGGATCATAATCAAGGTCATTGTGCTTTCATTTCTTTATATACGCAGGATCCATAGCTTGCATCGACTGATGCTATCCAGGTATTCCGCAAGTACAGTCACTCGCTCGGCCCAGAAGCTTTGGATTTTCTGGAACACATTTTGACCGAGCATGAGATTGATGATGATGATATAGAGATGTCCGTCGAGACTATAGCCAAGGAGTACAACAAACAAGACGGTGAAGCACTCCTGTTCTAGTGCAACATTGCGTGATGATCTGATCAAGTTCTAAATCAGATGCTTCCATGAAGGTGTCATTAAAAGTCTTGAGAAGGGTGTATGAAACTTTACAAGACCAAGGCAGTAATCCTGGCGAGCCGGAGGCTGAATTACTTGACCCCGAAAGTCATTTATACTTTATCGATGCGTTTGAAATGCCTTTGTGGCATTGGTCTGTTGAAAGAGGTACATTCGAGAAGTCAGTTCGTCCTCCTTTCATCTATCCCTTAGTTAGTTGGTTGATTTAGTTTGTAGAGCTCAAAATCTGCTAACAATTTCTGGCTCTGCTGACTCGCGGGTGTTGGCAATGCGGAACAGACTCCACATCATCAAGCAAAGCATACTTAGAAATGAGCACTTTGCTCCATCCACCTTACCTTCTCGTGACCGCGAGCATCTCGTTACAGTCAGTGCTTCTCATTTTCCTCTCATTCCGAATAACAATGATCGGTAGAACAGCTCAAATCTACTAAACAACTTCTTGGGCGACCCGGAGAGCGATTTCTATTGCTTGGAATGCTCGCACGTAACATGGAAGGGAAGCTTTGTGTGGAGGATTCTGATGGAAGTGCGGAGCTGGACTTATCCAGACTCGTGGGTCAAATTATTAGCTGCACCCAGTTTCTGAAACAATATAATGTTTGTTGGTAGGAAGAGCCGGGAGAAGGCCTGTATACCGAAGGCTGCTTTGCATTAGTAGAAGGCGAATACACTGAGGACGGCACTTTGGAGGTGGTTGCAATGGGGCAACCTCCTTGTGAAGATCGTGATACCACACGGTACGTAGTATATTATAGAAGAAACTCCTTATCTTATTTCTCATAGGTCGATATACGGACATATAGATTTCCTTGGAAAAGGCTCTACGACGCTTTTGGAAGATGTGCGTGTAGTTCACACACAATTCATCGCTTCGAATATCCTCTGATACCGATCACGCCAGTCCCAATACTCTCGTCGAATACGAGGGGAACTTTCGGATCTTTATTTCTTCTTTTTATCCGACGTATGGCTGGACCATCCCAAGACCTTCACCGGATTACAAAAGATGCTGGATAATTGCGTCGAAAATAGCTTTATCCCGAAGGTTATAGTCCTGTGCGGAAACTTCACCAGTCGGTCCATTTCGCAGGGGAGTGCAAGAGATATCCAAAGGTACCAAGGTATTGTTTCCAAGCTTGACTAAGGCGGAAATGACAATAATAACATATATAACGAACAGAAAATTTTGATGCACTAGCGGACCTACTAGCTTCTTACTCACAGATTACTCGTACCACGCACTTTGTTTTCGTCCCTGGCCCATTGGATATCATAAACAATGGTGCATTGCCTCGACGACCCCTTCTCTCATCTTTTGTTTCTCGTATAAAGGCCAAAGTTCCAAAGGCTCATTTTGCTAGCAACCCGTGTCGGCTGAAATTTTTTGGACAAGAGATTGTCATATTCAGAGAAGATACGATGGCTCGAATGCTCAGAAATACTGTTGGTATCAAACCTAATATAAGTGGTGATGACCTTCGACGATATGTAAGCGTGCATTTACGCATTGTTCAGATTCATCGCCGATTTTTGTCAACTAGCTGGTACAATCCATTCTCGACCAAAGCCATCTGCTTCCCTTAACGTCCAATATTCAACCTACGCTACCTGACTATGATCATGCCCTTCGACTATACCCACTTCCAACGACGGTAAGCCACCAGTTGATATCAAAGATTATATTTAGTTGGTTTTAACACACTTATCAAGTTGGTTCTTGCGGACAAATACGAGAAGTATAAACTGACATATTCAGGCTGTCATGTTTTGAATCCTGGAAGTTTTATCGGTAATGCATTCACATTTTCTACATACTGCCCTGCTGAGATTAACTCTGAGGAAGGGTAAGCACATCGATCATCATAATATTTGATGATTTAGCGACTAAAATATGTAAACAGAATCCTAGAAATGGACGCGGAGGAGTAGAATATAGCGCCGGGTACTTTGAGCTCTTTTTGATGGTCCTCCAAAAACTTGCATAGATGATGGCTGTACGATACACTCTGTAACTACATAGATCCTACTAGCTATAGTAGCGACTGGCCATTGTGCCTCAAAAACAGACTACTTTGATTACGGTATTTCCCGTTTTGAGTCGACACGTGGGTGTCATTCAAGCTGAACGGAACTTTTTACTGCTCGAAACTCGTGCATGAAACTTGCCCCAACCTCCATGCAGAGTTCACCTATTTTTTGAACAATCCCTCTGCATTGGCGTATATATCATCTTGAAAAGCAGACGTTCCTTGCTCTTTCCTCACTCCTTTCAATAATCCATTTATCTCCGACTTTCAGCTAAAGAGCCCTTCAAGTTCTACAATTGTCTTGCGGGTTCAAATATCCTTCAGCTGTTCGCAATCCAGATAGTGCATTAACCGGCGACATGGGTGTGGGTAGCATGCTGTGGTGGATTGGCTCTGCGTTCAAGGCGTTCGCTATTGGGCCTACTGATGCCTCTTACTGGGTCGTCATCGTGATGTGGATTGCCAGACTGGTAGCCTTTTCGCTCATAACGCGCACATACCTTGCACCATACGTGTTATCTCGGTTCTCAAAACACATTCGCGTGCGTAGCATCAGCTTACGATCTATTCGAGGCTTGTATTTCCGGAAAGGAGTTCACACATGGCGCGTGGACCGGATAGGAGTCTCCTACAGTTCACCCGGTAATGAACAAGCAAGAATATTGGCATTTAAATTCGAGGGCGTCACTTTGGAGATAGGGAAGAGCGAAGATCATCATCGAAAACCTGCACCAATTCCTAGACATCGACGTGCCATCACTTTGGCAGACTTATCTCCTTCTCCGTTAGCGCTTCATATCTGCTCATTGCTTTCTAGAGTGTATTCTATATTCGATCCTATCTTTCGCCCCGTCATACGATTCTGTGTTGCCGCCTGCCTCCGTCAAGTGATCCGATATATTCCTACTCTCACTCAGGCTCTGCAGTTTGACCTCAACTCTGCAGTAGTGACGTTTTCAGCCATACCTCACGCATCCGTCACTGTGGAGGATGCAAGTATACATGCTCATCTTTCATTCACTCAACTGCAGGACCTGGTCCCTGTAATCGACCATGGTGATAACCATGTCAACCGAACGTTGCCCACTAGAGCTCTTGCGATGGGTGCGTGGAGATCTAGACTGTCAAAGAGTTTTAAGCGAACCTGGAACCGCACTTGGGATCGTACATGGGGAAAGACTAAAGGAGCTGCATCATTTTCTCTTAAAATTAGCAGGATAGAAGGATTGGCACAATCTCCACCGTCTACCAAGAGTAAGTCCATCGTGTGTATTGGCCGTCGTTGTGTCTACAAACTGAGAATTTCTAGCAGCAGATGTCTTGTCAGTTGAACCGTTCTTCAGTTTACCGGGTATCATTGCCCTCGACGGATCTGCTCGTTTCAGTCCTAAAGATGGCACGCTGGACACAGGCAGTTTGCAAACAGCGCTTCAAGTTGGTGCAATAAACGTTGGTGTTGAAGGAGTGCAAAACCTACTAAAGTCTTTTCAAAGCCCCAAGGCTGAGGAGGTGTATTTTTTCAATGATATGGCCCAAACCGTAGTGTCGTCACCCATGAGGCCTGGATCCTCTCTCATGGAAGCATTTCGATCAGTATGTCGATAACCTTTTCTTCTCATTCGATTTCAGCTTACTTATTCTACAAGGCATCATCTCGCTCAGGTTTTTCACTTCCCCAGCGGCCAAGGAAAAAGATATCTCCAGTTCGTTCAACTTTTTTACTGCTTTATAATCTACTCACTTTTAGTTAATCTAGTCATGGCTGTCACCCCTGTCTACTTTTAAAGTGACCTTGTCTTCATTGACGTTGGAAACTCGTTCTTGCGAAGACTCTTATAATGCTGTCATTCATGATATTTCGATCACAGGTGGCATTAGTGACCCCAAGGAGCACACACTTCATCGCGAGTGGCTGGGCAGTAAAAGTCCTTCTGAAGACAATCTACATTCTCATGTATATGTCTTGAATTTCTGTACGAGCGGCGCGTTTGTGGAGAGGACCACGCCTCCAATTAATCTTCGTATACTGACAATCGGTTATATTTCGGCGCAAACTCTAGTTTCCCAGTGGCCGTCTCCGTGGGTACGGGGCAATAATTTCATATCCGGAGACCCTAATGCAGCATTAGTTGTGGTACGACTGAAAGTCGAGAAAGTCGAGGTGACAGAACGGCTCGAGATGCTAGCGCGACTCTCCAACATAAGCAGATCTTCTGCAAAACCGTCTTCTAGCATGTCATTCTTACCTTCCGCTTTGTCCTCAGTTCCTCGTGTTTCGCTAGGCCTCGAGGTGGGAACTATTCGTGCTCGCCTTATCTGTGCTGGAACCGAAGAGCCCTTTTACGTTGAAGCCGAAACGGATGGCTTGACAATATGTATAAACTCAAATTTTCACTTGGGGTCGATGAGGCCTTATCCTCGCAAACACCTAATACAACATCACAACCACATGCCTGTATATATGATCGCCGACACTTCCTTGGTTCTGAGACCCGTCTTTGTGCAAGTGTGTTCAAGTTCCCCACAACGAAATACTGCTCGGCGGCGGTTCTCGTCATTACCTGCGGCTACTGAGCTCACTGGAAATCCCCTTCTATCCATAGAAGCGATCGAGGTTAGAGGAACTTGCACAGCGCTTGGGCATCTTCACGATGACGATTTGGATGCGACTGTTTCTTTGGAGACACGATCAATTTTTGCCGATCTACACTGTTCTTGTGATGCCATCTTTATCGAGCTCTGGCATGCTAGTGTGTTGGTAGCGGTCAGGACTCTCCTCAAATCCTTTGTCGAAAACAGAGCACTGTCGCCAAGTTCATCAGACTCGCGTGCACAGAAGGAACTACCCATTGGGTTCGCACTATCTATGTCGGTCTTTCGGTCTGTTCTCTTTTTGACTGGCGAAGACATTAACCCCGATGGAGACCGAGATATCACTCGTGGGTTAGCGCTTCGTACTGGCTTCTCTGTGCAGTACTGTGCTCTTCGGTCAGGTCAAGTGGATGTCTATCAGGACCTGCGTACACGGTCCCAGGCTCGACATAAGTTGTATCTTCCGGATGAGCGCATTATGGAGGCTGTGGCATCTGCGAAGAGATCTCTAGTCACAGGTGATACTTGTGTCTTTGGAAAAGTAAACTTGTGGAGCACTGCTATACGGAGTGCAGCTGCTAGTACATTCTTAATGGATGATCCTTACATCGCGGAAAGGGATGATCTTGCTTTATCTTCACAGGATTTCCTCGCAGTATCTGGCCTCAATTTGGATTTTATAATTCGTGGGAGACAAAGCGAAAATCACACCGCTATAATCGTCCAGGATATCTGTGAGATCGGTCTTACCGTTGGCCGATTACATGGCATTTTCGAGCTTGTTCATATGTATACCTTATTGCTGGCCACGCGGACGATAAAATCCTTCCTGCAAATTCTGCCATCCCACCCCAATCCTGACGCTAATGCCAGTCGCTCGTCCGTTGATTTCCAAGGAACCATCAAGGCGGTACAGATTCGGTGGAAACTTCCGAATACCAGTTTAATTACAAGAATTGATCGTGTTCGCCTTTCGAAGGCTACTGATAAGCACGAAATCTCATGGAACACCTGTCTCTTGTGGGTCCCTCTACCTGCACAGACGAACGGGTGGGAAGATAGGATAGAAGATAAATATGAGGAACTAGGGCGTTTGCATAACTGCGCTGTTTCCATTCCATCCTTGTCTTCTGGTACTTTGAGCATTTCGGTGGATGGTGACAGCGCAAGGTTACGTATACCACCGGGATACGTGTTTGCAGACTTGATTTTCGATGCGGTGGTCGCTGTAAAATGCCTACGCCACTTAGTTCATATAGTAGGAAAAGGAGAATATTGCCTTATGCCAATCCCCGAAGCAGAACCAGCCAAGTTGGTCCCCAACATAGATTTTTCTTTCCGTTTTATTACCCTAGAGGCAGCGGACGATCCACTAGAAAGCAAGCTTAGCTTGATATGGAGAGTTGGACTTGAAGCTTCCAAAGAGAGACTCCACAGGGAGGACGCCTTCCAAGCAAAAGTATCGTCCATACTAGCAGCAGAGTCTTCTTCTCACCCGCCAATACCCCCCATCCAAACTGCTGGATCCGACTATCAATTCGATGCCCATCATTCTGTCACAATTGACGAAGCTCGAGAACGTCTTTACTGGGCCCATTCGGTTGACTGGACAATGAGATATCGTGAAAAACGACGGGAGCAGTTTACCAGGGAGGCAACTTCGTTGCGACCGCTTCACAAACCTTCCACGCCAAAGCAGCCTATGAACGTTCCTGATTTCATCAAGGTTCCACCTCCAGATTGTGCACCTCCTCTCTTGCGAGCCACTTTTCATCACTTGAAACTGAAAGTGACTCCGCCATCTTTTCCACTTAGTAAATTGCCCGATTTTTTGCACGAGCAAGGGAAAGGCATACCTCACGGCACCTTGTACTCCCTATTAGTTCCATTGCATTTACATTTTACTCTGACATCATTGCAATGTTCTCTTCGCGATTATCCACTGCCCTTGCTATACATTCCTGCTATTCCCGGTGGACACAACTCACCTGCATGGGTGTTCGACTCAGATATTGTCGTTGCGGAAGAATTAGGGACGACGCAGTCCGTCGAATGGATTCCTTGTTATGTTGGTGGTTTGCACGAGGGTTCCCATGTCACCAAACATTTATTAATCAATGTCCCGAAAACGATCATGCCAGTCAAAACTTACGCGGACCCCGACATCCACATCAAAAGCACAGGGGTAACAGAATTTACGTGGGGAGTGAGTTACAATGCAGGTATACAAGATTTAATGAGAGTTGTGGAGACTTTGTCTACGGCGCCTCGTGATTCGTCACCTGCTATCGGATTTTGGGATAAGGTATCTCAAAACTTCCCCAGTCATCCCTAAGTACATGGACTGACTGTTCTTTGGGAAATACAGATGAGACTAATCTTCCATTGGAAAATCAGAGTCTCATTCCGAAATGAAGTCCGTTTGTACATGAAAGGTGAGGCTCATGTATTGTGAGCTTTTATATAGATTTTTACTGTTACTTTGCAGGAAGTCGCGATCCATACATTGTGAGAGACGAGGGAGCAGGTTTTGCCCTTTGTTGGCAGGGATTACCAAAAGTATTGATTGGGTTCGCAAATGAAGACCAAGAAGTTGTCCAGGTTGTCAGTGATACCATGCTGATCATGATACCTAAGTCTGTCATTTTTTGGTTGAACGAGGAACCTGCATACTTATTGTCTAAACAGGTTTGATCCTGAAATTGATCTTCTGAGGTCGCATTCCAAGCACCACGCTCAGCCGGTGCCAAATCACGGTGGTCACGAGCACTCTTGCTTGAAAACGTGCGCTAAATTCACCTCCGGTGTACGGTTTGGAGTAGGCTTTGTCCTTGAACGTTCGTGTGGTCCCGAATGCTCTGAATGTCGTGGCACTGCCTTTGATCGTCAATGTCGTCATTTCTCATTTCGACCTCATTACGATGTGAAACTTGAAAAAAAAGCCAGGCCTCCGATCACGAAGGTAGGCTTTTTTTTGTACCTTCACTGCATTGACCACTTCTTAATACTACTACCATACAGAGTGCCGAGGATTCTTATAATGGATTTAGGTCTGATTTTATACATCTTTCGATATCTTTGAACTCTTCTGTGCGCCATGTCAAGCAGGACATCACAATTAGCCCAAACAACTTTCATTTGACACCTAATGCTTTTGCCCACTTCTGGTCCTGGTGGTCACTTTTCGATGGCGTTTTATCGCTACCTATACGCCAAGGATCGTACTATCCTCCAAGACCCATTTCGCCAAAATTCGGCCGACATTTAGCCACTGTAAAGTACAGAATATCCGTCGCTCAGCTTTTCATATCACATGCCTACATCAATGAGTCCAGAGAATCCTGGGTGGACGGCATCACACCTTTTGTCGGAGTCAAAGCTAGAATCGACCATTTCCAGGCCGATCTGCATCAGAGAGACCAAGAATCAATTGCCCCAGGACGAATCCCTGATAGCATCAAAGTTATTAGACACAAGCCCTTCTACGCTGCTGAAGTTGTTCTGAAGGGACTGGATTTACGGGCCTTGCTAGCAACCTTTGCCGAACCCTTGAAGCGAGCTGTTCCTATTTCCTCAGCCGATCACGTTGGAGACAGTAGCCCAGGATCAAATACTGCACTTACTGATATTCCGGTTCCTTGGTTCGATATGGATGACTTCGTTGAGACTGATTGGGGCCCATCTGTGACGCCTGATATTCACCTCGTACCTGTGCTTTCTTGCCCAAGATTAACATACTTCAAGCGCAATGTTAGAACGTATAAAAGTCAAGCTGAGACCAGTAAATTTGGAATGGAGCATACACATACTTGCATGCTCGGAAAGGATATATGTGAGTTTGACCGATGTTTTTCTTCAGTTATATTACTCATTCTCCAATAGCTGTTCCGCAAGTTGAGATTAGTCTCGCATCCGAGCGCATAGCGGAACTTCGTGGCATGGCTGCATACCAGCAAGATTCCACTAATGGCGACCCAAAGGTATGCTCCGTTTCAGTATCTTGAAAACAACTTTCAAGTCTTAAATTCGAAAAGGTCCAGGATGATGGCAAGCAATATCCACTAGCAGCAAAGATAACGTTCCTCGAGGATTATATTACTCATCTACAGACTATCGACTCGCGTTCTTCCACTGACGATACCAACAATAGTCAGAGCTATTACATGCCTTCCGATACAGTTTCCTCTGATGAGTGGGCGGAATTCGAAAATGTCTACCAGGTTCACTCTCCTAAAGTATTCATGACCCATTCTATCCGTAATGTACGCATTCAAAACACTGGTTGTAGCTCCTGTCCCCGAAAAAGCTAATCCGCGCATCATTCAGGTCTTAATGCAGTACTACTACTGTTCACGGGGACGTCGGGGATCTGAATACCATATGGCGACACGGTCAGAGATATTATACTTTATCTACAGTACATGGATGATAATCAATTGATATTACAGTGCTGTGAAATTTATCAGAGATCAAGCTGAAGCAATATTGTCTACCGACCCGCGCGGCAGCTCTGAGAAGCCTCGTGGTCCTGTCAATAGCGCACAAGCAGCAGCTTCGGCATTGCGCAAAATCTTTACTGGCGATAATAATGTTCCCTTTGTCAATATATCAGCCGATGTAGAAGATGGTTCTCAGGCCGTGGACCCCTTGAATGGCTGGGCAGAAGGCGTTTCTTTACGCAAAGGACATTTCTGCCTTCTCTTAAAGCCACAATTTGTCTTGCGCACGGAAAGCGACGCCGGATCTATTTGCGTGTTAGCTGCAGTCCAAGCCAAGCTTCAGTCTTTTTCTATCATGGACGATTCCAATTTAGAAGATCCAGTCAGTGGCAGAGTAATGACAAGGTATATAGAACCAAAGGTTATCAACCAGACGCCCCCAAGGTTACTAACTACCATTGTAGGACATATACTTCTTTAGCTGGACTTCAGGCATTCTGCCCCACTCACTCAACTTGCGGGAATGGCTGTGTACCCCTTGAAGTTCTCGTGGATTATCGCTGTGAAAGTAACGATTTCGATCGTATAGTTCCACAAACCGACGCTACCTTCCAATATGATAAATTCAACCGCCTTCGTCTGCGCAACAGCGTTACGTCAATCACTAAATCAAATCCCGAGCAGGTGGGTGAAAGGAAGCATATCCATCTTCACAACGAAACAGTGAGTACTAAATAGCCTTTATACTTTTGTGTTTTGTTCAATATACCTCCCGAAGGACCTTGTTCAAGTCCACATACCACAATTCACAGTCTCAGCTAGTGAACAGCATTTCCAAGCCATCTCTGGCATAGTCAGACACCTCATCCTTTTTTCTGATGCCGCACACAAAAACCGCTTAGAAAAGCTAGAAACACTGCTTTTTACCTACGACTTCTCCGATCTCGCTTCTGCAGCTAATGTTGTGGCGGACTTACAGTCCCGTCTTCGAAACGCCATAGAAACCCAGCGGGAGGCTGAAAGCCAACCGCAGTCCATTGAACCACAGGCGAAATTGGAGATTCTCAAACTCAAGGCTCATATATTCCTTTTGTCCGAGGAATTGAATCTCATCTTCGATGCTATCAAACTGGCTCAAGACCGGACAGATGATCGCACAGATCAGAAGTCTGCTCTTTTACTTCACGCCTTATCTTCGGAAATCTCATGGAGAATGCTTGATGAGCACCGAAGTCTTCTTGCGAAACTTGCCGTTCGTAACATCGACTATTCTTGGCTGAGTAAACAGGACAGTTCGACGGTCAATACTTTGACGTTTGGTGACTTGCAGGCGTTTGATGGTTCTCCTCACGCCGAATGGGCTGAGATCGTTTCTAAGTATGATGAACCATCGAATCATCCCTTACTCAAGGTCAGTTTCATCTCACAGTTGTATGACGTGCTCATACCCTCTTTTCCAGAGAGGACTATTCATTGTCGCAGGATGGACTGTTTTGGCCCCTGTTGGAGGCATAACAATTTATGAAGAATTTAAGCTCAATTTACATCCTATTCGTTTGCAACTTGATGCGAGGTTGGGTCGCCGCATAATGGAGTATGTGTGGCCAGCACGTAGAAGCAGAAATAGTACTACGAACGGTGACCCGACGTCTGATACGACCGGACCAATAGATATTGCTCCCAGTCCAAAACCAAACGGCCCATCTAGGTCATCTATGGATTCACCAAGACCATTACAGAATCCTCGCATATCCCTTGATTCTAATCAGTTGGCCCCACCTTCTTTGCGGAAAGGTGTATCAAGATCATTCACTGACATGCGTAGTGCCGCTGCAGAGTCTCGAGGCAGTCCTAATCCGCTTAAGAGGAAATCTACTCTTAGGGCTGTCATCCCAGGTCCTGAATCAGGAGATGAGCAAAAGAAGTTGAAAAATGGGGTTTCAAAGTATACGGGGCACGATCGCCAAGTGGATGATACAATGGAAATGAAGACACGCTCGTCGCAAAAAACTTTCATTCTGGTCAAGATTTCGAGGTACGACGTTATGTTTCTAAACCGGATTACACGTCGTCTGACATCACACCCAGCCTGCATCTTCTTCTAAGTATCATGAAGGCAGAATCCTTTGAATGTCGCGATGCTCGAATTCGCACACGTGATCTGGAGTATCGAAATCGAACGTGGACTGTAAGTGAATCGAGTTCTCAATAATACGCCTTACTGATTGTCGATTTTAGTTTGAGGAACTGGTTGATCAATTTATTCCATCGGACATGTCATGGAAAGGCTGGTTCAAAGTGGCTCTTCATCAGCCTTTAGTCCCTGTACTTCCGGTTGCGCGCGAACTGATATCAAAAACTAAATGGATAGCATCGAAGAATGCTTCGCAACTCGACCCAAGTACCCCCTACGCCAAGCTAGCGCGAGGGAAAGCCAAAACGGACCTCACACCTTATCGGCTATCGACGAGTTCGCAAAAGGCACCTCCCAGACAAGGGGAAAAGGAGGATATAGCCTCTTCGAGCATTACAGCGATACCCTTCACAGACGAGCCTGAACCGATAGATGATTGGGATACTAGCGCTCCATCCCGTAGTAGTGGAGAGTCGAGCCGTCCTCATAGTCGCGCCCGAATGCTGTCGTTCTTCACTGGAGGCTCGTCCCGTGGTAGAAGGAGCATAGAGTCTCAGTATCAAAACGGCAATGTGGGTGTTCATGCATAATAACGATGCTCTTGCTGATTACTCTTTAGACACGTCAAGATACAGATGAGACCATCGTTGGGCCTGACAGTCACCGAAAGGTTATCCCATAATTTTTTCTGATTGGACAATAATTTGCATGGACGTTATCATATTATCACTGCCCATATTTCATTCACATTTTGCATTATCTCAATATAGCTGCTACACTTTGACAATCTTATCCCACATCTGTACTAAACGCTTCAGATTTAGATACTGTAGACACTGGCGATCTCTTCCCTTTGGCTGAAGCTTTTCTGATACCTTTGCACATGCTGGAAACTATATTCCCACTCCTTGTACAGAAAAATGCATACTTCAAGACGAGGAATAATACCCCCCATATTTTTCAAGTCATAAATTTTCAATTCATAAGGAATGATATTCAAATCACTGTAATACTCAACACATCAAGAGCAACTTGACAAAAAAAAACTTACAGTGGACTAAGAAATACAAAACTCTCTGCTTCTCTGCATGAGGCTCATTTGGAAATTTGGTTGTACAGCTCAAATCAAAGCTTTGGTACTACCACCGTAATACCTTCTACAGAACTCTTGTAGGCCAACTCAATCATCTCGATAACCTGTGTAGCTTCTTCCCATTTAACAGCCAGTTCTTCTCCATTACGGATGGCACCAGCCAAGTTTTTGAACAGACCAGCATATTCTCCAGGAGCTTCAGACGGCCAACTGTAGAAACATCAAAATACGGTTCTTTCTCTACAATGAAAATCGGGTTACTAACATCGTTTTGGTGACCGTGACACCATCTTCTGCAAGGTTCTCCACGGTCCCATAAATAGATTCAGGTTCCTTTCCATACCCTGCTTCAAATATAGTGCTTGGCGTCGGCATAGCTTTGAGTTGGTCCTCTTGAACATCAAGGCCGTATTTAGTAAACATTCCCTTGGTACCCCGGATGGCATAGCGAAGTTGGGGAGCTTTAACCGAAAGGATGTGTGACCGCAGGAGCACGGTGAAGTGATTCGGAAAGAGTGTACCAGCGGGATAATGCAAGTAGATGGTGAACTGTATAGAGCCATTAAGTAATCATGAGAATACTGGAAAGTACAAACGGAAAAACAAACAATATCATCGACGTTAGGCTTGGTAACACCACGGATATTCTGTATGAATGCTGTAACCTTGGCTGGTCGACCAAAAAGTTTAAGTGCCTGATCCAGTAAATGCGATCCAAGATCATATGTGGCCCCTGCGCTATCTTTCCACGAAGCTCTGATGCCTGGACGGTAGCGATCATAGCTGCGAGAGAGTCAGTCTAAGAAGGAAGAGAGACGAGGTGAACATACTGGGATTCAAATTCAGTCAAGTTGCCAAGATATTGAGGGGAGTTGGTAGGAAGGGATAGAAGTCGGCGCAGAGCCAAGTGGTCTGAATCCCATCGGCGATTCTGATAGGCATACAACACAAGTCCCTTTGATTTCGCAATAGCCGAGAGTTCATTGGCTTCTGCAACGGTGTTTGTAACGGGCTTATCGACAAGGACTAGGAGGGATAAGCATATATTCACAGATAACAATGAATAAACTGACATACCATGTTTGCCTGCTTGGAGTGCAGCTTTCGCAAGAGGGTAGTGAGTGTCGTTCGGAGTGCCGACGATGACAAGTTCGATTTCCTTGTCGTTGACGACTTCGTCGATTGTCCTGTAGATCGTTGTGGTGACACCAAAGCGCTCTTTTACCTTGCCGCCATCCGTTTGGGGGTTACGCTCCAATACAGCATGGAGTGTGAAGAGTTCTGGGAGGGCGAGTACGAAAGGGACGTGAAAGGTGAGGCCAGCGAGACCAACACCAAGGACACATGTTTTTATTGGGTTCAAGGCCATGTCAATTGTCGAGAACAGCGATATGTTTCTAGGTTCCTTGATTTATATAGATCTTTCAAGCTGGCGGCTGCTCCGGGCCGACGAGAGAGATGCATGACCAGGTGCGAGACGGGATATTCCATTTAGTAGAGTTATAAGTGGAACATATAAAGAAAGCTTAGATGGAGGTGTGACATACTTTGGACCATGGATGGAATGGCAACCGGGACGACAAGAAATGCTGGTGCGAGGAAGACAAATCACGTGCGATAGCCGCGTTTCCCCACGTGACCTCAGCTTTGTTCTTGGCTTCGAATTCAACCTTGGACCGAAACCTTGGCTAACTGCTTCAGCTGTGTCTTTATAACGCTCATCACGACCTCACTACTAACGACTCCTGCTCCAATGCGGATCTCACTTTTATCCCTAGCTTTCCTCACTGGGCCCGTGCTTGCCCAGGTTCCCCTTCCACAACCTCCCTTTATGCCACCAAATGCATCTTCGGGTGCCGTACCATCATCATCAGGAGGGGTACCGAACGCTCAATGGTCTACTCTACTAGGCAACCTATTGTATTTCTACGAGGCACAAAGAAGTGGAAAACTCCCAAGCACCAACCGTGTTCCATGGAGAAACGACAGTGCTGTTAACGATGGCTCAGATGTTCACCTGGATTTGAGTGGCGGCTATTACGACGCTGGAGGTATCAGTAGTATATCTTTCGTGATATTCATCCTCTCATAGAATACGCTTACAGATTACATCAAGTGCACATTTCCGCTGGTAAATATTGTATTGTATTAACCGAGCCCGGGCACTAAAGTAACGACCGTAGTCTTTCACTGTAATGTCAATCTGCTGGGGAGCAACAGATTTTGGAAAAGGTATTTGGAAAGTTATCTCTCTTTTTCTGCAGCATTCTAAATCCCCGAAGGTTACGACTTAGCAAATCAGACCCCTTACTTGGATGACATGCTGCGGTGGAGTCTGGATTGGCTCATGAAAGTGAGGCCTTTCTTTTGAGATCTAATGTCTAAAATCTAATTTTTGCGTCATTTAGGCTCATCCTTCCAACGACACTTTATTTGTTCAGATAGGAGATAGTATGTCCTCAGCTCTCGCGTCGTGTTCGTATCTAACAAATGTTATTTAGCTGATCTGGACAATGCATATTGGGGAGGTGATCAAAATATACCAGAGCCACGGCCGTCATATCAAATTAACAACACTAGGTAGTTTTCCACAGTTCTTTCAGCAACTTATACTCATGCAGTCTTTTTATTCAGCCCAGGAACCGATGCCGCTGCAGGCGTATCCGCAGCGTTTTCTGCCTGCTCGAATCTCTATTCCAACCGTCTGTTTTCAAGTAACTACTCTGGCCCCGCGACACTTCAAAATTCAACTTACGCGGCTGAACTACTCCAACATGCCCAGACTTTATACTCTTTTGCAGTGAGCGCCTCGCAGACTGAATACCAAAATTCCGTGCCCGTTGCGGGAGATGCGTACGCTTCATCTGGTTACGGTGATGAGTTGACCCTTGCCGCATTGTTCCTGGCCTGGGCAACAAATTCTTCGTCGTTGTACCAAGATGCTGAGAACTATTATACGAAGTTTGGGTTGGGTGGTTATGACGGTGTCTTCAACTGGGACTCCAAAACTCCCGGTATACCTGTATTATTTGCACAGATTGCACAAGCGAACCCAGGTTTTGGTGGCGGCAACATTTCGACGTGGCAGTCACAAGCTGAGAACTATTTCGATGGCATCGTCAATGGTAGTGGCAGTGGCTACATGACGCGTGGTAAGTACCCCTCGTCTGTCTACATTTTCCCTAGCTCATTATATGCATGGCACTAGGCGGATTACTTTACTATACTGGGGACTCGGACGAAGCTAGCGTGAACCCGTCTCTTAACGCAGCCATGCTTTTGACGAGATACGCCCAGATAGCTTCTAGTCAAAACAAGAAGAGTTCCTACTTGGTAAGAGTTCTCTTCTCGATTCTGTTCTGGGCTATGTTTAACATTCTCCCAGAATTACGCCAAGAGTCAAGTTGACTACGTTTTGGGTAAAAACCCTATGTCAGGTAAAATATAAGTTTATCGTTTAATCTGCGTAGTTAATATAGTTGTCATGTCAGCTCCGTATATCGTGGGCTCCAATCCTAATTCCCCTGCAAACCCTCATTCCGCCATGGCAAGTGGTGGCAATGATACCAACAATATCAATACTTCCCCTATGCAGGAGGCATACGTTCTGTATGGGGCTATTGTCGGGGGACCTGACCAATATGATAGGTTCTTTGATATAAGGGGTGATTGGCCAGAAACTGAGGTAAGTAGCATGCTGCTACCTTCCCAAGAGCCATTTGTTCATCTTTAACATGCAATTTTTGTTGTAGGTGGCGCTAGATTACAACGCTCCTATGTTGACTTTAGCAGCGATGCATGCCCTCAATGACTCATCTGATCCATTCTTCACCTCTTTGCAACCAGGCGCATACAGTCAAAAACAACCACAAGGCTTCCCTTGCGATGCTGCCTACTCGCAGGGCTGTGGAGGGCCTCGTCTCAGTAAAGGTGGAGAGATTGCGATGGCGGTTATAATCGGTGTCGTGGGATTGACCATATTCTCTTTGATTGGCTGGCTCTTTCTTTTATCTTTCCAGGATGGAAAGATGGGTTGAAATTTCACTTATCTGATATTATCTGGACTATATATACGACTTCGTTTTCGCATTTGATATTTAGTATTTTGGGTTTGGTTTGCTTTTTGCGGGGACTTTATTCACACCTTTTCTTTTCCCATTTTTTCTGACCTTGCTTCGCTATTCACATCTACAATCAACGACATTAATGATCATATTAAATGCTAGTCATGATTTCCGTCATCTATCAGTAAACCTCCAATACATATCTTTCCTCTTCTTTCAAGCCTTCCAAGAATGCACCAGCGGTTTCTGGAGTGTGTCCCTCGTGCTTGACTAGTGCGCCCACGAGTGCTTCGTATACATCTGGAACAGGCCACGTAGGTCCACACAGGTAAAAGACGCCCTCCTCGTTCTTCAGCTTTCCTGCCAGCATCTGGGCATCCTGGAGCATCAAATGTTGGATGTATACTTTCTTGGCGCTGTCACGAGAGAAAGCCAATCCCGCTTTCGTGATTGTACCATCCAGGATAAACGCCTCTATCTCTTCCCCATATAGATATTCCGAGGCTTGATAACGAGCACCGAAGTAGTAGTAAGTGGGACCGACAGCGACACCCTGTTGCGCAAGTTGGGCACGATATTGGAGGAAGGCCCGGAATGGAGCTGCGCCTGTCCCAAGGCCAGCCATGATGATAGGCTGTTTGTGATCGGGAGGCAGCTAGATAAAATCGTGTTTAGACTCTGCGTATGAAAACAAGAACGTGAATCCGTACCTTCATCACACTGGGCCTCACAGACACCGTCACTTTCTGTCCAATCTTGAGGTCCGCAAGGTATCTGGTGCACTGTCCATATCTCGGCGATCCTGTTGAAAAGGTAAGCTATGAGGAGCGGAATGGATAACCACTGACAAGTCTACTCACCACCTGGTGTCAGCCAGTCGACAGTAACCACCAATAAGTCAACGCGGTCACCAACAACACTTTGCGCACTAGCAATACTGTAGTGCCTCGGCTTGATATCACCGATCATCTCGCAAAGCGTCTCGATACCAGGCTTTGCGCTTGGGTAGCGCTGCAACACCTCTGCAAAGGTCACGGTATCCTTCTCAGCAAACTTTTTGAAAGTGGAGGAGCCTTCTGGAGAGCCTATGAATTGCAAAGCGTATTTGTCTGTGGCATTTGTTGCATAGGGTGCCAGGTCGGTATAAAACGATTTTGGAGGTCGACCGAAAAGATCGATTTGTTGCTGCAGCGCCTGAAGGGTGGTTCGAGTGTGCATTCTCCCATCACCCGATAACACTGGGATGGTGACGAGGCGGTTGGGATCGACGCCATACCACGCACAGAAATCTAGGACTTCTCGCTCATCGTTCCAACCGTGGACTCCAAGAGCCTCTCCAATAGCGTACTTCAATCCGGTGCCAGTGGTATCAAACTCTAGATGGAAGACATTGCGGTTGTATTCTATAGGCGTAAGACGACGGTTGACGGTGCATGTTACCAAGAAGGTGCGTTCTGGGACCTCCGGGCGTAAGGCGGGGTTCTGAGGGTATTCTTCGGTTTCAGCAGAAGGGCCCAAGGGTGGTGTGAACACGGATGGGAAGAGCAAGTGTTTCGCAGCATCATGCCACGATCCGAGCCTAGCTCCATTCACAGTAGTCTCTCCATCTTCGGTTTCAACAGCGATGGCGTTAAATTCAAAGTCTTTCAGGTCCGCAGAAGTTTTAGGTTGAGCGTCGTCTTCAGCCGAGGAGACATTGGCGGGGAGTTCGACCTCAGAGAGGCTAACCCACGCTCGCGCGGTAATTTTCGTGAGATCAAGGGTGTGGAAAGCCTCTTGCGTAGTACTGGTGACAAGTTTGCGAACCAGAGGCTCGGTAGCTGCCTTTCCAAGATATAATCTCAAGAATGAAACATATACCAGTATGTTCTGTACCGCATCTTGATCAACCGGTCCTCCTGCGAGGTCAGACGCGCATGTCTTCGCGTCAATGGTGTATATGCGCAACTTCCTATCGGAGATCAGTGCCAACACATCAGAGGGAAGGTTTGACAAAAGCTCGGCGCTCGACCAAGGAGTGACGACCAGCACCGCGGAACCAGGTTTCGCATGTTTGAGCAGCGAGTGCGACTTCAGCAAACTGGCGTCCAATATGCCCAAGAAGTCTGCTTCACCGGAATCGGAGCTCCCAAGCGATATGGTGCTACACAAGGGTGCTTGATCAGCAGCGTCTGCGCTCTGCGAAAGGACAATGCGGCTGGCGCTGACGCCCCCAGGTTTGCTGAAGACATCATGGTCGGTGAGAAGACGAGTAGGCATGGTTCTCGCGAAAGTATCTTTGACAATGCTCGGCAAAGGAGCAAGAGGAGAAGCAGGGGTGCCAAAGAACAGGAGCCTTTTAGAGCTGTCGAGAGCAGGTAAAAGGGGGACCTTGTGTGCGAGCTGAAGAACAGCATCCCAGAATACCTGACGCTGAGAGATGTATTTCTGAGTCTTCTCAGGTGTAACGCGATGCGCACGGATAATGACTCCAGGAGAGGAAGGATCATAGAGCGAACCAAAGACATCGACGTAAAGACTACCCTGGGTAGCCTCGTTCGGCACATCATCAAACACGTGGACTTCTTTCACACTCTCTGGAACGACGTTACGGAAAGCAGCTTCGTCCCAAGGCCTGAGCACTCTGACAACCACCACTCCCAGCCCATCTACACGACCAACGAGCGCTTTCGCCATTAAAGCTAGAGGTCCATTGAGAAGAACGATGACGGTGTGTGCATGTTCGTCCCCAGCATAGTCAAAGAAAGAATATCCAGACCATTGTAAAGCTTCTGAGACAGTAGAGTTTCGTCCTTCTTTGAAAGGAAGAGGGGCGGAGAACGCATGACCTACTTCACGAGTGGAGCTGTGGTGGTCAAAGAGGTGAATAACGTGAGAGGACGTGAGCTTGTACGACAGCGTCGTAAGATCGATGGACTCCTGAGGCGATGCTGAAAGAAGAATAACGATGTTTTCTGGGAGGAGGGTGAATGCATTTGCTAGGGATGCAAGTGTGGGGGAGAGTGCGAATGCCTCTCCGACAGACGTTACGGTGGGTACCTGAATTATAAGCCTGCTGGCCGCAGACGGCGGGGGAAGGTACGACAGAGATTGTGTCATCGCAGCTAATCCGGCTGGAGTTGTGTACGCCGTCAAGACAGCACCCCTCGCAGCATCCTGACTAGTTCCCGCAGAAAGACGTCCGACTAAGCTAAGGCCAGCACCAGCCCTGGTTTGCAAACTGACTACAGGCGCGGTGTCTTGGATAGAACCCTGCCAAGATTTGGTCAAAGTTCCGAACCCAACTTGCTCTGCTACATCATAGACATAGACAGAGGAGCTGGTTGAGGACCGTGAAGCAATGAATTCGATGACATCGGAAGCTGATTTTTTGAATGCATTTTCCGTGAGGGGATTAGCTTTGAACTCCGTGGTAGGTGTAGCAGTTAACGTCGTCGCTGCAGACAACGGCGACGTTGAACCAGAAATTATTCCAATGGCCATGTCGAGCTGGGATAATAGTCGATCTGACTTGAAGGCTCAGCTAAATATTTTAATTCCTCCATTTTGTAAGCACGAGAAAGTGATTGTGCAATATGATAGCACTATCACGCCTTGATCATGTGATTCGGATATGCCTCGGATCGGCACCGGAATCGGTGTGCCTTACTAAGCAACCCTTGCGAAAATCGCAAAACACCTCAAAGGAAGACAGTCCGACATGAGATCAATGCAAGCTTTATAAGTGAGTCTATCCAATACATATGAAATTGAAATGTACACCTTGACACGAAAAAAAAGTGGTAATACAACTATTCTCCTTGCTCTACTCTCGGATGGTGTGGAACAGACGGTCTCCCTAAACTTTCAGGTCAATACACGCATATTTCGGCGTAAGGAGAGAAAAATCGCGTACTGTATCACCCAGACCAGGAGATATCAAACCATCAGCAGTGAGGTGAGCATCTACAGCAGCCACCCATATCTGATACCAGTTCTTAGTGGATCAATTACAGTTAGCTGAAAGTGAAAGTACCTCAAGTCCGGGAAACTCAGCTTGCACGTGCTTAAGACCTTCTTCAGAGCCAAGAACGCACAAGAGTTTGATGTTAGATACTAAGTAAAGCAGTCATCAGCGAGCAAATTTCAGACTGATCGCCTCATTCTTACTCGGAAGACCCCAGTCTACGATCATGCTAAGAGCAGCACAAGCCGTTCCGCCCGTGGCTATTAAGGGATCTAGAAGGAAACATAAATCTATCGGTGGCTCAGACGGGAGCTTGGAATAATCTACGGGGTAATAGCTATACTTAGATGGCGACGGTGGAGGACAGTAGAGGGTAACTCACATTCGACTGGCTGCAAGCTTACTTTCTCCCGGAATAGGCCAAGATGATAAACTGGGGCTGTCCTGTCCTCACAATATGTCAAAGATGGATGGTCACACCCTATAAGCAGTAAATAACAGTAGATCAACTCACGGGAACAGATTCAGCAAGGCCTCAGTCATTCCTAAACCTGCCCGCAGAATGGGTGTCAGGCCCACCTTTGGCTTGATTACAGTACCCGTAAATGGCCCTATAGGTGTTTCCTAAAACGAAAGTCAATGAACGCAATCCAATGGCGTCAGACTTATTGTAGGATTAGATCAAGAAAGAGACCTACACCAAGAAACTTATCCTCCTCAAGATTTCGAGATGCCTCTAGGCCCAAGATCAAACTGATATCATGGATTCCCTGATGAGAAGGGGACGTTCAAAAATGAGACACAGATGATACACTTGATGCTGAAGCACCTCTCGGAAATCCTTGGAGCTAGTGCTTGTCTGTCTGAGTTGAGAAAGTCTTGCATTCACGATAGGGTGTGAGAGAACGTTGAGCTTTCCAGCCATGATCTTAGTTTTTAGTTGAGTGTAGGTGCAGAGATGCTCGTTTCTCTCAGTGGTAGTACTATTCGGCATATTTACCTTCAGGCACCTTACTTCCAAGTTCCGAACCGAATTCCGATTGTAAGCAAAAGGTAAATTTGAACACCCAAATCATCCCAGTGCATGAGACGTATAATCTTTTACCGTCGTTTGTATTCACATGGCTTCAGGACATCTCCTTTAGACATGATTTCAGACCACTCTTTGTCTGTAATCGACGTTCGCGCCGTTTTCTTGAACTCAAATAACGTGAAATGAGTATTCCCATTGTCCTGAAAAGGGGTCAGAACGCGAATTCAGACGGTGCCAGTCAATTGTGGTACCTTGGACTTCAGTTTGAACCCAATAGAGCCAACGAGAGAGGTAAATTCGTTCAAATTCGTGAAACGGCTTGCAACTTCCGCTACTTTTAGTTCACCTCTATAATAAGTCTGTATCAGAAAGGCATAAATCCAGAAGTTCTTGGACGAACCCGGCCTTCAGGATTCTCCAAGCCTCCCTAATGCATTGTGGCCAGTTTGTACCCATCAGACTCAAAGCGCATACTACCACATCGACCACTTGAGCTTTTCCCTCAGATTTTTTACCAGGAGATGGTTCCGAGCCAGGTAGTGGTATTTTTGCACATATGTCTGCTTCAACCACGAATGCTCCATCCGACACAAGGTCGAACGAAAGGACGTTGATGCTTTTATCGACAAGTGCACGAGCGAGAGTAGCATCCCCACACCCGAGATCTGCTACAACAGTCCTTTCAGGGTACGTCGACAGTTTGGATATATAGTGCGAAACGGGGTTCGAAGGCCAAGACTGGACTTGATGACGGAAACCGGAATGATACTGGAAAGGCATGAGATGCCACCACCAGATATTGCATGAAGCTCAAACCTCTTCGAAGACATTGGGATTCTCTTTCATCATGTGAACTGCCTCCGAGCTAACCGACTTGTATAACAGTTCATTAATCCATCTAGAGGCAGTTGATCTTTAATCAGCTACTGAAAGATGAAAAGGCACTCACCTAAACCGCGCACCATCCAAACTCCCTTTCATACCTTTCTGTAGAGTCGTTAGAGAGCTATCGTCATGGGAGAGGCTGACGTCTATCTTAGTGGAAGGTTTTTTTGGAGGCACAGTCACATCAGGCTTTGATTTATTCTTGTTCTTTTTCCCCTTCCGAGAATCTTTGTCTGGATTGTGAGGTATATCCTGTCGCGCTGTGGATTTCGCGACTGGGGATGATTGCTTCATATTACTCTCTTTCGAAGGACGTGATTGCTTTCCCCCCACATTGGCTTTTTGCGTTTTCTTTTTCTTCTTAGAAGCCTGGCTAGACACTGAGTCCTTTCCCTCCAACGTTTTCATCAACTTGTCCAAATTGACGGTCGCAGATTCCAGCTTGTGTCCATCATCCGCTGGTCGCTTACGCTTTTTAGACGTGGACTGTGATGAAGAGGTTACCGGTGCAGAGGGCAAGGACCAGCCAGGGACTTCAAAGAGAGCCATTTTGCGTGTGGTGAAGATTAAGAATGAAAAGAACACATGCCGTCCGCTAGAACTTTGTCGAAAATTTGAAATCCGCGATTATTAATTTATTGGAAAAACAAACACATTTGGTTTGTTCTGTGTTACAAGTCTTATCACTTGCATGGAAACGCCTACCTCGTCGAGGACTCATGTTTACGAGTGGGAACGGCCTTGTGTGTAACTGTTCCCAGAATACGATGTTTGCCGGTGTGAATGGAGCCGATAAAGAAAACAGGGATAGTCTTGCACGCCTACAAATTGAAGCTCGACAGTCGCGAGTCTGTGGTTCTGTACATGCTTGCTTGGAACCGATCACAAACGCTCAAAGGCGTGTCTTTCTGTTGTCGTTCCATGCGGTTACCAGTCATCAGTCCACTGCAAGCCAACCCCAGCCAGGCGCCTCTTTTATGGCAATATAAGGGCTTGCCTTTTTACTCTTGGCTTTCTAACAGTTTTATAATCTTTCACCCTTCGCTCACCCAACACATCCATCATCTCGCATATGGCCAAGAAAGATAAGAAGAACAAGGACAAGGCTGCTACTTTCCTGCCAAAACCGCATCCATTTGCACAGCCCAAACCGCCACCATTCTCGAGTCAACCAGTGAGGCCATGTACTGATAATATCAAGCCTACTATATCCCATCTCCCATTTTAATAGCCGATAAATGCTGGGACATCACCATTGACGTTGAAAACCAGTAATAATGCAAACCTCCTGCCCCTCAATGATAAGTCCAGCGCCCTAGCACGTCAGTTTATGGTGCGTCAGTTTATATCTCAATCGACGAATTTGTAACGATATCGCCAATACAGTCGGCTACGTCGACTCCAGCTCCAGCAACCCCTGGCACTAACCACCATGCCCCTATCAAGCCACTGCCCTCGACTACTTCTACAACGTCTAAAAATGTTCGTTTTTATCTCTTTCATTCCCATCAATATTCTCACCCTTTACAAACTTATCAGTTTGCCGCTGCTAACTTGTATACAGCGCTCAGTAAGGGAGCCGGGTTCCCAGCTAAAATGCCGTCCTCAATTGCTGAGTCCACATCCGTAAGCGTATACCACCACCTTGCTTTCACATTTGGCCATGTCTCCTGATGAATTATATCCACAGCAGTCTTCTGGCCCTGCACGGGCTTCAAGCGTCGACTCTGTAAAGGAACTTGGTGCTCCTCGGGTAAATTCGTATCCTGCTCCAGTGGGTAATGATTTTCCAAAGGTTATCCATCATAATCAACACGTTAGCAGCTATCTCGAGGAATTTCTTCATCCTCAACAAGTGCCACTAACGCTTTAAGAGTTTCTTCCTCGATGATGAACGGTACATCAAAAGGCGCTGTGAACGGCGTAAGTGCTATTTCTGTGAGTGGCTTCGCTCTACGCCACATAAAGCAAGAAGCTTATCTTCTGTCTCTGCGCAAGGGCGATCCCGAGATGCACCTCTTACAGGATGATCCAACTACAGTTTCAGGGCGTAGCAGAGATCACGAACTCAAGACTGCCCCAATCTTTACGCGCGACGCCTATGTCGCAGCTGGTTATCGTGAACATACCACTCAGTATGGAGTTATGGGAAAAACACTTTCTATCTAGTAAGTAATCGTCCTTTTTCTTTTTTCCTGTTAAGCTTCATAATATCTTTCCCATGCAGTTCGAAAGCTAATAGATATACTCCTGCGGATGCTCGCCTTTACATCAATACAGTAAAATTAACATCATTTTTTGCAAAATCTTGACCCTCAATATATTTTTGACAGAATGCTCCATTTTCTGCTGTCGTATGCGGCGTACAAGGCTCGGGAAAGTCACACACCGTGTCCATACTCTTGGAAAACATGTTCATATCAAATTTCCGCCAAATCGGTTCTCTTCAGAGGCCGCTTGCGGGATTGGTTCTTCATTTTGGAGAAGGAGGTCCTGGTTCGCGTCCCAGTGAAGCAGCTTGGGTCGGCGTCTCAAGCGTCGAAGGTGTACATCCTCCCCCCGTCCATGTATATGTATCGCGCTCTTCCCTTAACACGATGAAAACCGTATATGCACCTCTTGGGAATAGAGTGAGAGTGGAACCGCTGCTTTTCACCGAAGAGGAACTGGATGCACAGGCATTCTTGTCGATGATGGCAGTTGGCTCTTCGGAGTCCGCCCCATTGTACATCCAAGTGGTACTGGTGAGATAACAATATTTTCATCGCTTGTGGGTGACAGCTTAATAATTAATTTAGTCTATTCTCCGTGATCTGGGAGAAAACTTTTCGTATAATGAATTCATGGTTCGTCTTGACGACAAGAAACAGTCTTTCAATCCTGCCCAACTGGCAGGACTTGAGCAGCGTATGGCTCTCCTCAATTCATTTGTAGACCGCACGCAGCCCTCCGAACGGCGGTTTGTAGCGGGGCAACTTACAATCATCGATCTTTCCGACCCATTTATTGATCCGGCATCTGCGTGCGGTCTTTTTGAAATAATAACACGCTTGTTTGTGAGGGCAGAAGTGGGAACAGGGAAAGTGCTTGTGGTCGATGAAGCACATAAAGTACGAACAGCTGCTGTGTTACAGTGGTTCTAGCTCATCTTGTTTCTTCCCATAGTACTTATCATCAAGTAAAGGAGCCTCAGGACTGACGAATTCTCTCTTAACTTTAACCAGAGAGCAGCGGCATTTGGCAATGCGCGTTATCATCAGCACTCAAGGTAAGCGGACTCTTTCTAGACCTTACTGAATTTGATGATGTAATTCTTGCCTTCAGAGCCTACTGTGGTTCCGCCCGTCCTTTTGGATCTATGCACCGTCGCAATCCTCCATAGGTTCTCTTCTCCTTCTTGGTGGGACCATCTCGCGAAACATGTTTCTGCGGACATCTCAGCTGAAGATGCATTTGATAAAGTCGTTAAACTCCAGGTTGGGTTTCCCAACTTTGTGCCAATGTCACATGTTAATAGTTTACTTTAGACTGGAGAAGCAATAGTCCTTGCACCCTCTGGATATGGTGTTTTCCCCGACGAGCCCTATTATATGTCTTCGGCCGAGGCTGCAGGGAAAGGCAGAGAGGTTTTGCAGGTTCCGAGACTCAACCAACTCGGACGTCGATACATACTGATGAAAACACGCCGACGTGTTACCAGAGACGGTGGTGGCTCTATACTGGTGGTAAATTAATATGATTAGCTATCAGGGCGACAACGACAGATTATGGTTCGGTCGTTGACAATACGTCAGAACCTTTTCACGGAATAGGGTTGTCTCATGGCGATACTACACATTTCCGTGGAGGCGAATGATGATCAAATACAGTAAGAATGTCGTCTCATAACCTTTACCCCTATTCCCACATATCCGACCGTTATCTCTCCCATATCGATGTCTAATACATGATTTCATTTTGGCTCGAGTTCCTCTATATCCTCTAAATGTTGGCGTCTGATGGTAATATCTGCAAATGGTTTACTGGGTATATGTTCATCGTGACGATCGTTCGGCCGCACGCAGGTCTCCAAGGGACTGCGTAACAAAGTCCGGTACAATGGATGAAGCATTGGGACCTGTGATGTCCTTTTCTGATGTAATACCTGGATATCAAAAGTGAATAAAGAAATTTTGGTGAGCGATAATCCATATTACCAGTTAGCACAAGAAGTGTTGATAGCCCTCCGGCCTGACCAAACAGAATATCAGTGTTCAGACGGTCACCAACCATGATGGAACGTTTAGGATCAAAGTCAATCCTTTAAAGAACCTCATCAGCCGCACCGTTCACAGGCGCAAAATCTATCGCTCACTTTGCCTTGATGCAATCCAGCATCGTTATAGATGGTTTACCGATAACCAACGGGTCTTTATCTAATGCAAACCGCAAGGGGGCACTGATTGCTCCTGCTCCAGGTAAGACCCCACCGTCAGCGGGGAACGAGCTGTCCGTATTAGTGGCCAAGAAATGGCATCCAGGATTACGGCTAAGATACTGGAACGCTTTAGAGAGCTTGGTATAGTTGATGAAGGGATCGAATCCACATAATACGGCCCCCACTTCGGGATCGAGTGTGAAGTTGGATAGGGAGAAGGGCTCGACAGTACGATCAGCAGGGTCCTATCGAACTGTCAGTCCTGGTCACACGTTATGAAAAACAATATAGACCAACTGACTGTACCGCCTATGCAAGATATTCCTTCTTCTGCTAATTCTTCCTCGATACCGATCATACCAATCACGTAGACCTTTTTGGATTTAGACAGTTTTATCACGGATGATATGTAGACCGCAGACGCGTACGCAGATCCAAATATTTCGCCCTTGAATGGCATATTAACCAATTTGCTGCGTGACAGATGCAGTGGGACCTACCAGATAAGCCTCCACTCCCAGACCATCGAACTTGCGCTTGTAGGTCTTGCGAGATTTGGTTGCATTATTGGTGACGAACACGATTGCCTTATCTTTGATGAATAAAACAAAAGTCTTAACAATAAAGTTTCTATAGTCCATCTTATTGACTTACTTCGGGTCCTAAGGATCTTCAAAACCTCGGCAGCACCCTCTATTAGTTGGTCATCGTGCCAAAGTACACCATCGCAATCGAACATCCAAGTGTCATATTTCTCTATCAGTATTTCATAGTGTTCAGGAGATGAAAGATAAATCCCCTTGGACATTCTTAGCGTTCAAAGTTCTATGTGGCGATAAAGGAAACAGAATTGAGTTTATTGGTGTAATTGCTTCATAATGGAAGGGGCCTCAAGGCGCTCATCCCAATGCTGATAAGGCAGTTAATGAATTTCAAAAGCAATCATAATAGAAACTAAACAATTCAATGACATTACACGCTGATGACCTGAACTAAGATCCGAGCGGCAACTATTACTAGTAAAGCATACAAGCATACAACCAGAATGATACATGTAAAATATAACGAGTATGTCAAGCAAAAATACAACACGAAGAATGTACGGTACGGTTGATATTTGAATGCCAAAGGAATAAAAATTGGACTAGTACGATGCGTCCACAAGGTTGCGCTTGGATTATTCAACAGGATTGAGTGCAGCAAATAACTTATGGTGATTGGGTTGCAATAAGGTGTCGTAGATAAATAGAAGCAAAGTAAGGAGGGTGAAATGCAGGTGGTGCTGAAAGTACACGGAAGTCGTACAAATATATTCGATGGATGCGTCTTGAGCAAGCAAGAACATTTGCGGCTCCCGAAAGAGGGACATACTACACAGGGCAAGCGAATCACCCGAACCAGGATCCAGATTCCACGAACGAGAAAGAGGAAACTGCTTATGACGGAAACCATTTCACTGCTGCATAGCGTAGATATTGAGAGGATATATGATATGGCACAGAAACACTGATAACGCCATCATGGCGGTAACGGAACTAAGGGGGCAAGAAGGGAAGTGGTTGCGTGTGGCTGGTTTCGCTGGCTAAGGAATTCAAGGATATCCTGGTCGGCGAGAAGGCGTGTTTTCCCAACCCAACCTCTCATTTATAGTACGCGCATAGGACTTCCAGGTGGAAGTTGTTCCCTTTCTATGAACTGCGGCCCTATAGCGTTCCTCGCCAGAGGGCTGGAGTCCATGCCACCGCCAGGAGAAGCAACACCCACTCGCTTATGCCGGCGTCCAAGAAGAGTTGCATTATCCATGTCCAGCTCAAATGTTCGACTGCCACCCGCTCTGCGACCCCGATCTCGTGAGCCTGCTCTTCCATCCAATAACAAGGATCGATCATCATGGACAACAGGAGCTGCCCCGACTATATTCCGTTTAGCCACCGTCTTCGCCCCTGTGCCAGCATTGTCCCGCTGGGCTGTTCGTGAACTTGGATTCGCATGCCTACGCCTCGCATCTTCCAATGTGTCTTCATCATCTGCCATTACGTCTTCGTCGTCCTCGTTCAGACCGTGCAAGAAACCTCTCGTTCCTGCACCGCCCCTTCCATTGTATGCCCTTCGACGTGCTCCTTCCTCTTCCATACGATGAACAGCGTAGGTAATGTCAAATGCTTCTTTGAGTGTCGCAAGACCTGGTGAACGACCTTCAACGCGGCCACCACGAGCAGCAGTCAATAGAGGTGAATCGAGTGGAGGAGTGCGTCCATATGCCATTGGAGTGGGGGGTGGAGGCGGCGCAGGGGCAGCATTGCACCAGGGATGTGCAAGAAATTCGTCGATGGTATAACGCTGAGCAGGATCGACACAAAGAAGGTGTTGAATGAGATCCTTAGCTGCGATCGAGGTCAATTCAGAATATCTTTCAATCAGGAATGTGATCACATACCTGTATGGCTAATATCGTCCCACCATGGGCTCAAAAAAGTGTAGTAACCACGCGCAACCTTTTCTGTCAGGACGTTGATGCTTTCGTCGTAGAATGGAGGAAATCCACATAGAAGCGTGTACAAAACACATCCGAGCGCCCACATATCCACACTCTTGGAATATCGCTCATCTTTAACAATTTCCGGCGCGGTGTATCCGACTGTTCCACATGGTGTCATTGTCTCCTCATTCCAAACCACCTTCGAAAGGCCGAAATCAGCAATTTTGATTCGCCCAATGCCTCCACCCCCAACACCAGGTATAAATTCACCCTCGTCTTCCTTTTCTTCATCGTAGGGACGCCTTACTGGGTTCTTCGAAGGTATGATTGGAATCCGCTCAAAAAGCAAATTTTCTGGCTTGATGTCACTGAATGAAGCGATTCGTACAGCAGCGAAAGTTACGAAATGAAGTCAGCGGAATGCGTAACACGGTAGTCATAAATAAACAAACCGATGTACCACGCCTCGCTCTTCGTGAAGATAGCGAATACCGTTTGCAACTTGGAGAATGACATGCCTCGAGAGGTTTTCACTGAAATAGGTCAACTTTACTATCTGATGGAACAATTCGCCACCCTCCATCACTATGGTCCCATGTCCATTAATCAACTGACCCAGGCACGACGGGGAATTACGTACATTCTAAAACGAGAAAATAATATTCGGGAGATTCTGAAAATGATTGTAGTCGAACTATAGATGGGTGACTTGTCCCTCTCATAATTTGCACCTCTTTAAAAGACAAAAAAATATGATAAGGAACTGTTCTAGGATGCAGGCGCGAGATACCCACCTTTGAGAATATTGGCACGCTATGAAATACACGACGTCAGGAAATTGTTGAGACGAGTTTTAAGCATTCAAAAGGACAATGTGGGACGTTACCTCTGTCACGCGCGGCTTTTTCTTAAATTGTGCATTTAAATGCTTATCGCCCGCCTAACAGAGGCACGAGGGTAATGCAGAACGAGAAGGTAGATGATAGAATTGGGACACAGAGAAATTAGTGCCATATGAAGCCAAGAGAATGAAAACAGCCAGACGACAAAGACTAACCTGGGATGCATTCAGTTCAAACTTCCGCACAACTTTCACTATATGCGCAGTCAAAGTGTTACAATGTGTCGAAACAAGCGCTGAATAGAACACACCAGCCACTTTAGAGCCGCTTGACAAATCTATTGCCTTGTACACGTTCGAAAATGCGCCGCTAGAAGGAATAATATGAACACCGTCGTGGACGGACGGAAGGTCAGATACTCACTCTCCCATCTTGTCGATAAGCTTGAAATTCTCAAGCCCTTTATACAAAGGCTGTTTCGTTTTAGCTTCGCGTTCTTGGGTGAGAATCATATCTGCTGCTTCTTTGGAGTCACGTTTCTGTTGAGCTTGTTGGGTGAGGTCCGGTTCTGGTGGGTGAGCAGGTGTTTGCTGCTGACGCTGCTTTGGATGTGACGGTTCTGGGGTTGTTCTGGTGTATTGCTGAGGGTCAGAGTCTGGAAGCCTGTGGTTATGTTTACCGTGGCGTATAAGATCTAGACAATAAAACGAGGTGATGGTGGTATCGTTCGTCGGAGTTAGACAGCGGTCTTCGAAATGAGGATGGAGACATACTCTTGAATGCGTCCATGACTGCTGGCATGGCTGAGGATGTCGTGTGGGGTGTCGATGGGAAAGAATTGGAGTGGTGGTAAGGTAAACTGGTGGTCAAGGTACAGCCTGACTGATCCCTCGTCTTTTTTGCCTAGAGATCCGTTTTGTATTCTCGCTGCTTTCCAGCTCCGCTTCGTCACCTGCCTGACGTCATTCAGGACCCTGTCGTCACCCCACCTTCTTTCTACACTCGACTTACCTTTTTAGGTAATCACCCACCTTGTCGTCATTTTACAATTATAGCATATTACTATTATTATTTTATTTACATACCCTTTTCGCGACAACAACAATCCTCCTCATCTGCCTCCAAAGACGCTCCCTGGTGCACTCCTGCTTTCTTCATCTCTTTCCCAATAATCCGGCCGGTCTCTCGGCGGCGTATGTATAAGCAACAGATGCTGGGCCGGTGACAACCCCATCAAGCTCATCCCACTCTGCTTATTCCTCAGAATCGGTGTTTCGCGCGTTTTATTCGCCGGCACCAGCGCCGCACGGCTGCGTCGCCTCAACGAGCCAACACCCACGTTTCCTCCAGCACTCTCGCCGTCCCCTTCGTCCCCTCCATTCTCCGTACCTCCTTCTTCGTTTCCACTCCCACTTGGAGCCCATGCAATGACAAATACCCCTAGGAAGGTCGCGCCACATCCGTACAGGAATGTCACCATTTGATGAAACGTTGCACGCTTGAAGTCTCCGTACAATACAGCGGAGCCAATGACGGCCGATAGTGTAAACAGGACGAAATGTGTCGGTATGACGAGCTTAGAGTCGAATCGTTTCAGTGCTCGATTGAGATATCGGACCTGGAGGATGCCCGTGATAATGAGCACCTGCAACATGCACATGCACGTCAGTGTGAAATAACCGGAAACAATAAATGAGGGCCCACAGCGAGTATGGGATAGCAGATCCATTCCATAAACATTTTGCCCCACTCCTTTGTCAGCAATGTGGAGACACCTTTCGTTGCCAAAACTGTAAATCCTCCTGCAGCATATAGGCCCTGTTAATATCAATTCACCTTAAGGTACTTGCAAGCTTACCAAATATTGCACATAGCCCTATATCCACTAATACGACTTTTCGACCGATGGCGCCCTCGCTTAATACGCCCAGTATCACAGCGCCGACCAAGTATACTATACAGAAGACTTGGAAAGCTCGCTGCGAGATCGCAACAAGAAGTGCATCAGGTGTAAGGGGTGGTGGCGTGCCGTCAGGCGAAGGTGTAGATAGGACGACAGTAGTCGCGCCTATCACCGCGAGTAAGATACCAAGTAGGTCAAGCTATAATGAAAAGTATTAACATGTGACTGCATAACAAATCTTTGGTTAAAGACCTTGCGGAATCGCTCGCCAAGCATGAGGGGTGCAACTAGACAGTTTGCCATGAGTGCGAACTTTTTGTCAGTCACATAGTAACGTTGTGGGTAAGATATAGCAAAGAAATCAGTGCAAGTTCAGCAAACGTATGTTTAAACACTTACAGTCCCTAGAGGTGCAACTACCGATGCAGGAGCAAATGCATATGAAATGAAGTTGCCCAATTCTCCAATGTTCATTAAAGAAAAACCAAACCACCTGCGTATACAAGGTCCTCAATCAAAATCCGATAAATTCTCTAGATAGATGTGATTATTGACTTACCAGAGGCGGGATTTAAGATAATCACTCTCATTTTCCTCTTCTTCTGCGCTCTTTTTCTGACCAGCATTCTGATTCCGCTTAAACCCACCATGTCCGTTGTGAATACCAACCTCGTCTACTGATATAGGGCCCATGTGGGCATCCGCATTGATCTTCTGGCTCTGGCTTTTACCAAAACTCATACGAAACGGTATGAAATGCAACGAGAAACTCGATTTCCTTTGATGTCTTGCACCTCGGCGACCTCGTGATAGGCTACCACTGCTGGTCGTACTCCGTCTGTCATCAGTGGAGGCGCTTGAGCCCGCGCTCATGCCATAGGTCGGTCGCAAAGGGGAAGAAGTCGGCAGCAGCGGCTGGTTTTCAAGGAGAAGACTGTGCTCGATATCGTCATTCCTCTCGTCCCCGAAGCCATCAGAGACAATTGGGTTGTTGTCCAGCTCGACGTCAGAACTTGCTGGGCCACTTTCACCTTGCCTCGCGGTATCATTGCGTGCTCTATTCGTTCCTTCTCGCTTGGCCTTCTTTCTCTCCCTCTCTAGACGTCTATGAGCGAGTTTCTGAACGTTAAGCGCCAATGAGATGAGGATGTTTCCAGCGATGGCAACACTGATGCCAATGCTGGTCTGGAGGGTGAGGTGAGGAAGGTCGAATCCAAGATCAATATCTGGCTTTGTGCTGTTGGTCATGGAGGGCATGAAGTCTGGTGTATGCATTGTGTTGGTGATTATATCCCTGAGGCTTGAGGTATCGGATGGCAGGGGGTATGAAGAGCAGAAGTCTCAATAGGCGAGAGCTGCGAGGACGGTTCGAGGTGATCGTGAAGTATAACAAAGTAAACAGACCTGATTCAATGGCCAATGTATATATATCCACGTTATACGTGCAGTGTCCCTTCCGTCGTGCTTTGGCCTAACGCACTCGCACGAGTTGGAGCACCTCAAAAGATTCGCTCCCGAGAAGATACTGAATTCGAAGGTATATGGTTTTGGAAGAAATATCCCACGTGCGTGTCCACACTTGATCCTCACTCTCAATTATCAAGAGAAGTATGAGAAAGCCTATGTAGACGTTCTCCACGCGTTGTTCTACAACCTATCCGCGAAGAACATCTCCGCTTCATTACAGAGTGTGCCCAACATAAGAACCCAGCCGAAAATCATGCAGAAAAGTATTTCCCAAGAGGCGAAAATGATTGTGGTGAATGGATCTCCTGGACCCGCACAATTTTCTTCACTCCTCATGACAGCGATATGTGTACTCGCAAATGGCAACAGCAGACACGGTTACTTTGATTATGAGTCCAGTATTACGAGGAGATCGCGGGGATGAACTGCAAGTGAGCGACACCTCTGTCGATAGTGCATACCATGGATTACGGAACGAGTCCACTCACTGCCACGCCATATCAACGATGTCGCCCGCTGACCTCAGCCTCTCAGACCACGACGTGCACGTTCATGAACTGAGAGCAAAAGGATGGCGGGGCAGTCTCGACCCCAGTGCGGATCCAAAGAACAAATGAGGCAGTTGAGTCTCACGTTGATCCCGTGCTTTTCCTCTGTTTGAAATTCAAGGCGGACACCGAGAAGACTGCGAGGCTCATACTACCGCTGTAAGACAGGTGCTTCGACGGAGTGGAACGAGCAACACACAATACCTTTTTTCTTCTACTTCTCCTTCTTCCGTACATCAACTGCAGGAGTTCCTCTGCGAGATCGTATCCTTAACTTCTGACTGCCACATCACCGAACTTCAAACTTCAAACCTACTACTGTGAATAACGCTGCGGCCTATCATGAGAACAAGACACACCGCGCACCCTCTTCCAGCCTTTCCCGTATTCTCTTCTGCCTTCCTATCATCAAACGAGGTAGTTCTTGGTGGAGGCGGTGGAGCATCTAGAAGTGGAATCAAGAATAAACTTGTGAGCTCTCAATAATGCCATGATACGGGATACATATTCACCCTCCACGGGACACCCGGGTTAGAGACTTTATCGCGTGGACGAAGATAGAAGCTTGCACCTCTTAAATGAGCTGGAGCTGGAGAAGGATGAAGATGCGCCAATGAGTATGGCCACGCATCTCGAGGTTCGTAGCTTGAGCTTCTCATCCAAAGCGACCAGCAAAATGTCAACACGGCAATCGTTTTTATTATCACACAGACGAAAACAGTGGTATGTGGGATAAATAGTACAACTGAGAAGTTACAAAAGGGACAAAACGAAAACTGTCGCGTATTTGGTTTGAGTGGTGAAGAACATAGGTAGGTCGGCTGTCCCCTTTTTAATATTCCTTATCTTCTCATACTCTTTCACGTAGACTGGAGCAGCTGAATACAAAAGGAACCCTGCTCTCGGGAGACACTGAAGACTACCAGGTAAGACTATAGAAGCCAACTTTTTGCTTGGTGTCCTCTTGATATCAATGTCATTTCCCATAGAAAGTCACCGTCATATCGCCTGACGGATCACTTTTGGTGGTAGCCGGAAATCGCGAGGTGCGTTTCTCTTGACTGTTTTAAGTAGTGGCATCCGAACTTAGTTACCGTAGCTTTCACTCTTATCGTATCCATCTCTTTTGCCTGTCGCGCAAACCATCAATGTAACAGAGGGAGATATTTACGACGCAACATTATCCTCTTCACATGTAAGTACTCTCCTTGGTTAATCAATAGTATATCTCATTTTCTCGTAGTTCGTCATAACGACAACCGTCAATCTCCTTGTTTACGCCCTTCCAGGAACTTCGTCACCTACGTCCTCTCAGCAGGATGAACGGCCAAGCGAGAAGCCTTCGAAGAAGAAGAAAGGCAAACAGAAGAGTAAAGACAAAGAAGAGACAGTAAACAGCTCGCTACCCGCATTGGAGCTCGTCAGTGTTGTCCAAATCCCTTCGCTGTCTGGTGTGCCGGTGGGCGCGAATACGATGTTTCGCGCTGCGAAGTAGGCTTTCTGATCTTTTACTTAACAAAATCATTAATAGTCCCTGTTTAGGTTCCACCCATCAGATCCGTCTGTACTTTATGCGATGCTCAACTGTACATCTCCACGCACGCGCAGCACTAAATCTGTTAAGCGCCAGGCCTATGCTATAAAATGGGTTGTAAATGCTCATGGGAGCGAGGAGAAGGCAGGTAAAGGTAAAGTGACAATAACACTAGAGAAGTCTCGCAAGGCAGGCGAAAGCGGAGTTACATGCTTCGACGTTAGGTTTGTGGATCAGGATACTTTCTTTCATTGTTGTGGCTTATTGGCTATGTACCTAACTTTCAACAGCCCAGATGGCAAATTTCTAGCTTTGGGCTCATCTAATTATGCTATCAATCTACTGGACTCTAATACTCTCAGCGTCAGTGCCCACAGTATCTTTGGCTTGCACCTCATTGACGACGTTTAATAGCCCCTGTTGACGATTTTGAAAGCGCACGACTTTCCCCTCACGACTCTCTGCTTCAATCCAACGTCAAAACTACTTGTTTCAGGGAGTGCAGACAGTACCGTGCGCGTGGTAAGCGTACCAGGTCAGCTTGGAGGACAATGTTTGTAACTTTCTTGTGCATTTTATTTGACACTAACTTTTGTCGTTTCTCATAGCGTGGAGCACAGTTCTATTTATTATTGTGGCTCTCATTGCCATTCTCATAGCAATTACTTTGAGTAAATGATGTGTGCGATACATTTATCCTCCATATTGCGGACTGTTTATGGTTAATTATGGGCTCACGTATGCCTTTTCGAATATATATATACAAATTATACATTATACTGCGCTACATTACACCTTGTGAAGAAAAAAAGGACCCTAGCAGGAATTTGAACTCGCAGAAGTGGGCACCTAGTCGTAATCTTCCTCTTCGACCAACTTACGCGTTATCCCGTTAGTTGCTGCAGCATTAGTTTGTATTTCTTCCATTGCATCATCAGGATTACTTTCTTCTTCCTCTTCCTCCTCTTCGTCGTCACCTCCCGTACCAAACAGTCCATCCTCCTCTTCTCCATCGCTGCCTTCCTCCGGTGCCGCTGCTGCTACAATGGGACCGCTGATCGGCGTAGCCGTCATCTCGATATCGGCGGGAGTGATGGGTCCCGCGGTACGGACAGGTATAGAGGTTGGTTCCATATCAGCATCGTCCTCCTCCTCCTCTTCTTCCTCTTCGCCACCCATTATTCTTGCACGTACTGCAGGAGTCTCAGGTTCGTCGTCATCTTCTATTTCTTCGATCTCTTCATCATAGAGTTTTACGCCGGGCGGTGGTTTGTTAGGTATTAGATCGAAATTCACAGCAGTGAGCGTTTCATTTGCCGGGGGTAATCGGACACCGAATACTTCGGGAACGGCGGGGAGGGGTGTTGCATTAGTTTGGGTAGCGAGTGAAAGGAGGTACTGGGACTGATGTCAAACACCGTAGAGCACCAGTGCATTTAATATATACGCACCTCCTTTGGCACACGACCACCAAACTCCCAGCCTACCCGAGCCTGTATGGCTAGTACAATATCATCCATCTCAATCTTGGCCGCACCAGCGCGACCTGCATGTTCCGCATATACTTGGGCATCAGAAAGAATTTGAGCTGTGTATCTATGTGCGAATTCGAGAAGCTGGTGTAGAACACCGGGCTGAGCATCTTGGACTGTGGGAGTGGAAGCTAAGAGAAGAGCAATGGAGCGTGCAGATGGAGGAAGACTGTCAGAAGTCTGTGATACTTGCGAACGTGACATTGGTGTAATGAGACTGGTTCTTGCAGTGAGTGAGTCATTATAGCTTTATCGGCAGGCTGTATAGGTCTATTCACCTCAATATCTGTTTGAAGGTTTATCGGCTACAACTGTAAACACGGTGGCTGAACACCACTGATGGTTGTTTGTCGACAGCTTGGGAAACAAACAGACCCGAACTCTAAATAGGGCGTCTAGCTTTTCTCTCACACACTTGCGACATCGTTCTCAGCTGCCTCGAGGGAGAGCTATATATGGTATGTTGTCTGCCTATGTATGATCTACGGGTGTATTTGTTCCGCAGTCTCTCTCAGACGGTGTCTCTTTAGCTGGAAGAATTCCCACTTTGAGTGTTCAAGTCTGGATATTGAGCGGATCTTGATAAAGCTTTGGTGTTGTCCAAATGATTCCATAGCACAAGGCTTTTTTAGACTGCTTGCAACAGTCGACAATGTACTGCCATCCTGATCTCGGTATAGTTCTGTAGTTGCGATACTGTCCCGCGGATGATTTAAGTGAAGACGGGCAACGTGTGTCTTCGGCATATTTCTAATCTGATACGGGTTTATCAGATAAGCCGAACCCCACGGCACACGTGCGTGTGACGTATATTCGCACTCCGACCGTCCCTGTTCTTAGTGACCAAAATTCAAAGTCGGTTGCATTTCACTTCTCTCCCATCGTCCACCATGTTCCGCTCCGCACTCACAAAATCGCTTTTGAGCCCTGCATCTGCTCCCAGAGTAACTAGGGCTGCTTTACGTCCCGCTCTTGCTCGTGGTTATCATGAGAAGGTTATCTCGCACTACGAGAGCCCTAGAAATGTGAGTATTTTGATTTTGGCTTCCAGTCTAGGCCTCGGTCGGTTTATCTGATATCTTTCACTTAGGTGGGATCACTACCAAAGGGTGACGTCGATGTTGGTACCGGTCTTGTTGGTGCACCTGCGTAAGTTCTTCGAGCATTCTTTCATGCCACTAGTCCTTACTTTTTCTTCTTCTTCCCCTCTACCTCAGCTGCGGAGATGTTATGAAGTTGCAAATCCGCGTCGACGAAAATGGCATCATCAGTGATGTCAAGTTCAAAACGTTCGGTTGTGGCAGTGCCATCGCATCCAGTTCATATATGACAGAGCGGGTGAAGGGCCTCTCGCTCGAGGAGGCTGGCAAAATCAAAAACACCGAGATAGCAAAGGAACTGTGTCTGCCACCCGTAAAACTCCATTGTTCAAGTAAGCACTAGTCGTTATTTTAGGCTCCCAACTCCCAATCTAATACATTCTGTCAGTGCTTGCGGAAGATGCTATCCGTTCCGCCATTCGGGATTATCGGTCGAAGCGGAGTCAGATGGCTGATCCTAAGCAAGCTGGGTTCATTGACGTATCACAGAGTGCTGTCACCGGCGAAACGGTAGCTACTGCTCATCCAGGGCAGTAATCAAGCGATATGGCGTTAGATTGTCCATTTGCCTCCTTTCCGTCATTCATCCAGGGCTCTGCATGCGTTTTCCATCATATATACTTATCGCATTTTACTCTATAACCAAAACATCACTAGCAGGAGTAACATCCGCTGTATTACCATGTTGCAATCATATTGATAATGATTAGTCATTGGACAATGAAAACATACGAATATCACAATATATGCAGTAGTACGACGAAGAAAGCATGAGTTAACCGGTAGAACCTTTTTGTCCAATAAATGAAAAGCTTCCTGCCGCAAACCATCGTTCGTTTGCCTCCTTCACTTGTGCTGCAGCGGCCGCACGGTTTGTCAGCTCGAAACCTAGCCGAAGTGTCAGTCCAGTATCCTTGATCACAAATACAGGATATACATACCTTGCACAGGGGTGACAGTGAGCGATGTCGCTGTACCCGATGTTTGTGTGCCACCTGCCTGAGCCGCACGCGTAAGCGCCGCTGTCCGAAGCTTGTTCGCTTTCGACAACTTGGCTGTAGACGTGAGTCTTATCAGTATCGAAAGTGCTAACTGTAGGAAACAGAGACATACCGCGACTTTTCGCTTCGCCCATCCCCGCACGCACTTTTCCTGTACCAGCGCCAATCATTCCAAGCCCCTTTGTCTGGTCAAAGGCACCAACTTCTTCCTCAACCTCACCGAACGCCATGCGATTCTGTAGTTTGCGTAGTTCGGTCTGAGCGTAGGCTTCTTTGGCTTTGCGGGCACTATTTGATGGTTCGAGAAATGAATATAATAGTGCAACTATATCATGACCGGTAAGTAGACGTGAGATGAAGCGTACCGTTTACCACCTCGTCGTTTCTTGGGTCCGTCGTTTGGCACAGGAAGGGCCTTGATTACCTTTGCAGGGGGAGGAGCAGCTAGACGATCAATGTGTTTCTCGATCTTCTCTCTCAACTCGTCGCCGTAAGCACCTTCAGAACAAGGAGTACAAAATCAGACTTCCCGAATTACCATATATACAACCAACTATCAGGAGTACTACTCACCGTTTCTCCGTGTGCGTTCCAAGTCCATGCGAGCTGCCAAAACACACTTCGCGCCAACCGTACGTTGAACCTTTAACTGATATTCTGGTGGTGTTGACTGTATGAGGTCAGACTGGAAGACGAAACCTGTGTGCCGTCGCTGCGTTGCAGACGAGAATCCAAGAGCGATCTTTTTTTGTGCACCAAGGAGCTTTTAGGCCATGAAATGAGCAAAGTTAGCTATACGCCATGTCACGACAGCACAGATACTCACATGGACATTACATGATGGCATTTTTGCGAGTGCGCCTAGACCGCCTGCAACACCGAGTAGCTTGGCAGCTGTAGTGGTACCAACAATAGCTGATAGGTTGGGTGCGAGAACATTCATTCTCGAGCTGACGTACATGAATATCTGCAATTTCACACCATTTCGACGTCAACCATGTAATGGTGGAGAAAACGACTCGTTATCTGCTGACCTTTTTACGTGCTTCCTCAAGGCGGTCGGCGAGATCGCATGCCCGTTGTACGGCAGTCCATTGAGCATCTGATAGTGTTTGTCCAGACGTTGTAGTGGCAGTGACAAGGACACTCATGATGACGGCAGCAGGTAGGATTCCAGCAAGGTCTACTTTCGTAGGATCCTGAAAGGAACGTGTTTGGAAAAGCATCTGCAAGCGAAGAAAGCCCTGCCTACCTCGTTATTCGCAAGGACTCGAACGGAACGGATGTACATAGCGGGATCTGCGACGAGCTGTTCAAGTTCGGGAAACTTGGGGGCATAGTGATCACGAATAAACTGTGCATATCAAAAGACACATAGTTAACACTGTCGCTGCCTTGAGATGCGAATAACCAAAAAGACGGAAATACCTTGTGCACCACCAATATTTCATTATCGACATCCACAGAAAGGTTATTCGCCTGCACAATCAAGTTGTACTCCGGATTCATATGAGCAGGTAATGATATTGCTTCTGCAGAACTTGGGTTTGCCTGGAATTTTTCTATTTCCTGCCGATATCAACCCGTGTTACTAAACAGACGTGAATGCAGCAGACCGGGGAAAGTGGTGTACTTGCCTTCAGAGTATCCCCCATCCGCTTGCTACCATCTAGTTTCGCAATAGAGCCTACATCCTCAATACTACCCAAATCCATCTGCTGTACATCTTCCACGTCCAGTTCGTCTGCAGGCTTCACTCCTCCTTCGAGCACTAACCCTCCCTGCTCTGCTTCCGCATTTGCTTCACCTTCGCCTTCACCCTCGCCCTCGTCTTCAGACATTTCCGCCTCATCAGATGCTTTTCGTTTCAGACCATTGGATGGAGGAGCGGGGGTAGACGTTGGTGGTGCGGGGGAATTCTCTGTCTCCTCGAAGTCTTCACCATTGTCTGAGAGTCCATCGAGGTCGGCAAGGAGCTCGTCCGCTAAACCGCTCATATTTCCAAGATATTAGGTGATAAATAGTATTTATCTACGACAAATGACGTAGACTTGGGGGGGTAGACGGTTTATAATATAAGTACAAATGGCCGAAAGAGTTCCTGATCACTGTGTAGACAAGACAAGACTGTCGAGCAGGATTATAAAGATGACGTAAGCAAAATCGAAGCGCCACCATAACGATCAAGCCACGCTGAAATTCAGTTCCTGCTGGAAGACAAAATGGAGCTCGTATAACGAAAGCTTGAAGACTCACACGTGAGGTAGAAATTTCTGTTACTCACGAGGGGACATGAATGGCTTACATTTGCGTGACCCCCACAAAATGTTGCAAACCCCAGAACACAAAGTCCAATGCTCACGGTAAAGGATTATCAAAGGGGCCCAGTGCCTGCAGTAAACATGTTACATTAAATTGCACTGTTTCACAGTTATCCACGAGGTCTGTAGTAGACTCGACCGCATCAGAAATGGGCCCTGCCTGGATATACCCGGTTTATGATCCCCTAATACCCCTGAGAGGACAAAAAGTCGAAGAACGCCGCCGAGACATTAATGAGTATTACTCTCACCCTGTGCGCTTTCTGGTGCGTGGCGATTCCGCCGGCATTAAACGTGTAGAGAGGGGTAAGGGACAAAAAGAACATACTAAAGAGAAAACCGCTTGATCGTTTGGGAAAAAGAGACCCTAGAGCACTGCACGACAAACATGAACGTGAACCGTGTTACGGGCTAAAGGATATCCTGTCTAGTCCTACGATAGTCAACCCTGGCCGTGGTATTCGTGCGATACCGGAGATTTTCTATGAACTGGGGTCGAGGGCAAACTGTGCAAGTGAGGCTAGAGGTGAGTTGTCATCGTTCCACGACGTTTTTCTAAACTTTGCGGGCAGTGAGCTATGAATATACGGCGATCTACCTGGAATGGCTTACTAGGGTGTTGATGCTCTGAAAGCAGTGATGACAAGCCCGGTAGTTATTCGCCGCGTTTATCGGCCCCTTTTGTTGTATTTACAAGGACATATTCGCCGTTCTATACGGAGATGAAAATATTCTAGATAGAATATGAAGACCTACAGTTGCAGTAGCTGCTGCATATTACATCCGTCTGAGGTGTTAGGGCAAAGAACAGCGAAGGACAGGACCGGCACACCCGTCCGACAAGATACGAGCCAGAAAAGCGTGTTATGTCTGCATCTTAACGCATTGTCGGATATGTTCTAGAAAACAGGTTCCCCGTCATAGTTCAAGGCACTGTAGACACCCACGACATATAGCCAGGCATTAACAGCCTCAAAATTATTATCGATAACATGATCACGGCATGCAGCATCCTTAAGGTAGAGTGCTTCAACTATCGGCACGGCTTGACTTTGTCCTCGTGTATCACCGAGATTCTAGATATCAATGAGGGGAGTACAGCTTATACAGCGCCCTTGAGCATGGAAAGTAATATGAAATCACTTGAACTCACCAAAGCCACCCTAGTGATATTAATAGCGATCTGCATGCCATGCTCGCAATTTCCTTGAGAAGGTGGTTATGGTTTAGATAGAATACTGCGTAAGTACAGGAAATACATTCGATGGAAATATGAGATGGAAAGTTCTTGCGCGATGCGCAACCCTTGTGCCCAACGAAAGTTCTTTGGAAAGAGAGTGAATCAGGAAAAACAAGTTAAGACGAGGCGTTGAACATTTCATGTCGATCAAAGTTATCAGATAGATAGCATGGTTCTAGATTAGACTTGTCAACGACTGAGAGCAAAGGTCGTAGTAGCAAAATATCGTTGGATGCGAGATGTATTTGAGCTCACAGTACCATATTTTGACAATAGACGCTTACAAATAGCGCTGGTCCGTGCGCAGAGGTCTCACTCGTATATAAACATGAGCTGGACATGATTGTATCTTCATACTTACCTTGATGGCATGAGCTCCTTCATCTACCTGGGTTTGTGGGCCTTTGAGACCTTCCATAGCACGGCGACCTTGTCCATACAGAGGGTAGCTTTGGTTTGTATGGGCTTCGGCTCATGCACTGTCTCAATATTTTCCTGTCCTACCACGGCCACTCTGGCTGGGTAGGCCTTTTTTTTCGACCTTTCTCGGTCCTAACCCTAACCTTAGTGACATTTCCTCTTTCGTCTAGGATTCAATCCATTAATATTTGAATTATTATCCTTGTCATTGATTGTGAGGTCCACCTGAAAGAAAATGTCAAGATAGTCTCCGCTCTTCGACTTACATTCATCGCATATCATGAATGGAAGATGTCTGTCATGTACGTGAAAAGCGCTTTAGCTTGCAGATTCTCTTCCCTGCTACCATCTCGGTGTTCTTGTTCTCTAGCTTTAATGAGGTACCGGTGTTATAGCATCGCTGATCATATGATTATACAGATGACAGGTTCTCTGGAACGACGCTCGGTCATCTAAATCCACTAATCCAATACAATTTCAATACAGTCTTGGTCGTTCTACGTCTGCGCTTGTCCTAGGTTTAGCTCCCAAAAACGTTATCAGGTAGCGCCGTGACTGGCGGTCGACGTGTATTGACAGGGATGATCCTCAGATCTTCCGCGGTCCTATCAATGTCTTTTGGGAGATAGCTCAACTCCTTCACAAGGTTTAGTGCGATGTCATTCACATTATCACAGTACGGACTGGTCCAACATCAGTGCCCCTGATGCGCTAGTAAATACCGATGGTCGTTATCCTTATCTTTCTATTTCAATGGACTAACTTGTTTTATGAAAGATCCGCCAAAGAAAATTTTCGGTGACTGAAATACCGGCATCATATTTTCCCCTTGCTCATTGTAGCATTTCCTCTATGATTCAATTGGCGTTTCTACATCATTTCATAGTCCTGGGTCCGCCTTTCCCTTCTGCGCAGTGACTTTCTAGAGAACGCTTCCCTCGGACTTGAGTGGTACATCCGTGGCTTCTCAAGCTACACTTCACCTTTGTGGCACTAAGGTTCTCCTTCCAGACATACGATTGCTTGCGCAGAGCGTGTTTTCCAGGCCCTCTGATTAGGTTATCCCGCCTCCGCCCAATTCTGATGAACAACCTCGGAAGGAGCCTAATTGTTTTTTCTCCTGCGTATCACGCATCAAGACCGGACAGAACAAGATAGGGCAGTGGCCGCTCTATCTTCGCTTCGTTCCGATTATCGTATACGTTGCGATATGTTTGGACAAGAAAAGAACAAAAAAGGTTCAAGAGGTATGTGAACATTGTTTTGTGATTTCCATGTTGATCCAAAAATACGAGATCTTGTCAGATGGGCGAGCGACTCCATCTAACTTACATACACATCTATTGAGAACCGCTGATTTCTTCGCTACCTTTAGAAGGACCTAATAAATACATCAGCTTACCGCCACGACCGGAGTAGGGCGACCGAGTGTATAGGACACGGCGGGGATGGCTGTATATCGTCATGTTACGTTTTTTTTTTGCGCGCGGAGCATATGGATATGTCGTTGTGTCTTAATGTGTGAATGTATAGGTCTCTAGAGATGGCACAGGTTTTGGTGGGCCTCCTGTGTTCCGTGATACTCACGCTATCGATGGCTACCATTTGCTGGCTCTTCCCGCGACGTATTTGAGTGGTCATACTCGAGAAACAAGCAAAGAGTGCCCATTGTGGCAGGGCGATGTGACAGGATAGGGTCTCTGGGATACAGGATCGAAAATAGAGGTTGTAAGTATAGCATTACACCTTGCGTCGCGGGGACGAAGGCAGGCCAGGAGAGCGACGGCCCGCCTAGATGGATTTGGTCGACTAGATTAGAGCCGACGTCGAGAGAAGGACATAATTAAAAATAAATACGGTTATTGAGTAACAGTCTCCATGTCGAGACAAGGGGAGGAAGGAAAGCATGAATGGAGGGCGGGTAATGGCGCCTTATGTCGGGCGCAGAGACTATGTCTGACATATGTCTGACATATGCAGGGAAGAGGTGAACGCCGGACGTCGGTGACTTCGCTGTAGGCATACCACCTGCGGACATGATGAATAGAAGCGCTGCCAGCGAAAGTTGGCTGAATTCGAAATGGGACGAGATAGGCATGACCCGTGGCTGTGCTGTGGCGAGTCGAGCTGGTTCGCTTTGGGAGAGGGGTGGTTGGGGTCCCTGTGGCACTGGATAGACGATGAGTTTGCAGTTTGGATCAGTGCCATCAAGCACACCCGGGGAACTTTCCGAGGGTGGGCTTGTCTGATAGCGGGGAACAGGCCATTTGCAGTGCATTGCCGTTGGTGGGACATTGGATGGACATGTGGTTTCATGCAAATCCCATGTCGAGCGTCCGAGGACAGCAGGGGAACATTGCGTCCATATAATAATTGAATCTATCATTGTCTCGCCGCTCTCTGCCGCTGAAAATCGCAACGGCGTCCACCGCGGTGGCCGTGATCGTTTGGCGAGAACAAGGACAGGGAGGGATAGCGGATGGCCGTATGCTTCCCCAGATCCTTTTTTCCTCCATAAGTCATGGGTATTCCTGGTCTAGTCACCGTTTTTAGCCAGTCCTCTCAGTCTTTAGCAGCACACCAGCACAGTGGATACTGGGCGGGTCTTCCAGGCGCCATCAGAGCCACGATCTCCCGCATCTGCCATCACGTCAATTCCCAGTGACAGTCTCATCCTTTGGGTCTATCACTCCCCTAGTCACTGTTATGTTATTCCAGAACACTTTTCGTCCACGTGCTTCTTTCTCTTCACACACGTCACAACATCGCATTCTCTGCGCTAACCTTCCAATTTCATCTCTCATCTCTGATCATGATCCCGTATGAATTCATCCTCTCATTTCCCCCTAATTTCCTCCCCTTCCGCTTTTCCCTCCAAAAATGCCGCTGACTGTGGAATCTCGCTTCAATTATGCGTAGCCGTACCCACAACGTACTCGGTCGTGCACAGCGTGCGATGCACCATGATAATCAGATTTCGGCCAATTCCGCATCCTTTCTCCTATCTTCAAAATAACACTCCATGCGAAAAAACCAGGAACCTTTCCTTGATCTCCGAGGATACCATGCGACCAGTTGCTGCCCACTGTATATCGTTTACCATACAGTACCGTATCTGTACGTGGCATGTCGAGATTTGCCCGAATCGAGCACAACAAGCCAAACAGCTGGTGTAAATTGACGTAGAAAGATCGGACGCCGGATTCAGAGGTCGAGGTCGACCTGATTTTGGGGTTCTGATCTTCTTCTCAGGGAGGTAACCGTTCAGGTAAGGTTCAGAATTGCCAGACGCATCATTGACTCCGTGGGTGCAGGGTCGTAAAGGGCGGTAGAAGCGCTCAGAAGAGTCAGGGGGTCAATTATTGCGGCAGAAGACAAAAACGCGAGCAAGTCAGGGTCGCTGGGGCAAAAGTAATAGTGACGTTTTCTCTCGATTTTCGACTTGCATGTGATGATGATGATGCAGTAACTAGTCATTGTGTTTGTGGGGTATAGGTGAACTACGGTATTCTTTGCTGTCGGGTATATGGGGATGCAGAAGACAGAAAATTGAAAGTGTCATGGAAGGTGATGTCAGCCTGTTCGGACTGCTAGAGCGATGCAGGTGCAGATAAGAGAATCCTAACATCATTGCGATCAGTCAACGTATAAGAGAACAGTTGTGATATACCTACGTTCCAAAATAACTCGTTTACGCAGACATCGCTGTCTTCCCAGTGAGACACCATCTCAGCTCTGTACACCCGATGTCACCCATCTACGTTGTGTATCACACAAGCGAAAAAGCCACTCACCGTCCACCTTGACCCAGATTTTCGCTGATCTGAACCAGCACAATGTACTTGCTGAATCGGTAAGGCCGATAAGACAATATTAGTTCGAGTAGGGAGTTTATACGGCTGAAATATGACGCACAAATTGTTTGGCTGAATCTCGACCATCCTCTCCTTCACGCGTTCTCCTATTTCCTTCATCCACGCCTTTATCTGATCACGTTCGCCTGACCACGCAGCATGTTGGAGTGTAGTCGATAGCAGCTTCTTCATGTATGCGCGAAGAAGCTCGCAGTCAAAAGCAGGCCGCGGTCGAGGGGACGCAGCCTCAGAGCGAGGCGGTGGGGGAGAACGTAAACCGAGAGCAGCCATGAGGATAGGGTGTATATTCTGTATGTGGGATTAGACTCGAGAGGGTCTGGAATTGCAGCGTGCAATTATCGCAAGGCTGTTTGATTTTTCTGTATGTAAAGACGCGCTTCTGTCTGCCCTTCTTTGTTTTGGCTGTATTTGGTTCACTGGCAAGCGCTTCTGTCCCTGCGCTTCCGAGCGAGCGCACACACACTTCGTCGAAACCCAAAAGAATAAGGCAAAAAATATAAGCTCAACTCCATTTTACAAAGCTCAGAAGTGTTGAATTCTCGTTCATCATGTCGTCTCTGCCTTTTCCTCACTTGGAACACACGTCCGAGTCCGGGCACGACGGGCCATTCTACAACCCATCGTTCGATACCAGTTCGTTCCAGATGAATCCCCTTTCCTCGCACCCACCACGCACCCCACGCGCCTCACACGTATCATCTGCATCTCATATACACTCCCACTCCCACTCACAGACTTACGGCAGTGCGAGTGTATACGACGAGAAAAGTGATGGATCACAGCAGACGATCGAACAGCAGCAGCACGATGATGATGAGGATGGCTCAGAGCTTAATGAAGAGGATGTGAAGGTCCAGGAGGCAGAGAAGAAAGTGCACACGCATGACGTGTGGCGGGAGATGCTGGTCACGAGCAATGGGCGGGATAAGGCTTTCGTATGTCATTCTATTCTTTATCCTTCTCTTTTCGTTTGGCTGATGTAGATATGTGTTATAGAAAATAATACAGTATTCAATACGTGTGTATCTCGTCTTTCATACGTCGCTCGTTGCCAGTCGGCTTTTCCGCAAACTTGGATCCACAAGGCCACCATGGGAGGTCGAGCTTGTTAGACGACTCGAGAGTGCTCGGGGTGGGCTATCATTCACGAGGTGATGGCCTCTGGTTGCCTCCTCTAACCAAGCTATTCTAAGATCATTTTATTACATAGGAAAACACTCATTCTGTTCAACTGGCTAGCGCCTCTCTCCACCATAATGGCACAGCAATCTGTACCTTTCTCCGCAGAACACCATGCGGCACTCTCCCAATCCGCTATCATCCCACCCCACCCTCCAAGCAAGCTCGACAATGCCAAACCTTTCCTTCAAGCACTTCTTAGTGCGCCTCCACCCGTCCTCCTCGAGCTTGTCAACGGGCTGTCAGACGATATGTACACGTTCTCTAGGCTCGGGCTTATTGGAAAACGCGCTGGCGAACGAGCAGCACGATTTTCAGACTGGTGTTGGTTCCTCGGTACACTAGTGGGTCTTGTCGAAAATGGCGTAGAACGAAATATCGTGGACAATATGCAGACCGAAGGTTGATTTTCTACTTTGCACGTGATTTTACGGAGTTTGTTGACAGAAACTGCGTGCGTTTGTTTTAGTGGAGTCACGCATGTATAAGGAGTCTATGGCTGGTGCCACCGCCAAGTCAAAACCTACAGCCTCAAAGCTAGATGGAAAGGAACTAGCAAGACTACAGAGCAAGAGCTACTGGTTACAGGTATCTCGTGCGAAGCTGGCTATGGATCTTATCTTCGTTTGTGCGTCTCTCTGAATCATCTCTTTGCTTCACACATCCATATCCAACCAGCTTACTCCCACGACCTTAAACTTGCTTCGTATTGTTCGTCGACCTACTTATACTTATCAACCTTTTTCTCCATAGCCTACGATATATTCAGGATCCAACGGTTCAGTGGAGTGATCAAACCATTCGCGGGACTTGCGGCTGCTATTCTCAGGTACGTGTCTTTGTTTTTGGTTTCCATTTCTGGGTGGAGTGGGTATGATGGTGTTGCTACTGGGCTTCTCGTATGGCTTCTTCGATATGCCCCACGCGTGCCTGTTCAATGCGTGGCTATGTGCCTTGTTCAAAGTTTGGACAGGTCGCTGCTTTTTGTAGCCATCCTTGCATTTGTGCTTGCTGCACTCTTGCATCTTCCGATTCCTTCCGCATGTCAGATCTGCATTCCATTCTCATTACGGTCTCGTTTTACCTTTCTTGGTTTTGAGCCACGCCCTTCCTCTTCATTTCCTTAAGCTCCTTCCTGGGATTTTTGAGTTTGCTCGCCGTTCCTGTCTCGAGGCGTGCTTTTTGCGTTACCTTCTGCTGTGCAAGCAACAGGTTCTCCGAATGATTCTTCTCTGTCGTCATCATTGTTCTCCTGTTATATGCGTTTCTTGTCTGTTAAGATTCAAGGGTGGAGATCCTTTTTTTGCACTGTTATTGTTCTTCCGCGATGATCCATGAAGCTTGCTGTGCTGTTCGGTCTCTAACCCGGGAACTGTTCATTATATTTTTGCGTTGCGCTGTTTCGTTTTATTCTCCTTCCATGTTGCGTTGTGGCTGTAAAGTTACGGCTTCTCCCAAGCGCTCTCATCCTACCTTGTTTTCTCCCGCCTCCCTTCCCCATATGATTGCTATCGTTTCTTTTGTCCACACCTATCATTCTCTCCCTTCCATTCTCGGTCTCGATCTATGCTCGTGGTGGACTGTTGGCTGACGACTGCACTTTGAACCCACAGCTCTGCCAAGCTCTTCGACAAACACAAGACGACGCTGGTGAAAGCACTCAGTAACTGATCTGTATCTTCGCTCGTTTCACTCTCGACCTTCGACCTTTGATATTTGCCCGCTAGTAGCTCTGCTCGGGCGGTCATTTAGCCTCACGCTACATGCCCATTTGCTGGATCTTTTAGTTATTTCCCGTGTCTAGTTCTAGTTATCTTTTCTCCTTCTAGTTCAAACTCATCTGAGGCCTTTTGGGTCGATATCCTTTGCTGCTCATGTTTCGTTCTGCTTTGTTAGAAGGCTGTACTTAGTGATGGCTTCTACAAGTTATATGCTAAAATATCATAGACGTCTCGCCGAGTCTGTCCTTATGTCGGATGCGCGCATAAGTAGTGTGATTTTATCAATCAATCAAATGCAGGAAGGCACAGTAGATTTTGGTGGGTAAAGCAACTCGAAAATAATATTAGTATAACAAGGCACACTGCAACATCCACCACGCCATGCTTAATACCCCGAACGAACACCGCGAACACTTGGACCTCCCTTCTTCATCTTCTTCTTCTGACGGCGTCCGCCCGCACGACTTCACCCCTTCCAAGTAAGTACGGAGGATGCGAAGACGACAAGAACTTTAGAAGGCCTTCGCCGGAAAGTGAGAGAAGGGACACCCGGTACCTAGATGCAGTCCAACATGTGCAGAGTGTCGTATACTGTCGTGGTTTTCCTCCGTGGCGCTGCACGCACGCGGTCATCGCGAGCTGGAGAACCACGCCGTCCATCCCCGCGAATTCGGGCGCCCCGGTGCGTCGTCGCCACGACTCTGCATCCCGTCATCCGCCCGGTCCACCGTCGTGCCGTGCTCGGGTGGGCTCGCGCTGCCGGTGCTGGCGATGGTGCGACGGGCGGCTTGGAGGGCGTCGACTTTGTGCTCGAGCTCGTGGATGTGTGCTTGTGCGTCCTCGAGGTCTTTTTCGTGTGCGAGGTCGGATTGCAGGAGTCTGAGGCCCTGTTTGTTTTTCGTTATAGTTAGTGGTTAGTAGGATGTTAAAACGGATTCGTGTATGTGGCGAGTGAGAGACGTACGAGGTAGACGGCTGAGCCAAGAATGGCTACTGGGATCATGCCTGGCACCATCTCGGCGTACCATTGTGCATGGCGAGACCGTGGTGGTGGTGGGGCATCGTGTGATTGGGAATAGGACCGGGTGGAGAGGCGGGAGAGGATGCGATGTCTCATCATATCTTTTTTTCTTTTCTTTCTGCCGTTGGTCGTAATTGGCAAGGTGCCCGCAGCACTGGACGCGACTTTGTATATTTGCTTGTTTATCGCCACTGACAAGCGCACTCAATGCGGATAAGCGATGTCTACTTGATGAGACGTCGAAACATATGGTTTAGTGGCAAATCGGTGAGTGTGGTTTCAATGTTCGAAACGCCACTAATGAATTTATGACATAACGATTAGATTTATTAACGATGAGGCTAGCAGGGCAAGGAAAAGAAACTGGAACGGTTTCACTGCAGGCAACCGCTGGTTCATATTACTGTGGCGTTGAACATAGTAAAACTAATAACCGCGGTTGCATCCACTTTGTATCCCTGCATCGTGATAACGGCAGCTAATCTACAAAAACAGACAAACTCCCTCCAACTTGGGTCGTCTCACAAGTAGTCCATATGCCCTAAACAGCAACTCCCAAGACCGACGATACTGTAACTTACGCGGATAAGACGCAGATTGGGAAAGCCCGGATAGAGGAGACGAATCGGGTGAATGGGTTTGAGCCATTTTATACGAATAGCCGGTGGAACGCATCAGAACCGTTTGGTGGCGGACAGAATATCAGAAAGTTCCTGCGCAAGTGGCTGACTACAGGTGATCGTCTGTACCGAGAGACGAGAGACAGCAAGACGATACGGTGATACATCGGTGTTGTGGATGCTGAACGTGAAGGACTCGTGACGAGGAGGAGGATCGTGTGTCAATGATGATCGTCGATGAGCGTTGTGTAGGACAGCAGCCCTGGTAACGAACGGGTTGATCACGATGGGTCAAGGCGAGTGTCAGTGCGAGCAAAGTAGAAAGTATACATAAGAGGCCTAGGATACGAGATATGATGGTGAGATGTTGATGAGGTGGATAAAGAGCGTGTGTGAAGAAAGATGATACAATGTCGGTATGTTCCGTTCATACAGTGTTCATACCAACGGGCGTTAGGCTCGACACACGTTTGACCAGAGCTTGGAGCCGCATCTGAAATATGCGCGGAAATGGTTGACGACGGGCGCTATGGCCACGTCGAGTAAGAGCGTGTGCTCCACCCCTGCCCTCGTGCCTATACTCTGGGCAGTGGCGTATGCATGCCTGAACGTGGAGAAGAACGTGGAGAACTGGTACGCTACAGGTGTGCTGGTCGTCGTTGAGCACGGCGAGGAGAGGATAGGGCTGCGGGCTGCGGTGGTGTGATGGGAGGGGAGGAGTGTGGTAAAGGTGGTGCTAGGATATGTGGCTAACTGAATGTGCTGCTGCGGATGGCGGTCAATAATAAACACAGTTTCCTTATATGGAAATAGCCTCCCCTGTTCATTCATTTTCGTCACTGCTCTCATATCTGTCTTTCTGTTTTTTGTTGACGATCCATTTACCCGCATCGCTGTCTCTTTCTCTCTCTTTCTCTCACATACTCTGGTCTGCTCTCTTTCTTTCTCCGTCTGGTCTCCATCCAAACGGACGCTTCCTCCTCGGTCTCATCTCTGCCATGCCCTTGTCACTCCCCATCTCGTCGACGTCCACGACGACTCAAACACAAAACCACTTCCTCCTCAATATCTCGCCGATGGACGAGAAGAAAGACCCAACCCACGCAGACCTTGTCTCCCTCCCACTCTCATCATCATCGCCCCATAGCACGATCAACCACCCGCAGCACATCAGCGATATCCACAACCACCGCCCACCCACAACGACGACCCCATCCCTCTCCTCCCAATTCACCACACACTCACCACACCTCCCACTCCCCACCCACACGCGCAGACAGTCACAGCGCTATGTTCGACCCCGTGGTCTCCGCATAGCCAACCTCTTCAAGGCATGGCTACCCATCATACTTTACGCCGCATCAAGCCTCGCTTTCGTCCTTGCTATCGCTTTCTGGAAAGACCAAGTCTTCGATGGTGCGTTCTTCGCGAGACATCCCTTTTACCGGATCGAACGTCCCGTTCCGAGGAACTTCCTATTACTTTTATACGCGCATTTATAGTTCTTCCCCTCCCACTCATCCGCACACTCACGTGTCTTTACTTACTTTTCTCCCATTCGCATAATAGGTCTCGATAGTCTATCTCATTGGCTGCGTACAGACGACTCCCTCGGCTACCTCGTCCTCTTCGTCCTCATCTTTCTCACCACTTTTCGTACGTCACATCTACCCTCCTCTCTGCCCTTTCCGCTAATACACTTCTTCCCAACTTAGCCCCCCTTCCGCTCTACTCCACCCTGATCACCCTCTCAGGCTATACATGGGGGCCATGGAAAGGTGCTCTCGTATCCTATCTCGCCGCCCTCTCAGGCGCAGTCACCGTCTTTATCCTCTCCCGCACGTTTATCCGAGGAGCCATCACCCGATGGCTCGCCCGCACACACTCGATCCGTCGCGCCGTACGTGCCATCGAACGTCGCCCGTCTCTTCTCTTCCTCGTTCGCCTCGCGCCGTATCCGTATAACGTGATGAATTGCCTCCTAGCCGCATCACCAACGCTGACGCTCAAGACATACACGGGCTGCACCGCGCTCTCGCTCTTCAAGGTGATCATACACACGAGTATCGGCGCTTCGATGCACTCGTTTAAGAATACTGACGCACCTGAGGACGAAGCAGAGGACAACGCGATGGCTCGTACGTGGACGATCGTCGGTATTGGATTGTGCGTCGTGATCCTCCTCTATCTATCTTACGTAGCGCGACGTGCGGTTGATTCTGAGCTCGATGACGATGAGGACTATGGGGAGGCACGTGGCGGTGAGGAGACGGTGGCCTTCTTGCTGGGTGAGGGTGAGGCTGAATCGCGTGAGGCTGTTGGGGTGCCTACGGGTAACGATAACATGGCAGAGGCGGGACTTGGTGCCATGAATTGCGTGAACACTGCGAAGGAATTTGAGGGAGATGAAAGTATTGTGTTGTAGGAGGGAGGTCTGTATAGGTAAGGACCCTGATTGCTGTGTAGGCTATACAGGGGTTGCCGCTGCTTTGCATCAGCGGTTACATCATATTGTTCATATCGTCGTTGTTTTGTTTCCTCGCACTTTCTCTCGCTTGACTCTGAACGCATCCACTCATTCATTCTTGACACTTTCCTTTTTCTCTCACATATGCAAACACATTTCCTTTTTTTGGCGTCATTTTTTTTTGTCATCCTTCTTTCTCTTGACTCTTGGACATGATATTTTTTAATGGTTTTGTTTCCACCCTGACGAAGTACGGATTGCTCTGAGCTCGTCTTTGGAGGGGGAGAGACGGTACCTTGTCGTTTGACGTTGACGTGAGTAGTTCTGGCTGATCATCGGTGATGATTGTAGTTTTGCTGATGGGGATTATCAGGTCAGAGAACTACTCGAGCGTTGACGTTTGTGCGGTTGGCTGTTGACGTTTCTTGACGGACTTGCTTTAGAAGAATGTGTACGAGAACTGTAAAAGATACACTACAAATATACTCGCACTGTACTAGTCCACACACCCAGGTTTGCGTCAGCACGAGGTCCAGCGCGATCAAGAGGACTGCCATCAGACGACTGTTGCGGCGATACTCTCTATCTACTTATCGTCGTCACCAGACTAGGATTCTATTATCCCGAACGTCATCCAATGTCCATTCTCTGCTCACCCAAAGTCTATCTTTACCTCCCCATCCACCATATCCGTCACTCTCCCACCACGGTCCAACGGCCATTGTCCTCGTTTTCGTTGCTTATCTCTACTGACCTTTACCCACCGTACCGATCCCCACCTTCCCTTTTTCGCCACACCAGACACCTTTTTTTGATTCACTTTTTTCGTTTCCTTGCCTGCTTTCTTTCTCACGGACCTGAACCAATCCCCATCCCATCCTTGAGCATCACGTGGTCACCCTCCCACACTCCGATCAGTCTTTTTTCCTCAACCTTCTGATTGGAGGAAACCCTCGATCGATCAGATTCGTAAGTCTGAAAATAGAAAGAGTTCCGACGACGGGGGCTTTTGGGCTCGTTTTCCTATTTTGGGGGTAGGGGTTTTTTGACTCGACATCATTTTGCTCCCATTACTGTGATACTGTGGATTCGACAAGGGCGTTGACGCTTCCTCCCCCCGGGAAATCTTTGCCGCTGTTTGCTTCCCAGTTCTAACAACTCTATTGGGCTTGCTGAAAATACATCAAGGGAAGCCGACTTGAACAACGTTGAACTTTGCAAAGGGGGGGAAACCCAAGGTCACACCACCGTGACCCCAAAAACTCGGCAAACTTCCATGCAAAGAGTTGATTTCTAAATCTGAACCTATTGAATGAATGGGTGATGAAAAGAAATATATGGATCATGATGCCATGAATATTATATTCGGACGCCGTGCTCGTTTAACGAGCATCAAATTGACCGAGTTTGGACTAAACGCCTGAGCGTGTGTCGTGACCGGTGCGGTGCGTGTGTGGGGGAGTGTTGAGGCTTTTTGGGAACAACAACAGACGGTCCAGAGTGTTCTCTTAAAGTAAATTCGACTACCGCATCACCTCTCCGTCTCTCACGTGCTCGTCCCATTCAGGCATCGACTCATCTATACAAAAACAGTCCATTCCACGGAACCTTTTACCTGTTGACAGGTTCACAGAGTCTATTCAAGGCGGAGGGGAATATCCTATGTCTTGCATTTCGTACCAGTTTGCCTATTATTACGGGAAATGACTGTGGCCTTCAAATGGAAGAAATACTTTCAAAATGGAAACAAACGCAAAAACGCGTACGGGGTAACTTGAAATTTTTGGGTAACAATGACAGTGGTAAAAATTACAATTGAGATGTGGAGAAATGAAAAAAAAAGCAACACAGAAAAAAAAAAAAAAAGTAAAGAGGTATACACGGTATAACGAGAGCAATGCAAAGCACCAGAGGCATTTCATACGTGAAGAGAAAGAAAAATACGCAGACTTGTAAAAAAATAATTCCAAATATCAGCGAATGTCTCGGTATAAACCTTCGTTTTTTTTCCAATGGCAGAATCACAGCAGCAGAGCAAGTCAAAATTGGAAAGAAAAAAAATTGTCCAGATACGTCGCAGAGAACGAGGGGATATATGAGACCGATAAAATCGAGCATGAAAAATAACAGCACAAAGAAAGAACCACGACGGGCAGGGGCAGGGGTATTCGCCGTCTAGAGTTCACCTGACACTTTTGTATAATGGGGAAGGTGTTCATTCATCGCGACAAAGCCGAAGTCGGGCGAGACTGGTACGAGACTGGTCAGTAAATCGAGTTGTGAGCCATGGTCACTAAAGGAGCGGATGGGGCGGGAACAAAAGCAAAAAAGGCATGTTCGAGCGAAAGAATGTCATGTAGGAAATGATTACTCACATCGATTAATGTCCGTCTCTCCACCATAGCTGTCTCCCAGAGGGGGCGTGTTCGCCTGCGACGACGACGTATGCGATGCGGCACTGATAGACGATCCACTTGTCGACGGGCGCACAGACCGACCTCCGTGGTGCCATCCATGGCCATCCATCGAATCGATGGACGCAGTGCTGCCAACCGCACCAGGCACAGCTGAATACGCAAACTCAGCTTGACTGGGGTTGAAGCCGTAAGAATCCACCGATGGCAACTGGATCATGCTTCGTACACGTGGCATCCCACCCTGGTGTTCGTCCAAGGGCTGGGGCGACGACGACGGACGCTCAGACGGGTGTTGCTCGTATGGGCTTGGGTATGGGCTCATGGCCTGGCTGTGGCGGCGAGGGCGACGGATGCTCAAGGAACCACCGTTCACGTAGCCAGGCTTGCTCGACGACGGACGCGTGGGCGAGATCGGACGGTGATGACTCGAGTTGGGACGCGAGTAATCGTGGTGCATATGATGCTGCGATGGCGCATTGTCGTCGTACGGCAGCGACGAGACAGACGAGATCGAGTAGCCGGTAGTAGGCCGGCTGTCGGGGGAAAGCGACGAGGCGCTGTGGTCGTTGTGCATAGGCATAGCCGAGAAGGACGAGGTATAAGAGGTGTTGATCGTCGGGGTAGGACGAGCGGGGTATCCGGTGCTGCTTGGGTTGAGCAGCGAAGACAAGCTGCCCGAGTGACTCGAGGAGCTGCTATTGCTCACGGGCGAGAACGACCAGTTCTGCTCCGTGTAGGGGTATTGCGAGGACGACACCATCATGTCACGGTTGGAGTGCTGGGAATAGCCCCCACCCATCGAGTTGAAGCCGCCAGTGGTGGGGGAGTCATCTGTAGGGGTGATGGGGTGCAAGGAGTGGGAGTGGTGGTTGTTGTACATGCTGTGATGCGACATGGGCGGATCAGAGGGCACGGTGAGAGGGGGCAAGGCGGAACGGGGATAGCTCGTGCCCCAGCCCGCAGCACCACCTTGACTGAGAGGGGTGAATGAGCCTGGGGCAGAGAAGCCACGCGCGCGTCCACCTTGTGAGAGGCCCTTGTGGGAGGGAGGACCGACAGAGGATGGGACGGTGAGGGGGACAGGGCCCATGCCGATGGCAGAACGGGGAGGAGGGATGGTAGGGGCCTCCTGTGCATCACGTTTTCTGGGTTTAGGGAGACGAGGAGGAACGCGGCGTTTAAAGTTTGCTACGACTTCTGGAGGAGAGTGACGGTTGAGGGTAGGATGGGCTGTGAGAAGAAAGATGAATGAAGAGAGCATGAAGGTGATCGGGAGTGCTTACACCAGGTGCTCGCGTCTGGGTCATCTATGGCAGGATCTACGTTACGGAGGTTTACCTTGCGCATGAAACCATAAATCTAGAAGAGGATAGTATCAAGAGAAAGAGGATGATTAAGTGAGGCGAAGGATCGAAGGAAGAGAAGCACGGACATTTAGTTGCCGGGAGAAGCTGGCAAATCTCGATTGACGGTATATGCTGGGGAGGACATGGAGGGCAAGCTGTTCTGGGCGCTCGACGATGATATGTTCTCCAGCAGGATCCCAGCGAATCATGTGGTGATTTTCGGGGCGTTCGAGGAGACTTTAGTGAGCAAAGACGCGTCAATGGGGAGCAAGAGCGGGGGGGAGAGGGCAACGCACGCGTATAGCTTTGTGAGGAAGGTAGCCTGTGGTTTCGACTCTGTCTTCTGGGGCTGGTGGTGGTCTGGGGACTTTGGGTGGTCTGGGGAGTCGTCTGTTGGGCTGCCTGTGCTGGAGCTGGAGTGGCCGTTGGAGATGATCTGCTGGCCGTAGACGAGGGCATTTGTGTTGAGCTGGGGGTACTGGTTGTCGTGGTGTCGTGGATACTGCTGTTGGCGGGAGGGGTAGGAGGAGGGGGGGTAGAGGTCAGCCATAGCGGAGCCGAGAGAGCAAGGGAGAGAGAGGGAGAGACTCTTGAGCTGAAAATGAGAGAATGAGAGTCAAGTATAAAATGGGAGGTGAGCGGTGGAGAAATGGGTTTACACCGAAAATAGTTACGTGACAAGGGTACTTTTGGTGCCGTACCTGCCTATTCCAGATACACTCATCGCCGTACGTAATCAAGGGTGCATCTCCCAAGCCGCGGCCGGAATCGGAAATCATGCTCGGTAACATATCCACAGCTAAATATCAATGCCGTAATTATATATCCTATATTTATTAAAATTCACCATCTCTATAAACAAACCGACCCAGCCCTGGCCTCGGCGCCGAGGTCGCTCGACCCAAACCCTTTCAGGCCGCTATCGCACAGCGTCACTTATCGTGAATCACCACCACGCATCTGCAGATCCCGAACAGCCTCCCCTCTGGCCCACTCTCCATGTCCCAGCACACAGCTCTGCAGCAACACCGCGTTCCCACTGCTGCTATCATCCTGCTGCTATGTGCTCATCCGCAAGCGATGGCGACGTCGGCGGCCATCCTTGTTCGCGTGCTCTCCAACGCCTGATTTCTCATTGGCTCCGCGACGGCTCGTTCCACTTGCCTCAGATCCCCAGATCTCGCCTCCGGGGTCCTTGCCAGCTCGCTTGTCCGCGCGTTATTGGCCGGTCCATCCAGTTCAGTTCCCGGAAAGGAAAGCCGACTGCGTGCTTCGGGAGGGGATAGGCCGGTGACTAGCCCAAAAAGGCGATGCCGCTGCTAGTTTCGTCGCGTGCTTCTGTGGTGCTTCCTGCCCTTTGGCTCGACGATCCGCCACGGCGTCCAAAGAACCAAGGCGAGTGACTCGATTCGTGGCGTCGCTCCCCGATCTGCTGGGAAGCAGCCAAACAAAGACAGACACACGACACGTCGACGTAAATCTTATCTTCCCTCTCCTCCGCACTGTCAACTCGTAGTGTGAACAACCGGCGCGGCCCGGTCCGTCACCGGAGCTCCGCTCATGATATCGCAAATAGTACACTGAACAACTCCCAGAGTCTCCCAAATGGAAACAAATGTCTATCGAAAGCAGAGAGATTATGAAGAAATGATGCAGTACCAATCAGAAAAAACAATGCCAAAAATCCATCCACGAGGAAGAGCCACATCTGCCCTGTGCTCCAGCAGACAACCGCAAGAACATGCCATTTCCGCTCAGCTCTCCCCATCATAGTGCAGCGTGACACTGTTGAACCCTCCAAACAGATCGACAACATCCGGCGGCACTTCCATCCCATCATCACCAGGTGTTCCAGGCCCTGAAGGCGGCCATCCTCCCCCCTCCTGTTCCTCGAGATGTAGCGAGTGAGACTCCTTCAAATGCCGGAAATTCACCGCATCGAGTCCGTTAGACGACGACGATGGCACAATCTACACCCATACCCGTCGTGTCAGCAACCAGATTACCCACGGATCATAGATAAATATTGAGAGTGAAAAAACATATCAAAAAGATAAGAGCACATCGCGATCAGCTGTGCCCCGACCGACGGCACATGCCATCACGACAACCCAACACTCTTTCATCGTACAACAGAAAATTCCATGACGCACCGGTGGCCGCGTATTCCGCAACAATCCCCAATTGATCTTGCCGAACCACTTGTGCTGCTTCACCTCGCTCGCGCCACTCTTGCTCCCCAGCCGAGTCCGTTCGTCCTTGGCTAACAGTCGAGTGATCACATCCTTGCATGCGCTACACAACACCGCATAAATCAACCATCACACACACGCACACCCCCATCGACGTTAGCGATCTCACGACCACAGTTTGTCAAACCTCTAAAAATTTTAGACTAACCTAGAGACTTTTGGCGTATCCCGAAAATGCACGGGAATTAAGCCAATGTTAGCGAACGTGTCATTACGCTCTTTGCCTTTGAATGGCGTCGTCGCGTACTGCAGTTCACCGGTAACAATCACAGGCGCCCGTGAGCCATGGTTTCCCACTGTCACGCGGTAAAAAAGCTTGCAACTCACAATCATTTCGTAGATTAGTATGCCGAGAGTCCACCAGTCTACAGCGGCCGTGTGTCCCTGCGCAGCGATCACCTCTGGCGCAATGTATTCTATAACATCATCGCATCGCACAATCAGCCCCCCCGCAAAGAAGAGATAAAAAGAAAAAGCACGAGAGCTTCCTTACCTTCGGTCCCGACAAAAGAGTTTGTCCGAAAGTCAGCTGTACATGACATAGTATCAATCATCGGAATCTAAAGCCATCAGTAGAATACAAAGAAAACAGTGCGCAGAATCGTATGAGAAACGGACACAGAACGTCAGTCGAGGGAATATCTTACCCCGTTTGGCTCCGTCTGATGAATCATCGCTGGCAATCCTCCTGGTTTACCAGACTGCTTAGCCAGATCAAAGTCCGATAACATTATATGCCCGGATTGATGCAGTAAGATGTCTGCGGCAAGGTTTACGTTATCAGGATGCGGTCGAGTAGAACATCAGTCCCGATGGAACGTACTTTCTGGCTTCAAATCACGGTAGATAAAGCCCATCAGATGCAGATACTCTAGTGCAGCCACTACCTCTGCGGCGTAGAACCTTGATCCATCTTCTGGAAGGCATTTGCCAGGACGCGTCTGCAGTGCACGAAAGAACTCGCCTCCCATACAGTACTCCATGCAGAAATATAGATATTCCTCCGATTGAAACGAGTGGTATAGAGTCACTATGAACGGGTGATTGGCAGTAGCTAAGATTTCTTGTTCGGTCAACGCGCGCTTTATCTTCTTGCGTTGGATCATCTCTCGCTTTGACAATACTAGATGTACATCAATATAAGCATATAATCATCAGTGTGGGGGAGAGGGGAACAGCGTACCTTTCATTGCATAGAGCTTATCCGATTTCTTCTCCCGAACGAGGTATACACGTCCCACATCGCCCTTTCCAAGCAACTTGACTTTCAAAAAACTCGACGGCCCAACCTCAACCTGTCAAAGCCGTCAGCTCAGTCCCATGCGCCCACCTAAAAGAAAGAAGTACTCACCGATCTGATCTTGATAGAATTGCTAGAATACGTTCTCCGAAACGCCACTTTACCAGGGGGCTCAAGCGCACCGCTCATCATCCTGCTTTTGGGCGTAGGCGCCGAATGATGGCCTCGCGAGCGACCTCTGGACGAGCCCGACGAGATCGTCTCCAACGAACCGCCACCATGGTCCGAGGACGTGGATGGCAGGCCAGGCATGGGCGGGACAACCTCAGCCGGTGCCAACAAGCCATTCTTCGTCGTCGTCGTGTTCGAAGCTGAGCGAGCACCCGAAAAGAAGAGGCCTTTGGCGTTTGGAGCGGACGCGACGCGGCGGATGAAGCGAGTGGCGGACGCGCCCATGCTCTTGGGCGATAGAGGCCCGTTTGGACGGTGGGCTGGGGCGAAGGCTTGCTGGGATGCGTTGGCGGCGGTCGAGGCTGGGATGGCGTTGTGGAGTTTGGTGGGGGTGCGGGGGGGATGATGACCGAGTGCGATGCGCTGCTTCTCAGACTTTGTCCGTGCGCGCGGGTGGGTCGGTGTCGTGGCGCCTCCGGTGGGGAGGGTCGAGGACGATTGCTGCTGTTGCTGCTGCTGCTGGTAAGACGAGTAGAGAGAGCCGTCAGGCACAAGGTACGGCGACTTTGGTGCTCCCACGTTAGAATCGCTAGACTGTGTGTTGGACGAGTTGTAGGAGTAGCGTTGGTCGACGGAGGCGGGTGTCAGGGACGGGTTTGGGGTTGCTGGGGTGCGGAGGGCGCCGTTGAGGGGGGAGGAGATGGAACGGGTGTCGAGGGCGAGCATGGAGCCGTTCGGGGTGGTTGTGAACTTTTTTGAAGAAGAGTTGGGGAGACGAAAGACGGACTTCCATGAATGCGAAGAGGGGGTGGAGGGAGGAGCGTGCATTGGTCTGGTCTTTCTTTCTTTCTGCGTTTCGCGGAACACTGCGGCGTCAGGATCGGAAGAGAGAGTATCGTTGGTATCGCTCGTTTGATGGCGGGCGTGGTTAACGACAGCAGTTTGCCACACTCAAGCAGATGCAGGGATCAGTATAAGGACCAGTATAAGGCTGTAAAGAAAAGCGGAGACAAGAAGAAGAAAAGAAAGAAAAAAAAAAAGAGTCGGTGCAGAAGACTATTGTCCCTGCTTTGGCTCATTCATCCGCTATTCGGGGGGATACTAGGAAAATACTGGCTTAGCTAAGACGGCATCTTCCCGTTCATTTATGTCTTATCAACCCCGTCCCCTCTGCGTTCCCCGCTTACACGTCTTCCTCACTCATACCACGGTTTCTCGTGCTCGTTCCTCATCCACCATCCAGTGCGCAAAGCTACAGCTCTTTTCATTGCCATGCGTACTACGTCCATAAATACCACTCGAGTCAAATGTCTGCAAGTTCATTAGCTCAAGACCATATGACCCCACCAGCCCAGGCTCGCCCTGTCCCCAATAAACCTCAAAACGCCTTCTCGCTTGCCGTAAAGCAGCCTAATGTAGATCACGTTGGGGCCATTGTATACGCGAATATGGCTAGTTTGTCATGTTCCGTGAAACACAAATAAACAGTATCATTGACAGCACTGAGACGTCCCTTTGCATTTGTTGCTGCGTTTATTGACACCGTCCAGGTTGAGTTTTGTGGAATGAAGACAAAGGGACTGTCACCAGGGACGTGTTATTATTTACTTTACACCCAGCGGAAATGAAATCTCAATGATGATCGCGACGAAACGGATGCGAGCGCTATCGAGGCCACATTCACGTCCGTGGCAAGTCGGACCCTCGCGAGTGCCAAATTCCGTTGTCAAAAGGCGATCCAGGACAAGGGTTTGCAGGAGATGGGACTCGGGTGTATGGGGAGGGCGTGATGCAGTGAAAAAAGGCCATGTTGGTCGTTAGACGCTGAATGGACTAATGCGGAATGTAATTGACCGTTTCTTCTGAGAAAAAAGGAATCAGAATGTCAGTTTTGAGGTGGGGGGTCTGACGTGAGGGAAGAAGATGGAGGCTGAGCTTGTGATACGCCTCGGGGGGTGAAAGCTATATTCGTCATGGTCGAGTCGACGTCGATGGGCCGGTAGGGACGTGAGTATGTGGAGAATGGGAGTCGTCCCGCGAAGATGGTGTAGAGCCAAAAATAGGGAAGAGAAAGGAGAGCCGGGAGGGCAGGCACGGCCGGGTTCGGGAGGCAAAGAGGGTTGGAATGAAGGGAGGCGAGTTCTTTGGGCTGTTACGAAAGACATACTCCAGTCCCTGGGTGGGCGAGTAAGAGAGAGAGTCAAAAATAGCGAAAAGAAGAGAGAAGATCATATAAAAGGAAGATGCGAAGTTGGTGAAAAGGATATGTCGAGGGCATTGATGCTGTGTGGAGAGTCCGGTGAGGGAGGAGTGGCAGGGAGAGCAAAAGGGGAAAGGCTTGGGGGTGATGTGATGTGATGAAAGGCGGTAGGAGGACTGAACAGGAAAGAGATGTGGAGGAGGGGGTGTGAGAGACGTTATCGTCTGGAGAATGACTTCATGTCGAAGACCGGGTTGCGTAAGAGAGAAAGAGACGCACTGAGTCCGCAAGAGAGGGAGAGAAAGAAGAGTGTGAAAAGCGAGGAGATGGGGGCTCATCTGATCTCACGAGGACGGTATGTTCCTTGAGGCACGGGATGATCCTTAGCCTTTAAAGCTGCTGGTGGGCGAGATCCATGGCAGGCCGAGCGTGCTGTCCGTGTCTCTCGGAGTGGGTCGGTCGCTGTGGTGGGTGGTGTGCTCGCTGTGGACGACGACGGGGCGGTGGGTGTCGGTGTCGTGCTCGCTGTGTTCGCTGTGGAGGACTGTGGAGGATCGACGGGGAAAGAGCCGGGCCGAAACCGATCTGTACGGATAATGACAGTGGAGGATGGGTTTTGGGAGAACATGTGTAAGCTTTCGCTTGTCTTCCCAATCTATATTTCAGCCCTTCCTCCCATTCAAGTTCACTCCTTCCCATCATGGCCCCCTCAAAGGAATCCCAGCCTCTCCTCACACACCACCACCCCGAATACACCCCACCACCAGGCCCAAGCTCTCCCGACGTCCTCCAGCAACAAAACCACACCCCGAAAGCAGATCTTTTCTGGATACTGACCGGCCTCTGGAGCGCCGTCTTTCTCGGTGCCTTGGACGGCAAGTCTTCTCTCCCCGCTCCCCTCCAATCCTCACCTCTCTTCGCAGGCACCATCGTAGCCACCCTTCTCTCTCCCATAGGAAGCTACTTCAACAAGTCTAACCAGTCGTCCTACATCGCCACTTCTTACCTTCTCTCCGTCTGCTGCTTCACCCCGCTATATGGCATGTCCCTCTCTTCTCCCCTTCTCCCCTTCTCATCCCCCCCCAGGTCGTCTCTCAGATATCATCGGTCGCAGGGGTGCCATGCTTCTCGCACTCTCGCTATTCGGCAAGTCCTCCCTTACTTCACTCTACCCTCCTCTCACCCTCACCCCAGGTTCTGGCACCATCGCTTGCGGTCTCGCTTCTTCAATGGAGATCCTCATCATCGCACGTGCCGTGGCTGGAATGGGCGGCGGAGGGTGAGCCCTATTCACACTCCAGGCTATTCCTTATCTCATTTCGTATCTTCGTCCCTTAGGGTTATGACAGGTAAGAACAACAACCCTATTCCATTCTCCGCACTCACCTCCTCCTCAGTCACAAGCGTCACCATGTCCGATCTCATACCACTGTAATCCTCTTCATCCCGCCTGTTTCATTCTGCTAACGCGTCCTTTTCAGAAAACAGCGAGGGCTCTATCAGGGCATGACTAACATGTAAGTCGTCCCATCCCATTCCCGTCCCCCCTCTTCATTCGTCCCAGATTATTCGGTCTTGGTGCCGGTCTCGGGGGTCCCCTTGGCGGTTGGATGAATGATACTTTTGGCTGGTCAGTTTCGTCGCCGTAAGATTCCCCTTCCCTGTTTCCTGACTTCTTCTAGGCGAGCTGCTTTTTTATTACAAGTCAGTCCTTTCCCGGGTAGGCTGGATCCATATCTCTCATACATTTCCCTCAGACTCCCCTCCTCATCATCTCCTTCGTTCTCGTCTTCCTCAAAGTCAACATCAAACTCTCTTCCGAGGTCGAACACCGATCCGTCTACGACAAGCTCCGCCGCATCGACTTTGCAGGTTCCCTCACCCTCGTGGGGGCCGTGGCTTCCATGCTGCTAGCCTTTAGCTTGAAAACTGCCGAGGAGCTGGCATGGTCACATCCACTTATATGGGGTCTCTTTGTCGGTAGTGCCGTCTGCTGGGCGCTTTTCATCTTCGTCGAAGCGCGATGGGCGCCATATCCCGTCATGCCTCTGAGACTCATCACATGTAGAACTCCGTTTGCCGTCTCTATCGTGAACCTCCTCGCCTCCATATCTGCCTTTTCCATGGTGAGTCCGTATCCGCGATGTGCATGTGGAACGTCGATTCACGTGTTCCTCGTAAGATTTATAACGTCCCTTTGGTATGCAGAACCGCGTAGCTACTTCTCATTCCGTACTGAGCGTTCTCTAGTATTTTTCTGCCGTTAGACTAAACTCGTCGACCAATGCAGGTATAGCCCATCCTGCCCTCTGTCATCCTTCTAGCACCGACTGACTAGTCTCTGAAAGGCATGCATCTGCTTCCTCATTCAGTGCGCGTCTTTGCATCATTCATCATGTCTATCACACCATTCTGACATATCACTCAAAGGTCGCTTTATCCACAGGAAGCGTTTTCGCCGGGTGGTAAGTGCTCATATACGTTTGGTCATCTCCCGGTGATTCGCATTTATGACATTCCCTCACTGCCTCCCCTAACTAGGTTAATGCGAAGGACCGGAAAATTATACATGTTGACGCTCCTCTCGACCGTCTTGACCGTATTCGCCGGCATGCTTCTTATTACATGGAATGACCAGACCGCCAGTTGGCATCTTTGGCTAGACGTCGTGCCCCAAGGGCTCGGTATGGCCAGCCTTATCACCACTACCCTAATCGTTCGTAGCTCCCTTGTGCTGACAAAACCAGAGACAGGCTGCTGACATGTCCCTCCGTCCATCAGGCAATGATAGCAAGCGTTTACAAAGAGGACATGGCCGTCGCCACCGGAAGTAAGTTCATTTCCCATTTCACTTCATCTCCACCCCTCTGTGATATGTGCGCCACGCGTGCCGTCAAATGTGTGAGAGGCGTAATGTTTGGGGGGGGAGTGTTTCAAATTGCATGACGCGAAAAATCACAACTCCCGTACTCATCGTAGCGTTTTTTTTCTTGCAGTTACATATCTATTCCGTACCACTGGTCAAGTGCTTGGAGTGAGCCTATCAGGGGCGATTCTCCAGGAGGTGTTGTTACGCAAACTGAGGGAGCGGATACGCGGCCCTGGATCTATAGAGGTACGCTAGCAACCAAAAACTAACGCACACATGCTAACCAAGCCACCAACCCCTGTGCCGTCCTCTTACCCCAGATCATCGAGCAGATCCGGTAAATAAAACCCGCTATTATTTCTTATTCCATCCAGTCATCGCTGACGTTAACCCCTTCATCCCCCCGCATCCGTGTTTTTGTTTATTAAAAATGCGCACACATCGCATACGGACAGGCACTCTATCAACGTTATACCCGACCTGGATCCTTCCCTGAGAAAAGCGGCAGTGGCTTCGTATGCCGATGCGCTGCGTGTTGTGTTTATATGTCAAGCCGCGATGAACGTCCTCGCTTTTCTCGCTTGTATACCCATCGAGGAACATCCGCTTCCGTGAGTCACTGCCGTCCCCCTTCCGCTCCGTTTATCAAAAAACGCGTCATGATAAGGAGGAAGAGGATGCTGACCGCTTGATCTGATAGCGGGACCCACCAAGAACAGGAGGAGCAGTTGCGCTCCGAAATTGATATCGACAACAATAGAACGACTGCATCTGTAGAGTGATGGATGCACGCTGGTGCAATCAATAGACTTTTTTTTTTTTTTTTTTTTTTTTGGTCCTGTTCTTTTACCCCCTCCCTTGTGTGTGTTTTCGTTTTGTGTGTATCATGGTGGGCTGCTCTAGTAGCTGTTGCTGTTGCGTCTTGTTCGTTCATTCGTTCTTTTCCTTCCTCTTCTTCCCTTCCGACGATACCAAAGTACGAGAGCCGTTCACTGTCCACCCCACCTCCCACCCCCACCCAAACTGTGAAATCATCGGCATGATCATGATGAGCGAGCAGAGTGCAACCACCACCACCACCATCACCAAAAAAACAAAAGAGATTATTTTGATGGTGATTCAGCA